AACTTTTATAACTTATCGGGTTTCTATATTACATTTTATTTTTTTAAATTTCGGTATTGCTTTTGCGTCTTGTGTATCGCACATATTGTTGTCACATTGATCGATGAGCAACTATTTCCAACAAACAAAAAAACTATGATTTTTGTATTGATTTTATAAACCGTGTCCGTGGCCTGTGCTTCACGGATATAATCTGCCACAACCAGCTCTCCTTTGGGCTATAATAATATCTGAACTAATAAAAAATAATAATTATTATTATGTAAATAAATAAATAAATTATGTTTTTTGGAAGGAACCATCTTAGCCAGCTGAAGTAGGATAGAATTATAAAGGCGAAGAGAAAGGAGTTTATGAAGGTCTAGCAAAAAAAAAAAAACTGATAATGCTAATAAATGCGGCACTGTTGTAGGTGGGAAGTTGGGAAAGTAGGTTACATAAAGTTATTTAATTTATAGTTTTAAGCAATGATAAACCATTGCTAATGAAAAATAATTCTGATCAAATCACAAACATAAAATACTTATAAATAGCTCAAAATAGTTAAAATATTTTGAAATTTTACCACGTCAAGAAAAGCCAATTATAAGTTTTCTGTTAAACTTTCAAGTTTCAATTCAAATTTAATTTAACTTTCAATTATTAATTTTTTATAAGTAGAAAATGATCCATACTACCCCAAACGCTTTTTCGAAATCCGTAATAAAAGTATCCATTTTGGATTTAGCCAAGAAAGAATCGATAATATTGTGTTTGAATATGACTAAATTGGTTATAGTAAAATATACCTTACGAAAACCATGTTGAATGTCATAATAAAGCTATTTATTATAAGAGGCATTTTTTATTTATCATTTTTGAAAATATTTTTGGAAGTATAGACATTTTTGAAATTCGACGGTAATTATCTACGGAAGAACGTTTACCTTTCTTGAAAATAGGGGAAATATATACAGTTTTCCAGATTGTAAGAAATATACCAGAATTTAGTGATTGATTAAAAAGAAAATTAATATGAGGTGCATGAACAAAACGGCATTCGTATAAAAATATAACCGATAGATTATTAGGGCTAGTTAATAAATTTAATTTTAGATTATCTAATTCATAAAAAACGTCTCCCAGTGTTATACCAAAGTGGTTAATACAGAAGGGTAATTCAATAGTATGAGTATCTGTCATATTGAATAGAGGTTTTTTGTATACGTTTAAGAACAATTTTCCAAAAAGATTAACCATATCTTGACCATTATCGGCATTAACTTTATTATAATTAACGTTCTTTGGAATCGAGTTATGAGATTTTTTTTGCCTTTAAAGACTTCCCAAAAATATTTAGGATTATTCTTTATTGAACTTTGAACTTTATTCGTGTAATTATTATAGTCTCTTTGCCTAATTATTTTAGATTTTATTTTATATAGTAAATTGTGGCAGTGAAATGGTAGTTTAATACTATATCCACACAACTTGCGGTGGATCAAATGGTAAAATAATACGATGGTAAATTGTCGCATGACTAATTTCACTACCGCGTAGTTGTGAAGAATTTAAAAATACCAAAATATAGTATTCAATTTTTCGAAGAATAAAAACCACAGCGGCAATGTGCGAGAGCCTTGAACCGCGGAGTCACGTGTAGGTACTGGCCACATAGTCCGTCACATAGACAGTAGAGGTGGTAAGCACAATCAGTCAAGAGTTGTTGTTTACCGCTCAATTTTCCAAGCATAAAACTAAACTCGTTTCTAGAAATTCATGTAACATTTCTAATTATTTTTCTAAAATTTTTCCCCAAATCTTTATACCATGACACATCAATTGTATTCTTCTATAATTGTAATAATTTATTTGCATAGTAAATAAATATATAAATAAAAATTCTATATGTAAAAAAAAAATTAATTAATTAATAAATGCGTCGCCTGGAGTATTATGATACATGCATTATACGATAAGTGTTTTATAAATCATTTGGTAGTTTGGATAACCAAATAATTTATAATTCTTAACATATCTATGATGTCTAATAATAACCGATTTTAAATAATCTCTACTATTATAATAAATTATGTCTATGTAAAAAGACCAATTTGTATTTTTTCTTTACGTTTCCTTGCATTTAATTTTTTATATTCAGTAGCATTTTACACTTTGACTGTAATATACCTGATGATGAATTTGGAATTTGAAACCGCTAGTATAATACATTTATCATAATATTCCAAGCGACTCATTTATTCATTTATTTACTTTTTATTTTCATATGTACATACATTCTTTATTCATATATTTATTTACAAGTATTAACTATTTTAATAATTTTGTTTTTACTTTATTATTTAGAATTTATTTGTACTGATAATTTCCACGGTCATGTAAATCTCATTTCCCTTTAAATATAGATTTATATAATATAACACAATGGCAAAAATTCAAAACTGATTAAATCTTCGGCAGGTTTTACTTTTTACTGAATTATTTTGATAATTGCTCTTCTTAAATTAATAACATTATTAATATTTTTTTTTAATTTCAGACTTCAAATAGCAAGAATAGGTATTTTTCTGAAAATTAAATTTAAATTTATTTTATTTATCGAATTGGTGTACGGTTTATAAATAAATTATTGTTATGAGTTTTATAATTTAAAGTTACACAATATTTAAAATGCAAGTAGATATTATATTGAAGGAATCCCATGTTTCATTTATCGTCAATTATTTTCATATTTCCATTTATTACTTACCAATTTATTTTTAAACAATATTTTCGGATTATAGGTTTTATCTGCTGAACACTTAATAATGATTACACAATATTTTATAATTAAAATAATCTCAATTGAAAACTTGGAATAATAATTCAACGATGTAAACATCTATAATAAGTAACTATTAAATTAATGATAAGTTCATAAATAAAAACAAATATAATTGCACTTGAACATTTTTATTATAACCTATTTACCTACTTATAGTGTCATTGATTTCGTTATTTTATAAATGGTACAGGTTGTAGCGTAATGGTTTTTTTTTTCTATACAAAATATGTAATTATAGGTATTATTAAAGAATATTTTAGAAATAGTAGGATATTTTTCCCAGGTAAATTTTTTAATGTAAGCATTTTCCCTTCATATCTAAAAAAAAATATATGAATATGTTTGTATAATTTTGTTTTAATGTGTAGAACAGAATATTTTTTGTTTTTTTTTTCTGTATTTTCTAAACAGATTCAATTGCCAAACATTTCCATTTAATATGTAAGTAGGTATAATAATAAGTAATGTTTAAAAAAAGTAATAAAATAAACGCAATATTTTACAAAAACCTACTGAAATTATTGTAGTAATGTCTTAGGTATGAATAGTGTGTTAGGTACGAAATATACATAATGCTGCAAAGAAAATCAGGTAGAATATTTAATACCTATTATTTAACAATTATAACATGAAACTTGAAAATGGTTAAGTTACTTAAATAGATAGATATTTTTGTAAAGTTATACGTTTACATATAGCAAAATCGGTTCTTAGCAGACTGGAATACGAAAAATCGTAATACACCTAAAACTGTTATTGAAAGGCAAGGTTTATAAAATAAACCTAATAGGGCTAAATAAATAGGGCTCAAGTCCCTCCAAGGTTTATGAGCTAATTGCGCCACTGGGAGTATTGCATAAAGGAAAATCAGCATTATTGTCGAAAATCATAATACTTATTCCTCTTAAGTATAAGTTGTAGTTTTTTCATGTTTGACGTATAGAATACAGCCAATTTATATAATACAACTATAATGAGTAACACAAATTTCAAATTTCAAGAAATTATAATGTGAGAAAAAAAAATTCCAATAGTCCAATAATGTCAAAGAAATTTTGTGTATATTCTATGTTATATTATTTTTATTACCTACTAGTACTATAAAACTATAATACATTTAAAATATTCTAATATCAATTATATTTACTATCAAAACTGCGTGCTGAATTCTGTAGAGATGGAACACAAAAAACCGGGCCAGTGTGGCAATGCGAAAATATTTTCAGAAGTGAAATACGTTTTCGTTATATAGTGCCCTCTAAGCGCCATATTTTGAATAAGTGGAAAACTCATTTAATTTGTTTAAAACACTACTTATTATTAAAATACAAATTTTTACTGAATCAAATAGACAATGACCAATCATATAATAATTATGATACGAAAATGTCTGCATTAAAACGTTTACCGAAGTAAAATGTCCTACTACACCGAAAATGGCTGAAGATGGGAGAATTTTCAGTTTACTATTATTAAAATATGCTGGTAAGAGAAATTATTATTATTATTATTATAAAATAAAACCTAACGTTTTAATGTCGAGTATTGTATACTATGTGTACAGTATAGTATCCATTTTTAATATTTTTAGGTATAGTACTAAGTATTGAAAGTAATAAGTAATTTTCACAGTAATTTGCGTATGTTTAACTCTGTAAATAACTGTCCCAAAATAAATATTGAAACTATTTCGGAATTCAAATTGGAAATGGTAATGATATGACGACCTTCATAGAAACCTTATCAAAAAGTAATTATAATATAACGTACCTACTTGAAAAAAAACTTAAATAACAGGTAAGTTGTAAGTACCTACCTACCTATATTTTATAATAGTAACATAATAATTAATTAACAATAAATTAAAATTGGTACGATAATTAATAATAGATATGTATTAAATATGTAATAACCTACGTACATAGTCAATAACAAACCAGATGAGCACTAGGAGGAGGGGGGGTAAAATCTTGAATCGAAAAAATCAGGCAGGTCTATTATTTTTAATTAATTCTTAATTTTTTTTTTCAAGATTTTCCGGTTCAAAATTTTGTCATTCAAATGTTTGCTATTCAAAATTTTTTTGATTCAAAATTTTGTCACTCAAGAATATGCTATTTAAGATTTTAGCGTTTAAGATTTTATCATTCAAGGTATTGCCGTTCGAAATTTTGACGTAGACCCCTCACAGGTACATATAATTTAATTATAAATTATATCACTGTTGTTTTCCTACTTTCCGTTTACAAATCTGTAAGTGCATGTCTCATAAAGTAGTGCAACAGTATATTATAGTAGGTATTGAGATCAAAAACATATTGCAATGTATTAATATGTCTATGATTGAGATTAAAAGTATGGAAGAGTAGTATGGTACTTACAATATGAGAGTACGCCAGTTTAAACTATGTTCGGTTAGGGCTAACAAAACATTTACGAGATATCGTAGACTGTAGAGCCCGGTTCTCAGTTTCATACGGCCAAACATTTTATAAAATATTCGACGATGTGATTAGGGTTGCCAACTTTAAAACTGTGTGTTGTAGGACAGTTTTTTTTTATATCTTATGTTATATCATAGGTCGTTTAATAAAAAATGTAATGTCAGTAGAATAATATTACTAGCCACTAGGTATCTATGACTTATATAAAATAATCTTCAGCATTTTATTTTTACCTTTTTTTTCTAATCTTTATTTACTCTTTAGTTAACATTCTTACAATTTATTAGATATACAAATTCAATATTTAGTAAATAGATAGTCAGGTAAGTGCATATTTAAAATATATATAAATTACAATGTTTACCTATAATGAAATATTACCTAATTCTATTAATATTTGATTTTTCATACAATAATTATTAAATCTTAAATATAAATAATAGAATAGGAAAATTTAACAAATCTGTAACAAATTCAGATAGATACTTAGTATATCATAATTATTTATTATCTTGAATTATACTACAGTAGGTAGTGATGAACGATAACTTAATACAATCAAAAGATATAAGTAATAGTGGACTATTAAAAGGTATTATATCATAGATCTTAAACTATAACCTAATAAAGTTTATACCTATAATAACATTTGAAATGTAGGATTGTCCTACATAAAGTATAAAACGTTGTTTGATGTAGGATAATCAAATAAATGTAAGACTGTTGGTAACCCTAGATGTGAACCGGGCTTAAAAGTTTTATGGAATATCCATATCGATACATATAAACAATGTGTATTGATACACTTTGCTATAAACCTTGGTAGGTACATAAACAAGTATAAACCGCCACGATTGGCGCCGTCGCGCGCCGTGAACATAGAATATAATATGAAGTATTTACATGTTTCTAGTCCATGAAAATAATTTATTCTTTTTGTTCCCGATATTTTTATTGGTGGAAATTTGATCTCAAGATTTAATAATCTGGTATAAATATTGTTATCACAACTGGGTTTTGTCCTCCAAATTTGAAATATTCTTATCAGTCGTTATTTCCGTTTTTGTGCATTGTAAATCGTTTGTGCTCGTCCGATTGGCCGAACAAGGCCACACACAACATTTGGTCGGTTGACGGTCCTAGGATGATTTTTTTTTGCTTTTTTCGCATTAACGTACACTTTGAGATTTAGATAAGACGTACTTAGGACACTACCATAACCATGTCAACGAATGTGATTTCCAACTCTGGTAAAGTGTTCAATGACAACATACATGGACACATTTTGCTTCATCCACTGTGTGTGAAGATTATAGATACTCCGGAATTTCAAAGGTTGCGGTACATTAAACAGCTTGGTACCACGTATTTAGTTTACCCATGTGCAAGCATCAATCGGTTCGAACATAGTATTGGGTAAGTTTTTATGATTTTTTTTTTTTTGTATTAATACATAAAATACTGTTATTTTAATATTAACATTCAATGTATATTCTTGTTTATATTTTTTTTCTTTTTCAGTGTTTGTTATTTAGCTGGCCAAATGGTTGATACTTTATGTAGAAATTCGGTTGATATTACTGTTACTCCTGAAGAAAAACTTTGTGTTGAATTGGCAGGTCTTTGTCATGATCTTGGACATGGCCCTTTGTCACATACTTGGGAGAGATATCTGAAGACTTCTGGTTTCAGCTGGAAGGTAAATAGCTAACAATATGAAAATCAATGTTATATTAATTCTGTTTTATAAGTTTATACCTAGTACATACTAGGTTACAGATCTATAATATATAACTATATATATGTATATTTTTTTTTATTGGTAAAGACCCGAAACAATTTAATAATTTATTATTGTATGCACCAAAACAATTATTTTACTGATATAAATGCATAATGGCTTACCCTAATTATGTTATGGTATACTGTTTTTATGCAAGTATTGATATTGAAACTATAATATTAACCTTTTACAGTATTATTATAACGTAAATTATTATTAATTCTTTGTATTAATGTTTTATTAGGTTTTTATTGATGTATATTATTTCAGCATGAAGAATGTTCAATTGAAATGTTTAAGTATATAATAGAAAAGTATGACTTTGAAAAAGAGTTTAAGAAATATGGATTAAATGTGGAATATCATGTTGAATTGATATGTGAATTTATTAGCGGAGTAGGAAATTTATTAACAGACAATCATTTCTTATATCAAGTAATATAAATTGTTCTTTATTAGTTAAATTTATTGTTTTTTAATTTAATTTACTTATGTTTTAGATTGTATCCAACAAAGACAATGGCATTGATGTTGATAAATGGGATTACTTTTTACGTGATGGAAACTGTTTAAATTTGAACATCTCATTTGATTATAAAAGACTGATGCAGTTTTCTAGAATTCTGGTCAACCCAAAATCCAATCCTCCGAAACAAGTTATTGCGTTCAGGAATAAAGAGGCAAGGAACATATATGATATGTTTAGAGTGAGAACTGATTTACATCTGAGAGCTTATCAACATAAAACGGTCCAAAATACAGAATTAATGTAAGTAAATTTTCTATTTAATAAAATGTCAATGCATACATTTTGTTATATTTTTATTGGGTACATACAATTATTATACAAAATAGTTATAAATTTAAAATAAATAATTGTATAATAATTGTTCTTTACTGTTTTAGACTTATTGATGCACTATTAAAAGCAGAAAATTATTTTACTATACAAAGTTCATCTGGTGATAAGTAAGTTTTTACAAAAATAATTTATTTTGTATATAATTTTATTATATTATACATAATTTTTTTGAAATATATTAAAGTAATATGATACAATAAATGGTAAACAGCATTATATTTCTGTAACAATTCTTTGTATATGTTACCATCACAGTTGACAACTGTAATATTACTCAACCAAAATTAAACAGTACACTTTGTAAGCAAATATGATTTAATTTTTTTTTTTAGATTATATTTGAATGAAGCTCACACAAATATCGAAACAATGTCTTATTTGACTGACCACATTTTGTGTGATATTCAATTTAGTCATGATCCAAATTTAGAAGAAGCAAAAAGTTTGTTAAATAGATTACTCACTAGAAATTTATATGTATCTATTGGATCGTACAATTTAACATTAGTGAGTATAATTTTTAAATTTATACTTAATATAACTACCTGTATTTGTATTAGTGGATAAAGTTGAGAGGGATGAGTCTTCCTTTTATTTCAGGTAAAATTATCATTCTCTTTTAGTTAAAGTCTCTGAAGTCCTAGGAGACATTAAGTTATGGTCATAGATATTTATAATGGAATTTTATACACTAAATTTTTTTTAAAATAAATTCTTTAATACCTTTAGGTTACACGCAATCAGGCTCTATTTTTACAGAGTAGACATATATATAAGATCATGATTGAGGGGAGTGCCGTTTAGTGGTGTATATAAAAATTGATTTGAGATAGGGTTATAAAAAAAACTTTGGTTTTAGTTAATACATAGATTAAATAAATTCTTAAACACGCACGTGTGCCATACAAACCATACATTTTGGGGAGGGAGTTTAACCCCCAAAACCCAACCCTGTGTACATTACTGGTGCTGTTTATTTTTAAACTCTTTTAGTATAACATTTTTATGATCAAATGTGTGTAATAGAAAAATATTTTAGAAGTCTGTGATGAGTTTCCTAAAAGTTTGGTTAGGTTTAGTTAGGTCTCAGGAATGCTCTTCAATTTATATTTATAATATATTCAAAGTTCAACCACTGATTTGTATGGTTATTGTAATATGATTATTGGCTATACTCTATACATATGTATAATATAAATACATAGATAAAATATAATTTCATAAATATCAAAAAAGTTTATAACATGTTATTTTAGCATCTTTAACATATTATATAATATAATATTTGGTGTAGATTAATAAAGAAACTTATGAAAAACCGTTTGATGTTGACAAGTTAATAAAAAAATTAAAGAATGAACTTGAAAAACAATTTGAAATGGAATTTGGCGTTTCAACCACTTGGCTTAACTGTGGTTCACCATTAAAAAATCCATTAACAAATGTACTGTTCTTCAAAAAACCATTAAATGACAGTGAAGACATTATATTGGATGATACTCAGTATCAAAATTTATATCCTATGAATGAGTAATACTTAATTTTTACTTTTTAAAAATATTTTTAACACTGTTAACTGTTTTATTAATAAGTTATGAATATTTTCAGATTAGAATTTTTCAAACGAGAAATCAATGTCTTTAGTAAATTGCTTACAGTAAATGATAGTGTATTAAAAGAAATTAATAGTGTTTGTTATTCTTTTTTAAAATATTTCAGGCCATAATGTAAGTTCATATAATTACTTGAATATTAGATGCATAAACTATAAATACTACATATTACAGCAAACTAATATTATTAATTTTATAATAAATGTATTACATTAATTATATACAAAATAGTTATAATTAATAAATTGTTAATATTTTTCTTATAAGGTTACAGTAAACTGGTTCGAGTGTGCATTCAATTAAAACCAAATGACTGGACTATTCAATCTATTCAATCAGACTATGATCAAATATTAATGAATAACAATTTATTAATTAAAGACACATTCTTTTTCTTTACAATACATATGTTTTTGTTTTACTTTTGTTGTTTTTTTTTTTTAATTATTTGTTTCAACTAATTGTTTTGTAATTGTGAATCGGTGATACTCTTTCTCATGTATACAATCTAGTTCCAACTTACAATCATTTAATTGATCGGATTATATTTAGTTTTTTTTTATAATTATTTATTTATTTTTTGTATAATTTAATTTTTACCAAATTTGTGGTAAATTAAATCTAAACATTTTGCAATTTATTTATTTTTTGTTTATATTAAAAATTATTAACACTGAAAAGATAATTGTTGAATCTAATTTCATGTATTTAGAAAGTAAGCAAAGAAAAATCCTTTGTCCATATTAAATTTTTTTAACAAAAGAAAAAATATATGAGTGTGCCACCGTTGTAAATTGATAGTTAAGATAGAATACATAGTTATATAATTTATATCTGTATGCAACGGATAAATCACTTCTAACAAATTTCTTTTAATAAAGTGCATTTCTAAGCGTTTTGAAATACCATGATTTTTGTCCAAATTTTACGTTAAAATGTTTATAAAACAAAATTGAGTACATTAAATTCAACATTTTTTCACCTGTAAGTATAACTTATTATAAATTTTGTGTATAATTTTCAAACAATTTATCTATAAAAATTCATTAATCCACATAAAACTAAATAAAAGGTAAAAAAACTTAAAATCGCTAAAATATTTTGAAAGTTATACTATGTTTAGGAAATATAAGTATTCTGTGACAATTTTAGAATTACTTGATAAACAACAAAAATCCAAAATAAACTTTCTCATTTATACCTCAATTTTTACAAAAATCTACAATTGAAAATGATTTGTAATATTAATTAAATTTTTTCTAAATTGATGTCCCCCTCTAAGAAAATCAGATTTGAAAATAATCAAATATTAAGTTCTAGACAAATCCTGGGATATCCCTGTATTTTCTTGAATAGGTAGATAAATATATATATTTTTTTATTAAATTTTCTGATTACCTTTAGATATTTTTAAGATTAAAACTTCTCTAGCAAATAATGCACAACTAATACAGTGCCGATAAAAATACCAAGAATTGTACAATACATGTGTTCTTTTATTAATCAGTACTACTTAGTAATATGCATAACTCTGAACTCATAATACTAATTATCAAATAGGTTTTTTTTTTTTTTAAATGTTGAATATTTTATTTTGCCCTTACATATTTAATAATTACAATTTTATGAATAAAATAAAAATTGTTAGCTTAAATTAATCTTATATCAAGTTATTTTAGTTGACGTATTCAGCCTTAAATTTACTCATAACACAATAGGCTTGTTTAATTTTCAATGTAAGATGTGAATGATGATAAAGTTACCAATCTGTCCAGAATTTCTTGACTACCACTTAATCCTATTTCCGGTTCATTGATTGCTATTGGAACTACATATCCATCTGTACAAGTCCAACCCTCACTCTCAATAATCCTTTCAGCTTGTTCTTTGTCTACTCCCATTAGTGTTTGAAATTTATCCAATTGTATATTTTCATAATGCATGCTAATCAATTTCAACGTATCCTGTTGAATGCGGCGCTTTATTGCAACCATGATAGGTTCAAGTACATCAGACCATTGGCAATCAATCAATGCAAATGCTTGTGTATAGTGTTTTGTCCAGAGTGCATTACCAATGGACCAAATTTTTTGTAGATCTGGATTGGTTTTTATGGATTCTGGTATACGACGCCACAAAAATTTGGCAGCACACAATTCATTAGTATATATGTAGGCAGAAAACAATTTAATGTACTTTGCATCTGTTAAACTTCCTTCTTGGATTTCCTCGTTCTCTAATTCTTCAATAACAAAACTAAAATACCAATAATATTAAAAATAACTGAGAATAAAATAATAATAAGACAATAATAATATTTACCTAACATCTAGAGGTTCAGATATCATTTTTGAAAACTTGTTTTATTTCAATCACAATTAAATTATTGTGCTTCTTTATTGTGCTGACCAAAAAATTCACAAAATATTACAATATACAGAAGTTTGGTGATAAGCTATCAACAAATGAGTTCATATTGATAAAGATATTGGTAGATTTCCAAAGAGAAAACAAATCTGATGATACAAACCATAAATTTGACAGTGCAAACCGTTGTCAGTTGTTAATCAATGTAGTGATCTATTAATTAACAACACTTAATTATAACATCAAATCCATTTTATTATTCAATAATACATGTAACAGATTTTCGAAATAATAAAAAATATAAGTTTAAAAATAATAATACATTAGTTAATAATAAATATTTAATATTTATATTATAGAAAGGTTTAGTATGTTGTATAGAAATATGTAATCATCATACCCATACCAGTGGCATATTTAAGATTTAGCCAAGGAGGGAAATTTTGAATTTTGAAGTACTATTGCACAATTAAAAAAAAAAAATCATATTTTAAATCTATATTTTTCGTAAGCAATTCATAATTCGAATAATCAATAAACATTGAAATGTTATAGTAATTATTATTATTAATTAGTTTATTTATTAGTTTATATTCTAAGAATAAGGAGAAGACAGGGTGACCGGATGTTCTTTTTTAGGATGACTTGTCCTCTTTTTATGAATGTCTTCATTCGTTCAGGCTCTTTTTTTAAAAATGTCAAAGTGTCCTATTTTTTACACGTATTTTGTTTTTCTATATTATAGATTCAACTTGCTAGGGTAGGTAAGTAAATAACTTCTGATTATGGATGATGATACGATTTTGTGATAAGATTTATTTTTGGACTTAAGAACTTTGCTTATTACTATTATTAGAACCATTCAAACATAGAATATTTTATGGACTACAAAATTCATAAGATCTTATAACATAGGATACAAAGATGTTTTTATGAAAAGTAAACTTAAATAAGTATATATATATATATATATTTATATATTACATATGTTATTATAATTATCTATATAACTTTATATAATTAAATTGTTTATAGAAAGTAATTATCAATACTTTCCTACAAAATAATATAACCGATTATAATATAACGCTTATAAAGATATAAGCGTTCATCACAAAATTAAAGTGAACCGCGATTATATACTGCCAATAGATATATTATATTATAGTAGTTACTAGTATTGTATTACTAGTATTGTAAGTCAGGACAAGTTATTTTATATATTAAGAATCTAAAATACTTTGGCGCAAAAATACTAAGGTGTTATGAAACGGAAAAAAACTATTTGTAAGTAGCATAACTACGTCACTACGGGTAGAGTTAGGTTAGGTTATAATAATTATTATATATATTACCTTCTGGTAATGATAACAGGGATAGGTCAAAAAAAGTTTCTTCAAAATTGGTAAAGTAGTTCTTGAGATTAATGCTCAAACACAAAAAGACGATAAGGGTGGGATATGGAAGTTGAAACCTTTTAAAGTCATCATCAATAATAATGCTATATATACAGTGACACTCCTGATTAAAATCAAACTTATTTTCGTGTAAAAACATAAGATTTGAGTATAAAAATGGTTGGAAACCCTCAGAAAGCACATCCTTATTGGTACTTATACATCATGCATATTATACAAAATATTATCTTCGTGATTTCGTTGAGGGTATGTAAGGGTGTACAAAACTAAAAAAAAACTTTCATATATATATATATATATATATATACATTATAAATGTATAACTGACGTGTACGATTCAGAGTCTCTCTATTCGGGGAATAATCAAAAAAAAAAAACATAACCTAAAACATTTTTTGTTTTTTGAAAGTATTAATAATACAAAATATATTATTGATTTATATTATAACGACAGGACAGATGTTAAAAACAAATGTCCGATTAAAAATAATAGGGCGTAAAAAACCAACACAATCGCTGTGGATACCTACATTATGAGTAATGACACACGGTTTTCATAAACAAACAGTGAAATATCATATTGAAGTAATAGGTAATATTGATATAGAATTATCAAATTATTAAAAATATATTCGTAATTATGAATATAGAGTATATAAATAAATTAGTTTCGTATACATTAAATTATAATCAATAAATAAATATAAAAAATGTATGGTTGTTTTTAATAATATTGTAAAAAAAAGTCTATTTTTTAATCACGAATAAATTCACAAGTAAATTGCCTATACAGAACCCCTTAATATATCGGCAGAAATCTTTAAAATTAAAATAAAACGGGAAAATTCCAACAGAAAGATCGTTTAATTGTAAGAATTCATCCATCAGCTGGTTTTTTGATTCAGTACCAAATATTTAAAAAAAAATATTTTTAATATACAAAAAAATAAAAATAGAAGTAGAAAAAAAAGAACTGATACTGGAGACGGATGAGGCCACTGTTTTGGAGAGGTGGAATACAAAAATTTAATTTTAATTTGTTTACCTGTTACTAACGATAAACCATTGCTAACGAAAAACGATTCGGAGCGATTCGGTTCGGTTATATATGTTTTGAAATGCCATAATATTTACGATGTTTATCAAAATTTGATATTTTAAAACTATTATAAAAAAAAATACTTCATTATATTCAATTTTTTTTTCGACCTCTAAGTAAAATTTAAAATGAACCTCCTGTCAAGTGTTTACGCATTTCTGATGAGTCTAAAAATTTCATCTACAGAGTACCTATTAAATATGTAAAAAATTATCAAAATTAAAATGTTTATATAATAATAAATCGTTGTTATATACCTATGATTATTAAATAATTATTCTACAATAATAATATTCTGGACAATAATCGAACTCTGTATACACTTAACCTAACCGTTTATATTTGGTCACTCCGACTCTTGTGACAATTGATAATATGTATGATAACTGACGTGTATCACTCGCTAATTTATAAATTAATAGATATTTATATATTAACAGATATTAATTAGGTACTGTCATGAATTCATAATTTTTAGGGCATTCGTTATTTTGCTTACTAAATTATCGAAAGTAACCAAAGTTGTGTCTTGAGCTAGCAAATTCTATAAACTATATTACGGGACACTGTACAAATAAAATGGCGATATATGTCTTATTAATGCCCCCAAGATTGAGATTAATTTGCCTACATTTTGCCCCTTAGATTGATGAAAAATACTGTTTTTATTATAAATTAGATTGAAGATGGTTAATTATGATTTTTTTTTAAGTAGCGATAATATATTTTAAGCTGTTTTATTACTACATAGTTAATAGTGATAAAATAATTTTATACGCTATGTGTAATAAAATTGTATACACCTTCGCATCATTAAATATTGCCAAATACTACAATTGAGAATACAAGAAATTCAATGAAAATCTACTGGCGACATAGTGCTTGAGAATTTGGGTGGTTGCCAATTCGCTCGTATTTCTTTATTACTTGACTGTGCTTTATAATACAAATTATTTGACGACATAAACTCACCAAAATATGAACTATATTTGTATACATTATTGTTCTATTCAAAATAGCGAAACAATTAAGTACCTTTAATAATAATATCAGAAACCGATTTCAGATATTAATATTTACTTTTTTTAAAAAATATTCAATAATTATTATAATTATGTATACAGAATACTTATATTTCCCTTTTTTAGACGCGGTAACATTTATAAAATGCTTGAGCTAGGTATCTAGACAGTTTTATTTTTCTAGTTCTTTACGTAATTTTTATTCAGTAGGTACTTTATGGATAAAATTATTAGTCTAAACAGAAGTGTTTGAAATTTATCAAGTGGTTCATTATAAGTCATATTTTGGGGCTTTAAAAAAAAAATTAAGTTTAATGTAGTCTTTATTTTTTTTCATAAGAATTTTAATATCCGATTTTGATAAAAATCGTAAATATTACGGCCTTTCAAAACATGCGTAATCGAACTTCGATCCGAATCGTTTTTTGTTAGCAATGATTAATCATTGCGTACAGATAAAAATTAAATTCCCCTCTGTATAATATTACCTTCTCAACTTCTCACTTATAACCCGTGGCCCACCCGTCGTACGAAGTATGTCCATCTTTATTATTATAATAATGTTACAATCCAAATTGCTATAGTTATTATTCATAAATTATAAATATAGTTAATGGTCAAAAATATTACCAAATAAAGCGTTAATTTATAAAGATTTATAATTTTTCCTGTTTCTTTGTATATTTAGTACCTATTTATATAATTTTCTTATTATTTTTATTGTAATCATTTTTTCACGATTACTAGATATGAGTATCTAAAATTATAGTTGAAATATGAAAACTTAATATCTGTCTTAAATCATTATAAAAACGACAAGCAAACCTTGTTCCCAAACCAATTAAGTAGGTAACCAACATTTTATATTTCATTAATAACAAAATAAATAATACTACATTAAAAATGTAACATTCTGCTATCAGTCATCTATAGATTCTAATTTTTATCAAAAATATATAGTAAAACTGCCATGAAATGGTCACTGGAGGGACCGGAAAAAATTACCGCTATTTAGAGGTGACCGTCCTTTAGAGATTTTCTATAGAGTCATAACACTTGACGGGACCAAACAAAATGACTGTTACATAAATGTGACCAGAAGTTTAACTGTAAATATTTTTAATGGGTTTGTATAAGCAACCTTTTATATTTTGAGTGCTACAGATCTCCCATAAAATGTAAGAGTTTCCCGTATTCTCATCTATAATATTTACTTTTACTATGATATTATTGAAATTCTTTTTTTGTAATAGTATTCGTATAATTATATATAATACAGTCGACTTTTACGAAAATATTATTCGATGGATTTTTTCATGTTAAAAATAAGACGTTTTCTCTAGTACCTACCCGATATAGTTCTGTACTCATACAACAAATCAAGGTACCGTGTACTGTAGCACAAAAAAAAAAAATCCGACTTATAATTTGAACATGTTTTTTAGAACAATAAAATACACTGAAAAACCAGTATAAAACCAAATAAATCGGGTTAATATATAACTGATAATAAATTGTTAGGGGGGAGTAGAATTTTTGTTTGACAATATTTGATGAAACTTGCTTTTTATTTTATTTATTTATTTTTGTTTTGGAGGGAAGTGGTTGGCCACACGTTTGAACCTCCACCTCCTCCTCCCCTAAAAAAAAAGCACAGGTTATAAATATTTCTACCAAAATTATTTTACAAGCTGCAGATCATAGCTTTACACATTATGTACTGCAGTAGTCGTTAGTTAAATTGCTAGGTTTTGTCGGCGAGACGGTCGCGGCGAGGTGTCCAGTTTCGAATGTGAACCTATCGGTCCGAGAGCTATAACGTGCACCTCTTCCCGCCTATCTACCCCCTACTACCGTTAAATATTATCAGCAGAATATTATTTTGTCTCCGCACGCGCACTCGACCTACACGTATACCTATACGAAATACCTATACCTATATTATATAATAACAGCATTCGTACGAGTCCGCACACATGTGGGTACAAAGGTCGATATTTTTCCTTTTTGTACACACAACGTGATAACTTGAATATTGCGGTTTTTAGAAATATGTGTGATTTGTATTTCGGTGTGTCGAGTATGATTGACAGGATTTTGTCTATCAGTGAACAAGTACGTGTTAGGATATCTGGCGTTAAAATAACGTACTGCGACGGTGTTCTTATTTTTACTTTGAGGGCGAACATGTCTCTCGGGTCGATGCCTATATTCACGAACTTACGTTCTGGTGAAAGATATGGGTCGTGATCGACCTTTGTACCCATAAGTGTGCGGACTCGTACGAATGATGTTATTATATTTCGTATAGGTATACGTGTAGGTCGAGTGCGCGTGTGGAGACAAAATAATATTCTGCTGATAATATTTAACGGTAGTAGAGAGTAGATAGGCAGGGGAGAAGTGCACGTTATAGCTCTCGGACCGATAGGTTCATACCGGTTCGTCGTCTATTATATTTCGTATAGGTGAAATCCACTGTCTTGACATCAGCAACTGATAGTTCAGTGGTGGCCAGACGTTTTTTTGGTAGAGATCTATTAAGAGTAAATTTTTTCCTTTGAGGATCAACTTTCATACAAAAAAAAAAAAAAAAAATGTATAATAGATTAATAATAAACATACGCATACAAATAATATAACTAAAATGTATAATATTTAAACAATGTTTTTCGTTAGAGTTTTGTTAAGACTTTAATTTATAGTATCGTATAATTAAAGGAAGTAAACGGGGAAAAAAATTGGTAGCACGCAGCCAGCACATAAAAACTGTTGAACCGTATTACTTGATAAACAAACGAATCAACAAGACATAAACGAGTCAGCAATAAATCACGATTTATTTACTAATATAATTTTATACAAATCGGTTCCAACACAGCAAGATCGACATTGAAATCGTCCGAGATCTGCCGGTCGATCGCGATCGACCGTTTGGCCGCTATTGTGATAATTGTAGAGGGTAAGCGGGGCAATGCGAGCGTGCGGGCTCTCACGATAACGGTAACTTGAATGATTATATGTCATACCTATATATTTCATTGCTATTAAAAATATTTGTATCTTTGCTATGTACATTGTATGACGAGCATAATTAATACCTATAGAATAATATTTTCGAATAGGTACTCGAGATCGGTAAATAGTATGATATCATCTGTGGAAACGGCTATACATGCAGGTACTCTTATAATATTATGTTATCGATGCATGTGATCAATGTGTTGTACGATGTATCGGTACGTAGTATTAAAAACGGCGATATATAAAATATTGTCATCGATGCCCATGTATATTGTATTATTTACATAAAAATATACTGGTTGGTGATATAGGTGATATGGAGATTATCAATATCAATAATGTGTGTGTGTATGTGTATGCACCTGAGCATGATTGTGTTGGATCGGCTTATGGTCACGGTCGTGGTTGGACGACGATATTGTTATAGGTATAGCACAGGATTTGTGCATAAAAAAAAAAATATTAAACAAAAATTTAATATGCACATCTATATGATAAAAATAACAGTAGGTATATGATAACGAAATTAGTATAACAGTAGGTATAGCACGTGATGAGAGTAAAAATAGGTGAAGTAGTTGATAGTGTGGAAAAAAAATTATTTGGAAAAGGGGTGTAGTTAAAATAGGTCGATGAAGAGATGGACGACGGTGGCTCCATGCATCCGTGCATCTGTGCAAGATTGTACAAAATTTGTGCAAGATTAAAGCAGGATTTGTGCAAGATTTGAGTATGAACAAGATCGTGGTTGGGCTGCCATGTTATAGGTACAGCTCTTGCACATGGTCATACACAAGCTTATGAGTTAGAACCACTCTTTTCGTTCTACTAAAGTGCCACGACAACATCCAAGTCGTCATATAATCTATTTTTATTTGTATAGCGCGTCGAAACGCCTAGTGTGGTTGCAATTAGTCATGGCGGTTGAAACACCACATTTCAACCGCGCGCGTTTCAACCGCTATGTGTGGCGCGGCTCTCAGGTAGGTACGTTTTTATACTTATTTAAAAGCTGATAAACTTCATAATTGTTAAACCGATCGGGGAAACAATATTTTATTTCAACTTCGATAATAAAACTCAATAAGACTGTGGTGTACGGCTTTTAGTCGTATATTTTTTTTTAGTAACTTGGCTAGTGATGAACCAATGTAAATAGTGCCGTAATTTGGTATTGAATTAGTGTCATTTTCAAAATTTTCAAATAAAAAAAAAAATGTAAAAAATGTTATGTTTTCATGTGCAAAAAAATGTAAATACTATAAGTGCCTACTTAANGTGTACGGCTTGTAGTCGTATATTTTTTTTTAGTAACTTGGCTAGTGATGAACCAGTGTAAATAGTGCCGTAATTTGGTATTGAATTAGTGTCGTCATTTTCAAAATTTTCAAATAAAAAAAAAATGTAAAAAATGTTATGTTTTCATGTGCAAAAAAATGTAAATACTATAAGTGCCTACTTAAAGACTATGTACTTTGTATCTTTTGTATAACACTGAACCAACCAAAATGGGTACAGTCAATAATAGATAATGAAAAAAAACCTCATATTTTAAGGGTTAAGTCAGTTCATTTTCTCGTGGTGCACTCTGAGTAACTCTAAATGAACTGGGTTACGTTGAAAAAATGAACTTTTTTTTATTGGGACGCACTCGGGTGATCCCATATTCCGGACGGACTCGGGACATTGAAAAATAATCATTTAGGGACGCACTTGGGCAATCCCGCAATACAAATTAGCGAACATATATGCGGACGCAATATTAGGACGGTAATTTCAGCTAAAAGTGGGTATACGAGTAGAGCCGTTGAGGTGTTCACAATAATAATAATAATAATAATATTAAATATACTACACTATACTATATTTTTTTTAAATACTAATAAATCTATGTAACCCTTACCTACAACTACAATAATATATATTTTGTATTGCTTATATTATATATTAATGCAGTCTTATTATAGGTAGGTATCTACAATACTGTGTGTAAATAATGATCATTGATAATAAAAATAATAAATTATTTGCAATTATGCATATATATTGGTTATTTCTATTATTCATGGAGTACATACATTCTTAATGTTCTCGTTGGTTTTAGTACCATGAAGGCAATTAGAAATAGAAAAACCATAACCAACATTCCAAAACCGTTCAAAATCAATGATTCTGTAGAATAGGTTCTATAAGCCCCTTTTCTGAAATACGCACAATAAAAAAAAAATGTATGTTCTTTAAATACATATACATATAAAATATGATTAGTCCCTCTGTTATATGACATTTATTATCTCAGAATTTTAATTTTTTTTTTTTTTTTTTGACAATTTAATAAACGAGCAGCTTTAAAATGTTAAATTATCATTACTTTTTGTCATTTTAGATTCTGAGTGGAGCGATGATTGTATTGATTTTACAATGATGTTTATTTATTTTTTTAAATTTATTTTTATTTGACCACTTTTTCTACCAGAAAGTATACTCCGATTATCAAGTATATAACCTTTTCTGAAAGGAAATGTTCTCTAGGTGGTACTTTAAAAAGGTCATTTTTTGAAATTCTCATTAATATTCAAGATAATGAAGAAAACCTTGGTCTTTAGGTTAAACAAGATTGAAAGATTAAAAATAAGGTTGTCACTGGCAACCATTTTTATTATTTTAATCTTTTTTAAACAATCATTTTTGTCATGGAAACGTATATTGTTGTAATCATTTTACCATAATGTGATATATTCCATATATTTTATTGTTGACAAAGCAACACTATCATCTGAATTTCACTCAGAATCGTTTTTTCTTTAGCAATGGTTTATCGTTACTTACAGATATACATTAAATTCCCGTTTTGTATCCTATCTTCTGAATTTCCCACCTACAACACTGGCTGCTCTCACGTACAAGGTATGTCGGTAAAGTAGTTTTTTTTATAAACATTTCAAGATCAAATTTTATTACCGAACTTAGCTCAAAATCGTTTTTCATTGAGAACTATATATTGTTGCGACAGATTAACTTTATGTAATCTAACTTGTCAAAGTTCCACGTACAACAGTGGCTCACTCGCATTCAATATCAGCTCTTTTTTTTGGGGGGGGCAATATATTGACATTATAGTATTATTATAGTAATCAAAATTTTCTGGTGAATTTATATTCTGGCGATTCGCTATATTTCGTATACTTACAACAGCTTGATAGCATGTCCATTGATTCCAGTAACGAGAGCGACGGATGACACGAAGACGGTGTATAGGCTGAAAGTCCTGCCCGGTGGCAGGCCCGCGTTCCGTAGACACGGCATGACGAACGCGGCGACGGTGCTCAGCCACTGGACCGTGAACATCAGCGCGGCGCACAGGCCGACCCAAGAGTGCACGGAGTATAGATGACCCTGGTAGAACTTACTGTCTTTGGGCTTGTTCGTTTCCTTATTCGCGTATATGGCGTACAGGGCCAACGCCGAGACGGCGAACGCAAACGTGTGCAACATTACGTACTGTAGCGTGACGTCCGAATTTTTGTTTTTCTGCAGCATTAACATTGCTGCGAATAATAATAATATGTATTGTGTATACGCGGACTTTATACGTATTACGTTTTCCATTTCGCGAGTTAATTTTGGCTAAAATAATTAATTTGGTTTTGGCATTTGTACAAGATTTCAAAGCGAAATTTTAGACGTTATCATTCAGTATAATATATGCGGTTTCCGTTGAAAAACTTACAATTTGCATAGAGATATATGAATCCAATTGTGGTCAACGAATAATGCCAATTGGAAAATTGTGTTACGGTAATTGACACCAACTGCGTAGAATAATCGGATGACGCTTCAAAATATCCCTTTCGATATATCACAGACCGACAGATAATCGTGGCCACGCACGCAAGTCCGACAACCTGAAATATTGTCCAAAAACACAAACCAACCCAGTCGTTTTCATTCTCGTTGTCGTTTTGGTCTGAAATCATATCACCATCCTAAGATATTAATATTATACTTATATAATACCACAATCATTATGTAGTATTGCTATAGGAAAGGTTGAGCGAACATAATAAGTAGTGCGGATTAAAATTGTTTACTTTCTATATTATAGTAGGCTATCTTGGCCTATATATAATCGTAGTACAATCTTTTAGTTTTAGATTCTAATCTTTGAGTAGTTTTACCATGATGTGTGTTCTTTTTTGTATCCAAACAAATTTTCTACAAAAAGTCTTGCTTTAATCAAAAACTATCCAGAGATCTTTTTTGTTGCATTTCGTATCTGGCTAGTGAGATAGTAAATTAGTTTTTGATTTTTCAATCAGTTTTTATAATAAATTGGAAAAACCGGAAAAAGACGTAAAATGACAATGGACAAATTTACGGACTATATGTTTTCTTTCTTTTAAATATTTACGATTTATGTTTTCTACCAGAAATTATACTCCAATCGAAAAAGGACAAGAGACCTTTTTGGTTTTATTTTAGATCTAGTCGGTTAGTATAAAGTCATATTTTAATTTTCCAAGCAGTTTTCATGTTTTCATAATAATTGAATTATAAAAATGTAGGAAATACGAGAATAGTATACGATTAATGATTTTATTATTTTCGATAGAAATGGCATTTTAATAGGATATTAGCGTTTTTTAAACTTGGTCAAATTTTTAACTTATTTTGGTGATTTTTGAGTTTTTTATGAATATTAAACATTTTAGATTTTTTTTTTTTAGTTTTTCTTTGGTAGATACTACAGACAATTTCCGTTAACGATCACCTCTGTGCAACAGTAATTTGTTTTGGTCCCGTCAAGTGTTATGCCTCTATAAAGCGACCTCTCTAAATACCTCCTCAAATTTATATTTGCCTTTTCTTAAAGTGGTAGAATTTTTTAGCAATATATAAATATTTTAATTTTGCGAGTTTTGTACGTAATTTTTATTCAGTAGGCACTCTGTTGATAAAATTGTTTTGCGAAACAAAAATGCTTGGGAATTCATTAATATAGTAAATATTATTGATCAAACCGCTTGCAAAACGTTGTTTAACATAAAAGTATTTTGGGCCTGCTCATCTAACTTTTGTTAATTATTATTATTATTGTTTTTGTTATTCATATTATCATTATTTTAATTATTATTTATTTACGGTAAACAAATAAATTTAATTTTTAAATTGTACTATTTTATTGCATTTGTACAATATATCTGCAGTCTTCTAAGCTAATATAAGTTGAAATGATATCAGACATAAAGGTTTTGTTTTTTGACCGAAGCGGTGGTATTCAAGAGTAAAAATTGTTTGCCCAGCAAACACTATTAACCGAGCTCCACTCAGAATCGTTTTTTTATTGGCAATGCTTAAATTTGCTTAGGAACAGATATTAATATCTATACAAATAGCATTAAATTGTCCTCAATATCCTACCTTCCCAACTTCTCATCTATAACAGTGGTCCACCCATCGTGTGAAGTATATCCGTTTTCTTTTTTCTTATAATTCATTAATATTAAATTAAATTTGTTTGTCCCCCCCACCATAGTCAAGGTCTGGAGACGCCCCTAAGTAGAATAATATTGTTATCCAACGTCAACTAAAAATACTTATCAAAAAACCAAACCACAGTATTAGTAGAATAATGGGTATTAAATACTTGCATTATTTATTTTAAATATATGTTACGTTTCAACATATTATTGTTCAGTATAGACAAATAAAGTACAGACAACGACAGTACATATAATATGCCTAGCTAGGTACCGATGAATTATCATTAAAAATAATAATAGTTATGTAAAATAGGTTTTAAGTGGTCGTGCTTGTTAAATAAACAATATCTAATAAAAACAGTCCACTCGTGAGTATCATAATAATAATATTATAATAGTGATGGAAATTATTAATCGTTATTAATTGATTGGTCATATTATGTGGATGACTAATATCAATTTTACATAAACACGGATGCACAAATAGGTATCTTTATAACAAACAAACACATTTTAAATTTTAATCATTTTGCATCATAATATGTAGATTGTGGGTAGATAAATCGAAAAATATAAATTTTTAAGGTGTATGAAAAAAAAAATATATAGTTTTAATAATATATAATTGATATAGATACAGCTATATTATTAGACAGGTACTATAAAACCAGATCTTCAGGTCTCTTCAGGATATATAAAAAAGGGCAGCGAACTCGGTGAAAAAATTTTGTCTATGCTGATAGATTAGCTGGTTTGTCGCGATATCTACATTTTAAAAATTGTACCATATAGATACCAGATATACCTATATACTACGCGTCGAAATACGTACTGGCAGCAGCTGTAGTCGGGTTTCCCAAAAGTTGTACAGGATTATTATTACTTTTGGTCACGTTTTCCACATTATTGACTGAAGAGTTTTTGTCGTTGTCCAATTCCAATACTCCGTCGTCCGTATCATCTGTACGCGAAAAAAATTCTACGCGTGTACAAAATCACACTAGTAAATCTGATAGACGATATTTGGTAGTGTTGTGACTTGCGATCAGTGGCATGTGAAGAGACATATTTGAATCACGTGACAAAAAAAAAGGGTGTAATAATTAATTTTGGGTCAACCTGTTAGTTTTCATTTTAAAGTTTACAGACAAGGGTTGGTAAGATTGTGGGAGTATTTTTGGTAGGTAGATGGGTAGAAAATGAAATTGGTCATTTGAGGTAGATATACTTCATGCCGCTACTGTTTATGATTGTTGTTTACACTGCAGAGATTGAAACATTAAAATAATACGTATTTTAATTTATATGTACCTACCTTTGACGGAGCTGATCGCACCTGCCTTCGAGACGTTCATGATTGCGTGTAGCAAGTTACTAGGAACTATTTTAGAGACGAAATGTTTTCGCGTCTATGATATTTTAAAACTAATTTTTTATAGATAATTTTTGATACACATGTCAATATTTATTCAATCGATGATAATTTTACTGTAAACTTATGCTACTATTATATATATATATATATATACGGTTATCTATTTTAAGATAACCCGTTGTCCGCTCAATTGTAATTAACCGTTTGACAAACCACGGTTTAATGTTTAATCAATTACTTATAAATGTTATATAAATACAGATATTATCATGTTTACATTATTATGTTTTTAAAATCGAATACAGAAGTTCTAATTTTTTTTAAATTCAACCCTCTATAAAAATAGAACATTAATTTTGAGCACGTCTCACATGATTAAATAATCTACCCACAACAAAATTAATTAAAAATTATTGTTTTTGCGTGTATTTCTCGTATCAAAGTTAGAAAGCAACGTTGTTATTACTACACGTATTTCTTTTTCCACGTTGAGTTTGTTTCAATATTTGGATTATATTAATCAATAGTTTGACGAATATACTGCTGAAAATGAAGATACAAATGGCACGCAAAGTTGTGTTGCTAATTTAGGTATTTTCATCTTTTATATGATTCCAAGAAATCCCCAAAAGTCCTAATCTTAAATTCCAATGGTTTAAAGATAAACGTGTAATATATTTACTTCATACCTTCTCTGTAAAGTGCTCACATCTGTCTATGGAAGTTCGCCTCGCAGTTTGTGAATCATTGATCTATTATATGATATTATACATAAATCACAAATTAAATTTAAAAACTCAAACTAAGTAATAAGTATTTACAAAATATATATATATATATATATATTCTTTTTAAATATACGTAATTATTAAATGAAAAATCTTATAAATAAAATATGTATTATTTATATTATTATATGTATTATGTAGATAGATGTACAATATAATAATTAATAATGATTGCAAATTAATACAATAACAGTAGGCAGATATAAATAAGTATGTACTAACTAGGTAGGTATCTTTACCGTCTCTAAAATAAATTTTACAATGTATTTTTGTTAGGATTTACAACTATGTACACAATTAAAAATAAAAATAACATTACGAGCATTCCAAAACCGTTTAAAATATATGTTTCTACTGAATATGTTTTATAATCTCCTTTTCTGAAACATTACACAAAAAACAAATACATAATATACACAATATTAGCTAATTAATTGAATATTGTCAAATATTCTTATGAAATTTGATATTTAAGACATAGTTAAGTATTATTGATTAATATAATCAATGGTATTATGTAATAGTTTGTAGATTAATCCTCTCTACACTAGACCGCATTTTCAAGCGAACACTTCAAAACTGTAGATAAATTTTTAGATCGAATAAGACGTGTTCTAATTAATTAATTATGATAAACTTGAGTTAATGATATCTAGGAGGAAATTTATTACAGGAAGTATGTAAAGACAACGCATGAATGTAGAACGTGAGATTTGGTCACGAAGTTTGACAATAAAATTATATTTAACATTGAAATGTTGGCATATATGAACTGTGCTATAATTATATAATTATTTACTTTTTAGACATCTAGATAATATATTATTAGTAGGCAGTAGGTACCACGAACAGCAGCAATTGTTGCTTAGCAATATTACAAACCTACTTTTCGATTATCAAGTGTTTATTAAGAAATATAATAGGACTTAATCCCCATACAAATTATTAGATTCACATAAAATAAATACTATATATTGGTACCATAAAGGAGACAATATTAGACAAATAGTCATCAATTAATATATGTATAATATAGAATATGTTCAAGGACGCCCGCAGAAATATAAACTGAGGGGGTTTTTTTTACAATTTACAACTTAAAAGTAATCATGGCTTAAATATTTAAGTCATGCAAGTAATAAAACAATTAGTATTTAATTTTAACTAAAACAGTGGGAGGGACCATGGCACCTCTCTGTGGGTGCCCTCGCCTATATTAAATATTAAGTACTTGAATGTTTTAAAATTGTGTACATCTATTGAAATGTAGAGCTATTTAATTAGAAAATTAGTAGTTTTTTTTATTAACAAAACTACTAATTCGGGATTTATTATTATTTTAATTATTATTATAAAGAACATACAATAAATTTTAGTCTAACATTTAGGAATACCAAAAAAATATCATTATTATTACCTAATTGAAATAATTTGTTATAGATAACACAGCTTATCTCTAAACTTAATCTTTTTTTTTTAATTAAAACTACAAAACATTACCTACACGTTTTATCTACAATTTAACCAAGTATGTGTGAAATGTGAAGTGTAGAAAAAAATATTAGTTTAATTTGAATCGGCATAAGTTATATCATTACACATAATGTTTTACGAAAACAGGAAAGCATTATAAAATAACAATAAATATTGTATCATTATCCCACTAAAGTAGATACATAAAATAATTAGCTTTCACAATAGTGTATCTAGGGAAATGTAATGGAAGGGGGCTAAATATGTTTTTGCTTGGATCATGAGCGTAGGTTAGGGTGTTTTGGATATCTAACACATCATTGAGCGTATTTTCTGATAGTGATGTTTCATACGTTTTCATTTAATTCAGTGCAGAAAACGTTCTTTCAGGAATGATAAAAATATCTAGACACGCAGTTAACATTAAAATCGTTAAAAATGTATGTAAACATTAACATGGCCATTGTGATGAGGGGTTTAGCTATAGCTCTCTTAGCCCTCCCTGACTATACCTCTGCATTTTCACCAGAATATTAATATTATATATTTAGCTATTCGATATAAGTAACTTATAAAAATGGTATACCTAGGTATCTTTATCACATTTATACTTTAAGTTTATAGTTATAGGTATAAAAAGATACATACAACGATTTTACGACTTGTTGATTGGCTTCGGCGATGAGGGCGATAGAAATTGCAAGGGCCGTGTACATACTGAACATCCTACCCAAGGGTAAGCCCACTTTGCGCAGAAAAGTCAGCATGTATGCGAATATGGCGGTCAGCCACTGAAGCGCGAAGAGTACTGCGGCTACCACATAGGCCCAGGTGTCTATCGAGTAAAAATGGACCACGTAGAATTTGCTCCCTATGGGCTTACTCATTTCCTTGCTCACGTACAGAGCGTACAATCCCAACGCCCATACAATCAGCGAAAACGTGTGTAACATTATGTATGGCAGTGTTACGTCAAGTTTTTTGGTTTTAATCATGAAAATTGCTGGAAAAGTAAATCGAAATGTTTTATTTGAATGCAATTCACATGTATTTAATTAATTTTTATTTTAAAAAATAAAAATTATGAGTATTATGTAATACTGTTTATTTGATAGATCGATTGTCATTACAATATGCACCTATACAGTATACACTTACAATTGGCATACAGGTATAATCCAATTGTGATCAGCAAAAAATGCCAGTTGGAAAATTGAACTGGACTAATGGACGTTGCGTTAGGATAGGAAGACTCTTCGAAATAACCTTCATGGTACATAATAGTTCGGCAAATAATCGCGGCCACACAAGCGAGTCCGACAGCTTGAAATATTGCCCAAAAAAACAAACTGACAGAGAGGTTTTCGTCATCAATATCTCGTTCTGAAATCATATGAACCCAAAGCCTAAGTATTGTTTTGTAGAATAGAAACTATACTCGTAATTAAATTATTATAGGTACTAATTACTAATAAAATACTGTTTCTTTTTTTATGTGTAAACAGTAAACAGGTAATACTAACTAACACTATAGCAATATCTCATTTCTGCAAAGGCTTTCAAAATTAAATATTATTATTTAATTTTTTGCCTTCATCTTATGTATTTATTAGAAAAGTTGAACATTTAAACAAATACAGTGCAATATTCCATACTTGTGGTACTATTATTCAACTTAATATTTATTTCATACGTTATTTTGTTGGTAAAAAAAAATAAAATATTTTTACCATAATTATGAATTGCGGGATGAAACTGAGAAGATTGATAGCCATCTGAAAACAAAAATGAAATGAAAACAATATTATACATATGCAAATATCAGGATATAGATATAATATACACGCTATAAACTATAATGCGTGTTAAATAGTAAGTATATCCTTATTAAGTGAATCCTTATTATATAGTGATATTATAGTAATGTTTGAACTTTCTTTTACATTATGACTTATAAGTTACGACCATACATGCATATAGTGATTGTCGATAGGTGAGTACCAATTTGACAGTTTCAGTTTTCATTAAAAAAAAAAGTGCATAGTAACTATTTCGCATGCGCGCTATAAAAAAGTTAACATTTAGAACTTTCCCCAAGAATAATATGTTAACAGTTCCTTAGTTTTCCTCAAATTTGATTGCGAAATTCAAAGTTCTATAATATAACAAAGGGGTAGCACTGAGAACAAATGCCCCTCCCCACCGTTTACCAAAAACTATTTATATTTGTGTTTATTTATTGTATATATTGTTTATATATTATACATAAATGTATGAGACTTTATTTTTTGTGCATATTACATATTAAATTATTACGTAACATAATAATTTACACAACTGACAATAGCTACCTAACCGTATGAGTTTTTTTTTTTATAATTGTGTAATGGTTATGTTTCATTGATAATTAAAAATGCAGTATAGTAGGAATTTGACTAATTAAAGTGCCCCCTCTGTAAACAGATCCTGGGTCCCTGAATCCACCCTTGTAAGAAACAACTGTATTATTAGATATTACCTAATATTGGAATTCAAAAGTACCTATATAGATACTTTATCATTAGTGTTAATGACGAAACAAAATGGCGCAGAAAAAAGTATTAAAACGACTTGTAGTTTATAGATATCACTGATAATATTGTTATTTACATGTGATTCTATTTTGAGTGTCTCGTTGTAAAAAAAAAAAAAAAACGAGAGAAAAAATCTATATGAAAAACTTATGCTTAAATACCACTTATGTGCGTACCTTATTATATATTATGTTCATAAAAAAAAAAAAATAATAATAACATAATATGTATAAAACAAATTTAAAACATAACAACACTGTCAACACTTACTTGGTTTTGTCAATTTCCCCGAACGTTTGATGGCGTTACTATTGCTGATGATCTGTTCGGCAATTGAGTTCCCTGCGTCGTCTATTTCTAAGACCTCTGTGTCGTCTGAAATACACGATAAAATTGTAAATGTATAGCGAAAATCCCGTGAAATAAATGTCACAATTGAATGACACACGTTATATAGGCCATAATGTTATATTCAATGATATTGTGTAATTAAATACAATTTAATTGTATTGTATTTATTATTATTATTATTGATTACCTTTGACGGAACTGGTGGTACTTCCGACGGTCTGCAAAGCGTACATGTTGCAGAGCAATGATTCCGGTAAAATGTTTTTCAAATTGTGTTTAAATCGAAAATTCGATTTTGTGATTTATGGATATACCTACTACTATATTATACCGTAGCGCATAACCTAAAAGTGACTGATTTACGACTGAACTACAAGCAGATATCGAGGTGTTATGGCATAATCTCGAGAGCGACTCTAAGGCCTAGCTGTGCCGTATTACATTATATTGTGTTCATTAAAGTAGGTTTACCTATCTAGTATCTATCTATATATACGGTACAATCGTACGTAATACATTTATTATAATGTACATGACGGCTATCTCTTGGCGTTCATATTTAACAATCATCTCTCGTTGTCGTTTTGTAGTTTATATTGTCAGATTTAACCTTATATTTGCACCTGGAGAAATATATATAATGGTCGTATGCACATAAAACGGTGGTTTTATAACCGTATATATTATGAACAGTTAACCCTTCTATAGGTTGCAGTGGCGCCGAACTTTGAAAACAGTGGTCAGGTGAAATCAAAATATTCAACGATCACAATTAATATATCCGGTCTTTAGTAATAAATAAATAAATAAATAATAAATCTATTATGTATCAATTTGGAACAGTTTTAATTTGTTACAATTATTATGATAATCATAACTTCAGTTTTCGGTATAATTCTATTATACCATTATAACATGTATACATAAAACTTATAATTAAAAATTAATAAATAATATATTACCGTTTAGTGTATAGGTAAATAATTTTTTTTTTTTAAACAGAAAAAAAACAAAATTATTTTTAATACTAATACTCGATAAAATTTTAAAAAATTAAAAAAGATTTTTTTCTTTTTAATAATTTTTTTTTAAAATTAATTAATTTTTTAAGAAGAACCTGGAAACTAAGGTAATTAACCCTTGAAGTTATTTTTATGTTACATCATTTTTAATTTTGTATGCTAAATAAGCACTATTTTTCCATAAATTATAAATGTATATTTTTGATTCTCTGATTATCAGGAATAACCATTTTAATAATTTTGTTTATTTATTATTATTTTATTATTTAAAAAATATTGTTACATTATAAACCGAAAATTGTAGTTAAATGATAAAAAAAATATTATAATTAATTGCATTTACGTAGGTACCTGCCATATTTTTTAAATTTGTGCAATTTATATATTTTCAATGCGTTTTAGGGGGCGTTATTGTTGCACAGCATTGTAGATAATTTTACGCTGCATGGATTTAATGTGTGGCGTGTGCTTGGCCTAACACAACGGTGACATAAACACGGCGGACACATACAATAAAAGGTAGTGAGGCCATGGTCTACGATGATCATAGGACTTGGAGCCATTAACAGGTTATAATAGTTGTATACATAACTATGTAATATAATTGTATTAAATATACGAGTACCTATAAGATCATAATAATAAGTGCAAATGAGTGGGATGCAAGAATGGACTTAAAAGTATTAGGCCCACTGTTCTAGAAAATAATCGGCCAAAAAAGCTTAAGGAGATTGAAAGCGACAAGTTTCTGTCTTTGTTTTACACACATGAGATATAGGGATTTAGACGTGTTTTATTTCCAACGTACCGATTAATCTAGTGGAGCGATAATAATCCTAAAAGCAGATTTAAATTTGTCGTGAAGTCTACTAAAGATCGACTTTCCCACTTTTTTGATTTTTGATTTCAGTTTCTCAAAAAATTTAACTATTTTATTTTTTCAATTACTATTTTATTAGTATGGTTTTTTTTTAAAATTCAAGGAGGTACATTTAAAAAGTGGTAAAGTCGATGTCAAGTAGACTTCATGATAAATCCAAATCTGTTTCCAAAATTCTTATCGTTCCACTAGATCAATCGGTACGGTGGAATTAGAACATGTCTAAATCCTTTTATCTCACGTGTGTAAGACAAAGACAGAAACTCGTCGCTTCCAATCCCCTTAAATCCAATGTTTTTTTTCAATCAATTTAATTCAGAATTTTGCTAGAAAAATCTTAATTTGAAACAATTTCAGGGTTCGAACCCTTAGAATATCTTCCCCAATTACAGTCATAGCCCTTAGGTTTAGTTAGGTAAATTTTGGGATATTAATACTAAAACGTTTTCATTTATCATCAAAAATGTCTATAGTTAACCAGTTCTTGAATTGTTTTACAAAAATTGTTTTAAAATAAAAATAAAACAATTATATTTGTTGAGTAGTGCGACTAGGTATCATCTTGTCATCCTATACCATGCGTATGATTATCGTTGGCATTTATACTCGATGTATTATGAGATAATAATTTTGTTCTATATGTTTTCAAATGCTAAGAAATAAAATAAACATGGTATATAAATGCGATATCATATTGGCCCATCAAGGCATCGCCCCACTAAGCTATAGATCAGTAATAGAGTAGCACAGTGGACCTTTTCAACTCTGATGAAATGAGCATACATTTGGGGGTTAAGATTATCTCGAGATCGTATACATATGTATACATACTGGGTTATTGATTTAACGTGAAACACTAAGAGTAAGAGTTTCGTTTTATAAACGAAATAAATATTATTTCTACTATCTCATAACCATATTGTAACAGTATCCGGTATAACTTACCCGATTATATTAACCATTATGAATTTACGACGCCAACACTTCATAATTCATGTGACAAATTAGATAGGTATGATGACAAAAAGCTTTTTCCGTCAAATTGTGCGCATCACATTCTATTTCTAGTTCATCAAATATCATTTGGAAGTAACATTTAAACCTATGTTCATGACCAATGAGGAACGGTGAACTACATTCTTGGCTGAAAACGTGCGTGGTTATGCGTAAAAATTAAATCATAATTATACCTATCTAATTTGTCACGAGACATATATGAGAGAATTCTGATTATTTTTAACAATGACACCAATGTACCTTGGACAATTTAAACGACCGCATTTTGGTTGAAAACAAAATACCTACTGAATTATTGGAAAAACCACTTTAGATATTCGCTTTAAATTGTTATTATTTAGTAACGACTAGTCTGATAAGTGAATATGAAAATACCTTGGATATCAGTAGTTAGGTAGTCATAGCAGCTTGCCAGTTAAGAACTAAAATGAAAATAGTGAAATTGCTTACAAATTTAATAGTTGATAACGTTCTTAAAAATTATTTAAGTTGTGCATTAAATAATTAATAAGCCATACTAGCTATATAAATTAATATCGGCGTAAATTTAATTACGAGAAATAGTCTTCAATCCGAGTATAAGTTCAATTTATATAAGAATACAATTAATTTAAAAAGAATTCATACGACGAACTGAAATCAAAGTCCAAAAATAAATAATCACTTTACCTACGAATTATTTAGTGTCCTGGAAAACCATTTATAGAAATATTGAACAACATATACTAAATACTAACAGAACTACAATACAACATTATTATGGGGTACCTTTGTAGGTGCCAAACATTTGTATTTTACATTTACAATTATTAAATTAATGTTTTATTGTTTTGATATAGGTAAGTAGATAACATAACGCTTTACCTTTATGTAATATTTTTTACAGCTTAACTGCTAGGTATATAATATTTATTATGTTCTGTGCTATAATATACGATAAGTCAATAACGATTGTAAATTGTAATACTATATTGTTTACACGTGTGCCATATTATCATGTCGCACGTGTAACCAAAATGACCGGTAAAATTGCCATTGATGGAGATTATTAATATTATTATTTTTTAAATTAATTTAATCACATAACAATATCGTATACCCAATAGCTACGACAAAAAATATATTCTAAGTGGGTACTTACAGGCTCGACGGGAGTCGGGAGGCAACCGGGGCTGTAGCTCTAGGGCCCGAGCACAACCAAAGCAACCAGATCCTATATTTTTACGTTAGTATGAAAATGATTTGTAGTTTAATTTCATAATAGTTTACTTTAAAAATCAATGTATATATCATATAAATTAATTAAATGTTAATAATATATCTATAGTAATTACTTTGTACCATATTATATGTAGTTAATAACAATATTATTTTTGGTTCTAAATAGTTTATACCTCCACGCTAAACCAACTTTTTACTATCCACATTTTAAAGGACGACGCTGTTGGTGATAAGTTTAATATTTGATATTGGGAGGGATTAATTTGACCCTGGAGCCCGTATTTCTTTCAACATCCTTGGGTACCTAAGTACTTAGAAGCAAAGCGGAAAAGTCTATACATCCCAAAAATGTATCAGAAATTAACTGATACACTATTTATTTATGAAATTACCAACTATATCTATGTTAAAATAGTTTAACTTATAATATTAATGAAGTACAGCCGAGTTACAACTCAAAATTACTCGAACCATGATAACACGAAAAAATTGAAAATTTGAATTTATTTTTAGCCTTTAAAAATTCTTATAAAACTCAATATCTCTCGAATATTAAATAGTAATAAATAGTTATTATAGCTGTATAGTAGGGTGGTCCTTATTTTTTAAGTTTTAACATTTGATGCTCGAACTCCTAAAATTTGTTCTAATACATATACAAATAAGGCGTGTAAAATTTTGTTACGATTGGTTTATCTAACACGTGCCCCAAAAAATATTTGAACTTTGACGTAGTTTTTTCGTTTTTTATTTATCTCAAGATATATCCTACTTAGAATAAAAGTGTAAAGAACTTTTTTTATAAATATTTTATTTATAAAAAAAATGTTGCAATTAAAATTTGTTTACACATATTATTTTACAAGAAAATGAACTATGAACATAATGTGTGCTAGACCTACTATTATTGGTTTTTTTCAATACCTATCATCAGTGGTGTAGTCGTAAAAAAAAACTAGGTAAACGCCAGACGTGTCCCTGAATGGGGGGGGGGGGGGAGCGATCACCTGGATAAGCACTAAATAATAATTTAATAATAATTTGTTTTTATTAAAAATAACGTAATATTACGTATATATTTGTCTTAAACATTAAATATTTCTCGATACACCACGTTAAGTGTCTCATCTTCTGGGGCCAGCATGAATATATTATTTTTGTATGTGACACGTGGACAGAGCCACGTACAATTGACGTTTCACAATTGGGAAAAACATTGGATAGGTAGGTCTAAACCGGCAAAATTGTTAATAATGTTTGATTTTGTGCCTTATTGATAGCCATTGAAAAACATAATTTCATGGGAAATTGGAGCCATTTAAACTGGAATGGTAAAATGGTTGATATTGTTGGTATTCTAGGAACCAAGACTGTTTCTCCAGCTCCACAGCCAGTAAGAATCATACACTGAAGCAGACAGTTTTTTAATGATTTTAATTGCAATCTTGTGTCGTTGCATAATTTTGATGGATATAAGATCCGGATTAATATTATATAAGAATCTACCTTTAGAATTTATGCAGCGGAGTCCCCAGAGGAGTTAAAGAATTTAAAAATTTAGTTGGATAATGTACCGCGTCCTCTCTATCAATAACACTGTTTACTGAATAGTCATAATTTGTCGTTGCATTAAATCTTAACAGGACCATGCAATTTATTTTATTGACTTCCTCGTTACTTGATGACAATATTGCTCTTTCCTGAAACCAACCCAAGGTCTTAGTAGAAATGTTAGATACTTCTGGGTAAACATAAAGTCTATATAGTCTCGATCAGCAGAAGTTTCACGTATAAAGCGTACTTTTGTAGCACTTGCCGTGTTGCATCTTACATAAAAGATCTTTATTTAGGCATGAATAAAAAAAATATTTTAAAGACAGTTTTTCGGTTTATTGTCTAATATAGTACATACATCTTTATAATTATTTTTTTTAATATTAATTACATAAATACCATAGATACGTTTTGACCAACCTCTTAATTTTTTTTTCATTCCATCTATGTTACTAAGGTAATCCAAATAAATAAATAATAATAATACCAAAAAACTATTAAAAGCTATAAACCTTCCACTTGAATCGACCAATCCATCAGTGAAAACCGTACTAAAATCCGTTCAGTATTTTTTAAGATATGCGCGTACATACAAAAAAGGGCTTCTATTTTAAAATGTCAATATAGCACATTGTATGTAAAGACTACAATAGAGTAAATAAAGAATACATCTGTCCATAGAATATATAAAGACATCGTTTATAATGTCAGTGCATTGGTATCAAGTTTAAATCTCAGATATTATTACATTTTCTTGCAGTTTTTCGACTTATTCCGTGGACATTTAAAAAATCTTATTTCATACAAACGTTGCCATGACAATTACAAATAGAACAAAAAAGCTGTTCTAGGATAATCTAAACGGGTGCAGCTTGCACTGTTGTTGGTGAGAAGTTGGGAAGGTAAGATATAAAAGAGAAATGAATTTGTATCTGTAAACAACGATAAACCTATGCTTACTAAAAACGTTTCCGAGCAGAGTTCAATTGATAGTGATGCTTTGTCAACAATATATATATGTCATATTATAGTAAATAATTAAATAATCATATATATTCTTTAATAATATTTGTTACAAATATTACTGTTTTTCCTACGTTTTCCAATGTTATTTCATTATTTTTCTTACATTAATTACATTTGCTAGGAAAACTCTAGGAAAAATCAAAAAATGACCTTTCTAATGTACCTTCCTAGTAAGATTTATTTTTAGAAAAAGTGCTATAATTGTAAATCGGAGCAAAATCACTGGTAGAAAAGTTGTCTCGCAATATTTTACTAATATATTTCTTACATTTTTCCATTTTTTCTTAAGTTTTTTTCGGTTTTTTACATTCGATGAGAAAACTCCTGGAAAAATCGAAAAATAATCATCTTAAAGTATCATCCCAGGAAAATTTTATTTTAGAAAAGGGTCTATATCGTATACTAATTTTTAGTTATTAGACCAATAATAGGTTAGGTTAGGTTAGGTTCCCCTTGTGGAACTCACCTTGTGGTGAGAGGACTTGCGTTCCTCCACAGTCCGGATAGCTATGCCAATGGTAGTCTACTACCAGCAGGGCCACCCATGTTGACAGGTTGAAGGACTGATGACAGACGAAGAAGTTCTAAGGGTAGGACGGGCTCTCAGCCTTGGCAGGCAGCCGTCCTAGGTGAAGGTAACACCGATCACTAATCCTCCTGCCATAAGGGCAAAAACGTAGAATTTGCCATTGTATTTAGAAATGTGTTAGGTCTGTATCCTTCATTGGAATGTATACCTTTCTCGGGTTTAGAAACGGGAATTATTCTCCCCTTTTTTAATTTTTTAGGATTGACTTTTGTGTGCCATATATTAAATATTATTATATATATATATATATATATATATATATTATTAATAAACAGGAGTTTTTCTAGAAAATGTGAGAAACCGGAGAAAACCGTGAAAATCGGTACAACATATATTATTAAAGAAAATATATACAAAGCCTGTTAACAAAGCATCACTATCAATTGAACTCCGTTCTGAATCGTATTTTTCGTTAGAAATGGTTTATCGTTGTTTAAAGGTATACATTAAATTATCTAAAATTCAGTGTCTGCACCAGTCCCCATTATCTTAGGACATCTTTTTTTAAATGTATTTTCTATTTCGTTGAGTGTTATGTTTGAGTTTAGGTTGAATTGTTTACTGCTATTTGAATTTATTATTTAATGTTATATTTTCGGATCAAGTTTTTATTTCGTTTATAATTTCTTGTTTATACATTTTATTGTTGAAACTTGTTTAAAAGTATATGCAAATTTTTTCGGTAACCTGTTATTTGTATTTCTTGATTTCTGTTACAATCTTTAATGAATTGATTTTTTTCCATTACTTGAATAAGATAGTTTATTTATTTTCAACTCTATAGTTTACCTTGCTCCCACCACTAAAAATTGGTAAAAAAACAAAATTGTAAGAATCATTTTAAATGTTTATAAATTAAAATGTTAAGTTGTATTATACATTTTTCTTTATATTGAATATTTTCATGATAAAATGGATGTATAAAATAAATGTTAAACGTCTTGTATAACTATTTAAGATATATGAAGTAAGGGTAAAAATTAAAAACGATTTTATAATAAAGCTCAAACATGATTTCACAATGATTAAAAATAAATAGGAATAAATTTAGATAAAATCTGAATGGTAATACGCAATATAAAGTTGACTGAAGAAGAGAAAATCCAATTAAATCCGAATGAATTTTTATTAAAAATTAATTAGGCACTTGAGTTATTACAATATTATATTACATAATAGTTGAAATTTCAATAAATATTTTAAATTTTTGAAAAAAAGAATGTGTATTTAAATATTATAATAACCTCTTGATCTGGTATTATCTTAAATACACTTTTTATTAAGTAACACAAAAGTAACAAAATTGATTTACTCAGTTACTATGGACTTAAGTATATTATTGATAAACGTACAATTGATACACAAATACAATTAATTATTTTCATACAACATACAATATCCATAATATTCAGTAAAATAAAGATACAAAAGTTAAATTTATTATACACAATTTGTTTTATTTATAATAATCAAAAGTCAGTCGTTAATAATATAATACAATTAGAGGCAAAAAAATAAGCACGCAAACAATAATTTTTAAGGCACTTTATATAAAATTTATATATATATATATATATGTTTGTTTAAATGTAAGTACTAATTTATCAAAGGCACAAATTCGATGTTGTGTTTATTGTAAAATAATTAAGATTTTTCAATTCAAATTGATCGGTATTATTAGTAATGGAAGACTAGACAAAATTAATTATCATATAAGTACATATTTTTTACTATTAAGCTCGATTTTCATTTTCAAATTTAGAGATCTGTTGATTAATTTATAAATAGAATAGAAAATAAATAATGTTTACAGAAAATATATTAAAATAAAATATTAACAAAATAGAAAAACCTATACAGACAAAGGAATTAACATATATTTAACAAAAATTAATATTAGGATGTTTCTAAGTAACATATTTAAGTTATAATTGTATTTTGCTTACAAATTATATGTTACTGGAAACTGAACATTGATAATGAATATTTGGATACAAAATACAAAGTTCTACTGTAATTTTGTTAATAATTGTTCGTTCCAAAAACACGAAAAAAAAGTGTTAATGTACTATCAAAATATACACATCTATGGCACGTGTTCTAATCTCTAACAAAAGCTCTAATATTGAGAGTAACTCTTTTTGTGTTTAAGATTTTGTTAGTGAAAACTTTTGGTTTTGAACACTTCTGGAGATTAAGATCTGCCCATATACATAGGATTTTTGAATGTTGACGTAGCTTGTCTGTAGATTGGATTTTCTGCCTGAATAAGAGACAAATAAATATATTTGATAATTCTTATTAATTAAAATTTTGAATAAGAACTTTATATTGAAAAAAAAGAAACCCAAAAATATAAAAATTAATAATAAACCATAGATAAGTTTTTTTCATTTTTTCTTTGTAAAATAGCAAGAAAATATTGACTTATATTATGTAACAAATATTTATTAAATTTAAATAAAAAATTGTTTAAAAATTAGTAAATTTTGAATATTCCTAAAAATCTTAAATAAGATAATTTTAATGTAAGAGAAAATAAAATAAATGTATTCAGTGTTATTTACTATGAGAAAATGATTGAACAAGACTTACTGTATCCCATTTAGCGATCATACGTTCCTTTTCAAATTTCGCAAACTCTCGTCTATCATTAATTGTTGTTAGAAGTTTCCATAATAACAAAAGGGCCATTCCAATTAATACTATAGCACCGATAACACCCAATATAATACCTTAAATATAAAGAGGATACATTACTTACTATTTATATATAATATAATTTAAAAATCAATTAGCTATAATTTAAAATGTAATATGCACCCATAAAGTGGACTTGAGGAGGGCATTCACGTTCTTCTTGTGCTCGAATTATTATTTTTCCACTTTGGTCATAAGTGTAAACATATGCAAAACGACAATCATCTGAATCATAGTCTGAACACAAATTTTCATCTTTATCTTCATTAGCTAGAAAAAAAAAAAATACAATTAAAATAAATTTGACAATAAATAAGGGAACATATATATTTGATAGAATACCTTCAGCTACTTTTACAATGATAGGTTTGATTGTACAATTTTTTTCGCATTCTTCTGGGGAATAAGGACCAGTTTTGTATACAAGACATTGAACACAATTTTTAAAATCTTGACATCTTCCTGGACAAGTCTAAAATATATCAATATAATAATTAATAAGTAAAATTCTTCTAATTTAAAATTTAATAATTCACAAGAATTATTATTTGATAGTTGTATTGTAGTTCATAATTTTTACTTACTGGACATTTTTGACAATATTTTCCAGAATATCTGATGCCTACTTCTTCATGACATTTACATTGACCGCATTCACAAGTACCACGACCCGAACAAATCTCTTTACTACCATCCATTATACATGTTTCATTTGTAGCATGACAATCACATGAATCACCTTCCCATCCAGGGTTACATTTGCAATTACCACAATCACAAATACCATGGCCACCACATAAAGCACCACCAGATCGGTCACAGGAAAAATTATCACATTCACAGTAAGTACCATAAACTTTCTGAAAATATATTATGTATTGTCAATAATTTTAGCAATAAAATTAATTTAATAAAAAAAAAAAATGGAAAACAATTTTACTTCTTCTGGATTTGATCTAGTTTGACAGTCACATTCACCACAGTTACAATCTCCACGACCCGAACAATTTATTTCCGAGTCAATGTTCTTACGACATCCAGACACTATATCTGAATCATTACCATGGCGATTATTATTAGCATCACATTCACATGTACGGCCAAAATGCATGGAGTCACATTCACAAACACCACATTTCATTATACCAGCACCGTGACAAAATTTTGGTCCTTTTAGATAACCCTGAATTATAATATTAAATAAAACAATTAATCTATAATAGATAATATTAAGATTTATTTAATATTTTACTAACAGAAGATCCAACATTCTCACACGGGCAATCACACTGCATTTGGACAGTTACAGTTAATGATTCATTAATACCAACAGGGTATATTTGAAACGTTTGATTCCAATCTTTTTTATTTGGTGGACATGATGTTACTTCAATTTCAGCTTGGAAACTCACTACTGTACCAACTTTTAGTCCATCACATTTATTAGTTTTGATTAAAACGTCATTTTTACTGAGACAGCTAGAATAATAAGTGACTTTTATAGCACTAGAAGCTGTATCTCTCATTTCAACAGAAGATGATATTTTCTGTAATATAATTACATAGAAGTTATTTAAAGAGTATAAGTACATGAATAAAAAGACGTTCTATACTCTATTTCAAATAAGTCTAAAAAAAATTGCGCAGGAAGTAGCACTGTCATTGGCTACAATTATCGGCACTTGTCGTTATTCGTTGTGATTGATCAGTGGATAGAGCTCACCGCCGTTTATAATAAAAATGGTTTGAGCATAATGTATATAATATATTTGGGAGTAGAACGTTATACACAGCTTGTATGTAAGTGGCATGTTGTGAAAATTTGATCAAGTTGTATACACCTGGATCGTCACAGTGCTCTCTGCTGGCAGATCACGTGACATACTTGCGTGAAATGGGATGTAGTTTTTTCGTACATTTTGCCAGACTTATTTGAAATAAAGTATAAGATATTGGGGATGGGTGCAGCCACTATTATAGATAATTTAATGTACACCTGTAAGCAACAATAAACTATTGCTTACAAAAAAAACGATTCTGAGTACAGTTCAACTGGTAGTGATGCCTTGTCAACAATATATATGTCATATTGTAGTAAAATAATTAAATAGGTATTAAATATTTTCTTTAATATTTGATTAATATTGTACCGATTTTTCTGTTGTTTCCACATTTGCTGGGAAAACTCTTGGGAAACTCGAAACATGACTTCCCTAAAGTACCTTCCTAGTCAGATTTCCTTTCAGAAAAAGGGATATTATTGTAAATCTGGTAGAATAGTTTGCACAACAAATTGAGTAGTATTTGTAGACTAAAATAATCCGAGCGAGAAATAGCTGGGTCTTTAGGTACACCTAAAATGCATCTTTTTTTCTTGTTTAGGTAAATGAGAAAAATTAAGGGCAAACATTTTTTTAAAAAATACATAGGGTTTGAACTCGTGAATCCCAGAATGAAACTAGGTATGTAAAACCATTTGGCTAAGACAAACATACTATAGTATTGACAATAGTTATTTAACATAACATATAATATTTGCATATCAAACTTCAAAAAGTTATAATTTCGAAACTAAATCAGTTCACTCAATTCTAATTTCACCACTGTTCTTAAATCGACAATATAAATAAGTTAGAAAAAAAATGAAAAATTTGATTTGTTTCACATTATTTTTAACTCAAACGATTTTCATCAAAATTTGATATTAAAATGCCTTTATAAAAAAAAATACTACATCAAACACAATTTTTTTTTTGACCACAAAGTACAACTTTTAATGAACCTCCTGTTAAATTTTCAAGCATTTCTATTAAGTTTAAACATTTTACCATATAGTATCTATCGAATAAAAATGACGCACAAAACTCATAAAATTAAAATATTTATAAATAGCCTAAAATTGGCTTAAATGATTTAAAAATTTTACCATATCTAGAAAAAGTAAATGTAAGTTTTCTATCTAAATTTCAAGTCTGTGAAAATATTTTTAACTAAATTACATTAAATAACAAAATCATTATTTTCGAAAATTTTCCATTTTTCTTAAGTTTTATCCTAGTTTTCCCAGATATGAAAACTGCATGGAAAATCAAAAAAATTACCTCCCAAGAGTACCATCTGGACAAAATTCCCTTTTAGAAATGGTGTCATGCATATATATCTGAGCAAGATTTATGTTGGAATTTGTGTACACAATATATATAAAAAAATATAAACATCTTAGTAAAACCAATACTTTCTTTGCTACACTCAGAATTTAAAATAAATAAGATAAGTATGCAAATTTCCTTACACTATATTGATCTTTCACTAAGTCAACTACATTTGCAGAACTTTCAGATAGAGTACCAGCTGATGCTCCTTCAATATGTTGTCCTAACCGTTCATAAACTCTAATTTGTTCAGCTGTTACAGCAAAGATCATATTGATTGAATTCTGTCTTACTTTTAAATTGATCTAAAAAAAAAAAAAAAATTGAGTGTACATTGTACATATTATTAAAAATAGTTTTAGTTTAATGAAAATGGACATTTACCTGAGATATTGATGGATAATCTTGAACAGTTGAATATGTATACATACCTTTGTCATCAAGATGACATTGACCATCATTAGGTTTTACAATACCACCAAGCTAAAAATAAAATATTAATATATAAATAATAAATGTGTATATAAATGTTATTTATAATGATAACTTGATTTAGTAATAATAATCAAATCAGCATACTTTTCCATCACCAGCATAATGGAATCCAGCATCTGTTGAAAAAACTAACAATCGTCGGGCACGTTCCCTCCAACCAATATTATTACAAACAATAGCTTGCATAATAGCATCAAAACCACCTTCTGGTGCGTCTAAGTTACCTGAAACTTTTGCTCTTTCGACTTCACCCTAAATATAATTGTATATTTTTAACTAATACAATTATCATAAAAAATTAAAACATGCAATTATTTACAAGATTAGTATATTAACACACAAATATATCAAGTTAATCATGCAACAGAAACAAATAAATAAGCTGTAAGTCAGTCAAACTCTAAAGTAAAATATTTTAAGAAATTTTGTTTGTTAGATGTGATTAAATAAAATGTTAAACTTATAACAGTAAAAATATTTAAAGGAAATATAAAATCAAATTTAAAAGAAAATCCACCATTATTAAAAATTAGTAATTAAAATAAATATTAATTATTCAATTAATTAATTGTTAATAACAATGTAGTGCAGACTGATTCTTTAGGATGTTGAATTGTTTACATCGGACTTACGGCAAATTTATGAGTGTCAGTACTGAGAGACATGACGTTTTGAAATCCATATGGCGCTGAACAATTAGGACATGGCTTCAGCAAGCTGGATATTATACAAGCACACAAAAATTATTACAAAATAAGTTTTGTAATATTTACAAATACAACAATGAAAGAAATAAAATGTATTGTAACATGCATTAAATAATGTGACATAAATATTATAGACTATTGGTAATCACTAAATTGAACACATGGGGTGTATAATATTGAATACTGCAATTGATAATATTAATTATTATGTATCTGTTTATTTAATATTGAAAAGATAGCTATATATTTTTATTTACATTTATACATTTTATAAAGGTAATGTTGTATATAATATTTTGTGTGTGATGATGTCAACCCAAAATACATAATTGAAACATAGATTCAGAATAAACTAATGGGAGGGGGGAACCAATTTTCCCAATCCTAGAGAAAGTCCATGATATAATTATTATGGTAATTTATATTAATATTATAATAAAATACACCATGTAATTTATGTACAATTACATTGTATTTATACTTTAAACACAGTTTAAACCTTTATTCAAACCACTATTACATAATTAATATTAAAACTAAAAAAATAAATAAATTGAATATAGGAGTTTAATAGTAATCATTAAGTCACACACGTTTTTTGTGTTTGACTTACAAATACAAATACAGTGGAACCTCGATAACTCGAACCTCTATAAGTCGAATTTTCGATAACTCAAATTTTTTTTTCGCCCCTAACCGATTCGAGCTATCGAGGTTCCACTGTATATATATACATATGTTGGTACAGAAGAACCTCGATTAACCAAACTACAATTAGCATATCCGAGTGTTGAAACTTGTTGAAGCACTCATACACTCGCTGTCGGCCACAGATTTTACAATTGTCAAAATTTATTATTAGTACATACTTATATACATAAAAATCATACATATACGTATGTAAGTGTGTAAATCTTCAGTAGATACTCGAGACATGATATATTTATCTAAACCTATCAAACGTCAATGCGCATTGAAGCGTTGATAATATCATAAACCTATTATTATATTCCTATGTACTTTGTGATTATATACTTCTGAATGTAAAAGACAATAGCATATAAATTACAACTGTATGTTTAAAAAAACAAATTTGAATATTACAACTTTTTAATAATTTATTAGAAATATTAAAAGTAAGTATGCTATTATTTTTGTTGTAGTTTTAGAAAATTTCCAGATAGAGTACTTCTCTAAATATGGTTCTGTATCAAGATCATAGAAAACTTATTAACAGTCAAAACTTTTATCTTATGAACACTATAACTACATTTTTATCATACATTATATTAATGTAGAGAAGAAGGGCCAAATTTATTTTTGCTGTTTTCACTATTCCCCTTACCAATTGATAACATTTGAAAAATATTCTTTTTTTACACATGTTTGTAAGCTATAATTAGTAATATATACACAATACACCTAAAACATTCAAATTTATTTATGCAATATCCAACTATTAATAGATAAAACATGTTTTCCCTGTATTTATATTGCATTATTAACTTACAGAGAAGGAATCAGTATCTGAGTTCAATGGCATCTTATTATAAAAACCATATGGTTTACAACAGTTTTCACATGGAGAGTTTACACTAATCCAAGAAAATCATGCGAAAATAAATTATAATCCAAACCATACATAAATACTAGTTCAATATTAGAAACAAATCATTATCGTTTGACTTTAAACTTACTTTTTTGGCATTGTATTTACATATGGCATAACAACTTTGTCAACAAAACTTCCAAATCCAAGACGGAAATTTGAAGTAATATTCTGCATACTTTCAGCTAGTAAATTTCCAAGAGCAGACAATTTCTGTTTGTCATCCTCCATCGAATTAGACAAGTCCATTAAATAATATAAATCAACTGGGTAATCTTCTGCTTGTGCATAATTTACAGCTATTCTATAGGCTTCATCTTAAAATTAAATTAAAACAATTTAGTTAAACATAAATATAAATTATACACAAGAATTACAATTAATGGTAAATAACTAACTTATTCGAAGATTAAGAGCTACTTTTTGTGGATAGATTTGAACAGCATCATTTGCTGCTCCTCCTGAACCACCAGTAGACCAACTAGAAGAAGAAGAAGAAGAAGAAGAAGAAGAAGAAGAACTACTACTTGACGAGCTACTACTCGAACTTTTTGAAATGACTTTTCTAGAGGCTTTTTGAAGATTTTTTGCTTCTAAAATGCTATATGCAGTATTAGGATTAGTAACACTATCACATTTTGATAAAATGTTAGTGTTAATGTTGGGTTGAAAACATCGGTTTCCATCAAATTCCTAAAAAATAAAAGACAAATTACAATATTCTATTGAGCAATGAAATTAAATGAAAGATTTCAAACATTTGTATTTATAACATGAGTCAATGAATACATTCATTAATTAAATTGTTAGAGTATAAAAAAAAAAAAAATGATTAATGGTTTTATATTTTTACTGTACCAGTTGCCCACACCAAGCGCATGTTGGAGTTTGTATACAATCATGACAAGTCTGTTTAAGAATACAGGGATTTTGTCTGATTGAATGTTGTTCTTCTGCATAACAAAAGTCAAGTGTCAACAAGACTATTGTCAGCAACATCATTTTTAATCGTTCATTCATTTTGACCCAATTCCCTGTAAAATAATTTATAATTACTCAAACAAAATCATACATTTTTGAATACCTATTTTACTATCAAAATTTGACTAGGGTGATATTTACACATTAAACATTGATCAGATCATAAATTACACGCATCATTAGAATAGTTCTAAATATTATATTTTAATGAGACTTTAAAAATAGATTTATCGTTTGCGTATTGCATATTGCATATTTAAATAATATTAATTAGTGAAGTTTTTAAATAAGACGAGATTTATAAGCGCTTTAAGGTAAAATTTTAACGAATATCATTTAAACAACGGCATTTCAAAATATGTGTAACATAACTTTGGTCAGATTCGTATTTCGTTATCAATGGTTTATCATTGCATAACATACTGATATAAATTAAGAATGTATATTTTTTCAGGAAAAACTTTTTGGGTAACGAAAATTATGTGATTTTATAATACAATATAACTTAAAATATTGTCAGATAATACTTTGTTTTTATTTTCTTTTAAAATTAAAAATACCTTCGACAACAAATATTGGTGCATTGATTTTATTTTTGAGAATTATTGAGTTCTATTTTAATAATAATTCAAATTTTACCAAATACATCTTTGATTGTGATACACCGTGTTTTTTAAAGGTGTGCATAGTAAATATAGTAGAAACAGTTTATAAAAAGCCTTTTCTCATTGAATAACATTGTATTCAAGGGATCAGTTAAAATAAAATTTAAAAACTTCATTATGTATGCATATATATATTTATATGAAGATGATATTGTATTACTTAATCATTACTTCAATACATACAAAAAATAATAAAATAAAACAAAGCTATATTATAAAATTGAAATTAAATTTACATTGTATTCAAAAAATATTTAATTTTAGTTTATACTTTGTTTATATAAAAATTATTCATAATTTTAGATATTAAATGGAGCGAAGAAGTTTATAGTAGAAGATGATTATATTATTATTATCATATTTTTTTTTTTTTTATGTATGATCAACTTTTCTACCAGAATACATGCTCGGATTTCTACGTGTAGCACCTTTTCTGAAAGGATTTTTTTTTACATTTTTCGATTTTCTCAGTAATTTTTTCATCAAATTTGAAAAACCTCAAAAAAAAAAAAATACGAAATAACGAAATATATTACTAAAATATTACAATTTTTTTTATTCTTGTGCACAACTTTTAACGATAGCAATGTTTCTAAAAGTAAATTTCACTAACAAGGTATTTTAGAGAGCTAATTTTTCGATTTTCTCAAGAATTTTCCCAGCAAATGTGAAAAACCGGAAAAAACGTAGGAAAACAGGTAAAATCGGTTTAACATTAAACAAATATTATTAAAGAAAATATATAAAGTTTATTTCATTATTTTACTATAAAATGACATATATATTGTTAACAAAGCATCACTATTAACTGAACTCAGCTCAGAATCGTTTTTTCGTAATCGATGGTTTATTGTTGCTTACAGGTATACATTAAATCATCTATAAAAATAGTTGCACAGTCCTCATTATACTAGAGCGTCTTTTTTCAAGTTTTTTTTAAACGAAAAATAACTTTTGCTTTTTCTTTAACTGAGAATTGCTTTTGTTAGCTCATTTTGCTATAGTTATTGATTAAACACATCAATTATACACAAAAGAAAATTAATCTATGGCGATTACAAACGAGTACACTAACGATAAAATTACATGACAACAATACATTCAGTATTATCAGTTGTTATATTACCTTCGATAGTTTGAAGTTTAGTACAGTAATTATAGACAGGGCGGACGGGTGGGCCGATTACTATATAGACAAATATGAGCCATTAACAAATACTGCTATTGTATAATGCGTATAAAAACGAATATTCAAAGTTAATATAAAAATATAATACTGTATTTTATAGTTCAATCTAATTTAAATTTAATAAATTATTATACTATTTCCAGTTCACCTTATTCTCAAGTAGCGTCGCCCGGCGACGTTATCGACTATCATCACTAGTATTTACCTTGTAATTTGTATATTATTGTTAAGTTTGACTCACAACAGCTGTTACCAACTAATAAACTTAAATAAAAGTACCTACACGTTTATCGCACCCATTTATTGAATACATGCGTTACAGTGACATTTTTAGATTCTGAGTGGAGCGAGGAATGTATTGGTTTTACAATGTTTATTTTTTTTTCTGTGGACAATTTTTCTACTAGCAATTTTACTCAGATTTACAAAAATAGATCTTTTTCTGAAAGAAAATCTGATTGGAGTGGTACTTTAAGAAGATAATTTTTTGATATTCTCAGGAAAAATGGGAAAATCAGTACAATTAATAATGCCTACGTAATTATTTTACTAAAATATGACATATATATTTTTGACAAAGCATCACTACGACTGAACTCCGCTCAGAATGGTTTTTAGTAAGCAAAGGTTTATCATTGCTTACAGATACAAATTAATTTCCCCTTTAATATCCTACCTTTCCAACTTCTCACCAACAACAGTGGATACACCAGTTCCCATTATCCTAGTACAGCTTTTTAATTTTGCAAATATTTCAAATTAATATAGTTTAGACCTTAAAACAACAAATTTAGTTCAACAAAATATTTCTGTCATAAGTTTTAATATGGAATTTTGACGAAAATCATATTGCGTTTGTTCAAACATATATGCCCAAACTTCGCTTCAAATCTTTTTTTGTTAACAATAGTTTATGGATTGCTTACAGATATAAATTGAATGATTTTATGTATCCTACCTTCCCAACTTCCCACCTACAATAATGGCACACCCTTCTCCAGTATCAATTCTTTATTTTATTTTTAATATTATAAAAAGGTCTTAAAGATGAATTTTAATAATCATAACAAATGTTGAAGAAAAATGAGTAATAACTTCTTATGCCCATAAATAGCTCAATAGTCAAAATATTTTTAAAATGCAAATATCTATGGTTATTAGCTATTGAGTTTTACCAAATTTTGTAAAAACTACTATTTTTCCTTAATTTGTTTTTTCCGGTGCTTTTACTACTGAGAATTTCTTATTTTTGATCCCCTAAAGTACTAACTAGATTTGATCTCTTACTAAAAAAATTAAATACTATAAGTCGGTTTTTTAAATATTATATTTTAATACAACTACCACCTCCATTTAAGGAGCTAGTACGGGCCTCTATATACACGTATAGTATAGCGGGGGGAGTGGATTCACAGTTCTCAAGTGTTTCCGCCAAGGACTAAGATATATCTTAGTCCGTGGTTTTCATTAATACACTGTACCGCTATCTAGTAGTAGTATACACAAATATTAAATTCTACATATTCCAGGACATTATGATCAGAGACTTTTACACGCTTCATGATATTTATTTCTTGTTAATTTACAGTCTTCGTTTTTAAATTTTGACCACTTTTGTATTCGGTATTTTACGTTTCAGAGTTTTTGACGTTCGTGATTATAATTGTCCGTATTATTTTGTATTCAGTGTGTTTTACGTCCCGTTCAAATTAAGGTCCGTGTTATTTAATTTCATTCGATTTTATTTCGGTGGTATTACGGTTTGAGATTGCTACGTTCCGGCGTTTCATTTTCCGGTCAATTACGGCGCTCCCACCTCTATCGGAGGTGTTTGCCTACGCCTACAGTAAATAAAGTTCTAAATCTAATAGGATTGGTAGTCGAATATGATACAATATATACATATACATAAAAGAAAAAAAAAGTTGTAATCGTACAGACCAAAGTATAAAATCGTTGTTTCGGTGTCGTATATATGCAATACATAATCGATTAAAATTATTTAAACGATTACTTAATCAAATACTTCTATCGCATCGTACGAGCGGAAGGGTTTCGGTAAATATTTACGGAAAATGCCGATTTGTTACAATTTTCCATATAAATATTTCCGAGATAATTTTTTATAGAAAACGAAACAAAACCATGCAAGTCAACAACGTGTTGAAACGTAATATAATACGATAATGTGATTATTTTAGGTACAAATGCCTATGCAGCAACAACGGACGATAGCCAAATATGGAAACGTCACACGTATGCACGCGGACCGTTCTAAAAACGCAGAAATTTCAATATTTATTCAATGCGTCACACGTCGTTTCCGATCGTTCAAGGGCAATCCGATCATAATAATTTCCACTCTATTTATTTTTACGATAGTAAACAAATAATTTTTGAAAACGTTTATTAAACGAATTATGTAAACGTCACGATGATAATATTATTTATTGGGTACTATAACATCGAAATGTTCAAACCACGGGGGGTGGGGGACTTTTAATAAGTGGTACTCGTGGATTATTCTGACATATTTCACCATTGACGGTAGTTTTACCCACACTAATCAATCATTTTATACCACGTTCTTAACCTCATTTCACTCATTGAAATTACTTATCTAGAACATAACTAAAAGACACGATTATTGGTTTCAACCCATCTCTTTTCATCACTTTTATTCATCGAAAACCGCCGCCCGTAGAGCCACTCAAATGCTCGTTTGATTAGGTTAATCCGGACGGCCGTACTGCGTCATCGTACCAAAATAACGCGTATGCAGTGTTTGTAAATTCGCTGTGTTTTGTCATGGCAAACGTTTTCGTATTACGCAATAAAATCGTTTTGATGTTTCCCGCGCGCGCGGCGTAATGAGTGTTTTGGTCACCGCAGTAATACGATAATGGTATGCTCGTGACGATTATTAGTAATAACTCGTCTTTTGGCCTACATGGCTCATTAACGACAGTGCACTGGTGGTACCCGAGTAACTTCTCGACAAAATCGAATGCACGCACGTCTGCCGCGACAGTCAAGGTTCGCCCCCTCCCCGTCCGCGAACGCCGTTTACGGCCATATGTCGCGTCCGGCGTTGTAAACACGGTCCGTCTGGACGACGTGCGCGGCGTTCGTGTCGGCAAAGGCCGTCGTCATGCGGCGGGTCGCGTCCAAGCCGTTCACGGGTCTTTGGCGTCCCGTCTACGGCGCCCAACGGTCAAAAAATGTAAACATGTGTCGTTAATAATAACAATCGCGGGGCGGCGGCCGCGGCAGCAGCTGTGTAAAAGGTGCGCGCGGCGCGAGTACGACGGCGGCCGGGGCAACGGGACGACGGTGGGTGTACAACGGATTTTTTTTTAACGTTGTTTATAGCGTGTTACAAAACCGCACGTGGGTGCCCGGTGGAAACGCTGGAAACCAGTCATATTCCCACACGATTGCGTGCCGCAGGTTTTTTTATGGTCGGTCGGCCCGGCAAGTTTCAACTTTTGCCTACGATCGTTCGCAGCCGAAAAGACGACACGGTTATTTGACCGGGGGAGGGGGGGAAATACCATCGCGTATTGTAAGCAAAAATCGGGCCACGTCGACGATTTTGTGTCATATTTTATGTAGCCATAATAATAATTGCGCGAACATAATATTGTGGGACAATACTACATTATAGGTAGTATACGCGCGATTTCCGGTCACGCTGCGCGTCATCAATGAAATCATCGGATAAAAATACGCGACGGTTCGTCCCCACCGAAGATTTTAGCACACGACCGAGCGTCGTATCGTGAGTAGCGACAACGGTACGGTTATAATAAGAGTGAAAAACGAAAAAGGCGAGTACCTATACTTGTAGTCGGGGCCAGAGTAGTTTTAGATAAATTTTTTTTTTTTTTCCCCCAGTATTCATCTTTTAAAGGTCGCGGCAGCGACGAGGTGTAAACTATTTTCCACTTCCACCCGTCGCGTAGTCATCATCAATGACGACGGACGACGACGTGAAGAATAAGATGAAAAATAAAATAAAATACCAGTTGAACGACTATAGCCTTATAAGGCTCTGACGGACAGTTATCCGGGCGTGTGTGCGTGTGTGTGTGAGCGCGTGCGTGCGTGTGTGCGTGCGTGTGGTATACGGTTATACGATGCATTATATTTTTATTACGACGAGTAGACGTATAAAACACTCGAAACCAAAGAACCACCACAAGGTGACTTGTTTACAAATTGGGGAGAAGTTTACGACTTAATGTCCGTATAGACTCGAATTTCGCGTATGTAACAGCGTGGCGCCATCGCACGGCGCGGCGGCCATAAATATTATTATATCACGGTGAGGAGGCCGTGTTGGTTTCCCTCTTTTCGATCGAAGGTCGTTTTTTTTTATTTTAGGCACACACGCGATTTTTTTCATTGTAAAAAACGGAGGCTGCTATTGCCGTCGACGCGGGTAATTAGGCTAATGGGTTGCCTGGAGTTATATTTCCGCGCACATTTTGACAGTCCGCCAGAATATCGCCCAGCCGAAGAGCGTCCTATTTATTCTTATTATTGTATTATTATTAATAATAATAATAATAATAACAACAATATATGGTGTACATACATACACGTATCCGACGTAAAGCTTCCCATACACTACGGTTTTCATAGTCACAGAAAAACACGTCGGTTATCATCGCCGAATGATTTTGATCATACGCTATATACGACAAAACACGTCAGTTTTCATCGTGCTGCATCGTCGGTTGTACACACTTCGTGTTGCAAAATCGAGTGATGCTTCAGTTTTTATTAAATTTATTAAGTTTATTAACAGCTGAGGTGTAGCAAATTTTTTTACGTATACCATGAATTCGACGCAATTGATAGCAGTGGCTGTGGCAAGTTCTGTTTGATCAAAGAAAAAGACTAGAAAACGCTCGGCATGGACTAGAGAGTGGTTGTTAAAAAGAAAAAAAATGTCTCATATAAATTTATTGAATGAGCTGAAACTACATCCTGGAGATTGGTTTAATTATTTAAGAATGGATGAGCATACATATTTTAATAAACGCGTCGGTTATTGTCGGAAAATCCACACATTACGATTTTAAACGACAAACGGTAAATCCGTCGCGTTTAAAATTAAGACTCGAGAGAAATAAAAACCGTCGGGTTTCATCGTAGTGTATGGGAAGCTTAACAATAATTAATATGGTGGCCGTCATACATTGGAATTGAATGCTGTTTTTGGAAAATACCAGGGGATACTGAAATACACAAATTTTAACTTTTTCGGTGCATAACGTGACATTACTCTCCGCTTTCAGCGGAACAATCCCACTTTTAATCCACGAGTCCCGCTGTCCCCAAGGAACGCAAAATATGTCCAGTTTTGGAAAAAAGGTGACTGAATATATATTCTAACGAAAAAGGGCACGTGATTATTGATCGCAGCACAAAAAATGTGGTTGTCGAAACATAAAATACAACAGCTAACATTTTACAAATTGTACAGTAGAGCCATTTTAATAATTTGTCAAACGCGGGTCGCTCAAAGGTCATTGCATTTTCAAGGATTAATCCCAAACGTTATACAAATATTTCGACCAATTATGTATACATAATGTCAAAAATCTGCGCAATTTAATTAATAATTTTAATTAAAATGTATACCAATACAATATACAAAATGATCAGAATTCTTGTTACAGTGTTCGATTCGACAGCTGAATACAATACCTACTCGCAGAGGGTCGTTACTCATTTAACAAATATAGAAAACCACCTGCCCAAGTAATTAACTCTATTAATAAATAAACATAATACGGGATAATATACATACAATTTTTAGAGTTCATTTTTGAATAATTGGTTTTATGACGTTCTAATGTATTTTACAATATTTTTATTGTTCTATGCGAAAAATAATAATTGCAGTGCTTTTCTTATTGAAATGTAAAAGCGGGCTGCTTTAAGGGAAAAAATTATGGTCTCGTTAGGCATGCACGGTACAAATGATTTTGAATAGGTTTTATTGACCCATGACTCGAATAGCTTTGTGTTTTCAAATAACTCTGACCAATACAATGAGTTGTTTTCTTGTAATTTTTGAAATAAAAAAATTCGTATTGATCAAATTTGCTTGAATAAGACTATTTGAATCTAGTGACAAAATTATGTTGCTACAGATAAAAAAAGTAATTTTTATTAACACCGAAAAAGTTGAAAAACAAAAACTTGTCATTAAAATGTATATCACTTTCCGAAAAAAAAAAAAAAATTCAAATCCAAGATCATTTTGCATACATATTTATTGTTACATAAAAAAGTAATCATACTGTACGTTTTTGCTTATTTGTCTACGAAATTTAATTATTTACTTATTTAAAACAAACAAGTATCGGAACATTTTCATTACCAACAAATATTAGTGTATTTAGTATTATTAACTATAATGACTAATGACTATTAGCGTAAAGGTTCCCACATACTGCAGCGGTACGCGAACCGATACTGATAAAATTGGTCTAATGATTTTATATGGCATCACACACACAGATACAATATTACAGGACTGGTGGACGGTACACGCGATAATATTCTTTCTGCGGTACAGTCAAAAGCCCATACACGTGGGATTAAATGGGCGCTTTCACACTTGCTGCGATATAGTTCCCAGTACTATGATACATTGATACCAACATGTTTGTACAACGTTAAGTATACAAATAATAGCTATTAATATCTATAGACATGAGTGGTTTAAAAAACTTGAATGGAGGAAGGACCCAAGCCACCGGAGAAAATTTATTCATAGTATACACAAAGTAAAATTCTGCTGTTTGTTAATTGGTACAATTGAAAGAGAACTGAGCACATGTCAAAAACCTTAATTAAATTTTTTAAAAATAACTATTCCACACATCAAATTTTATTACAAACAAATAAATACTAACTACTTTCCAATATTATAATTTTTTGATCTGCAGATCCTTAGAATTTAGATCCTAATAAAGAATGTCAATCTTTATAGCATAGTAACTGAGTACTTGCTTCAATTTTTTATTAAATATTTAACTACTTATTAACTCTATGTATTCAAAATATTATTAAAAAAAAATTGATTAAATTATCTAACAATCGACTAATTCAATTAACCCTATAGCCCTAATAATAGATAAGTCTTATTTTAAAAATAATTAATTAAAATAGAAATTTACACAGGCACTCTAATTTATTTTATTGAATCCAACTTATATTAATTGATAGAATATAGATATTAAGGTTCCTGAACTATAATTAAGCTAAAGCCCATCCTTATACAATTTATTGTGTAAATAATGTTATAGTATTTCTCTCAATACTTCAGTACTTACTTATGAAATAAAAAACAAAAATATAATACCTAAGGGCCTAGGGGATTGGATATTTTCTTTCTTTATTGAACACATAGATGTATAGCAATTAAGATAAATCTTCCTTCAATCAATGATTGATGTAGTGAAGTAAAAGAATCTGAAAACAGATGTGAAATCAGGCCACTTAATTACATTTTTTTATATGTTTTTCAAATTAAATTTTTGATAATGAACTAAAATTTAAATCTATTTTTAGACATTTTATGTCTTTATTATACTAATCAATCCAATGAAATCACAAAAATCATACAAGGCATTCACAAACTTGTTTTAAGCCATTAAAAAAAAAAAAAACTAGCAGAGTAAGAAATAAATACATTTTACGCTAAGACAAATTTTAGTATTTGGTTCAGATGAAAAATTACAATTACTAGTAAACACTTGGTTACTTGTTGGATACTTGGTTCTTAGATAGCAATTTTAAACTAGCTCTAAAACTATTTATACAGCAGTACATCATATGAATAGATAACAATAGTATATATATTTTAATGCAGAATAAAACAAAATCATCTTATGAAAGTATGTTTTTTATAATACTAAACATTTGCAAAGATAGAGATTAATACCCTGACCTAACATTTTTAAATATTGATTTTAAAATACCTGTGATCAAAACTGCAAACAAAAAAATATAGGTGAATATATAAATATCCGTAGTTGTTTTTATCACCTTACTCAAAGCATTTACAGAAAAATTTAAGAACTGGGTCTTGAAAATCTGTATCGTTCAAAGAGATTTCTTGTATGACCAACAGAATACTATTTCTTCCAATAGGAACGAAAGATTTACTTTTATATTTTGATCATCCATACATTAATATTAAACTTCGTTCAAGAAGACTTTGTAAACACTAGACAGTAAACACTTTAATATTAATACAGAATTGAAAATACTGATACAACATCAGGAACATACTACAAAAAGAAATTATTAAAAAATTCCATGGATATCGGTTAAAATTGAATAAATAATAAAATATTTCATAGAAAATAAAAAATGTATTAAAGGAAAATTGGTTTACATTTCTATGCTGAGTATATTAGACAAATTATAAAATATCAACATCTCATGTTTTAACATTTATTCTTAAAATCATAATTCATATATAAATATATTATATAATGGAGGTCTCCGTTTACTTAGTGTTCTATGGTAAAAAGGTATAATCACTGAAGCTACAGCTATATTTATTAGTTATTCTTTCATTTAAATCCTTAAGAAATTCCAAAAGATGATAAATTTTGTATTAATGCCAAAAAAAAATATTGTAATGAAACAGTTCAATAAGAAGAAATAACATTGTCTGGCAAGGAAGAGCAAAATGTCTGAATGCCATATTATATAAATATAAATTACCTACATACACATACCTAATATATAAATATATTTAATAGGTGCTTCCAAGGTAGTTTTTTATTGATACATAAATAAATGAAGAAACGGTTGAAGAAATTGTGATGGTTAGTGGGGCCTAGGCACGAGTAGTTCGTGCAGAGTAAAGTTTTAATATGTAACTATAGTAATATTAATTTTTTGTTAAGTATCTAATAATCAACTAATAATATAAACCTAGGTATATCTATAATATAGGTAGGAACTACCCAAACAAAGTATATTTAATAACCCTAATTAAATACAAATAAATAGTTATTGTGAAATACGGACTAAGATGTAATTTATCTATTCTCAGATTCTACTATACAAGGAATACCTATTTCTCAAAAATTTGAATAAAATATAATTGTGTTATTTATCATGGTGTTAACTATGTCGACAATAAGGCTAGGGGGGCGAATTTCGGAATTGTCATTCTGAACAAATACGATTTTCATATTTTTGGATTCCGGAATTATCCTTTCCGGGATTTATACGTTATGTGCATTTATTTCATTAAACAATAGGAAATAACAACAATTTATTTTCAACAAAAATTTTAAATAAAATGTATCGTGAGTTGGTACATAATTATTATTTAAAAACTAGGTAATTTATAACATTTGTATATACTACGTGTATTAGTAATTTTATTAGATTCGTCTAATCTAATACCTAATATAATACTTTTGTTTACATTTACATTGGTAAATATTATACCTATACAATACAAATGCGAAACAGCAACAAATTGTTGGTACGTGCAAAACGATGCATTATACAGCCATATATGTTTGTGGGTAAAATTACTGATATACTCTATAATGACTCATAAAGAAATCCCATTTTACCACAATACCTAGAGGTTTTATGTATTATGTATCATATAAAAAAAAAATCGATTTACCTAACAAATATTGAAATATTTTTTGCAAGCAATGAAAAAATGGTGGTAATTCGGCGGGGCTCGTTGAAATTATTATAACAGTGTCGGCGATAACGGTGTCAGCTTCGTCGAATACATATTACACCGCTTCCGACGGTACTTTTACGTGCCAGCTACAATTACGCGTACATATTTCCATTGGATTCAATGTGCACAAAACAAAAATACTCGAAAATAATAATTAAAAAAAAAAAAAAATTAAACGGTTCACGCACTTCACATTTTTCGTATCATTTCGAACGGATCACTGTCAAATGTCAATGGACATTAACGACAGAGCGGCGCACAAGCAAACGGACGGACGAACGGACAACGACGAGGAAAAATCGCATTGTACTTAACGCTTACTCTAAAAATGGGCAACCCAACCCACATCAACCGACCGACCGGTCGCTCGTCCCGCGTCCATGGGAAATGTCGTCAACTTCATATCGAACGGTGGGATGGTGGAAGTGGGTAGCCGAGGAAGTCAAAGAGGTTACAAACTACACCATCCAATTTCTATGTAATATAAATTAAAAAATTTATATTTTCATCTTATTGTTAAGGTAAAAATATTGATATGTCAATAATCCATTTCAAACTTCTTAGCCTGAGAACTTAATTTTGGATTTTATGTTAATTCACGTTACAAATGTTTGTACTTCACAGAAAGTTGTAGACAAAATATTAGGAACTGTTAGAACTTACCTTTTACTGTTCTACCACAATTGTATCACTTCAATCGTCCAATCCCTATCCCGCTCCAGTCATACATTTTTATCTGTCTATACAATTTATTATCTATAGTTTGCCTCACGGATATATAAGATAAGACCATTCATCATCTGAGAATTTTGTAGTATCACATATTTTATTATTAAAGAATTGAGTGATAAGCAATAGCATCGTTTTTCTTTTCTGTGACCACTGATGGCACTGCTTACAATAATGTTTGTTGTGTGCGTAGAGTGTTCTTGTTTGTTTGGTTCCTCCTCGAAAAGAAATCCAGCCGTTTGTTTTTTCAATGTCTTCTAAACCAAGATTTGAAAAGTATTCAAAAAAAATTACATTTTAGAGTAAGTTTAATCTTTATTTAATGCGCTAGTGTTAATTTACTTCTGATCAACATTCAACCAACTAATTCTGAACATTTTAATTTTAGCATCAACGAACAACTGCTGTTTGTCGTCATATTCGATATTTGGATCTGGGATGCAATTTTAATTGTGAGATGTACTAGTTATCTATTTGGTTAGTTTTTAATTTGTATATTATTTGTGCTTCGATATATATGCAAGTAACTAGATAGGTACTGAATGTTTAATTATTAGTGGATTCATTAGTTTATATAATCAATTGATAATTTCTTGTGTAATACTATGCAATTTTGTTTAGGAGTTTATCTATACAGTATTATTTTACTGTAGAAATTGTGAACAAATTACAGTGTTACTTTAATATGTGATCTACCTAGCATGTGGTTTACCAGTAGGTGAATTTTCAATTCAGTTTATATTTTTGACATTTCATGCTTAAAATTATTCAAAAATATGTATGTTTAGATGCCAACATATTTTTTCTATAAAATAATATCAATTTGAAGATTGTAGGAGTTCAAGTGTGATGACAACTTGTCTCCGCTTTATAGCTCTACTAACTCATACTTACAGATACAATGCTTTTTTTTATAGTAGTTGAAGCCAAGATAAGCTTTAGTAAGTTAAGTATAAACCTAAAACTCAATACACTAGTTTATATATTTTTATATTTAACGTAAGAGGTAGACCACATATAGAAGTAGCACTAAAATTACTTACAACTTTAGAATTATAAGAACTACAGTTGAATTTTGATTATCCAAACTAATTGGGGAAGCACCTAGAAATTGTTTAAAAAATTATTTTTTTTTTTAACACAATTATATAATACCATGTATTATATATATTATAAACAAAATATTTTCTATGAGAGTAAAATATTATTAATATTTTAATATTTTCAAGCAAGTCAATAAAATGGTTAAATCATTTTGTACTTAATATTCAGAATTATATTTTATAAATAATAAATTACTTATTTATATGAATCTTTTCTGTTATCTATTAACATTTCTTCTAATTTGTCTTAATTGATATTTGGGTATTTCAGATTTTGAGATTATTTATGTTATTCAATTTTTAGGGTTAAAATATATTATGTTTATGGCATTCTAAACTTTTTCATAACTTGTAAGTTTACAGGGAGTTGTCGTTTAAAAAAAAAATTGCGTTGAAACAATATTGAATTACTAAATAAATTTATATAATTTAAGTATTTTATATTTCAAAAAATGGTCTTCAGTGACATAATTTTTGTCCAAGTCTTGAGAGGAGATGGACAATTTTTGAAAATTGTGTAAAATGAGGGTGGGGGTATGGATTTATTAAGGCTAATAATTATTTTTAAAATGGAAGTGGTAGGGTTTAAAAATAAAAAATGTCATCATAAATATAATATTGTCTTACATTTCAATAAGACAATTAATAGATACTTGGTAGGTAGAATTATAGATATTAATAATCAACAAATTATGCAATTTATTATAAAAGTAGATCAACTCGTATTGGCTATTTCATTGAGTACCTACATACATATTGGTCTAACATTTATTAATTTGTTTTCAAATTGCCATAACTTCTATAAATTACTGACAAATTCTGGTGCACCATCATCTTCAAGCATTTAAAAGAAGAAAAAAAATGGTTTTTGAAGTTTTTCTGGAATAATAAAATAAAAAAGTTTCCCTCATTTGGTAAATTTTCAAATTCAGTGTCTGAAAACATATATTATGAAGGAAAAAGGGTGATCCATAAAGTAAAAATATTCCAAATTGTTCACAACCATAGTTTCAAATTTAAACTAAAAAATTTAACTAATGAATGTATTAAAACTATAGTTAGCCATATAAACTATTATTGTTTAATGACTTTTTTTAAAACTTGTTACTAGTATTTAAGTGATTAGTGTAATAAGTAATTTAAAAGACAAGACTGCAGCAGGATTAATCAATTATCTAGCAAACTCTAGAAATTATTTCTTCATTTATACCAGATCTTTTAGCTCATATTTATAAGTTTAGTTTATTGGTAGGTATTTTTGCAAACAAATTTAAATTATCAATAGCCCAGTATTTTTTTAAAAAAACTTATTGATTTAATGATCTTATTGATAGATAATTTAGCCAAAATATTAAAAAAAAAAAAAATAGTCAAATCAAAACTAATGAGTTTCTTGGAAAAGCACAATTAGTTTGGGTTTAGGCTGGTAAACTGTGGAAACTGTGACATAGTGGTTATTAATAAATCTTTATAATGTATGAAAATAAAATTTTTAAATTCCAAATTTTTTGCTACTGCAGAGACTGTTTACTGAATGTATTGAAAAATTAAGTTCTCAGTCATAAATGATTATGTATAAGTTTTGAATAAAACAGATATTAATTTCTAAACTGTTTGTTAATAAAAATAATATTGTTGACTTAGGAACACATTATTTTTTTCATATAGGATATTATATACTTATTACCAAATTATTATTTAAATTTAATTTTTTTTTTTTCTATAGATGTACCGTTAATTGAAAAAACGAAATGCTTGAATCTTCAAAAAAAAAATTCAAGTTAAGGCATATTAACAATACAGCCACTTATTTTAAACTGTATTGATTGTTATCAATACTAATACAATTAGAAAGGATTATTATTTGACCTAGCAGGTATAAAACAAAAGCTAATCACACATCAGTACATTACGCATTAAAATGAAATATTTTCTTGTAGTTCTTCAATGGATAGTTTAAAGCATGTAAAAGTCAAATCTCGTTGGACACAATCTTGTCAGATAGACATGTTGACTGAGGAGTCACAATCTTCATTAGAGATGTCTGATTCTATAACAGATGTTTCAACTAGTGATCTAAATGAAAATACTGATCATAGTTCTGATTTAAATTCTTTAGAAGTAATGTCCCACAAGACTTCGAACAATTCTAACAGAAGAAGTCTAAACATAAAGCAATCCTTACATACATCTGACAATAATAAAAAGAAAATTAAACATCAAGACCCTAAAGATATTATTGAATGGATTCCAATTAATTGGAATGATATTTCTATTTATCAAACAAAGGAAAAATCAAAGAGTGTTGGTGATATCAGTGAGAATATTAAAAATATGCCTCAAAAACCATTTCGCCGAGCTTCTTTATCCTGGAAGTTCAAATTTACACCTACAAATGAAAGATCTAATAAATATTATAATCTTTATAGACCACGCGATCTGAGTAAAAGCATATTCAAAATTAAATATTTCTCTACTAATTATGGGTTAGATGAAGAAAACAGTATTCTTGTAAATGATGAAAATGTTTCCCTAAAACCGTGTTATTCAGATATTAATAATTTGAATTGTAAGAATAATGAACATCCTAAAGTTGTACTAAATTTGAACAAACTTGAAATATCAAAAACGTATTTTAATAAACAAGAACAATCTGATGATTTGAATGATGAACATGTAAACCATTCTAATGTAGAAAAGACATATAAAGTTCCTAAGCTTTCTCCAATAGAATTGAAAAATTTAAGATATAGTCGTTCTATATATAGGTTCAAAGAAATTCGTTCTAAAAGTTTAGATTTCTTAAAGACGAAAACAAATATTTTAAAACGGTCCTTAAGTTGTGATGATATTAAGAAATTAGAAAACTCTGTGGTTGTTAATTTTACATGTATAAAACCACAACAGACATCTCCTAAAAAGGTACGGAGACAGTCCAAAAGAATTAAGCCTAAGAATACAAATATAGATATCTTTGATAATGCACAAATCCCAAAAGTTGACTATATTAAGATAGCTGAAGAAATGTATCAAGACCACAAAAATCAATTGCTTGAAGCAAGAAATAAAGATAAAGAATTTGATCAAAAATTGAAATCTACTAATTTTACTCTTGTTAATGAAAACGTATATCAACCTGATAAGTAAGTTATAACAAATTATTAATCAATTTGAAACACTAATAAATTTAATTTTTTTGTATAATTGCTTGAATAATACAAATCTAATTGATGCAAAATAGAATAAATTTTTATGTTAACATGATTTTAAAATATTTAATGATCCATTAAGTTGTCGTTAATATTTATAATATTCATTACATGCAATTTAAAAAAAATATTTTTTCAATATATTTTCCATTAATCATTGGATTTTATTTTGCAGAATTAATTTTCAATATAACTCACTAATGCATTCATAATATTTTAATTTGTAGGACAAGTTATATTCTTAAAATACTAAATATTTTATATATCAAAAATAGTTATACAAATTATAGGTAGTTAAGTTAACAAATATATTAAATTTGAACAACATAAAAAAAAAAAAAATTATAATTATAACTGTAGGATGAAGGTTTTTATTATGATAAATGTGTATTACTTATTGTTATGTTACTATTTTTTACTCTGTTAATAAAACTGTGTTTATTTAATTAAATAAAAAATAATACAATTGATTCAAAAAACTAAGTTTTTCCATGTAGTGGAAATCTTGCATTATACATATCTACTACCCATTATTAAATACATTTTTAATTGGCATTAACTATTTAAAATTAACTTGTTATCAAATATTTTCAAGTGTGGTTTATCTATTTAATTTCATGTAATCAGTTTATATTGGAATGTACAAAAATTCATATTAATCTTAATACACTTAGGTATTTTATTTTTTAATACAATGTACATATAAAAATATTTTGGCAAAATCTAGCAAAATTATACATAAATCATAATAGAATATTTTATCTGTATTATCAATTAAATAATTTTAAAAAATAGCATTTAGCAAATAGCATGTATAGATAAAATTCGTAGATATCAAATGCGTTTTAAAGCTACATTTTCTTTAAATTTATTTTTAGAGAAATAAAACTACCAAATTGCTATTTTAAATAAAATTTTCTTATTAAATTTGTCTACTAAATCAAAATTTACACGTTTAAAAATTATACATTATTATTTAAATTTTTCTTCTTTTCTTTCGCCTCGTGTTTATTAATTAGTTATAAATACTTAAAACTAATGACTTAATTTATTACATCATGTTTTGTTTTATTTGAATTTAATGTTCAAGTTAAATCATTAATTTTCAAAACATTTCAATACAAAATAATTTTAACCTATTCTACCATTTAATATTTATTTAAATTTATTATTTTATTTATATTGAATTTTTGTAATAATAATTATTACTTCCAAATGTATAGGTATACATTTGTTGTTTAACAGAAAACTAATTTTCAGCTGAAATTTAAATATAGTGGATTCCACTTAATGTGGGCATGTTGGAACCAGTTTCATTTGTCCACATAAAGTGAAATCCACTGTAATAGTTTTTGAAATATTTATTTTTAAGACATATTTAATGTAATTTGTTTTCAGGCAAGCTTTAAAATTGTATCAACCATCTGAAATTTCAGCATTGCTTAAGCTGAAACAAAAGTAATAATTTTATAATTGCTTGAAATTTTATTTCAATGAGTTAATAATAAATATATATTTTGTTAATTCTAGAACAAAAAAAGATGATTTATATGAAAAGTGTGATTGTGGATTGTCAAAAAGAGATGCAGGAAATACTCGATGTGAACAATGTCCAAATCGTATGCTCAAAGTTGAATGGTTAGTGAATTATTTTGAAATTGTTTTTTTTTCTGTCACATATGTACTTATGTAAAATATATTTTTCTAGTGGCTCACGTTGTCGTTATAAACAAAATTGTACCAATAAACAATTTCAAAACAAACAGTTTAAAAAAATTAATATTATTAAGACAGCAAAAAAAGGTTATGGTATTTGTGCTGCAGAAGATATTCCTAAGTATGTCAATAAACAAATGTATTTATGTATGTTTATGTAGCTACAGTATAGAAAAGGAAAATATATTGACAAAACCAAAGTTTAATTAGGAAAATATAAATTTAAGTTTGATTCTTTGATAGTATTAACATTTCATATTTTTACTGCCAGGTCTTGGTAAATCAGAGAATGTTATTATATATTCAAATTCAAAGAAAACAAATTTTTAATAAAATAATAAAGCAAAAACAAAATTATTAAATGGTTAATACTCTTAAATAAATATATAAATATATTCATGTTTGTATTGTAATTAGTTAAAACTATTTTATTGAATAGAATTTTAAAAAGACAATGTTGCCCTAAAATAGTTTGTAAATAGTTCTTATGTTATTATACATTAATAAATAAATTTATATTATAATTTTAAATAAATATCCATTTTTTTTTTTTATAGAGGTGTTTTAATTAGCGAATATGTCGGAGAAGTTATTTCCTATAATGAAATGTGTGATCGTCTAAATTCAGAAGAGTATGCAAATCTAAATTACATGGTTGAATTAAATAGTGATGCAATTATTGATTCTACTTCAAAGGGAAATTTAACTAGATTTATCAACCATAGTTGTGATCCAAATTCAGTTAGCGAAAAAGTAAATTTTAAAATAAATATTTATTTCTATAAATGTTTACTGTTAACATTCTGGAAAGCATATTAATCATAGAAATAAGCTTTACTTGACCAAACAGCTGTTGTTTTGTTCACCATAGTTGTTCATTATCTACAATGGATTTGTTATATATATGTGAACTATTAGTGAAAAAGCCATGGGACCTATGTTAAACAACTAATTTCATGCACAATATCAATAATTATCAATCATATATCTTTTAAAACATGTAAACTGAACTCCGCTCAGAATTGTTAGTTAAAAGTAATCTATATTATTTTTCACGAAAGAACGGTAGTAAGTCATTCTTCCACATCCCGCACCTCGCTCAGGGCTCCCACCACTATCAGGCCAAGTGTAATCCTGCAGCGATCCGTAGCTCAATCTGTGTGCGCGAAATACTACCTATCTCTCGTAAAAAATAATATAGGTTAAATTTCCCTCTATTTTCTACCTTTTCAACTTCTCACCTACGGCTCATTGGTCATGTATCTTTTTTTTTCTTTATTTTTAAACTTTATAGATAAGGTTGTTGTGCTGTATTATATTTCGATTAAGACAATAAAAAAATAATAATAATAATCTATAGCAATATCAGCGTGTGATAGCTTGTGTGTTAATATGACATAATAATTAAATATTATTTGTTTTTAAACCATATATTAATTTATGTCTTTATTATTAAATTAATCACTCCTACTTATTAGTGTTGGTATTATTTTCGTAAAAAAAAAAAAAAAACATTATTTAATTTTGGTTTTAGTGGCAAGCCTTGGGTCTATCTCGTATTGGTTTCTTTAGCACTCGAAATATAAAGATCGGTGAAGAAATCACGTTTGATTATCAATTTCAAGTATTTGGGTAAATGTATTGAATTTAATAAAATAATGTTCAATATTTTTGTAAACTTAATTATTGAAAATTATTAATTTTTTAAATTTTCAGTGCTGCCCAACGTTGTTATTGTTACTCACAAAATTGTCGAGGATACATCGGTAAGCCACCACAAATTACTTGTTCTGACGATAATGATAATACTACAGAAAATCACTCGACTTCAAAACCTGAAGAAAAACAAAAAAAAAAACGAATTATTGAAAAGAGAATTGTAAATAATGATGAAAATAAAATCAAAGAGGTATATATTTACTTGAAAATTAATAGATTGCTGTGAATAATAGTTTTCATGAAAATGTATTGTACAAATTAAAAGCTGACTCATTTTAGGTTGAACAATTTTTAACAATTTTTTAGTAATATATTAATTTTAATATTTTTTTTTAATAGCTAAGCAGACAATTGAAAGAGATTGCCGAATTAAAAACTGGATTAAAAGCTGATCAAGAAATGGCTATATTAAACTTAAATAGACTTATGGTGCACATCACTGATAGTAAAAGTCGTAGTCATGTTCTAAGATTTATTCGAAGAGAACATTATATGAATAAGCGAATTTTTATGGATTTTAGTGGACTTAGTATTATTCATAACTGGATGACTTCAAATGAAAATGACGAATCATTTAAAATAATGGTAAATTTAATTATTTTATAAATATTTAAATTAGAAGTTTTTAGGTTTAAACTTTGAATCAAACCAAACTTAATAATAATTAGAGTTATTTGTTTTAATTCACTTTGGTGTTTCAAACTTTTTCTGTTTGGTTTAGATTTAAACTTAATTTATTTAAAAAAAAAAAATTTAACTTCTATATGATTTATTTTTAAACTTTCAGATTTTAGACTTTTTAGCTGAACTTCCAATTCCAAATAGAAATACAATTACTAAATCAAAAGTATTAGATGTTGTTGCTGAATGGGCAGAAATTCCTCAAGATGTCAAATCTAAAATAGAAAGGTTTCGTTAAATTAAATATTTATTTTAATTCAAATAATTAGCCATTTGGTTGAGTCATAGAGATGGGTTAAAATATTCAAAGTTGGAATTAAAAATGTGTATTTTTAGGGTAATTTTTGAACACAGATAATATATTTCAAACCGAACAAAATGTTTGAAAACTGAACTAAGTTCGTATTACCAACTTATTTTTTATCCTTTGAAATAGCTTTGTATGAGAAAAAACTGTTAGACATAGGATGATGTAATTGAATTAGCTGATGGTTAACACTTGATTGATACAGATGGAAGTTGCTTTATAATATTTGTGTAGTAGGCTCTCAAGGGCACCAATGTTACCATTGCAAAACTGATTCCAAAAATAATTGTAATGTTTGCTGCGGGGGTGAAATGCAACAGCTAATATCATGGAAATACTTCTTGTACAAATAAATAATCATTAATAAAATATGTTGTTTTACATTTTCAAAATACCTATATTATGTTTTTATTAATATTATTTTGGATTTCTATCTATAATACAGCTATTTTATTTTTAAATAAAAATAAATTAAAGTTACTTTTCACTAAAATTGTAGATTTATGTGAATATTTTGTTCGCAACAGTAATTATTTATGTATTTGGTCAAATGTATAATATATTCATTACATGTATTATAGTTTTGATTTGCAAAATATACATATTGATGATATTGGATTAATCACAAGAAATTAATTTTTTTTTTTGAATTACTATTTATTTGAATAATTATTATTGGAATAACATTTAAAATTACATTTTTTTTACCTTCTGCTCTGCATTTACATTTTTTGTTCAATCATTTTTGAGTACAATTAGATCCATCATACTCTTGTCTTCCTAAATTTGCACATTTTCTAGCTGCTTTTACTATTGAAATTTTTAGATTAGATACGTCTTCAACACTTATTAATTTTTTATTGCACATAGCATACTGGTTACAAGAATATGTGTGTTCCAACTTTCCTTCGGTGGTTCCTATCTCATAATTGTCTTCGTAAACTAAAATATTAACATAATAGGTATTATACTTGTTATTAATATTATTAAAGATTTTCAATAACATATTTATCTCAAGCCAATAAGCCGTAATTGTGTAAGTGTAATAATTGGAATAGTTCAAACAGAATTTGTTGGTGCACCAGCTAGCATATTATATATGATTAATGATTATGAAGTTACCCATCATTCAATTTATCATACCCGATAAGTCATAATACACACCAATTAGGAACACTAGTTAAAATGCCCAATTTACTAGAGGCTAAGTATACTTAGACCTGCCAATGTATTACCCTACCTAGGTATAGTAGTAATTTATTGTATTGCCCAAAAATATCAAAGATTAAAAATTGGACAAACTTAAATTAGGTAGCTATTTTTAAACAGAAGATACTATGAAAAATCTTTGGACCCAAAATTAATAACGAAGGTGAATACAAGATAAGGACAAACTAGTAAATCCAAGACATGTATGAAAAAGTGACAACTAATAATGTTTTAAAAATTAGTATGTTGAACTGAGCAGGTCATGTGTGAAAGTCAGAAAGAATTAGGCAAGTTACAGAATGGATACTAAGAAAGGCCAAGAGAACATCTTAGATAAAGATGGAAGGATCAAGTAGCCAAGAACATACAAGACTTGTAAATAAGAATAGAGTATATAACTGGCTAAGAAAAGAGAATGATAGAAACAAGTGATTGTTGTGGTAATGGACCTAAAAGGTTTTTAAAGTGCCAAAGAAGAAGAGGAGGAACCTAGACCCAAAAATTCAAACTTTAAATTGTTTAAAAATTTATTTTTTCCTCATCATTTTTAAAAACTACTGGAAATGTCTAAAAATGATCTTTGTAAATCACATTTAAGATTGATTTTTAATTAACAAAAGAATTTTAAAAAAGTATTGTAAATTAAGGAAACAATGTAATTTTATTTTATTACTTTGCTATTTGTTTTCTCTGTACTATAGTGTTTAATTATACATTTTGTTTTATAATTTTTCAGTTTAGAGTATCCACCTACAGAACAACAAAAACACTGTCAAGAAATTGAAAACATATTACCAACAAATAATGAAGATAAGACAAATGATCTGGTAGAAAAAGCTAGGGCTTTATGGAAAAAGTGGATTATATTAAAAATAGTATTTAAAATTCCAAAAAAAATGTATCAACATAATGTAATTAAAGAAATACATTCAAATAAACTTACTGATGAATCATATGCATTAGCTATGGATATACCAGTTTTAGACCAAAATACGTAAGTTAGAATATAATTTTTATTATTATTTATTTGTGTTTTATATGTTTTACCTTAAAAATGTTGTAAATTTTAGATCTTGTTTATAATAGGAAAATAAATTGTTTAGTTTTAAAAATTTTAATCTAAGATCTAGAAATGTAAATATAATTATTTAGTAACTACTTGGTTTCGAGTTTGTGCCATCATCAAAAGTTACAAATTCTAAATATCTACCTGTTATTTTTGTTTTTCTTCATTTCCATATAATTTAAAAGTGATATTTTAATATTTTATTTTATTTCTTTTCAAGTATTTATGTATCAACTACCCTTTAATGTTTTATCAGTAACCTGAATAGCATAAAACCGAAACTGAGCATTTATTGAATAATTTTTTAGACTTTTACGTCTTGGTTTAAATTTTTTAAACAATTTATTTTCCTATTAAAAACTGATTTATTTTTTCTATTGTTTGTTTATAGATTTAAAATTTCAAATAAATACATCAGTAAAGCACAGAACAAACAAACTATTCCGTTAGAATGTATGAAACAAAGGAAAGAATATGAATTAAAGAACTTTGAACAAGAAAGGCCGAAAATGTAAATTCTTAAAAATTATTAGTCACAATATCTATTTTTACCTGAAAACTATTTTTTTAATTTAGTTTTAGGAAAAAAGCTATGGATAATTGCTTAGAGCAACATGAAGATGTAATAAAAAAAAAACTTGATGGATCTTTTTTACAGCAACCAATAAATTTACTTAATTGTAATAGTTCAGTTAATAATAATACTATGTTTAAAAGGACAAGGTGGGACTGTTCTTCTAATATGACACATATTATTCAAAGTAAGTAATATAGTTCTATGAGTAAATAAATAATTGTTTTCAATTAATAATAATTATTTAAATTTTAGGATTGTGCACAATTTTTTTATATATATATATATATATATCAATATTTATTATGAAATTTTTAGTTTTTCATAAACAAATGAAATAATAATAGTAGTATGATTGAGGATGAATCATATGTGTTATTTATCTTTAATTTTTATTATTTTTAGTATGTTTTTATTTTACATACAAAATTAGGTATAACAACAACTAGGTACTAGAATAATCAAAAAAAAAAATGTATTTGATACTTTATCCTATCTAATAATATCTAGAAATTAAGGCGGGTCCACATGAGCCGTTATTTTGCTCCCGCAGCGTGATCATATTAATGCAATAACTGGCTTTTTCGCGACAATATCATTAGTTTATTTCGAAATGTCTACCGAGGACAATGTAGTTTATGCACTCGCGTTATTATATACTTATAAGCGACAAAGATTCTCGTTCCAAAAAAAAATGCTGTGTTCATTCAAGTTTGAACAAGTGAAAAGTTGTGAGTGGTATACAGCTAATTTTTAATTCAATAGATCAATTAAATTATGAAATACAGGGTTTTTGCCATAATTTTTTGCACATGTCAAGTTCCAATTTTGAAAATATATTGTACAAATTCTGTCCGATTATTACTATTAGATATTTTATAATTCACTGCCTTAACCCCGCCCCCCCCCCCCCCCCAAAAAAAAAAAAAAAAAAAAAAAAAAAAAAATTGTTCAATATACTTATGTTTATTGTTTTTTATCAAGTCATTTCGGTGGGTCGGAATTTCTTAAATTATTTATCAATAAGTAATAACATTTCTGTCAACACAAGCGCTGCTCGCGGCCAAAATTATGCAATGAGAATTTACCGCTTTATGCTTGCATAGAAATAAAAGAATCCGCACATAGATATTTCGTGACAATTTTTTACATCACATGAAAATGTACATAGAAATTATTTTGAATACAAATATTTAATTGTGTCATTGTTTTTAACTGTGTCATAATGTATAATTTTTAAATTAATAATAATAATATATTTTACGATGGATTACTTGAAATTGGCATTTATGTCGGACGTCATGTCCACACGGATCATCTTTTGTCACGTGTTACAGCCCGCCCCGCCTTTCTTTAGACTGCTCCCCCAGGCCGATCAGAAATTATGCCGCGCGCCATCAAAAAGAACGGTGTTAAATAAATTTTGTGACATCACACTTGCTCCATGTGGTCCCGCCTTTAGATAAACAAGGTATATATGTATATAGTGTATTGTCATATATGTTGACACAACTTTGGTATATTATACCATATAGTTCTGGATTTTCCAATAATTAATAATCATCTAGTTAAAATTTGAAAAATATCAATATAATTATTTCATTAAGATATTGATATCAAAATTTAAAATATCGATAAAGTGTATTCTTAACCAATAACCAACAAACCAGGTGATTCTTTTATTGCTCTACAATTTTACGTTGAAAATGTTTTAAATAGATGGTTTTACAAAGATATTTATTATTTTTTTTTTTTCTATTTTTTTACCAGTAATTTTGCTCCAACTTCTTATTTCTTATTAGATTCTAAGTGTAGCACAGAATGTATTTGTTTTACAAAGATGTTTTTTTTTTTATTTTTGAAACTGTGTACAAAAATTCTACCAGAAATCTTGCTCTGATGTATACGATGTAAGCCCTTTTCTGAAAGGAAATTTTCTTGGGGTGGTAATTTTGGGAAAAGATATGCATTAACCCTGAAGAATATCTCTTCATTATTATTTATACAATGTGTTGGTCCCCCTACTAATAGTTTCATACCATGTAACTATGTAAAATCTTGGATAATTAGTAGTAAGAGAGATGCAGAAAAAACTTGTTGTCCAAAAATAATTAAATTAAAAGATGTAAAACTGCACTTTTATAAATGCAATTTCATTGATGTACAGATTATGTATAATTTCTTTATCGTTATAGTCTATTTCAATGTCTTCCATAATTCTAAAAAGTTTTGTCCATTTAACATTATCGAAAGCCTTCTCCAGATCTAAGAAGGCAATAAACAGTGGATTGTTTATTCTAAAAATTTTCTCTATGATTATTCTTAAGCATATTATCGCCTCTCTAGTGCCTCTATTTTTCCTGAAACCAAATTGGTTTTCAGTTAAATTTTCATTTATCCTTGACTTTATTCTTTTGTGCATTATTTTTATGAGAATCTTAGAAGCATGTGTTATGAGGCTAATTGTTCTGTATTCTTTTCTGATTTCTTTTTCTTGGGAATGGGAATTATAATGCATTTCTAAAAATCTTTCAGAATGGTGCCTGGTTCAGAATGGTCTCGTGTGCTTTTATTATTATTCTAAACAGAATATCTTTTCCATAATCATCTAATGTCTTTAATAGTTCTTCATTTAATTCATCTATCTCAGGTGCTTTATTACTTTTAAGTTCTTTTAAGGCTATTTCAAATTCTTCTCTTAATATAGGTGGTCCTGTATTGTATTGCATGTCTTCCCATATCGTCATAGATAATTGTATAATGTCTGCTTGCTCGTTTCCATATAGTTTTTCTATGTAATCTTTCCACGTTTTTAGTTTTTTCTCCTTATTGCTTATAAGTTTTCCATCAATGCTTTTCAAGAACATTGGCTTATTTCTAGGTTTGCTGAAAAATCTTTTTATTATCTTGTACACCTTATTGCTTATACCTTTGGAAATGCAGTCGTCTATTGTAGAGCATTTAACATTCAGCCATTCTTCTTTTGCTTTCTTTGACTCTCTTATAATCATGTTTCTATATACTTTGTATTTTCTTTTATCTTCTTCATTTTTCCATTTTTATATTTTCTTTGTTCTTCTATGAGGTTTACAATTTTATTATTTATCTAAGATCCTATCGGGATATTTCTCCCAAAATTTATTTTACAGGAAAATAAAATTACAAAAAGGTTTTTAGATGTAGGATGGTAAATTGAGGAATATATTTGCGAGAATATATTTACAAAGAAATTTATAATTCCGAAAATATTATTTAGAAAAATAATACTTTGATATTTAAAATTAGAAAAATGTAACTTATAAAAATATAACTATGGCATACAATTTTCATTAATTATTATCAATATCTTTAGTATTCATATTATCAATCATGTTACATATCATGAATGACAAGAATTATTTATATTTTTAACAAAACAATTTTTTGTTGATAATTTATTTCATTTTACGCTATTTGCATATATTATATATTGTCTTATTACCTATATATTATATAATATTATTCATATTGTTAGGCCTGATTAAATATCTTGTTCTCACCAGATAATTGATTAAATACTTCTAAATTTAATTATTTGATAGAATTTTTACTATTCCTTTTTGTTTTGATAAATTATTGTCATAAAGGTCTATAAAATATAATGACTTTAACTTATGTCACAGTAAATTGTTCTTCTGCCAGATGAAGTATGTTGTTCTCTTACTAAGTAATGATTGGAATTTTGTATACCATCTCCACATAACACAATTGACACTTTTTCATCTTGTGAGCAATCTGGCCATGTGGTGTTTATAAGCTTGTTTTAAATTATAAATTATTTAAAATAAGTAGATATTTAATATTTTTTTAACTATGAGTAGGTACTCCTATATGTATAATAATAGAATTTTTACAAATTTTGTTTCAGATTCAATAGTCAATTATAATATGCAAATTCCTTGTTTCATGCCACCACAAGGTACAAAGCAACCATTAGTTCAATTTCCTCCTTGTCATATTCAACCTCAAATATTTCCTAATAATTATGCATTTAATCCATTTACAATTTTTAATACTCCTCCACCGCCACTACCTAATCAACATCAAATAAAATCAACTGCCCTGTCTATAAACAAACATGTACATCAAAATGTAGAACCGCCTGATCTGTCTCCTACAAGACTTCTGTTAAAATCAGCCGACACTAAAGTATTTAATTTGATTAATGAAAGTTTATGTAATCATTTTAATTCTGAAAAAAATTTTGAATCAAACAAACATTCCAATACATCTTGTTCAAGAGCTGTAAAATCTGGTATAGATTTGTTAGCAAGAATTAAAGTTCTTAGTAATTCTTTTAAAAACCAGCCATCAAAGTTAATTAACTTTAATAGTTTAAAACAAAAAAGTGGCAAAACCAAACTAAAAAATATACAATCATCAGATATAAATTTGACATCTGCATGTGATAAAAATAATAAAATCATTTTCATTAATGAACAAGCTGCTGTGACTTCAAATACATTAAGTGAGGATGTATTATCTGTTCCTAAAACTATTCCATTGTCTGGAAAAAATAAATTTGCTGCTAATATTTTAAATTCGTTATTAAAAAAGACAGGGTCTCAAAAAAAAAATTCAACACCAAAAAAATTTGTTATAAAAAATTTGAATTCTGAGATTATTACATGTGCTGAAGCTGATAAAGAAATTGAACTGTATAAAAACATGAAACCACAAGTAATAAAAAATGTTGTTGCTCATGTTAAAACCACAAATGGTTTTGCGACAGTTATGAAAAGACAATGGGGAATCAAGATAAAAGGTCTTCAAGAAAACTATAACAAAATTCCAGCTACAAAACGTAATATAATGCGTAAAGGTAGTATACATCGACTATCATTAAAAGATGGTTTTAGTAATAAAACAAAATCTGTATTAAAAAGACACAATAGTATTTATATGGAGGACTATGATAAAAAACCAAAAGAAAAACGTGTTACATTTTTGATTGAAGGTGAAACATCACCAATTTTTCCACATTCAGAAATTCGACCAATTAATTTAAATCAGAATCTAGTGAAACAAAAACCTCTTATGAAATGCCATCCATTTGGAATACGAAATGAACCAAAATATATTCCTCAAACAACTTCTACTATTCAAAATAGTAATTTACAATTATCTATTGACGATCAGCAGTTGGAAACAATTGATCAGCAGTTGGAAACGACTGATCAGCAGTTGGAAACGACTGATCAGCAGTTGGAAGTGACTGATCAGCAGTTGGAAGTGACTGATCAGCAGTTGGAAATGACTGATGATCAGCAATTGGAAATGACTGATGATCAGCAATTTGAAATGACTGATTATCAGCTATTGGAAATGACTTATGATCAGCAATTGGAAACTACTGATCAGCAGTTGGAAACAATTCATGATCAGATCATTAGACCTATTGTTGAAAAATTCAAAGCATCAAAAAGAAGGCGAATTAGTTCACATGTCGACGTATCAGATCAATTGGAGCAATTTAAAAATCAGAGAATTCATAAGATACCATTAAACATGGAATCTTTATGTTTAGATGTATTAAAGCTGATTCCTGATAATGAAGATGATGTAAAGAAAGTACTTAATTATCATAATTTATTGGTCCGAGTTGTTGTAAAAACTTTGGGACCATATTCTAAAAAGCCCTGTCAACAAGGGCGTATAAGAAATGATGATGATTTTAAATACGTTGCCAAAAAGGTAAATATACAATTTTCAATTTTTTAGATTTTGTTATTATACAATAATTAGTCCCAAATAATCTTTTAAAAAATTATTGGTATAATAATAATTTGATAATTTGATAAATTAAGAATAAATTGTGAATTTTGATGAGTAGTAAGTTTAGAGATAATTTTGGGAGAATTAAAGTTAAAAATGGGGTGAGGGAAATAGTATTATGTAGGTGGAGACTAATGATAAAATACATTCCACTTTTATTTTTCACATTCTAAGTGTAGTGAGGAATGTATTGGGTTTATTATGTGTACTTTATTTATTTTGTTGTTTTTTCCCTGTGAACAATTTTTGACCAAATATCTTGCTCCAATCGAAAAATGGCAAGAAACATTTCTTGCTAATTTCTAGATCTAGTTGGAGGTTGATGATTGTCTTTTTTGATTTTCCTTAGCAGTTTTCATAATAATTGGGAAAAACTGGAGAAAATAACATTTAGTAAAAATGGACAAATATTTACATACAAATGTCATTATTTTTACTTAATTTGTATGATTATGTTTTATATGTACCAGAAATTTTGGTTCGTATTTCAGTAGTAAGATCTTTTATGAAATAAAATGTTGTATATTTAATGAGTTAGAACGTCATTTTCCAATTATTAATTTAATTTGTTATCCTTATAATTGGGAAAAAACATAATTTTTATTATTTTCAAAACATTCTTAATTATTGAATTTTTTTTTATTTTTCTTTAGTTGGTATTATGCGATTAAAATTGTTTAGTGGCAAAAAAAAATGTTGAGCATTAGTAGTAATTTTTTTTCTTCAAATGTTGATGAAATCATACAGATTATAGTATTTCAAAACATGTTAAACTAAACTTTGCTCAAAATCATTTTTTGTTAGCAATGATTTATACTGTATTATTATTATTATTATTATTTATTTCAAATAGCATTCATCCCTGCTTAAAAAACCTGTTACAGTTTATATGTATTTATATTATACAGGATGTCTTACAGTATTATCAAATTACTAATAACTCTGTCAATGTTATTTTTTTTTACAATTGGGTTTTGTGTCTTCTTTATACAGAACCCGATTGTAAAAAAAGAATTTTAAAATTTAAAATTTGAATTTCTTTTCAATTAGACATTTTCAAATTAATCATTCTTTTTATGGTTATTTTAGGTCACCATAAATATCTATTTGAAATTGTCGAGTCATTTTTGTTTTATGTGGATACGATTTTTGTAATCTATTTTTATCAGTATTGTGTTAAAATTTTTTAAAAACATCAAAATGTTTAAATTATTTTGTAAATACTAATTAATTAAATTTTAATTTATCATAATATATTTAACTGAACTATAAAAAAATTTTTTCATTGTACATTATATTAATGGTTGCATAAAGTAATAAATTAAATTATCCTATATGTATATCCTACCTTCTGAATTGCTTACTTAAAATATAGCACAATGTATAGTGCCTTTTTAAATAAAATTTTATCTTAAAACTGTTTTTTGCTTTATTATCAATTGAATAGATATTGATATTTCACTGACATTGCGAAATAATGGTCAAAACAATTTTACCTCATTTCACAGAATTTATAGAATAATATAACATAGATACAAAATATGATGGCAAATCTAATTATAATTTTGTTCAAATTAAAAATATCACTTTTTTAATAACACATAGTCTGTGATTAATAAAAAAACGGCTTTTTACAGATTACCGAAAATGTGTTGTTGAAAGAATTACAGTTAAAGAGAGTGGATAAATTAAAAATAGGTAATAATACAAAAGATAAAGTTACAGAGTATATCAAAAAATATATGTCTCGTTTTGGAGAGTTTTACAAAAGAAAACCTAATGGTACGTATGTTACTTTTCAATTGTTTTATTCTTAAAAACTTTAATTCATCAATCATTTTAAATTAAACCATTGATTGATTTTATTTACTTTTTATTTTTTTTAAGTTGAACTTTTATTCCAGCAAATTTAATCTGTTTATTTTTCAGAAAAAAATAATCAACACAAAGCGAAATAGATTACTTATACATTACAATATAACATATGTGTAGAAGATAATTAATATTTTAAAATAATTCATATTGTTATTCATAAAACTGTGTTATAAGTATTTAAGTGTATTATTATATAATTTTAATTTTTGTTTTTTAATTTGTTTACCTCTACATTTTCACCTATCATTAATGTATAAGTTTAGATTATTTTAATTTTGAATAATTTTTGACTGACTAGGTATGTTTCTTATATAGTTATAGTTAACATTTTTTACTTCATTATATTGCCATTGTTTACTTATTCATTTAAATTATATGTACCTTTAGGATTTTGTTAATATTTTTTTCATATTAAACATTCTCTTTTGTATTATCAAAATAATTTTAAGTTTCCATGTGTTCACTATTGATATACAGGATAACATATTATATAGCTTACAATTTTTTTTTTTTTTTTTTTTAATATTTAAGATTAACTATTTATATTATATTCAATTACAAACTAAATAAATATCTGTAGGAATACTATAAACTATAAATTTAATAATTTATTCATTTCATATTTCTGTATTAATTGTATGTGACTAATAAACATATATTCAAATTTTACAGAATCTTAATTTGTGTTATTTACTAACTGTAGCCTAAATTATTGAAAAATATAAACAATTTAAACATAATACCATTGATTATTAAATATACAAATATACTAAAATAATAATTCATATAAATAGTGGTAAGTAACTAATAAGACTTGAAAATATTAGCAAATATCAAATGTTTTCTATGGTCTGTATGGATATCTAATGAGTCACAGACGGTTATAGATTCTGTTAACTGTTTTTTAAAAATCAGTAAATTAGTGTATCATTAACATTTTTAAATATCATTTCGTTGATATTCCTATTAATAATTTGTACTTTATCATTGTTAAAGCTAAATGTACTGATTCTTAGCAGTTTCGGAAGATGTATGTTCTAGGTTTTAATCAAGTTTTCTTACCTAAAACCTCCCCTTCTAAGATGGTATTTAGAAATATTGTATCAGGTGTAAAAATACTTTAGTTTTCCTAAAATGTATGATATCCCATTTTTCATTTACTTCAGCTAGAACATGCTCATTTGTATTTCTCAAATTCATAGTATAGGTAAACTACTAATAAAAATATCAATTTATCAACATTTATTAAATTGAGAAAACACAATACCTATTTTAAATTTACTCTGAAATTATCAGATGTAGAATACAGAAGCAATTAAGAAAATCGATTAAAACGAACATTAGTAAAAAAAAAAATAAAAAACATACCAATTCATCATTAATTGGTGATAACACAGACTAGGTGAAAGTATAAATTGTATATAATACCTATTTAGTGTTTATTATTTATTTATTCATATTAATTAGTATTTGAAGACTGCATGGTAGTGACCAAACAATATAGAGTAACATATTATCTTTCTGTGGAAGGAGTGGCCAGTAGCCACGTTTAGCTTTAAACTTTACTACTCAAGTCTTAATTTTGACTACTTGTCATTATCGGCCATCGAAAAAAAGAATGAAATAATTTGTAAGCTACCTAAAAATACTTATAACTATAGACTAATAAAATAAAATGTATTTACAACATGAATATTTCTATAGTGTATTATATTTTTACACAAACTATGATAAATTAAATTTATCTTGCAAATTATTATATATTATATACGGGTATGATAACCCCACTCCTGTTGCTATTTTGCTTATCAGAAAAGAATGATTTGTGTTTAGACTGTATTAGGCGATATATCCGAATGCCCATTACCCGGATAACACAACAGCTTGTTTTCCCGGTTCATTCACATCCACGTATAAAGTACATTTTGATAGTTATGTAACGCAATGTGAAGACGTTTTTACGAGTTCGTTTCCTTTCAACGGTTTTGGAAATACAATGATTTAACTGTTTATCATGTATGTATTTGTGTAGATACTTGTTAAAAACCTGTTAATTAGTTAGGTATTATAAAGTATAACGACAGCTGTTATTTTATTATTGTATTGCCATTACCTGTAATATAAATAAGTGTGTTTTTTATCTGTGATTTGTTTATTTATAATGGCTTTAAAAAAAGTCAGAGGTAACATTGAAAGGATGTTTGACAAAAATTTAACTGATCTTGTACGCGGTATCCGTAATAGTAAAGAAAATGAGGTATGTGTTGGTAACTTAAGTTTTAAAAATAAAATTGAAAATTCAAATATGATTTCCCATTATCAGTTTTTATTAAGTGTTTAATTTTATTGTAGGCTAAATACATTGCTCAATGTATGGAAGAAATCAAACAAGAATTAAGACAGGAAAATGTGGCAGTTAAGGCAACAGCCGTGGCTAAACTTACTTATGTAATAATTGTTGTAAAATAAAATGTGAACACGTTAAATTATTAATCATTATTTTATTAGTTACAAATGTTGGGCTATGATATAAGTTGGGCAGGGTTTAACATTATTGAAGTCATGAGTTCATCAAAGTTCACTTACAAAAGAATTGGATACTTAGCATCGTCTCAAAGTTTCCATACCGATACAGATGTAAGTAATGGTGAAATTTACTATTTCATAATCAGTAATTAGATATGTAAAATTTGTATTTTTATGTGATTGTTTTAGTTATTGATGTTAACTACAAATATGATACGTAAGGATTTGAATAGTCAAAATCAATATGATGCTGGTGTTGCTCTTTCTGCCCTTGCTTGTTTTATTAGTCCAGATCTAGCTAGAGATTTAGCTAATGATATAATGACATTGGTAACTAATTTTAATATAATCATTTGTGTATAATACATGTGACTTGGACATTGTGAAATGGACAAGTCAGTCCATTTCAATTTAAAATAAATATTTATAATTGGCTATAGTTGTCCTCCACAAAACCATATTTGAGAAAAAAAGCTGTGCTCATGATGTATAAAGTATTTCTTCGGTTTCCTGAAGCATTGCGTCCAGCATTTCCACGTTTAAAAGATAAATTAGAAGACATGGATTGTGGGGTTCAATCAGCTGCAGTAAATGTAGTATGTGAATTAGCAAGAAAGAATCCAAAAAATTACTTGAGTTTGGCACCTGTATTTTTCAAATTAATGACTTCTTCTACCAATAATTGGATGCTGATCAAGATAATAAAATTGGTATTATTCTTAATTTTTAATAATTTCATATACAAGGTGTTATATGTAGTATGTTACACTCAATATATTAGTAAATTGTATGTATATCATCATATTCATTGACCAATCACCATGCGTGAAGTAATTTGTTATCCCAATATAATTGTCTATGTACTCTGTATCTAATAATCAACTATTAGTATTAAAAAAATTAAATTATCAGAATAAATTTAATGGTCAAACATAAGTTTTATATAAATGTAATATCTATTATAAAATCAGAGTTTTTTTTACATGATGTCAAAACACTCTGGACATATTTCTATTAGATCTTTCCAAATAAGTTTTGCGCAGTTAGGACAAACTTTCTTAGTTTTTCTGTCTCGAACTCTTTCACAAAAAGCACATCGGCCAGATGCTCTAATCCTTTAATGTGCTCCTATTTCATTGTTTGTTTGCTGATAATATTCTTATAGACATGTTTTTATTGATCTAGGTAACACATTAATTAATTGATTTAACTGATTAGTCACAAGTTCTCTTAAAAGAGTTTTTAAAAATAATAAACGAGTAATTTTAGTTTTATTATTTTACAAATGAATTATCTGAGCGTTAAGTCCACCAATGTTCAAAATAAAATAAAATATTATTAGGGGCCAACGTTTACTTCACATAGCTACGAATAATTTTCTGCCATCAAATCCATATTGTCAACTCCTTCTTTAGTTGCATTGTACATCTTTGATTTCCTATTTTTTTTTTGTTTCCAGTAGTTTTATTGATATACTTATAATTATGCATTATTGATAGTAATAAAACCACTTTATTTTTCATTGCTTTGTAAGATGCTAATGTTTTTTGTTCAGAAAAATCAAAATATGACAAATATACTTCTCGACAATTTATTGAAATAAAATTGATGATAATTCACATTTATTTTGGATTCTGAGCGGAGCAAGGCATATATTAGCTTTACAATAATATTTATAATTTTTGTGAAATTTGCAACACCAGATTTTTCAGTTACACGATTATATTTTGATGTACAAACTCATTGATTTGAAAGTTTTCTACTCGATTTTGTTCCATATTTTCTCTTAAAAAAAGGTACACGTATACTAAATGGTATATCGTCATCAGAACTATTTGAATTATCCATAAATATATTTTCTTCATCTAAGCAACATGACTGTTCTATGTCTGAATCATATTCAAAATGGATATCTTCAACTTCAATATTAGAACAATTGTCTTCACTTCCTAATATTTCTCATTTAGTTTCTTCTAAAAAAAAGTATTCGTCTATTTTTTATTAAATCCATTTCAAAATAAAACTTGTAAATAGAAAAAAGAATTGCAAATTTATACTGTGGGATATTTTTATTTCAAACTGATGAGTTATACTATTCGAATGAATGTCTAGAATAAATTAAAGGCCACACATAATTGGTAAACCGATTAATTTTTAATATACCTATTTTAAGAAAGCTAGATAAAATTTCAGCGCTATCTTACCTTATAAACAGGGGTTTTACAATCAGCTTAAAAACAGCTGGGGTATCTCTACACCCCACGCGCGTGATGATGGGTTAACATAACAAGAGTTAACAGAAACCAAAATGCATTTACTGTGAGTTAGCAGGTGTAGATGTGGATAATGCGTTTTGGTTTTTGTCACATAGCACACTTTGTGGGTTATTTATTTATATACATTAAAGTAAACTATACATTTTTTTTTTAAATTAATATATTTTACTTTTATTATCTACATGGTTAAGGTATTTACATTTTTTTAAATTTATGGTTCGAAGCAGAATGTAAAATAATGAAAATTTACTGTAATAGATATTATATATATATATATATACATAATTTATTGTTTGACATGATTTAAAAAGATGTGCAAAACAAATATTTTATTATGCTACTGTTTATCTGCTCAGTTATTTTAAAATTGTATAAATTAAAAAAAACTCGGTTGTTTAATATCTTTAATAATAACTACATTGTTAAAATACAATTAGAAAAAATATGCTTTGAAATATTAATATTAAAATATATTACATACATATTGAATATAAGTATAAATATTAAAGACTCAAAATTAAGATTAAAAGAGTTATTATAACAATAATAAATTCAGTATTATGAATTTTTTAGTTAATATCTGTAAAAATACAAAAATGATAAAAAACATGTTAAATAAAATACTTGCTTTAATTACTAATAATATTTATTTTATATTTATTCATAGTTTGGAGCATTAACCCCACTTGAACCGCGACTAGGAAAAAAACTCATAGAACCCCTTACTAATTTGATCCACAGGTAAGATAATTCTTATTTTAAAACATTTAATTCTGAATTAAAATTAAAGAAATTAATCTTAACCCTACAGCGCTTAGTTTTTTATATGCTTGATAAATATATATATATATTTTTTAAAAATAATTTTGGCTTAATCCAAGTGTTTTTAATAAATATTCAACTACATTAAACAAAAATATAAATATAACGCTGAAATATTTGAACATTTATTGTTTTTAAGAATCAAATTGTAATTATCTTCAGAAATATTATAATTAAATATTTATCAAAAATATTATAAGACTTATTATTTTTGTAGGCTTAGGACTGATAGTAGATTTACTAAAAAAGATTCAATTGTATCAAATAGTTATAAAAGCGGACAAAATAAAGACATTTCTCACTTTTGGAGATGGTATGTTTGAGGGTTGTAAAAATATAATTCTTAAGCTTTGTAAATTTAGATTAGTTTGCAGTATTAAATTATATTCTTGAATAATTATCAATTATTTTTTTTTTTTTAATTATCCTAGAAATAATATAAGACCCAGTATAGATATAAATTAAAAACCTATAAATATAAATTAATTACATTTTTGGAATATCCTTCTATATTGTGTGTGTGTATTTTTAAGTTAACAACTATGTGTATTGCTAAAATATAATTTTTGTTTTGATTAACAAATATTTGATTAATTGAATTTGATTAATTTGTTATGTCAAACCTACCTCCTAACAAAAAACAAAATTATAATATCCAATTAGATATTTTAGTAATTACTAAATTAAATCAAAATTGATATTCTGTAAGATAATTACTGAAAATTGTATTTATTATTTATTGATATTATACAAATAAACCAATGATGTATACAAATAAAATTAACTTATTTTTGTATATTTTCAGTACTTCTGCAATGTCTCTTTTGTATGAATGCATTAACACAGTGATTGCTGGTAAGTACATTACTTTTAAAATTCATAACATAATAATTTATAATATTAGAAACCCAACAACTTTTTTCCTGATTAATATAATTTGTTTTAAAAGGATATCAAACAAAGATTTTTTGCCTTGGTTTATAATAAGTCTAACATACTAGTGAATCTTTAACTAGTTTGAACTTTTATTGTCATAGTATGATTTCCAAAAACTAATTTTTTTTTTTTTTTTGGAATTTATTTTAAGTAAAAAAAAAAAATTAATATAGAAGTGTAAAATATTAAAATAACTGTAACAATAAAACAATTAAGAATATTCATTACCAATTATTGAAGTAATTAATAAAGTAATATTAATATTGTATTAGATTTAAATTTAAATTATTCAGTTTTAATATCATCATTTTTACTATTACATTTTAACTGGATTTTTTTATAATTTTATACTATTATATTACATTTTACAGTACTTATATCAATTTCATCTGGTATGCCAAACCACAGTGCTTCAATTCAGGTAATTATTTTGATTAACATTTTTTTCAGTAACATACCTTACTTAATCTTAGCATCTACTTCCAAGTAACATATGTACTTATGATTTAATGATAATTAATTAAACACACACTCTATGATACAGTTCAATACAGTGTTTCCCAAACTAGGGGTTATGAATACATTACTGGTGAGATGCAAACAGTCACCACAAAGTAAAATTTGTATTTTTACATTGTAGAGGAAAATGAAGAATTATTAACGGGATAATTAAGTATTGATAAAGTTTACAAACAAGGCCATATTTTGGTAGGTTAGGTTAGGACAGGAGACAGTTGCCCAGGTGTTTTTAATTTTGTTTAATAAATGTAAATAAAGAAAATTTGTAAAGATTTTTTTTTCGGTTCATATTAAGAGGGGGGCGAGATTTGAAAGAAAGGGAACGTAGAATAAAAGAGTTAGTATTCTAAAAAAGCATACATATTTTGGTAAACTAAAACGGTAGAAAAAAAAACATTAGCAAATATACTTTTAATTATAGTACTATAATATTATTTATTATGTTTTTATATTTTAAAAATATTGATTTCTGAAATTTTTTTAATACAACATTTATTTTAAAGAAAATAAAAAATAAACCACTAAACATTTTTTTTTTTTATAAGAAAGTATTGATTCGTAATGTTCTAAAAATAAAATTATTTATTTTCAATATACGAGAGAAAAGTTGTTGGTAAAGATGTAGTATAATAACTTTAGAATTTTCTATTTACTTTCTCCATAATATTTCATTGTTAAGAATCTTAGTATTATTAGAATGCAATGTAATATAATGTGCATGTTATTAATTCAAATTTGAGGAAGGATAGACTACCACTGTAGTAGGTAGAATGTTTGATAAAAGCTATAGAATCCAATATTCTATACATTAATTAATTAATTTATATTAATGGAGAGATAGATAATGAAGACGGGTGCAGCCGTTGGTGTAGGTGGGAAAGTTGGGAAGTTAGGGTATAGACTGGAATTTAATGTATATCTGTAAATAACGATAAACCATTGTTTATGAAAAAACGATTCTGAGTGGAATTCAGTTGATAGTGATGCTTTGTTAACAATTATATATCATTTTGTAGTAAAATAATTAATAAGGCTTTATATAATTTCTTTAATACAATTTGTTTAATGTTTTACCAATTTTCCCATTTTTTATCGCGATTTTTCATATTTGCTGGGAAAAAAACCAAAAAATAACCTCTTAAAGTACCTCCTTTGTAGAATTTTTGTTTAGAAACATTGTTATCATTAAAAGTTGGAGCAAAATTGTGCACAGAAAAAAGAAGGCTGTAGTATATTTTAATTAATACAGACATTTTTTAAATTGTGATATTTTTGTTAGTTTTCAAATTTGATGAAAAAATTCTTGAGAGAATCAAAAACTGATCCCCTTAAATTACGACCCCACGCCAATTTCCTTTCAGAAAACGTGCTATACGTAGAAATCCAAGCAAGTCTTCTGGTAGAAAAGTTATGCACATATATATATATATAAAAAAAAAAAAAACCATAAGCTTTCTTTGCTCCACTCAGAATCTAAAATAATAGCTTCTTCACTACTTTAGAATAAATGACAATATTTCGTATAAATTGAACTTTTAATTTTAAGATATAATACATAGATTTTACAAAAATTAACTTCACAGCTATCCTGCATTTGTCCATTTGCTATAATTTAATTATATTCATTAATTTATTGATTTTTTTGGCTTGTCCATATAGTTCTACTTATAAAAATATCAATGAATATAATTTACATGTTTTAGTTATGTGTTCAAAAGTTAAGAATATTAATTGAGGATTCTGACCAAAACTGTAAGTATATAATTTTTATGTTGTGTTATAATTTTATTTAATTACAATAAACTTATATTTTAGTGAAATACTTGGGTCTTTTAGCCATGTCTAAAATATTAAAAACTCACCCTAAGTCAGTTCAAGCTCATAAAGACTTAATTATGGTCTGTTTGGATGACAAAGATGAATCAATTAGACTTAGAGCATTAGATCTTCTTTACGGAATGGTGAAGTTAATACAAATGTATAACTTAATGTAAACCTATTAATAAATATTTCATTATAGGTGTCTAAAAAGAATTTGATGGAAATAGTAAAAAAATTAATGGTTCACATGGATAAAGCAGAAGGCACAGTTTACCGAGATGAACTACTTGTAAAAATAATTGATATATGTTCACAAGATAACTATCATTTTATTACAAGCTTTGAGTGGTCAGATTTTATTTAATATAATTTTCTTTAATTTAGAAATTTAAATTAATTTCAATATTCCATTTCAGGTATGTCAGTGTTTTAGTAGAGTTGGCTCGAGTAGAAGGTATGAAACATGGTCCCTTGTTAGCACATCAAATGTTAGATGTCGCTGTTAGAGTTAAAGCCATTAGGCCATTTGCTGTTGGTCAAATGACTCTACTACTTAATAATTCACATATGTTCATGCAACCATCTGGAGGTTCAAACATGGCTAATGTGCTCTATGCCGCAGCTTGGATTTGTGGAGAATATGCCAAGTTAGTAAATTTATTCAGAAATTAAAACTTGTTCAGATTTTAACTAAAAATTATTATAACAGTGAACTAGAAAAGCCAGAAGAAACTCTATTCTCAATGTTGACTGGCAAAGTGCATTCATTACCAGGTCATATTCAATCTGCCTATGTGCAAAACATAATGAAAGTCCTATCTATAATATTGTCAAAAGGAAATATTCAACAATCGATTAAAGTATATTATTTTTTAAATTGAATATTGCATTAACAAATAAAAATGAAAAATGTAATTTTAGGTGTGCAAACGAGTGTCCGATAAATTGGTGCAATATGTGTCTAGTGGAGATTTAGAAGTTCAAGAACGTTCAAGTGCAGCATTGCAATTAATTAGTTACATTCTTAAAGAATTAGAAAATGGTGACAATGATGATGTATGCACTCAATTAGCTTATTTGTTTAGTGGTGAATTGAATCCTGTTGCACCTAAAGCTCAGCGCAAAGTACAAGTACCTGAAGGGTATGTACTTTTCAAAACTGAATAATGATATTTAATTAATTAATGTTTGAATTGGTTCATTTAAGATTAAATTTAAATCAATGGATTAATGAGCCATTACAAAGTTCATCAGAAAGTGATGATGACAATCTGTCAGATGGTCATTCTAATTTTTTCAATTTGGGTGGTTTTGATAAAACTGAAGAAAATGAAAATACACCAAACACAGCAGAACAAGTTGAAAAGGTAATTTTAAATAATATAGTTTATATTCTTACAAAAACTAAACTATTTTGTATTTTTATCTGAAATATTAGAATAGAAAAGCTAGACTCCAAGAACAAGAAAATAATCCAAATTATTTGAAATTGAACTCTAACAACGATCAAATTTGTGACATTCCTATTACATCCATAGATCTGCCCACTTCATTAAATGTATCTGGTTTTATATCATCAGATAAATATATTAAAACTAAAAAGTCCAAAAAAGATAAAAAAAAATCTAAAAAAAAGAAAAGAGGACAAAATAATTTTGAAGATGAAGAAATTGTAGAACCTATAATTGAAATGATAGTTAATAGAGACATAGGAGAAATGCCAGATGGTGCAGAAGATTCTGATGGAGCAATAGATGTGCAAAAAGACATGAATGACCCTCATACTGCTCTTGACATTGACTTAGATGTTCCTGAAATTGAACGTCCTCCCCCCGTTGAGGAAAAGAAACATAAAAAAAAGAAGAAGGAGAAAGAAAAGAAAAAAAAAACTGAAAAATCAAAGAAATTAAAGAAAATTGATAAAAATGATCAACAATTGATTGAAATTAAACAAGGTTATGAAGAAGCATTAGGAATTTGCACACCATCTAAAGAAATTGTGCAAGCTGAAGATTTATCATTCAACAAATTGGCAATGGATAAATTCATACTCTTGGTAATTAAACATTAAATGTATTATTTTAATTTAATATAAATACAAATATTTTTATATTTTTCTAACATCGTTGTTTTTTTTACAGGAATACAAAATAGATCCTAAAAGTGAATTAAGTAATTTAGCAACAGTATTCTTCCGTTTCACAAATGTGGGTAACAATTGTTTGATTAAAAACATTGAAATAGATGTAACAAATTCTGCTGCTATCCAATTTTTAGATGAGGTATATACTTATTACTTTCTTTTCAGTAGTAAATACCTAATTAATAGCTACTTATTCAAATTATCAATTTAGAAAAATCAATCATTGTCTTGGTATAAACTTAGTAATAATATACAATGTGGTTCATCAACAGAATTAGATTTATCTTTGCAAGTAGAAAACATCACTATTCCAAACACTCTGCGAGGAACACTTACATATATGGCACAAGTATGTAACACAAATTTGAATGTATATATTTTATTTTTTATTTAAATAAATTAAAATATAAAATATAAAAGTAATATTTAAAAATATTCTTGCTTATAGATAATACAATAATATCTTTTATAAATTCATAAATAATAATTACTTCGGGCAGCGGTTCTCAAACTGTGGTACGTGGTAGGAAACATGGTGGTACGCAGAAGACTGCGTGGCCTAACAGTACAAAAAATAAATTAATCAATATTCATAAAAATGTTTTTTAATGGATCTAATACTATATTTTATATAATATTATATTGAAGTATTTTATTGTATATTCTTATCGTTTTGAAACAAATGTAAAAACATTATTAACTGTTCAATTTTTTTACTTTTATGTAGTATGTGACAGATCCATAAAACATATATGTGGTATGCGAAATTAAAAGTTTGAGAAACACTGACTTAGGGGATTCAATTATTCATGCATTCAGGCCAATAATCTGATGAAAATAAACATACTTTTAGTAGTTCAATTTTACTTTTAATTTTTTACTTTTTTTTTATGTTTAGTACAAAACAATTTTTAATTTTTTTGTCTCATTGGCCATTTAAGGTACTATTTTATTTTTAGAAATTAAGGTAAATTCATTTGGTACCTACTACATAAAATATCCAAACTTAGAAGGGGCTAACAAATTTAAATTATTTTTTTTAAATTAATATTGAACTCTTAGAAGTATTTCTGAAACAAAATTTTATACAATCAGTTTTCATGATAATTGGGAATAGAGGAAAATGTTCAAAATGTATATTTTCAATTTTGTTTTTTTTTAATAAAATAATAAACTAAAAATACAATTTTTAAAATGGTTAATACTTGTAAACAAATATATAAATGAAAAATTTATAAATAGAAATAAAAAATAAATAAATAAATGAATGCGTTTCCTGGAATATTATTCACCTGGTTTCGAATTAAAAACTCATCATCAAATCACAGCCAAATTGTAAAATGTGACTAAATATAAAAAATTAAATGAAGTTTTGAATACATAGAAAAAAATTATACAAATTGGTTGTTTTACATAGAAATAATTTATTTTAATAAGAGATTATATAAAATGGGTGATTAAATAGACATAGATTTGTTAAGAAATATAGATTATTTGGTTATTATTTACTACCTGAAATGTATTTACATTTCAGGTAGTAAATAATATTTGTATAAGATATTATTTTTAAAAGTTTGTAAATTTAAAATTATTTTTCTTTATTTCATTGTATATATGTAGTTTTTCTAAAACTGAATTAATGTAAATATTATTTTGGGTATACTTATAACTTATATTTGACTTTTCTAGACTCCATACAATTTTCAAAATATTTGTGTCATTTTTGAGCTATTTATAGATATTTAAATTTTGTGAGGTTTTTACATACATTTTTATTCGGTAGGTAATCTATGGATAAATTGTTAGGCCAAACAGAAATACTTGAAAACTTAATAGGAAGTTCATTATAAGTTGTACTTTTGGTACAAAAAAAATAATTTTTTTATCAAATTTAATTATTGATAATATCCTGATTGGGTGAAAAACTTGAAACAAATGAGAACAAAAAAGTTTAGACTTTCTTTATCTGTTTTGCTTTTTGTTTTAAAATATTACGAGTTGCTTTCCAAAGAGAACCATTATTTGATGTAAGAAATAAAATCTAAGAGCTAAAATTCTAATTTCTTAATTGGTTTAAAATTTGTTTTATTGAAAAGACAGGAATATTTGTTCATCAAATAGAAGATGAGTACGTTGGCAAAGAGCTCTGACACATTTTTTCTTTGCTAATAACTCTTAGATATACGTAGAGATTGGGAAAAAGTGTTTTAATAGAAAAGAACCAAACAATTGATTATGAAATTCTCTGAAATTCTGGACGGAGTCTTCTATGACATCATCTGGGTACTGAAGTCAAATTGTTAGTTTAACTTTTTGGTCAATGGTTTCACGAAATTTATTCCAGTTCATAAACAATTCGCCAGACAGACTTGATGAAGACAAATGAATGCTGGGCATCTCGGGATAGGAAATCTGAAGTGTGGTCTAAACGTTTTAAAGACAGCAAAGAGCGATAGTAATGGATTTATAAGTAATTTAAATTCATTAAGAGAGTTAAGAAGTATACTATAGTTTTAAAATTTTGGTGATTGAGTTAAGTTGAAAGAAGTAGCCTGTATATAACTGGGGAAGTTTTTTAAGGTGTATTAGTGTTGAATATTGACTGTTGAGTAGTTTCACAATTAAAATTTCTAACATTATTTAGACATCTTTTAGTAGGATAATTACTATTCTTATTTGAAGTGAATTTATGAAGTTGCTAAAGATTTTCATATTTTTGACAACCTTTATTAATCAGATGGTCTCTTTTGAAAAATACAACTCCCTAGTTTTATCGCATTGGGTAGGTGCCTGTTATTTACCACAACACAAAAACATCTTGGGGAGTAGAACAGAATTTCTTAGAATGACCATAATCCAGATAGTTAAACATTGTATTATTTCTGTTTGTGTAGTTCTTCAATTTTAGATTCTGAGTGGAGTGAAGAAACTTATGATTTTACAAAGATATTTATTATTATTTTTTTTATCTGTGGACAACTTTCTACCATAAATCTTACTCAGATTTTTAAATGTAATACCTTTTCTGAAATGAAATCGCATTAGGGAGGTAATTTTTTTATTTTCTCAGGAGCTTTCTCAACAAATTGAAAAAAATGGAAAAATGTACGAAATATATTAGTAAAATATTACAAACTTTTTTTTCTGTGGTTTTCCCATGTTATTTCTCGGTTTTTCCATTTATTGGGAAAATCAAAAATTACGTTCTTAAAGTACCTTCCCAGTCAAATATTCCTTTTAGAAAAAAAGTCATTCATTCTATCACTGTAAATCAGAGCAAAATTGCTGGTAGAAAAGTTGTCTACAGAAAAAAACAATTGTAATATTTTACTAATTATACATACATTTTCCTTTATTTTTTTTTTCGGTTTTTCTCATTTGATGAGAAAATACATTCCGATTTTCTTTCAAAAAATGTGCTATTGTTCTAAATCGGAGCAAGATTTCTGGTAGAAAATTTGTCCATAGAAAAAAATAAAAATAAAAATTTTTGTAAAACCATAAGCTTCTTTACTTCACTCAGAATCAAAAAATGGGAAAATGGGTAAAATATTATTAAATAAAATATATAATGCTTATGTAATTATTTTATCATAATATGGCATTGTTGCTTTGCCAATAATATGTATGCCATATTATTGACAAAGCAACAATTTTTTCTACTAGAAAATATTGTTCTAATTAAAAATTAATAAAAGATTAATATTATTCTCTTCAATATCTAGTCACTGACAGAGAAAGTAATTTTAGATTCCAAGCGTAGTGAGGAAATTATTGGTTTTACTGTTTCTTTCTTTTTTTTCTTCTAGTCTGTGTACACGTTTTTTCCTAGTAAACTTGCTACAGTTTTTACGTGTAGCAACTTTTCTTAAAGCTCAAGTTGTCTAGATTGTATTTTAGAGGGGTTTGATTTTCGACACCATTTTTAAATAAATCACTTACAGTTTCATTATTTTATAAAAACACTGACGACGTTTTCAAACCAGAANATTTTAGAGGGGTTTGATTTTCGACACCATTTTTAAATAAATCACTAACAGTTTCATTATTTTATAAAAACACTGACGACGTTTTCAAACCAGAAAAAATGATTTAATCGAAAAATCAAAAAATACCTTTTTTATTGCCTTTTTGATTAGCTTTCCTACGGTATCATCGCCAAGACTTTTGAGCTTTTAAGGAATTTAAATTTTTTGTGGTTTTTTGCTGTAATTTTATTTTATATGCATGTAGAGACTTGAAACTAGGTAATAATTCTTACATTGGACCTACCTAGATGTGGTAAAATTTTCAAAATCATCGGATGACCTTTTTTTTTTTTAAAATAAGCGTTTTGAAATCAAATTTAAATGAAAATTGCAAAAAAATTATATTACTTGAAATTATGTATTATCGAACTACGCTCAAAATCGTCTTTCATCAACAATGGTGTATAGTTGTTTACAGATATAAATGAAATAACCTTATGTATCCTACCTTCTCAACTTACTACCTACAACATTGCCGCTTCCATCCCCAGTATAAGCTCTTTTTGATATCTAAAGTAATTTTCATAATTATTATTATTATTAAATGACGCAAAAGAGCTTTTACAATAAAATAGTACATTAAAAAAAAAAAAAAAACAATCAATATAATTATAATACAAATACAATAAAAAAATGTACATGCAAAAGTTGAAAAACACAATAAGATTCGCTAATTTAGTAGCTATAAAACGAAGGGTTCTCATTGGCAAGCCTCATCATGTGGATGATGAACTCATTTTAGAAATAATGAGCCAAGCAAAAAGAAATATAAAATTGAGTAGAACTCTAGGTGTATCGAGCTGGAACCTTAAAATTAATTATTTCGAGGAGAGAAGGAAAATCAATAATACCAGAAAGTAGCTTATTAAGGAAAAAGAGGTTTTGTGCAAGATGACAGTTTGCCAACAAGTCTAAATTAAGGTAACAAAGAACATGTGTGTAGTCATGAGGGGGGCGGCATTTAATATATAAGACATATTTCGCAAAATCTAAAAATTGTCTTAGTACTCACTCAACTTGTTTACTGGCATCAACAGTAAAATGATCTCAAATAACAAAACATAATAATTAGGAAAAACCAAAAAAAATTTAAAAAAATTGGTTTTTTCAAATTACTTTAACAATTTTATTGTTTAAAATTTTTAAGATTATTTTATTTTCACATAGAAAAAAATACTTAATAAAAAAACAATAATATTAAAACCCTTTGGTTCTACAAAATCTAAAATACTCACACATAGTTAAACCAATAAATTCTTTGCTACATTCAGAAAATTGTAATTAATTAATGTATATTAGGTATTTAGAACTACTGCCACTTGGGAATTTGAGTAGTCAAGAACAAATTTGAAAAATAATGTTATTGTAATTGAAAATTTCCCTAATTATCTGAAAATAACTGAACCTTAATTATTATATTATAATCTAAGGAAATAATACTAAGTAATTTTATTTTAATTTACACATATGAAGTAATAAATATTTAAGTTTATTAGTGAAAAACTCATTATAATTTATGAATATGTTACTAGATGTTTGATGAAGACAATTTTCACCAAGATAAATTAGACTGGCGGCTTACCGTATGTGTCTCAGATATGTTTCTTAAAGCTGCTCCATCTGTACCACTAGTTGAACTGCTGTGTAATGGCCAGTTAGTTTTTAAATCGTCTGTGATCTTGTCAGGCACCAATTTTAACCAAGTAATAAATTGGTTTTCCACTAAACTACATCTCGTATTAGTGGAACGTGTTGGTGAAACCTCATCACTTTATGGATCAACAGCTTCTAATGAACAATTATGTCTCTTAGTAAAATCTAATGCTAACAATGTTTCTGTTGAAGCTAAATGCACGTCACAAGCATTAGTTGATAATTTAATGAGTGAAATTAAATCCACTTACAATATCTAACATGATATTATAATATTCCAATTATATTCTTAATTTAACTGTTTTATAAAATGGATACATCATTTGATACTCTGGTAAACAAATTAACATTTTAATAGTTTTTAAAAGAATGGTTAACTTATAATTATATAATTGTATACCTTTATTGAAAATATTAGTTGGCCTTTAAATTATATTTTATTTATTTATATATTATATTATTATATAAATAATCAATTAAATGTCATATTTATATTTGTACACAAAACAAATGTTTTTATATTTTATTATTATTTAATGAATAATCAATTATGACTTTTCCTATTATAATGATCAAATACATTTAAGTGATTATTTTGATATTAAAATATATTTTTGTTAGTATGAGCTATATTGAAAAATACTTGGCTTATCCAAGCCTCAAATGTATATGGAGATTTAGCTACTTTTATATTTTAAAAAAATTGGATACAAAATATAAATGCATTGTATGTTTTGATATTTTAGCCCATTTATGAAAAATGTGAAAATTCTAAGTGTTAATTGTTATACATGTTATTTAAACAATAAACATCAATACTAAGTTAAACTTTATTTTTATAGAATACCTATTCATTACATAAATAATATAATTAATTTGCATTTTCTTCTTGTCTTTTGCCCTCTTTAGTTATTTTGGGTTGACCACCCTTATTTAAAACTTCCACTTCACTCAACCACCCACATTATCCTCGTATAGAATAATGATCAGCATTATATCATTTTCAATTGCATCCAATTACCTCTTTTCCTCTTGCAATTATTTTCATTTCTATTTCTACTGCTTCTCTTATTGTGACATTCCCAAACCATCTCATGCTATTTTCTCCAATTTGTCTAGTACTTCAAAATCCTTTCTCTTCATAATATGCCTAAATCATCTTAGTCTATTTTGTTCAAAATCAAATCCACACCTTAGCTACTTTTTATGTATTCATTCCTTAATCCATCTTTTCTCGTTACTCTATTCATCTTTGCTACATTTATTTTCTGTTCTATTTTTCTATCTATGGTAATAGATGGTTTGGTAAAACACTGGACCATACATTTTTAGTTTCACCATACTTTTGTAGAATTTACCTTTAAGTCTCATTGGAATTCGTTTATCACATGTAACGCTTCTATCCACATAATCATGTGTTTTGCATCCTCATTAAGCCACCGTTATTTTGTACATAAGATTCTAGGTACTCTCAACCTCGCCTATTACGTGACTGTTTATTGTTGTTAGCTATCTCATTCCGTTCCTCCAAACTCATATTTTATATACTCTATTTTATTTCTACTTATCCTTAGTCACTTTCTTTCAAACGCTTTTCTCCATTTCTCAAACCTATTACTGACTTATTACCGATTTTCCCCATCAAAGTTATGATCTTTCTACGGCATATGAGTTCATTGTTGATTCTTTCTCTTTCTAAAAATTTTTCCATCTCAATATCCCAAACACATCAGGTACTATCCTCAATCTCGTGTTCTACAATTCCGGTAAACTTAATATCCAAAATAGCCTCAGCTCTTATCAGTCCTGACTTGTATCATCCTTCATTGTCTATTAATTACTATGATCCCCAGGAGTGTATAATTCACTCTTCACGCTCTTATTCTGACTTCAAAGCCAGCGACTATGTATTTATCTTTCGCCTATTTAACTCTTTCAACTGGGAAGTTATATTTTATTTATTGTCCATTAATGACACAACCACGCTTTATAACCTTCATTGATAGTGTTATTCTAAAAAAGACCTTCATTGCCCCAAAATTCTTGTACTGGGTATCCAATGATTTCAAATGTATAATTAATTATAAAAAACTTCCTCATAAAAAATTTAAACAGACTAGCTTCTGATAATCGTATATTTTCAGAACTCCTAGCCAAGTGCTTAACGTCTATTCCTTATAAAATATCATTCTTTTATAAACAACACTGAACACTTGTACTCTATCTTGTGAAGTATACAGATCATGATTATAAAGATTTTAATTTAATATACTGGTTACATAACGTTGTTTTAAGTTTATTTAAGTTTATTATTTAATAGTTTAGTTTATATTCAGTTTATTTATTTAAGTTTCCAAAAAAGCTAGTTAATCTTGTAGAGGCAAGTTTAAATGGAACAAAGATTAAAGTAAAGCTAGCAAATACGTTGTCACAACCAGTGGAAGTGGTGACAGGCTTAAGACAAGGAGATGCGCTTTCTCCTGTACTATTTAACTTAGTGTTGGAGAAGATAGTAAGAGAAATCAATTTATGTGAAGGGGTTGAGTTAGGTCAATCGACAATTAACATTCTGGCATATGCGGATGATATCTCTCTAATGAGAAGAAGTAGAGAGATGATAATAAAAATGGGGAAATCACTTATAAAGGCTGCGGAGAAAGTAGGACTAAGGATTAATGAAGAAAAAACAAAGTACATGGTGGTCAGTCGGAGAAATGGAAATCAGGTACAAGAAGAATTCATTGAAGTGGAAGAATACAAATTTAAAAGAGTGGACCAATTCAAATACTTAGGGTCAATTATAACTCAAGATAACGACATTAAAACAGAAATTTCAATGAGATTACAATCAGCTAGTAAATGTTCCTTTGGACTTAGTAAAATTTTTAGATCAAGAGCAATCTCTAAGAATTTAAAAGTTAGAATGTACTTAACTTTGCTAAGGCCGATTGTCCTGTACGGAGCAGAAACATGACCTCTGAGAGAGACTGAAGAACGAAGAATTGCAGTATTTGAGAGAAAAGTACTCAAGAAAATTTATGGGGCATACTATGATGTTCTCACAAATGAATGGAGGAAATTACACAATGAAGAACTGCAATCCCTTTTTCAACGACCNTATGATGTTCTCACAAATGAATGGAGGAAATTATACAATGAAGAACTGCAATCCCTTTTTCAACGACCGGATATACTGAAAGAGATAAAGAAAAGAAGGCTAGTTTGGGCTGGACATGCCTGGAGGAAACATGACTCATTAATAAGAAGAGTAATAGAGGAAAACCCAGTAGGGAGGAGACCTCTTGGAAGACCGCGTTTAAGATGGAAGGATTGCGTAAGGAGAGACACTGAAACAGTGGAGCCGGAGTGTCTGGCAGGAAGTAGCAGAGGATAGGGATAGGTGGCAGTATGTTTATCTAGAGGTATGGTCTTGAATGGCCGAAACCAAGGAAGAAGAAGAAGAAGAAGGTTACATAACGTGCTATGGTAAGAACATAGAATTTGATTCCTGAAGTGTCTTCGTTAATCTGTTAAGAAAAAACAAGTGCTCATAACGGACTAAGATATCTTACGGTTCGTGATTATCATTATTTATTAACCGTCACTGTATCAGTTCATTTTACAATTAATTACATGCGCCGTAAGACATTCCTCATCGGTTAAGTAAAAGACACTTTGTGGGTCTTGTTATCGCGCCTTGTTGAGTAACCAGAATATACGTATATCAGTATAATCTAAGACCGTGAGTATATTTTCAATCGTGACACAGATATAGATAATAATAATGTTTAGAACGAACGTCTCGTGTGGGGTAAAGTTGCGCGACCAATCAGAAGTGTTCAGATTTGTTATCATTATTTGTGAAAATCACATTTCTTATTCTTTATAAAATTATAATGTGATATAATTATCATCAACCATACGGGTGTTTCATACACATGCAGGTATTATACTTAATATATTTTAATTATAATATGTAAAATATATAACAATATGGAAGAGTTTAAATCCAATGACATGGAAGAGCTGAAGTGCTTGGGTTATGATAAATATTTTAGTTTTATAAGAACCTTAAAATGACATCTAATTACTTGTGGATCTAAGGAATCAAAAAATATTAATAGTGTGAAATGTCCCTATTGATCTTGTAATAAGTTGAAATCGCATATAGTGGCACACCAAAACGTGGAGTTACAAAATTAACAAAAAACATTTGCAACAAAATAGTGATAACAAATATGAACGCTTCATAATGGTCGTACAATTTTGCCCCCGAGACGCTTGTTTTATAGATATCTGTAATGTAGTTGTAGATACGATTAAACATACCTTATCTTTAATCATGGTTGTCGACCTAATACCTTAAGACTTAAGATATTAAGGCTTAAGTATATGGTCTATTGTAGATCTATAACCGTGAGTACTATAGTTCGCGATTGGTGATTATAGGAGTTATCAGATAATAATTATCTATCAATTATTGATGTTGATTCCTTGATACAATTTTAGATAATATAAGATAAGATTATATCAGCATAGATAAAATAAACAAATGGGCACATGGTCATATCTTGGGTAGCTGAGTAAGTTTTAATGATTTGTAAACTATTTCATAGTAATATTGTATGGTGTAACTTTTCTTTTGTTAACATAACTCAGAAGACTTTTGTCTTCCAATTATCAGAAAGAAAACAATAATTTTTGACAGAATGTCTAAAATGGATAACCCAATAATTATGAACAAGTATTCTATTGAAAGGGTACGTTCATTTGATTTTTAATTTACATTCGTATAAAATTTCAATAATGTTTTTATTATTTTTCAGACTTTAGGTAATGAAATAAAACCTTATAATTATGAAGAATTTGTTAAGGTGATTATTACTTAATTTGTTTGCTAGTTTATTTGCATATTTACTGGAAATTCTAAATTATCATAAATGTTACTTATTTTTTAGAATTTCAAAGTAAACATTATTAGTTGTTCTGAAACTGACATGGAATTTGATCTCATTGGAATAGATGTAGCTCTTGCTAATAGTTTAAGAAGAGTTATTCTATCCGAGGTAATACAATTAATAATTTTAAAATATAGCCTCACCACAGGGATTTATATATTTTAAGGATAAAAAGTTTTGAATCAAAAAACATGCTAAAGGAAAAAAGTACTATTGTAAATTAATACATATAACAAACATTATTATCTAATTTTTCAGTAGAACTAATTTTATGCTGTTAGTTTTATTAATGTGATGTTAAAAAGATATCAATTCAATTGTTTTCATTTGATATTTTAATATTTAAGCAAAGTAAAGAATTGTGTAAAATTTAATATTTTTCATCCCCATGTCTTCATTATATATTAAATAATCAAAGAAAAAAAAACACAAACACATGTTATATTCTTATCTCTTTATTTTATAATATAGCTATTTTCACTTTATACTAATTTAACAGCACAACATTTAATTTACTTATGAAAAATTGACATAATTCAATTTTTAATATAAGCTGTATATATAATACATTCATTAATAATCTAAAACAAAATTAGATTTTCATGTTTTCTAATTTTAGGTACCCAGTATGGCAATTGAAAAAGTACATATTTATCAAAATACTTCTTATGTACTTGATGAAATACTTGCACACAGATTAGGTTTAATTCCATTAAAAGCAGACCCTAGACAATTCAAAATGAAAGAAGATGGTAATTATTTATTTAAATTATCTTGTGACTAATTTTTTAATTTTTTTGGGTTTCTTTAGAAAACTCTGAACCTAATGAACATGATAGTCTCGTTTATGAGATGAAAATTAAATGCACGAAAAAAGACTTGGATGCATTAGCTCACAAACAGTTTATTAGTTTTCCAGGTGAAAATAATATTTTTAATGATATTACCTACGGTGTGCCCAACCTTGTTCGACAAATTTTTCTCTCGGATATATTATTTTTATAATTAATAAATAATTACCTTTTTTTTTTTTTTTAGTATACTCCAAGCATATTAAATGGTTGCCTGTGGGGAATCAAAAGGATATGTTTACAGAAAATGATGTTGGAATTAACGGTGATGATATTCTCATTGCCAAATTAAGGCCTGGGCAAGAAATTGAGCTTAAAATGTTTGCAGTTAAAGGGATACCTAAAGATCATGCTAAATTTCAAAGTGTTTGTAAGTACTTCCCTATTGCATAATTTTGGTTGATGTCCAGTATTCAAAAATATTTTAGTAAACCTTAATGATTTAAAATGATTTAAATCAACCTAATTTGGTTAAAAAAAAAAACAAATTAAATTTACTTAGTGGAATTTACCCTCTCTATTTTTTCAACAAAGAGTACAAAAATCAAACACTAAAGCCTTAAAAAAAAAAAAAAAACACCTATTATACAACATGTAGATGACAACATCTATGTACCAATATTGGCGTTTTACAATTCTCTAAATATTCAACTTAATATTAAAGGTATATATTTTATATTTTTTAGTATTTCTGTTTATTCAAACAATTTTATTCACATAGTACCTACCTACCAATGAAAAACTATATAGATAACTAGAAAATGTAAAATGTTTATAAATAGCTCTAAATTAACTTCAGTTATTCAAAAATTAAGTTATGTCTAGAAAAGGAAAATATAAGTTTTCTATCAAAATTTCAGTTCTGTCATGGTCTCTTAAAGGAGTGACATTTTAGTTGAATCTGTAGACAAAAATTTAGTATAATATTTAATTTTTTTTTCAATAATTATATCTCTAAAATAATAATTTTGTTAATAGATTTTCTATTATTGGAATTATTATTTTTTATAATAATCTCATTTTCAAATATGAGGTACAAAAAATAATATATAATCAATGATAAGTGTCTAGAACAAATGGCCGTCTTCATGGATGCCAACAAAAAAAAAATAATAATAATACAATAAACAATAAATATATATATATATTAATAATTTTATTATAATAAATTAACTACAAACTCTGAATATTTGAATAACTGTTATAAAATAAAAATGAACTCGCGTTTGTATTTACACTGCCAAAATTGTTTAAGAACGTTGTAACTCAATTTATCAAATAAATAAATGTAACCATTTTTGGTTAAAATTTATTTATGGAAATTTGATTATAATTGCCATATTATTCTAGGTAATTAATAAATAATAATTATTTCATATGATATATAAAACTATGGAATGTATTGATGTGTATATGTTCACTGATGTTGGTTGACTAGGTATATTTTTTTATTGTTAGAGTTTCCTGATATTGAAGTTTCAATTTCAGTTATCGATTCCGGTAGCGTCTGAATAATATCTATCCGGTAAGATTATACAATTATACAATAATTAAAAATAGTAATGGTTAATACCCATATAATAAAATTAACATAAAACCAACATTTTATTGTGTTACATTATTGTCATAGTATTGATATAGAATGCAGTTATTTAGGTACTCACAGTTTGTATTTATTATATAATATGTAATAATAATATATAATATTATTACTATCTTTTTGTTTTGGCATCCAAATTTCCCTTGCATTCAGTCGCATTAGTCACAACCATTTGTCCCAAACCCCAATGATTATACCTTCTTATTTTGTTGTTTTTTTTTTTTTTAAATTTAGGCACATCATGGTACAGAATGATGCCAAATATTAAATTACTTGATGAGATAAAAGGAAATGATGCATTGCTATTACAATCATGCTTTCCAAAAGGTGTAATTGGATTAAAAAGTGTTAAAGGTATAATATTAATTAATATTTAATTTTACATCCAAAAACAAAATATCATTTTTATTATATTTTTTTTTATATACATTTTAGGTGTCCTTGTAGCATTTGTAGAAAATTGTAGAAAAGATAATAGCTCTAGAAATGTATTTAGATACAAACAATTTGATGACAAAATTTTACTTTCCAAAATTCAAGATCATTTTATTTGTAAGTCTTAAGTGTTAATTTATACATTTTCCTTTTAATAAAATGTTTTAAATATTGGTTGTGATCACAAGTTTAAAAAGAGCCTTTTTTTATTGGTGTTGTTATTTAAAATTCACAATACCATTTGTGATAGATTTCCTAAATACTAAATTTAGCAAATTTTCACTCACCATTATAGTTTTAAAAATTGTGTTCTGTTATATTTTTTATTTTTATATTTGTATAATACATACAATTTAAGTTATTTTTTTTTCTTATGAAAGATATATTCTTGTTGATTTCATGTCTTATGCATATGCATACATAAGAAAGAGTTATTAATTGACTACTTTGCAAGGTTTTGTGTTAATTTTTTTCCTTAAACTTTTGACTATTTAAATTAGTAGATTTAATTAAGTATATTATAGGTGTTCATGCCAATTAATTAGCTTTTGTTTTTATTTATTTTCAGTCACAATTGAATCAATTGGAGCAATGAAGCCTAATATAATTTTCTTGGAAGCAATAAATATAATAATTAGGAAAGTTAATGGTGCCTTAGAATCTGCACTAAATCAGACTGAAATTTAGTTAAAAGGAAATTTATTCCATAAATATAAAAAATTATTTTCTTAAACACTGGGTTAAGATAAATTGAAATTTGTATTTTTTCTTCCCTCGCAAGAGGGATCATTAACTTGTATTTATTGCCTATCCTATTAGAATGAAAAAATAAAGTAGAAGATTTACAGAGAAAATATATTTATTCGAGCAAAATACTAAATATACTAATCTAAAGATATTATGTCCTTTTATGTAATTAGTAAAAAAAGTTAAGGATATAATTAGCAGTAGAAGTTGAAAAGGCTGAGAGAAAATTTAAAGTATATCTATACGCTGCGATTAACTATTGCTAACGAAAAACAATTCTAAGTAAATTTTGGTTAATAATGTTTTACTAACAATATATGTCTATTATGATAAAATTTGTTATTAATGTATATTTTTTTCTTAATTTTTGTAAAATATTATACCTGTTTTTTCATTTATTATAGAAACAGCTAGGAAAATAAAAAAAATTACATCCTTAAGGTACCATCCCAGTGGTATTGCAATTGGAAATCTGAGTAAAATTTCTGGCAGATAAGTTGTTTACAAGTAAAATAAAATTGTAAAACCAATACATTCCTTGCTCTGCTTAGAATCTAAAAGTTCTTAATTATATACACTCAAAGTTTACTTTGTGAAAATTTCCATGTGATCAAAATTTATGAGGTAATTTAAAATTCCTATTGACCTTTAAAATATTGCCCATGGATTATTTCACCATGATTAAGTTAAAAACTACACAAATATGCATTAAGCATTTGTAAAGTATAAAGAATTCTTAAAACACAAATAAATAAAATCCATAGGTTTTATTTCTTTTATTTTATTAAAAAACTTACAGGTAGGAAAATAAAAAAACACTGCTCATATTACAGCAAATCCTATAATTTATCCACGTTTAATATTAAATACCACATTTGATGTTTTAAACTTTATATTTTAAGGGTTTCCAAATATATCAATAATTATTTACTTAATAATATGATTGTATCATAAAACAAGTTTATTTCCTTTTAACTTGTTAAAACAATTTTAAACCGAATTTCGCTAAAGAGGTAGGCACCATGGTTTTATATTTTATTTCAATTACTTTTATACCAAATACTAACAATTTATATGTATAAATACCTATTACATATTTTTAATTTATATTAAATCAAAATAAATGTATGAATCAATGATTGGTTAATGTAATTAAAATAGATTGTGTACATGCTTACAAGATCACATTTTTTTTATTTTTAAGTTTATGGTGTGTAAGATGTACTTCGTCGAACTGCTGGTGGTGATGTAGATTCACTTTTTCTCCATCCAGGAGATCTACTCCTTGCCGAAGCTGGTGTATGACTTCTACTTTTGGATTCTGATCTTGATTTACGGTCAATTGACATACTTCTTCTACTTCTATCCACCGATAAGCTTCTTTTCCTGCTAGTTGACTTACTTCTTTTTCTGCTCGTCGACTTACTTCTTTTTCTGCTTGTCGACTTACTTCTTTTTCTGCTTGTTGACTTACTTCTCTTTCTACTCGTAGACTTGCTTCTTTTTCTGCTAATTGAAGCACTTCTTTTTCTGCTGATTGAAGTACTTCTTTTTCTACTGACTGAAACACTTCTTTTCCGGCTGACAGAAGCACTTCTTTTGTTCCTAATTGGTGATCTAGATACAGATCTTGTAGGTGATTTTGGACTTCTAGATGGTGGTGTTCTTGTAACTCTTCTAGCTGGAGGTGATCTGGGAGATGGAGATCTACGTTTAGGTGAGCGTACACGTCTATGCCTTTTTTCAACAGGTGAACGTGACTTATGGCGACTTACGCTACGTTTTCGTGTACGCCTTTGGGAAGAATTTGATTTCCTACTAGGACGTTTTTTAGGTGTTCGACTTCTACGAGGAGATCTACTTACACGTTTATGAGCCGGTGTTCTAGTCCTAGATCTTTTTGGAGACAAAGAACGTCTAATGTGACTAGACGAACGACTATTTATCAGTTCAGATGGTTTTCCTCTGCCAGATGAACTACTTCTTCTTGGAGATTTACTAGAGGATCTAGGACTTCTAGAATTACTTCTTGGGGGTGTAGCTGACCGGGATTTTTCTTTTTCGGGCGTAGTTGATTTATTTTTTTTCTCAACTTCAGGTACAACAAGTGGTGTAGTTTCTTTTTTCTTGTCTTTATCTCTACGTTTTTCTGATTTGTCTTCTTTTTTTTTAGAAGAATATTTCTTATCTTTTTTGTGACTTCTTGATCTTGAGCGACGTCTAGATTTAGATCTTGATCTTCGTTTTTCCCTAGAAGATTTACGTTTTCTTTCTTTGGATCTAGACTTTTTCCTGGACCGCGATCTTTTCCTTTCCCTTGAACGTCTATCTCGACTCCTATATCTTTTCCTTGATCTGGAACGACGTCTAGAACGCGATCTTGATCGTCTTCTACGTGAACGGGAGTGTCCCCTACGTGATCTAGATGATGATCTCCGACGACTCCTACCGCCATGTGATCTGGATCGAGAGCGGCGATGAGAATGACTGTGTTTCTTATCTTTGGACAAAATACCAATAACAGGATCAATAGCTGCAGATATTAAGCTTTGTGCTTCTTTCACTCGCGTCATAGCTTCTTCAATTTCTCTTTGGGCCGCTTCATTACTTTTAGCCATAGGCTTAGCAATAGCTTGAGTGGCGTGTGTCACTTGAACTGGACGAGTACCGAGTGTTACCCCGTTAAGTTTCAATCCAGCTATAACACTGGCTTGTTCAGAATATTCTACTAGAGCATAACGGGTAATATCGTTTTCTCTACTACACCATCTAACATACTTGACGTCACCAGCTTTTTGGAAAAAATTGATTAGCTCATCGTCTGTCACATTTTCGTCAACATTAATGGCTACCAGAGTACGTCTGATTTCTTCAATCCGCCTTGCATCATAGGTGATAGGCAATTGTGGATATGGCGGCAAACCGTTGGACGCTAATACAGGATCGTTTGTGACGATTACTTGATTTGGAGGGATACCTTCAATTTGATTGACAACATGTGGTGGCAATTTTGGATCTGACGGATATAATCCGGGTACGACATTGGCTTGATTGGCAATGTCTAATGCTCTGTACTCGTCGGGAATATCACCGACCGACGATTGGTATGGAGTGACGATAAGTGCTCGATCTATGAATACCGTGTTGGTAAGATGTTGGGCAACGGCCACACACAGCGAATCGAAATACTTGACGTAACATATACGAGACTGTACTGGTACCGATACATCGCGTATCTGCGGATACAACCTGATATCTTCGATCTTGCCAATACATCCGAACAGCGTTTGCATTTGATCCTTGGTGGCCTGTGGTGCGATATTCGTCACCTGTATCACCTTGGTGGTAGGTGCAGTTTCCGTACTAGCCGTCATTCCGCAACGGTGAATTGGGATGAACGACAACTGATGATCAGAAGCGTGAATTCGAAAAGCCGGCTACATGATCCGCGAGGCGATCCGAAAATTGTTGTTTGTACGGTTATCGGCGTTTTCAGCAACGATTGGACCGTGGTATCGTACTTGTATTTTTTAATGTGAAAAACAAACGGCGGGGTGTGTGTGTATGTGTGCTAATAGAACGCCTACGATGTCACGAAAACACAGTGTAGGTATACAAACAACACCGTTAAAATATGAAAAATAATAGACATTTTGTTGAAAAATAAAATTATTACTTATTAAACAAAAAAATTTACTGAGAAAACAGGTATATATTATAACTGTTCAATTTTAAATAATTTGTATGCTATTACAGTTTAATAATGTGAGTTAAAGGCTAACGAATTTTTATGTTTTTTTTTTAAACAAGAAAAATACTGTGCATAAAAAAAATTGTACAACATCGGTTGATCACACTGTAGCAATACGCCGGTTCGGCAATATTATTTTTGTCTTGTCATTTTCCGCTAGCCGAACTGCAAAGCCCTCGTAGATTACCGATTATTTCCTATTACATACGTACGTTTTCTATTCCATTTTCATAATCATAGATAGTTCAATAGCTTTTGATCGAAAATTCAAATATTGCCTTATTTATAATTGTTAATTAGAATCGTACATATTTTCAACTTTTGGTGAGTACGGTGTTACTTGTTAATTGACGCGTAGCTATCTTAATTTTAATGTGTTTTATTCAGATATCAATGGCCAAAATTAAACTGCTTGTGTACATAGTGCTACTATTATTACCTTTGACATTTTGCGAAGATAAACCGGAGGTAAATGATCAACTCTTCTTATGAAATTAATTTAAATAATTGATTTATATTTGTTTATTTTTATCAGGTTGATGATGCGACTTCAGAATCGGTGTATTATGAGAGCCCATGGCACAGTAAAATAGGCGTGTACTTAGCTGAACATTTTGATGATCCATCAATATTAGGCTCAAAATGGATCAAGTCTAATTCCAAAAAACCTAATGTTGATGAGGAATTGGCCCAATATGATGGTAAAGTATATTATTACTATAAAATTAATATATTTTTTTTCTATTTTATAGTACTCTCCCCAAATTTTATACAAATGTTATTTTATAAGAATTGTCTTTGTTTATATATATATTAAAATATGTTATAAGTTTTATATCATAAGTCCCAGGGAGAAATGCTTCATGCTATAGCTCGCACCATTAAAAAAAAATCAAACATAAATTTATTTAAAGAATAACTTATTGATTGAACGATAATTAATCATCAATAATTTATCTATACAATTATGAAACTTATAATACCATTATTATTGATAAGTTAAAATTAATATATTGTTAAAAAAAATCTAACATGCAAGCTATCAATCAAAATAAAACACCAATAATTCTGGATTAAATCAATTTTTGGGTTTTTTTTTTTTTAAAGTTGTCTTACCTATTTTTTTTATTTGTTAGTTTCAATGGTATAAGTGTATGTATTTGAAATATTTTAATTTGTTTATGTTTAAAGATGTAACATATTGACTTAGGAGAGTCTTCCTTGGGATGAAAGATGTAATATATTTTATATTAAGTTGTAAAATTAAGAGTTAAAGTATAGCTTCTGGTCTTAATAAACAAGTCAAAACATCAAAAAATGTCACATAGCTTTTTTGTTTGTATACTGTATTAAAGAAACCTCCATCTGTCAGATATTCTATTTTCACAGGTGCTCGTAAATTTTTTTAAATTTTGTTATGAATTATGAAATTTGATTATCCTGAAAAACAGTTTTGAATACCTACGACATTAATTTTATCGGTTTGTGATTACTATTAACTTTTTAACTGTATATAATTTTCACAATGCAAATTGTGTTATGCGATCAGTAAGTTAGTCTATCAAATAACATAATATAACAAAAATAGTTGGAAATACCTACTTAATGTTGTATATGATAATTCACTCTCCATCCATGCATATATAATTGATGTAAAACCAAAAATTATGTGTTCATAAATAATAGTAGGTACAAATTTATAATTTCATAACAAAATATAAAATAATCTACAAGAAAATCGGTTGGAAAATTGAATACTTAACTGGTGGAAATTTTTTTTAGGACAGTATAAAAACAAAAAAATGTATGTAAAGTTTTTTGATATTTTAACATTTTTTTCTTAAACCTAAATCCATACTTCAACTGAATTAAGTTTTAAAATGTTTTATTAGGTTTTATTAACTTTACAAATATAATTTTTAGGTATCACACAACTTGTACAAGTAATGTATAATATAATATTTAACCTTTTTGTTAATACAGTCTTCAACAATATTCCATCTATTCGTTTACTTCTTTTCCTGATGATGCCTAACTTTTCTCTCGTATATCATTCAACATATGTTATTGTGATGCTCTCCAATTATTGTTTAATAGCTTTGTTAACTGGTGTAGAGCTGTTGGTCTTATTCTCAATTTGATAAGTGTAAAGTTTAATTATTTTTTAGATCTCAAAATATTGTTGATTACAATCAATTATTATAATGGTATTCCTTTACCTCGGGGACTCGATTTAAAGGACCTAAGTATACTTTATACTCCTTCACAATCTTACAGACCTCACATTGATTACATTACATGTAGGATCTTATATTTGAAATTAAATTAATTGAACGTGTGCAGAAAGGCTTCCTCAGTTATGCTTCCTACTAAAAATTGATCATCATGACAGCGTTAAATCTTAGTCCTCTCAAGATCAGGCGTTAAAGAACTGATCATAACTTTTTGTTAAAATTAATGCAAGGAAAGATTAATAATCCTCCAATTCTCGAGTGTTCAATCCTCAGAATTCTTTCTGTACATACCAGATCCTCTGTGATCTTCCACTTCCCAACTTTCTGTTCAACTGATTAAATGATCTCTTTGTTGAAATGATGTGTAACTTAAATGATATAATGTTGATATTTGGCCGCAGTTTTCTTATATTTTAGTGTTTATTTTTAACTTTTTTAATATTTGTTGTCTACTCAACTTACTTTTATTTTATAATAACCTTATTATGTAGTATTTACATTGTTTTTATCTTAAAGTCGATTGACCTTTATTTCTAAAATAAATAAATAATATGAAAATTAATTTTCTTAACATTAGTTGTTATATTTTGAGTAAATATCTTGTTGAATAAATTGGTTGTCATGAGGAATTAGCAGTTTATTTATTATCTAAGAATTAAGATTCATAAAATAATTACAATTATTAGTCATGTGATAATTACAGTATAATATAAGTATTATTAGTAATACAAATTTGAGTTATATTTTATAACATATTTTTATAAAATTTCTTTTGTATTTTATTTTTTGTTATTTTTATGTAATTATATATTAGTCATGATTTCTTTGAGTAAATAAAGGAAAGTAATAGGAGTTTTGTTTGAATAATAATAGCATAAGATTTATAATTTTTAATTATTTTCAATTGTTAATACGTTATAATTTTTATTATAATATAAATCTAAGATAAAAAAAAAAAGTGAAATTTTATTTTGCAAAACTTATATAGTTCAAATTAATGAAATATGTAAAAATAAATTATGTTATAGATTAAGGTTCGTTACTAATGTGAATACAAGCTTTTATTTAAATTTTATATTTGATTTATCAGTTATCTCATAAACTCTATTAAAAAAAATCATTGTTTATGTTGGTGAAAATGGCCCTAAAAAGTATAAACTTATGAATATATGTCAATATATTAATACAACTATTCATTTTTAATTTTATTAATTGTTAATAGAAAAAATATTAATTATAATTTTCATTTTATACTATTAGCAGAAATGTATATGGTCAACGAATGAGCAGTAATATTTTTGTACTAATATTAGTTAAACAATTAATAAAATTATGCATTATTTTTTGAAATAGGCATTTTGTTAAAATAATTTTGATTATTTATTTTATTAGGTAAATGGAGTATTGAAGAATTAGAAAGATTCCCACTTAAAAATGACAAGGGTCTAGTTTTGGCATCAGAAAGTCGTCATGCTGCTATTTCTTCAAAACTTGATAAACCATTCAAGTTTGAAAGCAGCAAAACTCTAGTTATTCAGTACGAAGTAGCTTTCCAAAAACCACACACATGTGGTGGAGCATATTTAAAACTACTTACTGATGGTCCTGCTGTCAAAGATTTAACTCAGTTCAATGATAAAACTCCATATTCAATTATGTTTGGTCCAGATAAATGTGGACCAACTTCCAAAGTACATTTTATTATTAGACATAAAAATCCCAAGAATAATTCAATCACTGAAAAACATTGTTTGAAATTAAAAACAGAAGAAACCGTATTCACCGACCATCAGTCTCATTTATTCACTTTAATTATTAAACCAGACAACTCTTATTCATTCTTTTTAGACCAAGAAGTAAGTGTTTTAAGAACATATCTTTTTGTTATGTTAAATGTATTATAATTTATAGTTACAATATGAAGGAGACTTGCTATCAGATGACGATTTTAGTCCACCAATTAATCCACCAAAAGAAATAGTTGATAAAAATGATGTGAAACCTGAAGATTGGGATGAAAGAGCTAAAATTCCAGATGAAAGTGCCGTTAAACCAGATGATTGGGACGAAAGTGAACCTGAAAATATTCCTGATGAATCTTCCACTATGCCAAGTGATTGGTTAGAAAATGAATCAACCCATATACCTGATGCTTCAGCAATTAAGCCTTCTGATTGGTAATTATAAGTATATGTTTTATTATTATTATTATTATTAATGTTTTAAATAATTTGTAATATATTAAGTATTAAATAATATTTACTTGAAGGGATAATGACATGGATGGAGAGTGGGAACCTCCTTTAATCAACAACCAAAAGTGTGAAGATCGTTCAGGTTGTGGACCTTGGACAAGACCTTTAATGAAAAATCCTAAGTATAAAGGCAAATGGAAGCAACCATTAATAGATAATCCAAATTATCGTGGAAAATGGAGTCCTCGACTAATAGAAAATCCTGATTACTTCTATGATAAAAATCCACTTAAATCTTCACCTATTGTAATTATTTTTATTTATACAACGCATCTATTATTAATAGTTATTTTATCAATTTTATTTTATTTGTATTTATTATAGGGTGCTATTGGGTTTGAATTATGGTCTATTTCAGACAAAATTTATTTTGATAATATTATTATAACAGATGATGAAGCACAGAGCACAACATGGGCAGAAAACTCATGGTCACTAAAAAAGAAGAATTTATCACACAAATCGGTAAAATATTTGAATTTCTAAAACATGACATTGTTTAATAGTATCTAAATTATTTTATTTGTATAATAATTTAATTTTTTTTAAAAAAACGTGTGCATATTTAAATTATAGGGCACTTTTTGGGGCAGAGTTCTCAAGAATCTAAATTTTAAACCAGGATTATGGTTATGTTATATATTTTATTGTTCTATACCTGTGGTCATTTATTTATCATATTTGACACAAAGATATTTTAAGGTGACCAAATAATATTTGGCTGTACTGTATCAGATCTTTGTGTACCTATCCATTTTAGTTTGATAAACCTAAATTAATATTATATTCCCATTGTACCTACTTTATATTAATTTAATATTAGGTGATGTATTTTTTTTGTTAATCAGGAAAGTGTATTTGGAGCTATAATTAGATACACCAATGAATATCCATGGCTATGGGCTGTATATGTAGTTTTTATTGCCGTGGCTGTTGTACTTTTAGTTATTGCGTGCTCTAGTTCGTCAAAAGTAATTTTTGTCTCCTATAAAATTTATACCCGTTTACTTATTTTTTCATCCTTATATAGTAAAATCATTACTGTTATTTGTAGGAAAAAAATTCAAATGAATCAAATAAAAAAACTGATGAACCTGTACCAGACATAGAAGGGGATGTTTCTGATGAAGAACAAGAAGCTGAAGTCGATATTAAAGAAGATGAAGAAATTGATGGTAAAAGTGCTGAAGATGAAGAAGAAAATGTAAGTGCATTTAATAACCATTCTCTAAATAAAAATTGTCATTACCATAGCATATTATATAGGCGTGTTATAAGTATACTAAAGCCCTTATAAGCATATTACTACATTTTTTTTTTTACGAAGGCGATTGTGGCATCCATATAAAATCCTCATTATTATCTAATATTATTTATATTATGTTATTCATATACAATAATTATTAGAGATCAAATTTATATTTTTTTGTATTCCACAAAAAGGCGCTTAAAAAGTTAACAAAACTCTGAAAAAAGTACTTAAAAATCTTTCCTCTAATGGCCCTAACATATTAAATCAAATTTCCTAACACTACATAAATGATTAACACAAAATTAATTGTATGTATTATAAAAAGATAGACATACTTTGCAAAAATAGGTGAGCCATTGTTTTAGGTGAGAAGTTGGAGAGGTAGGATATAGAGTAGAATTTAATGTTATAATAATAATTAAATAACAATTAATCTTAGCTACCAAAACAAAAATTGTATGTGCAAAGTTCGGTTATACATGTTAAAAAGGCTGTAATATTTATTATTTTTGTAAAAATTATTATGAAAAAAAAAAATGTTCATTAAACTCAACTTTTTCTTGTAGAGCACTAAGTACAACTTATAAACCTATACAATTTTCAAACTTTTTTGTTTGGTCTAACAATTTTATCCACAAAGTATACCTACTATTCAAAAGGCTAAGGCCATTAAAGGATAAATCAGGTCTGGTCTAAAACTACAATGGATTGGATTATAACAGTCAAAATAAATTTCATTTCCCTTTATTTAAATTTTAAACACAAAATACTGTGAATTTTATTTTTTGTTTGTACATATTTAATTGTTATATCACTGTAATATTTGATACAGATAAAATTATTAATGAACACATTGATAGAGCATTCCTACACAATTTTTACATTTTACAGAATTGATAGATTATCAAAATAACAGTTTACGAAATTGTTTTTATAAAACTAGGTATAGGATTATTAAATATATTTTAGTATTTATAAACATCTTATATTTTTAAGGTTGATATAGAAGCTGATCAAACTAATGAAGAGCAAGTGCCATCTTCTCCTAGAAAACGCAGAACCAGAAAAGATTAAGTCTGCTTGCAGCCTCTCTTCTCTCCTTGGTAGCATTTGTATTCCTACAATTTGTGTATTTTGTTGTTTTTTTTTTTTTTTTTAAACGTATTAGTCATGATAATTTTTAAACCTAATTAGGTTATATTCAAATATTTAATATACAGGTCACCATAATAAGGTTTTTACTTTTGTTAAAAATACAACAAACACTTATTGAATTATTATATTTTAAATCACTTTTGATAGACTTGTGCGTTAATTGAATTAATTGCTTTCGTATTTATGTATAATTTGTTTTATACTATATATAATATACATATATATATATATTATATACTATAATAAAAATTAATGTGTCTGATTTAAAAATGTAATCTCAAATGTGTTAAATAAAATTGGTTTGATTGAGTAATAATTGTTATAATCAGAGGATAGTCTGATTGTTAATTATTTTTAAAATTCTTACAGTATGGTCATTGGTCACAATAATCAGAACTAATTATTATCTCACATTGCTTAAGATAATTAATGGTTAAGAAAAATATGTAATATAATAGTAGATAACATTTAAATAAATTTAAATATGTGTACATATTATATTAAAAAAAAAATGACTGTCATACTTCACACGATATATGAGGAGTTTAATGTTACGTATAATATGTTGGGAGTTAGGCGAAGTTGAGAAGACACATTATATTATACATAAATATTAATAAAGCATCATATTGCTGTTTTATTGTTATTATTATTATAGAAACTTGAATAAAAGTCAACTAAAATTAGATTAAATACTGCTGATATGCGCCACTGTAGTAGGTGGGAAGTTAGATACATAAAGTTGTTTAATTTATATTTGTAAGCAACAATAAACCATTTGTTATTAATGCTAACAAAAAAAGATTCTAAGTTGAGTTTGGTTATACGTTATGAAAGGCTGTAATATTTCCAAAATCTGATATTAAAATTCTTATAGAAAAAAAATGTGCATTACACTAATTTTTTTTTTTTTTACCACAAAGTACAACTTATAATAAACCAAATGTTAAATTTTCATGCATTTCTGTTTGATCTATCAATTTTATCCACAGTGTATCTACCTAATAAAAATGTATGTAAAAACTTGCAAAATTAACATGTTTCAAACATTTTGCCACATCTGGAAAAATAAAATTTAAGTTTTTTGTCCAAATTTCAAGTTAAATATTTTTAACTGAATCACAACAAAAAACAAAATTTAAAATGATACATTTTGTAAATTTTACTGCTATTCCCAATTATTATGAAAACTGCTTGGAACATCAAAAAATGAGCTCTTTAAAGTACTATCCTGATAAAATTTCCTTTCATAAAATATACTACAGTTGATGATTGGAGTAATATTTATAAATAGAACCAATAAATTCCTCACTTTGCTCAAAATTTAAAAAACATTGATAGCTGACTCATATTTTCTTGGGGTGTTGATAGGGAATGTTCAGGGCATATTGATCTTTTAATTTTGTTGAGCTTTATAGTAATTTTCTTTCTTTCTTTTACGTCTATTTCGATAATATTTTTTATATCACTTTAGAAGAAGAGATTGTAGGTAAGGGTGTCTAGGGTTGAATGGGCTTGTTTGGCAGCAATGTTACAGTGACTAGGAATCCAAGAATAAGAAATGTTTCTGCCGGATAATTGTGCTCTATAATGGGCATTATAGATTTTTTTTAGCAATGTCTGTGGGGTTATGAAAATTTAGGAAACTAGTGAGTGTAGATAAAGAATTTATTATGATGAAATCTTGTAATATATACTCTAGAATCATCGCCTATGAATATGTAAATAATTTTAAACAAGTGGTTAAATCATAATAAGCTCTTTAGAATTAACATTAATTTTTCTCTGGCTGTCATATTATGCACCAGGTAATTTATTTTGTTGAAATGTTATAGTTTCCTGACTTTAAACTTTATTACAATAATTTATATACATATTTTAGTGGTTTAAATTAATAATTTAAAATCAATAGTCCTTGAACTGAGCTCTTGAATTTAACTATGTCTACACGCTACACCTATAATATTAAAAATGTATAACATATCATATATAACCAAATGTGTCAAATATTTTTATAACAGACCTTAAATGTGTACTAATATGGTTGTCATGGTACACATATTTATGTAACATACTTACATACTACACAGATAGGTAGGTGTATAATAATGAATATAGTTCACAGTGTCTATGTTAAGGCTTGACCAAAATTGTGTCATTACTCATTAGTATTCGAAATATATAGAACATATACAAAATAAAAAAACTTTAAATGGTTCTGGATGACTTGGCTTTGGGACAAAGTAAGGAAGTCTTTCCTAAATAGGACATTAACTTTTTCTGTAGTACCATGTGTTAGTAGATCTTCTATAAGTGATAATTTCCATTCAAAAAATGTAAGTATACATACATACTATATTATGAGGATATATTTAATTTAATATTAAATGTGTTAAGAATAATCTTATATTATCTGTAGAGTAAGCTTTATATTCTATATTTTAGATTGATTCTTGTGAAGATACAGACGAACATTGGGATCGGCTTAGTCCGTGCCCTTTTTGTGGTCACGAAGATAGCCCGGTTTTAACCAGAAGTCAAAGATCATGTAGTGATCCTACTATATCTGGATATTCTAGACTTCCACCAATTGTAAGTTTTTATTAATATTTAATAAAATTAATAATAATACTAATTATAAATCTAAATTTTAGGCAGTAAATGAAATATCTCTAAAATTGTGTAATTTAGAATGGGTATTGAGATATTTCAATCCTGAAAACAATAGGTTATTTAACATTATTTGAATAAAAATTATAATAATTAATCTATACTTACTATTACTACTATTACTTACCTAATTTTTAAATTTCATAATAATATTTAATTTTTTTGGTACTTAGTTGCCATATAGGTACTAAGAAAAACAATTTTAGGTATCCAAGTACTTAGGTAGGTAAATAATAATTTACTCTATATAAATTGTTATTTAATATAAAAGAAATATATTTAGCCTTCTTACATCTCAAAATATTAATAAAATATGTTAACTTTTAGGTTTTTATACTAATGTTAACTATTCCTCTCAGAAATTATCACAATTTATTAATTTTTCCCTATATACATCGGCAAATTTAACAACATGTACATTGTGATGTATTAAATTTATAATTAAGAAATGATCATATTTTATTATATTATTAAATTGTATCTGAAATGTCTATAATTTATTTATTTTCAGGAAAAATCGAATCCTTTTCTACCATATAAGCCATCAATAACTCCTATTAGCAGTCAGAATACCATTGATCAAAATTGTAGATACATTCAAAAGAATCTGCCAATAGAAACTAAACCTCAATATCCAACTAGGCACGAAACCAGAGTAGAATTTTTGTAAGTTTTAATTACTAAATACTATTCTATTATTTTAATTGGTACTATACATATTTGAATTTGGGTTTCTATGCGTGTGTTATTATTATTTGTAATTATTTAAGAATACTCTTCCTACTTTAAACCCAATCTAACATTTATAATTAAGTAATACAATATTTTATTTTAGGCAGGAATTACGTAAAGCTCATAGAAATGAAAATTATATCACCATTCAGCGATTTTATATGAGATTGTTTGATTCATTTAGTGAAATCTGTACACTTTTTAAGGTACTTTATTATTTTATTTTTTGATTAAAAGTAAAATTATTTTTCCTAATTGATTATGATTTAAAGATTAATCCAAACCAATCTGGAGCCAAACTAGATGATCCTGAACTTCAATTAGAATTTGTTTATACAATAAACGATGCACTCAAAGACTTAGTAAAAAAATTGAATTAATTTTGTTCAAATTGTGTATAAAAACTTTAATAATTTTTTTGTTACAGTCTAGTGGAATTCATAAAACAGTTTTAAATTCAATAATAAAAGCGCTATTAGAAAACAAAAAAAAGTGAGAATATGTATATTTTTTTTATTTTTGTGAATAGATTATTTAGTTGTACCTAATCCAATATTTTCATTTTATGTACATTTATCAAAAACTTTAAAGCATTATATTTTACACAGCCTTTATGAGAAAGATGAAGTCAGAGCTTTATTTGTACTTCTCCAATGTCCAGTTTTTGGAACACAATCAAGTATACCAATATTTGCACATTTACTAAATTATATTGCTCACTTAAGCAAAGATGATCACCAACTATTGGTAAATTGGTTCAGAATGTAAGTATTAGTTTAAATATTATAACTCAAATAAATACTAAAATGCATTCAATTTATTAATTTCCATATAAGTATAAACTTTCATTTTCAGTTTCCTAAATCTTAAAAATCAGTCAAATTTTATTAGTGAAAATGATTACATTGATTTATCTAATTGTTTATTGGATTGTTTAGTTTGACCACTAACATACATGCGTTCAGTTATAATCTTTAATAATAGCTTCTTCATTTCAGGATTCTCCTCAATTTGCTTTGCAATAGCATCCACATCCATTTTAATTTGTGTAGAATCTTCATTGGTCCTGCCCCACGATTGTTGCAATTCTGAAGGTTGATGAAGTTGATTACCATAATATTGTTGGTTGTTATAATTATTTAAATGTTGTTTGTATAAAACTAACTGATCGTATGCTAATTGTTCTGCATTTAAAGGTTGTGTTTTTTCTTTTATATTTTTGTATGATTCATCGTAGTTAGTGTTGAAAATCGTAGTTTGTTGCTCATTAGGTTGTCTCATTAGGCTTGATCCTGATGTATAACCATAAGACGGCAATGAAGAATAACGAAATGAGGTTGGAGTAGAGTAACCAATTGGAGTTTGACCAGTGTATTTATTTAAAGTTTGAGCAGAAGGTACTCTAGCGTAATAGAGTGGTTTTGAATTGGAGAGTAAAGGAGAATAACCAGTTGGAACAGACGAAGCTGATGAAATTATTGGCCCATATGGTGTAATATTAGGCATAGAAATTTGTGGCGCAAACAATGCACCTGGTTGCATAGCTCCTAATCCTGGTGCATAAACTGCAGATAATGCAGATTCTACAGTTGTCCCATATGAAGATCCTGATTCACAATTACTTGGAATGACAGTATTAGTATTGACTGCAGCATTTTCATATTCATCGGCTAAATGAATGGTTTCTGTATGGTATATTGGTTGACGGACAAAATGTTTAGTTGGGTTTTCATAGGTAGGTTGCTTTACAATGTGTTTTTGATATCCATGATATGATGGGCCAAGACCAATATGTTCGGTATAAAGTGGTTTATGTACTATTTGTTGAACTTCTGATATAACTGGCTTGTTTACAATTTCTTGTATTTCTGTAATAACTGGTTTATGAATCACTTCTTGCAATTCAGTGATGATAGGCTTATGAATTATTTGTTGGGCAATATTAATTCCTCCACGATAAGGTATAGCATTGGAATAAGATGTTGGAATAACTGAAGATATTAAAGGACCACACGAGTCTGGTAACCCTGCAGACAACCCATATAATCTAGAATATCCACTTGATCCTAATCCGTATGAAGGTGATGATGGGTATGAAGAATAAACTGACCCTGGAAATCCTAATGAGTCATATGATCTATATGTTGATCCATAATTCTCAGACATTGATCTTGCTGGATAATTTTGATTGATATGGATACTAGTTAATTGAGGTGGGTTGGTGGATGGATTAACCTGGCTGATAGTTGAAGCATATGAAAGTCTGAAATAATAATAAAAAATAATAATAAAAAAAATACGGGGACATACTTCACATAATGGGTGCCAACCACCCATAATGGCCACTGTAGTAGGTGAGAAGTTGGAAAGGTAGGGGGAATTTCAATGTATATCTGTATGCTAATATTAACCATTACTAATAAAAAAAATCATTCTGAATGAAGTTTGGTAAATAGTGTTGCTTTGTAACAAATTAGGCTAAATATTTACGAATTTCATCGAAATTTAATAATAAATTCGTTTAAATTATCTAGCATTTCTGTTTAGTTTATTACAAAACAACCAAAATAAAAATGTTTCGAACATTTTGCTTCATCTAGAAAAGGTAATTGTATGTTTTTTATCCGAATTCCAGGTCTCGACAAATATTTATAACTGAATCAAAACAATACAAAACCAAAAATTGAAAAAAATTTCGTAAATTTACACGGTTTTTGCTATGTTTTATGAAAACAGCTGGGGTAATCAACAAATTACCTTCTTAAGTACCACCCTAGTCAGAAAGGTAAAAAATTGTGCATAAATAAAAACAAATAAATAAATATTGTAAAACTAATAAATTCCTCGCTCCGCTCAGAATCTAAAATAAAGCAAAATGTAATTTAAAGCAGTATGCATACTTAGACATGATATTTATTATTTTAGGAAAACCAAAAAACAAGTTAGTTAGAAATAGATAATATGATATTTAAAAAGTTAAAACAAATTAATTATTTAAAATGTATGTAACTATATAATAAAATAAATAATTTAGATTTGTATAAAAAAAAAATCTTATTTTTTCCAATAATTAGTATATGTTAGTAATTAGATATTCAAGTTTTGTTTTTATCACTCGCGAGGATTACAAATATTTAAATTTGTACATTTTATTAAAAAAACAACGTGTTGTTTTATTATTTTCGAAACATTTTATAGTTTATTTTTCTGAAAATGTGGACGTTTTTACTTTTTATTTTTATTAAATTCGTGATTTTTTATAATTTTTAAAGTTCAGAGAAAAAAAAGTGTAGTCAATTCCCAATAATAATAATAATAATAATAATCAGTTAGCAAATGCAATTATAGCTTACTGCATAATTATAGGCTATCAGAATAATAATTAATAAAACATATTTACGATTATTATGGTTAGTATTGACTAGGTACGTATAGGATTCGGAGCGAAGTGAGGAATATATTGGTTTTACAATTATATTTAAATGTTTTTTTTTTTATAAATGACTTTTCTACCACATTATCTTGCTCTGGTTTTCAAGTATGTTCAATGGTACTTTTAATGTGATAATTTTCTGAATTTTCAAGTGATTTTCTTAATAATTAGAAACCACAGGGAAAATATATAGGAAAAACCAGAACATTTACGAAATGTATTATTTTCAAATTTTGTTTTTGTTGCAATTCACTTAAAAATATTTGAAGAGACTTGAAATTTGGACAAAAACTTATATTTGCCTTTTCCTGACCTGATAAAATGTTCAGTGTTCTTAGTCTTTTTTTACCTATTGATGTTTTATTGATTTTAATTTTGCGAGTTTTACGTAATTTTTATTTGGTAGATACTATGTGGATATAATTGTTAGACTAAACAGAAATGTTTAGAAAATTGTCAGGAAACACATATAAATCGTAGGTACTAATAGGTAAGAAAAAAAAAGATAGTATAACATTGTAGTATTTCTTTTTATAAGAATTTTAAAATGCTATTTTGACGAAAATCGTAAATATTACGGCCTTTTAAAACATATATAACCGAATCCCTCACAAAATTAATTCGTTAGCAATGAGTAATCGTTGCGTACAAATATAAATTAAATTTCTCTTTATTATCCTACCTTCCTAACTTCTCACCTACAACAGTGGCTCATCCATTGTGCAAATTATGTCCGTCTTTTTTCTCTGAACTTAAAAAAAAAAATTACAATTTTAAGGGGAATAAAAAGTAAAAACGCCAACATTTTCAGAAGAATCTATGACTATAAAATGGTTATCTTTAAATTTTAAAAGTTATTTTTTAATTTTTTTTATCAAAATATAAAAATTAAATTATCTTTATTATCTTAGGAGTAATTGCAATAGAAATATCTTTGTGGGATACCTGTATATATAATATTTACTTATAATTGCTTATAAATTAAATGAATAAATTGAAACCTAATTTATTATTTATTCATTTTTTCTAAGTTCCTAGTTTAAAAAAAATACTACATAAATAATTTAATTTTAATGTCATATTGAGCTATAATTACCTAGATTTATCATTAGCATCTGTATTTAGGTCAGCTTTCGTTTCAGTTCTTAGTTCCTTTTCTTCAGATTTGGCAGAAGTTTGAACAATTGGAAATTGTTGAATGTCATTTCGCTCAAATCGGTGATTTAATACAGTCTCATTTTTAACGCCAACAGATGAGAAAGGCTCAGGATCGGCAATTACGACAGTGCAAACTAAAGTTAAACACAATAAAAACTTCATCATGACACTTTTAAATTTTAACTAAATATATGTTGATGGTTATACTAAATTGGACATCACTGGTAATAATTATAGGCATGCGTTGAGGTATAAGTAGGCATTCGATAAAAAGCAACATCAGCAATATTATGCAACACCTAAACGTAAAGAAATTATTTTGATATACAATTATAACATTGTTTGTATGTTGGTATTTTAGCTCTCAAGTCGATTCTTAATATTATATTGTTTGTAAATTAAATATACATGTTATATAATTAAATTATAGTATATCTTACTGTTCAGGACTACAAAATGTCCAGTTTTTAAGAAAAAAAAACAGTGATATTGTCATTAAATTTGTTACATCATTTAATTAGGAACTTAACTATTTTATAAAGATATACATAAATCGTAATGTATATATATATATATAAACATAGGGTTACTTTTGAAGCATGCTCACCCCATTTTAGTTTTTGAGCGAAGTGAGGAATGTAATGGTTTTAGAATTATGTTTATTTTTTTTTTCTGTGAACAACTATTACCAGGAATTTTGCTTTGATTTTCAAGTATAGCCCCTTTTCTAAAAAGAAATCAATCTGGAGTGGTTCCCTTTAAGGGAACCATTTTTTGATTTCCCTAGTAGTTTTCATAATAAATGGGGGAAAACGGGGAAATTTACGAAGTATATTATTTTCAAATCGTAAATATTATGGCTTTTCAAAACATGTATAATTGAATTCTGCTCAGAATCGTTTCTCGTTAGAAACAATTAATCGTTGCGTACAGATATACATTAAATGTCCCCCGTACCTCTCCAACTTCGCACCTAAAACAGTAGCCCATCCATCGTACATAGTATGTCTGTTTGTTTATGTTTAAATTATGCATATTATATTCGGATCTGATTTTTGATATTTTTAAGTGTAGGTTATAATTAAATATAATACATTCGGATGCTAGATTTTTCACTACACTTAAGGAGTATTCTGCAGTGGTATCAACTTTGATTTTCCAAATAAGAATCTACTTATAAAGTAAATTGTGAATCCGTTGTTTTTTCTGAAAATGATGCCATATTGTAATTGAAATATGAATACTGTTTACAAGTTTGGTAATATTAATCCATAAACATTTTTTAGTAGTAAGCATTTGTAAAATTATCTGAGCTTATGTGACTAAGTTATAATTACCAAACTCATACCTACTAACAATATATTCATCATTTAAAGTAGAATAAATCAGAAATGTATCATTGAAATTTCGATTATAATACGTGAAAATGTTAAAAAAAAAATTATCTAATTCACAGTTTGTTAATACAATTGTAATACATGTTGGTTCTCATTTGAAAAATCGAAATGTTCCAAAATACTAGCATTAACAAGGTATACTTAAAAAGACGGATATACTTCACATGATGGGTTTAGCCATTGCTGTAGCCTTGTAGGTGAGAAGTTGGGATAGGTATTATTAAATTTTGATAAATATCTTTATAAGTCCAAATCTAAGATACTCTTTAAAATTATTATATTTTTCAATTATTTAAACTTTGAAATTTGATACTAATATTAAAATTGTGTATTAAAGATTGGAACTGGAAAAATTGAGATCATTAATAAGAAACATTATGCAATTTATAACTTTGCGTCAATTTTCTCCAAATGACAAATCTCTACCACCTTTAGCAAAGACTCTTTGGTGGATACCATCCGCGACAAAAAATTTAGCATTAATCAGTAAGTTTTTTTTTTCTAAATAGGTAGGTTTTGTTTCACTAAATTAAAAAACTCAAAGAATTACAATACAGAAATTTTTGGATTTGTGAAATTTAAAGTAGATATTACATAGGTATAAGTATAGGTATAATTAAAAGCAGTTCCAGGACAAGATAACTGGAAAAGGAACTATTTTGAAAATACTTATAATGAGGCACACATTTATGATGAAAATTAAGCCAAATCCCCGATTAACATCTTAATACCGAAATCCCGACAGTTAAGAAGATTGCACATATTTTTAGATGTCATAGATTTTCCATTTTTTTATTTGTTTAGGTATCTATACATATTAGTATTATAAGCCTAACCCCCTAACCTAAAGGGTGAGAGTAAATTTATTAAAGCATACTTGCATTATTAATCATTTACGATTAATATAAATATCACGGATGACGGAGACAAGATTAGAAAATGTCTTAAATTTTGTTCCTTATACAATAGCCAGGCTCCTAAATATTATCAATAATAATGGTTATTTGCCATAAATCTATTTTAGGCCTATGTTGTTTCCGTATAATATGATGGAGCATAATTAGCATAAGCTACCACCTACACAATCTCGGAGGACCTTAATGATTATGTTCTCAAAATTCCATCTTACTTATTATCCGTTTGTACTTTGACTCTGTTCCAACCACTATCGAGATATATTGCTTTGAATTTTTGAGTTATTTAAAACAAGGTTTTATTTTTACATTTTTTAATGTTTTAGTTTAATGAGTAATATTTAAATTATTGCATTATCTAATAATTTACAGTTAATTTTTTTATCTAATAAGTTCAAAACATAATTTTAACTATCTATTATTTTTATTGAAACACATAAAGGTTTAAATGTAATACCTATCTAAATAACTTAATTTGAAATGCTAGATGTAATATAAATTATGTACCTATCTTAAATTTTAAATTTGTTGTAACATATATAAACTATTTCAGACGCAGCCAACAAATTGGGAAACGAATTATTACATTTTACTGAATTATATAATTCTGCATTAGATCATATTGATTTAATGCGTGATTATTATAACTGGCAGAGTTTTGGACCGTACGAATGTTTTTCTTATTGTCAATATCCATTTATATTGAGTATTGTCGCAAAGAGAATCATACTTACCAAGGACTCGGAACAACAAATGATCCTAAACGCTAGAAAATCATTAGTATCTAAAGTTGCTAGAAGACAAACGCCTAATATCGATATATTTTTTTTAAATATAAACGTCAGAAGATCTTATTTGGTACAAGATTCATTAAACGAGGTGAGAAAATATTATAAAATTTGACATTTTGGCACACGGGCCGTACTCGTGATTAAAAAAATTATCTTTGAAAATTACCCTCCCTCCCCTTAATATTCTGTTGGAAGCAAAATATTTGTGAAGATAAGTGGGTAAAAATTAGGTATATAATTATTGTAGGTACCTGTATCAATGACAAACTAATTACTAATTATACGCGCATTCTTCTTTCTAAATAAGTTTTCAAATTATTAAGTACTTATTATTATCGTAAATAATTTAAAATCCAAATGTCTATCTAATTAATTACGATTTTAAATTTTAGCCGGATGTAAATTTATTTATATTCAAAATATATAATAAATATGCAGTTTGTCGATGATGACATATTAATGTATACATATGGTATACTTGTTTTTTTACTATCATACGCAACTATTATTTTTTGTTTCGTCTACGATCGTTGGTATTTTCAATTGTTTATAAATTTATATTTACAACGCATATCCGTTCATCCGTGTATTGTTTTTTTTTTTTTTAGAGGTATAGAGTCCGGAAAAAACAAATATTGTTTCCTTATTGAATAAACTTAATAAACTGATTTCTATACATAGGTAATAGGTAAATATTAAGTAGGTACTTATGAATTTGCTTAGGCTTAGACACAAATAGTTACAACATGAACAAAATGATAAAATGATTTCGCACATATTTTTGAAAAATTGAATTCGAATAGCTACACGTATATAGTAATAATATGTAATAGTTATACGTACTTATTTTTAACGATGACATTGAAAACAGAAATCGTATTTAAATTATCTTTAGAAGAAACATTATCCACAAAGATAACAAATGAGGATAAAACAGATATAAAAACCTTACCTATGTAGATGACAAAAATAAGGGTCGTTTTCTATACATGCTGTTTACGATACGTTTATAATTTTAAATTTTTGTCCAAAAAATGGGATACTTCAAATATTCATAATCCGTAAATAATCTGTAAACGTGGCCAACACATTGGTACTTTATTATGTTATGTATATGTATATATAGCCTATTTTAAGTATAATTTACTGACAAAGACACCAGATTTAAACCCTCTAGTATGGACAATAGAAATTATTTTTAAAAATGAATATTAGGTACTTTTAAAAATATTTTGGCTCTCTATTTTAGCTATAAGTATTGATAAGTACTAGGTAGGTATAGTTTTGGCTGTAGGAAAATCTAACACAATAAAATTAATTATAAGTTGTTCTTAATTATAAACAAATTAAGCGTAATGTTATATTTTTTATCATTTTTATGATAAAATTCTTCTAAAATAAATATAAAAAATTGTAATCTATTTTGTATTTCTCTAGTTATAAATTAATAAATTGTTTTAAATTTATCGAAAGACGTTAAACCCCGAATTCGGATCGTATTTTATTTATTTAAATATCAACGCCTCTAGGGCACAGATTAGATACAATTTAATAGAATTGCAGCATTTTAGACTGTAGTCCTATGTATAGCATGGATTTCATCGCGTTTACAATGATTCATCGTTTCAACTACCTACCCAATAATTATTATACCTACCCGATATACTTGTAATATTTTACCTTTTCAACTTCCACTAATACAATGCTATATAACGCTTATACAATGGTTGAATTGATGTGTCTCGCCTATCAAATGTGGTAAGAGTCTTCTATCATTTTTGCATACATTTTAGCATAGATATCTATACCACTTTATTTAATTAACCGAGGGAAGCTATAGGAATGTTTTCATTAGTAGCATCAGCTGTTTTTATTTGCACTGCACAAATTGTTTGTTATTGATAGGTAACCAATCTATTGATAGTAAAATTTATTCAGTAGGTACTTTATGGATAAAATTGTTAGACCAACCAAAAATGCTTGAAAATTTAACAGGTGGTTCATTATAAGTTGAACTTAGTGGGGTCAACAAGAGAAAATTGAATTCAATGCAGTATTTTTTTTATAAAAATTTTAGTATCAAATTTTGATGAAACTCATAAATATTACCTACGGCCTTATAAAACATATACTTGTATAACCAAACTCTGCTTAGAATCATTTTTTTTGTCAGCAATAATTAATCGTTATGTACAGATATACATTCAATAAATTCCCTTCTGTATCTTACCTTCTCAACTTCTCATCTATAGCAGAAGCCCACCCATCGTGTGAAGTATTATTGTTTTTTCGACTGCTTTTCCCAAACAAAAAGTAAAATATCAATATAAAATTCTAATTTTTTTTATTTAGGTAAATTTAATAAATGTGTTATTAGTGTTCATAGTAATTTTATTCAATGTTTAATTGTAAAATGAATTACTGAATTTGCTTCATAATATGTAGGGGGTGCGGGTGACTGTCATATTTTTATCTGATAAGCAATTATAGTTTCTAAACTGAGGTTGCGGAAGGGGATGCATTCTTATTTTTCCGCTAATTCGAGCGCCCGTACTTTTTACATTCAGTTTATTCACAAATACTATTACAGATCGCTTTCAAACAGAAAGATTTAAAGAAAAAGCTAAAAGTTACATTCGCCGGAGAACCCGGATTGGACATGGGTGGTTTGACGAAGGAATGGTTTTTGTTACTGATCCGTGAGATATTTCATGCGGATTACGGTATGTTCGTGTATTATTCCCATTCTCGGTGCTACTGGTTCAGCACCGGACAAACAGATCATACAAATCTTCGCGAATACAACCTAATTGGTGTACTGATGGGGTTGGCCGTATACAATTCCATCATACTGGATCTCAGTTTCCCGGGCATTTGCTATAGAAAACTACTTTCGCCGCCGGTCGTACCCGCAGTCAACGATAGCAAAGTGGGCGTCGTTGAAAATCCAACGCTAAACGACCTGACCGAAATCATGCCGGTTAGTATTATCAAATTCTATAAATGTTTATACAGGATGTCTCACGAAGATATACCCCTTGAATATCTCCTGAGACAATAAATATAATCAAATATATTACTCAAAGAGATGACTACAAATATTTATATTTAAATTACATTTTTTTTTTTTATTAAAAAAAATAACTTTATTTTATTATTTTTGGAAAATATTATGATAGCCATTCTGTAGTTTTTTTTTTCTGAAAATTTGAATGTATCACACATTTATGTCCGATGAACAGTTTCTAAGTAACAACTACTTTAAATTCTACAAATCCGTGTGAAAACTGATGTTATCGCGTAACACGTAAGGGAATAACATAACCATGTTTTTCTCTAGATAATATAGGTTTTTACACAGATTGGTAGAATTTAAAACTGCTTTAAAATTAAATCTTCGTTTGACAGCCTATATAGTATAGGTGTTTGGTATTATTATATGCAGTGACGTATCTAGAGCTTAATTAAGGATTGGCGGTTTAAAATTGTAATACAGCACAAAACATCGCGAGGGATTTCCTCGTCCAAAAAAAAGCAACAGTTATCATTTTTTTTTTTTTTGTATATATAATTCTTCTCCTTGGCAATAAAAAAAAGTAGTTTATAACTTTAAGTATAAACTATAATTAATGATACACACAAAAAAAATAAAATGACGTAGGCTTCTTTTTCGCGGTTTGCAAAAGGCTGTCACTATCACCTCTGAATGTTATTTTAAGCTCGTAAAACTCTGATCAAAAAATATACGCAAATATTGAAATGTCTTACCAACTGTTTAATTAAAAATATAATTTTTACTTAAAATTCAAATTGAATTGCAAAATAAAATGTACACATTTTGCAAATATTTGATTTAACTTATTATATGGTTTTTGAAGACCTTGGGGACGTAGCCCTCTATCTCCCCCTTTAATGCAGGCCTAGTGTTCAGGGTATGCGGTTGCATACCCTGCATACCCTCTGCGCACACCTATGGTTATTATTCAATGAAAAATAATCGTAGATACCTAAAACTTTTACTAGATACTTTATTTTCAGCAGATGCTTTCATAAATACTTTTTAGAAGAGGTGAAATTTTCAAAATATTCTAGCGTTTTTTGCGTCTCATTAGTTATTATTAGGGCCTAGAAATTAGTAACCCGATATTCTTAAGTAGTGCTTTAATTATTGTCTCGGGTATTTTTGATAAAATTTTAAAACATCAATAAGTTTTATTAGAAATAAATTCTTTCATATACCTATTAGATTATACGTATACGTAATAACAGTCTGTTTTACTCTAATTTTACTGATCAGATATATGTGTAAAATAATATTTGAAGGGGGCAGTAGCGCGGGGCAGGAGAGCACTCACCGTTCTAAGTATGAAGGAACAAATACACTATAATAAGGATAACAAAAAATAATATAAATGCAGAATTGTAGAGCTGTTTGTTTCTTAAATGTTCTATAAAATAAATTTCGAAAAAAGTTAATACTTTCCGAGATCCTTAATGAGTTTCTTAAAATATCTTGTTCACCCTGTATATAATAGGTAAGTATATTGACAAGATACTATCATAAATGGCACTGTGAAAGACCATAACACTGCGGCGTGTCGTAAATACGTGACATTTTTCTCAATTATCATGAAAGCCCCCTGGAAAATCAAAAAAATGACTCTCTAAATGCACCAGCTATATTCAATTGTGATTTTATTTTAGGATGTAGCCAATGGCTTAAAACATCTTCTAGAATACGATGGAAATGTTGAAGAAGACATGGGACTTACATTTCAGGTAAGTAATTATAATTTATTAAAATATAATCACTTTATTTTATTATTAGATTACCTACCTATTTATTAATTTTGTCCATTATTATAGTACCTTTATATACAACAGTGGCGCCAAGTATGTAGGTACTTAAGTGGTCAAACTTAATGACCAGAATAGTGAATTGAATAAGGATGTTAGTGGGTTCTGGGCATGGACGTAAATAGGGTCCTCAAATGTATTCAGCCCAAAATGACCACTGGTTTAAATAATAATAAAGGAAAATCTATTTATTGGTCGAAAAATGCCAATATCAAAACATTGGTTTATTATATACATATATATTTCATCCATAATAAAAATAGTGATATTTATAATAATATAATAATCTAATATATTAATATATTAGAACGACGTAGCTTAATTGTACAAAATTCCCAGAGGCGTAGATATAAATTATTTAAGGGGGGGAGAGCAACTTTCAATTATTTGTTATACCCTGAAAACATTATTATTAGGATTGAGTCAGGAATTCAAAAAAAAATGTTAACTAAATATTGTGCAGTACATACAAATATATTAACTAGGTAATTAAGACTTAATATAATTAAATACATGTTATTTTTTTTTTAATTATTATAGAAGTAAATTTAATCTTTATCTACGGTGTGCTAGTTTGTTGACAATTTGTTCTGGATCAACAATATGATGTCCCTATGAATATTTAAAAGGTTTAACCCAGTTAATGGTCTTGGCTCATTGTGTTCCTTAGGTATGTTTTTAGACGCTTTAACATTGAAAAGGATCGTTCTGCACTTGTATTAGATACAGAAAGTGTAGCCAAAATGTGTACAACCTTATTAATGAGAGGGAAAAATTGTTTATTATATTGTTCTAATGTTTGAACTACCTTTAAATCATCACTACTTTCATCCCACTTCTTGGTCCAAAGCTGATACTCAATAGATCTTTAAGTTTTTCATTGAACAGGTACATTGTACATGTTACAAATTTTGTAACCCACATGTCTGCAGGACGATGAATTTTTATTTCAGACCGCTATAATAGGCTCTCAACCGATCATAGTTTTTGGAACATTGTAACTGGTGATGGGCACAACTAAGTGAAAACTATCGAACTACTCGACAGTTTTAAACTATCAATTTACTATTAATTTTAAAGATTATCTATATAATAAAATATCTAAGGAAGAGTTGAACATGGCTCAAGTAGGGCTAAGCACCCCATCCTATTTACGTCCATGATGCTGGATGATAAATAAATAATTGTATTACCTATACTAATGTAATTGAATGGATCTGTTTGTTATATATTTTTACAAGGCTCATTAATCATGAAGACTAACCTAACCTTTATGGTATCAACTATTAGTTAATGATCCATTGGATGATTGGGTAGATTGTAGGTTCTAAATTAAGATGATTTAAACCACCATTTTTGAAGAATCTGGCACCAACTTATACAGAGGTGGCCAAAAATCGAGCAACAAATTTGCATTTCGGCAGTGTTACGAACGATAACGAACATGAAACTGCGTCTAATAGGTTATGTTGTTTTTTTATAAACCTTGCTGTTGTTGTATGTAAACAAGATGACGAGACCAAAGTTGCAATATGACGTAACGGAAACGACGTGGAGGGAGAAACGTGTTCCATACAAGACGGTAGACGTTGCGCGACTTTAGGCCACCTCTGTGTATGTACCATAATATTACCAATAGGCAATAAGTAGGTTGGTAGATAGGTAGGTACTTAATTTTCATTATTATGAGTTTCATATTATAAGTAATTAGGTAGGTACTAATTATGATAATATTTAAAGAAAAATTAGAATTTTAAGAAATAAAAAATATAAAAATGAAAATATCAAATAAATTATTATACCTAATATGAAGTAGGTATAATAACTTACAGTACCCATTTTATACGGTTTTTAGATTATGAGTGTAACAAAGAATGTACCTATTGGTTTTACAATTTTTCGTTAGCAATGGTTAATTGTTACTTATAGATGAATATTAAATTCCTTTCTGTATCCTACCTTCCCACCTACAACAGTGGCTGCACCCAGTGACGTACTGATAGGGTAGCATGACGAGCTTTGAGCTATGAGTCCGTGCCATTTAAGGGCTTTAAATCGGGGCAAAGGCGTTACTTTGAGTGGTTAGTTTGAAAATAGGCTATGAACCTTTTTTGCTCCAATCTGTGTAAATTAGGTCCCAACTAAGATGGTGCACTTGGTCCCTTGATTCTAATCTAGAATATTTGGCCATGGGCATTATAATTCCTAGTCACGCCACTGGCTGCACCGTCCCCATTATGCTAGGACAGCTTTTTAATTATAAGTATATATTATTGTACAGATACCTACATATTAATTATTATCCAAATTTTATAAGCATGTAAATATTATAATAATTCAATAAAGGTTTCCTTGGAAGAATTCAAATCATCCAAAACACACAAATTAAAACCAAATGGAGAAAATATACCAGTGACAAATGAAAGTCGCGAAGAATATGTAAATTTGTACTTGGATTGGGTACTTAATTTGGCTATTTACGAACAATTTCGTGCATTTTACTTCGGATTTCATAGTGTGTGCGCATCAAATGCCCTAATTGTAAGTGACATCTTTGTTATAAATATTATAAGTCAATTGCTACAGAATTTATATACAATTGATCATGTTAAATTATACCATAAAAATTAAAAATAGATGTTGAGACCTGAAGAAGTGGAACTATTGGTTTGTGGTACAGAATCATTAGATTTACACGAATTACGAAAAGCTACAGAATATGATGGCTATAGATCAGATGACCACATCATTTGGTATAAATGACTATATTTTAAATTACTTACCTATTATTATTTTATTAACAATTGTTTTTCTTTTCAAATTTATAGTGAATTTTGGAATGTCATTGAATCATTGTCGGATGATCAAAAACGAAAATTTTTACTGTTTGTCACTGGAAGTGATCGTGTACCAGTTGGTGGTATGGGTGATATGAACTTTAAAATAACCAGGGGTCCTAATAGGTCTGATTTCTTACCAGAAGCACATACATGTTTTAATCAATTAGTATTACCACAATATCCAAATCAAGGTCGACTAAAAGAAAAATTAGTAACAGCCATACTGAATGCTGAAGGATTTGGATTGGAATAATTTAGTACCTACCTAAAAATTTGTTTGTACCTGTGTTAGTAAAAAAATATCAACAGAGTGAAAGCTATTTATTTATATGCACCTATATAGGTTATGTTATAATCAACAACTGTCGCTATAATATTATACTTCCTTACAATATTTTGAAATAAAACAATAATATTTATTGACTTATCAAACATTACAGTTCTATTCAATATTATGTACCTACCTATTTACCTGTTGTATTTATTTAACATTCAACTGTAGGTTAATATAATAACTAGAACTAGGGACTTCATGCCCTAAAAAACCATGCATTAATTGCCCAACAAATGTATTAAATACATTCTTAAAAATATTTTATTTTTTCATTGAAAAACCGAAAAAATTCAACAATTATTTATTTTTTAAATCCTTTATCCTTTATTTTTAAAATTTTGAAGAAAAATCATATTAAATATTATTAAATATGTGAAAAATGCACCTAAAATAAGAATGTAACAAAATATGTATTAATATGGAAAATTGAAAAATTATGTGAAACAAAGTACTGAACTTTTCTAAATTTCTTTATTACTTAGCTGTTTTGAATTATTTTTAAACAACATGAAAACTTCTGTCCTTAGCACTACTAAATATGTATTTATTTTCAACAATATATAGGCATTGTTATTACAAACTAATCTATTTTAAAAAGTACATTATTATAGTAATTTAATTATAATATTTAAAATAATTACATTAATGAATTACATCTATAAACATAAAAGCTTAGTAAATTGCTATTTGCCAGAAAGTTAAAAAAAAAATTGAACTTTAACCAATCATAATAATTATTATACTAAACATGTAGCAAGATAATGAATACAAAATGTATTCTTTAAAATATTTGTATTTATATTATTTGTTAAAAAATCAAATTTTAAAATAACTATTAATGAGTAAAATAATTTGTTTGTTAACTAATTACAATAGCTCCTTACTGATTAATTATCTAAAAATTGTATGGAATGTTGTTCCTGAATAACCAACATTAGATGAAGTTTGATCCGAAAATGTTATGTACAATCTAAAAAATAATTAATTATATAATATTATTTTTAATAGATAAAACAAATTATAAACAAACCTGTCTCCAGGAATGCCAAGTAAATCTTTTATAATTGGATATAAAACAGACGCATGATTTTTGTTTTGTTCAACACCTAGAGCACCGATGCTCATCAATATACCTGTCCCACAGGGTTCATTAGTTCCATTAAATACCATCAATTGATCAGGCACAACAGTTACAACAACATACTGAAAATAATGATTTAAAAAAACAACTAACTATTATGATAAATAAACACCTAAATAAAAATTAAACAATATAATTCTAGTACCTGCAGCATATTAGAATTTTTTTTTCAAAATGTGTTTCTAGGTATACATTCAGAGTGAGAATTTTCCCAAACGTACTTTGTTTTTTTGTTCCGCGTATTTTTTAGTCAGAATTTAATATTTTCAAATAATTTTTATGAATTTTGGATTAATTTCAAAAAAGCTGTATTAAGGCTTATGTACAAAAACTCTTAAAGTATGATAGATTAATTTTAATTAAACCAATGAATCAAGCAATAAAAACATAGATTTTGAAAATATTAAAACGAAAAAATCAAACTTTTTGAAGTTTTCTTCCACAATTTCCAAACTAAGTTCGTCCGGCCTTTATTTTCATTCTTAATGAACAATATATATGTATATCAGAAAACACACATTTCGAAAAAAAAAAATTCTAAAAAATCAATAAGTAGTATGCTAAACTAGAATTAGGCTAATAAATCTTACCGACTCTGGTTTGCCAAGGGTTTTGGCCACTGCTTTAGAAAGAGTTTTCAATACTTCTGGAGTTACTTTGGACTTTGGAACATTTGTTTCCAAACGAAAATGAGGCATGTTAAAAAATTGAAACGTCAGTACGTCTATCTGTATTATATGGTCAAGAACTTACGGTTCCAAATTAACAAATTGGCTTGAAATTTGAGAAAATTTTTAACAGATGATCTTAGATCAAATCACAGAGTAACTGTATAGATGATGAATCACGTATACCACATACAGTATAAACTATTGAATATTATAATAATTGTTATTAATTTACGGCAGCGAGCAGTTTGGTGGGGTTAGAAAAATGTCAAAATTATCTCTCGTCTATAATCAGTCGAACTCTAACCTTCAGTTAATAAAAATAAGGTTTTATCTTCGTATATTTAAAAAATGCATAAACCTAGATTACGATAACAGATAACTAAATGCTCTCTCTGTCCGTGAAAATAATGTTATATTATAAGTACAACCCGATTGAGCACAATAATAGTTCTATGATAGATATAACTAATTAAAATATTTGCTAAAATAATTATAAGAATTAAATTTAAAATAATTATTTAACTATAAAATGAGAAAAAATTTAATAATATTCATATATCAGGAAAAAAATATATTTTATAATTTATTTTAAGATTTAATATACAGCTTGATGTATGTTATGTAAATCATATAAAAAAAATGATTTAACCCTACAACCTAATTTACCCTACAACAAAACTTAGCTTAAGAAGTAAATAAATTAAAATGTAATGTATTAATTTATGTATTTATGTATGGATGGTACAGATTAAATAAAGTTTTAACTTTATAAGGTTTTATTATAACTTATAAGATATATTGTATAAATGATGAAACCGGTGCGTTACATATTTAAAATGTCAAATTACTTTATATTAAAAAAAAAAAAAAATGTTGGTAATGGTAACATTTTAAAATTATTGTACTCGATGCTCTTATCATTTTTTGAAAAACTACTAGTTTCCATAGATAACATATTGATAATACATTATCTATGTTTATTTCCCATTAGTATAGTATTATATTGTAGTAATTTTTATCAATAGGTTTAGATTTTCTTATCTCAACTTCTTATCAAAATCAAATGGTCGTTATAAAAATATTTTGTTATCAACAACAACAAAATTTTAAAATTGTAATTTAGGTACCTCTACAATTGTATATTAAACTAATAGATAATTATTTAAGATATTTCTCAATTAAATGTTTCAAATGTAGTTTTTAAAATTACTAGAAACCAGATTATTTTATTTTTACGTGACCGTCTTTCACATAATTATAATGAACGTTTCTTAAATCGTGTTTCAAGAATACAATAAATTCTAAATCATTATTTAATATAAAAAATATCTACTTTAGTATTTTTTTTTTAATAATCTTATGCTATAAAGTTAAATACTACAATGAATCAATCTAAACACGATGGACATTTTGAATCAATTAGATATCAATTGGATGCACTTGGTTATCGACAATACATGTCACCTGATTCTATTGGTCTTGTTAGTCAGCTAGTAGCTGACTTATTGCACACAACTGATAGTTTGAAACAATATAAAAACATTGCTCAAAACACTCTTGAGGTTGCTCGAAATCTGGAAGCTAAGTCTACACCTTACATACGAGATAATTGTTCACTTATACAAGAATATAATAAATTGCAAACTAAACTCAAAAAAGTACATGAAAATGAAAAATGTAAGCTACATTATGGTATTTAAACCAATAACTTTGTTGATTGCATATACCTATTAACTAGTTAATAGGTCTATGGATTAATGTATTTATATTTGTATTAAATATAATAGTTTGTTTAAGTCAATTATAAGCCATCATTAATATCTATAATCTAAGTATTACAATTATTTTAGTATAGTAACCTATCAATGTTCTCTTAAATGTGAGTTCCACAGTAAATTGACAAAATTTCTCAGGACAAACTTTATCGTTTATTCTAAATGAGTGGACCAAATCTTGTATTTTTTTTTTTACACAGACCCATTTAAAGTCAACCGAACTTAAAATTTATTGTTGTGTTTATAAAATCTTTAATTGAATAAACTACTGCAACTAAGTTTTACACCACTAAATAAACCTTGGTCTACTATAATATTTTATATTTTATTTTATTAATCTTATTTTTTGAACAGACTTATTCACACATACACTCATGAAAAAAAGGAAAGACATTTGTCTGTGGATATTGTCTTGGATTCAAATTTCAGGTGTAAAAAAACATACATTTCTGAAAAAAAAAAAAAACTATATGTTGTTTATCCTTTTAGTATTTTAAATTTGGTTTACTAAGTGTGCTCATGTATTAAGTGGTTAATGGGTTGAACAAAATCAAATATTTTTAGTACCAAAATGTATTTAAAAAAATATCACATCTATTTATGGAATTTTTAATATAGGTTCTCATTTGAAAAACCAAAGTTGGTATCACCACACCTTAAATGTTGTAAAAAATCTAAGTATTTGAAAAAAAATATCGGCTTTAAATACTACACTTAAAAATTCTAAAACCCAGAATTTAAAAATATGCAATATTCAACCAAAAATATGAGGTGCTCAATAAGCGTTGAATAAATCATCCAGTATATAATATTTTACGCCATGTAGGTAGTTTTTAATACATTTAAATCACCCTAAAACTGATCAATTAATGCTACCCTTATTAAATATCTCAACAATATTTGAATAAATAAACAGAAAGTCCCATAAAAATGTAATTAATATTAATGCGAAAATAAAAAACATTATCATTGTCTTAAGGAATTTAAATAAGTATTAAGACTATTTGGTTAATTTATTAAATTACTTTTTTTTTAAGTACTTGAACAAAAAATTTCTATATTGGAATCTGAGAAAAAAGAATGGGAACAAGAAAATGAAAAACTTCTTCAAAATGTTAAAGTTTTGGAAGATGAAGCAGTTTTAAAAAATGCCAAACTTTTAGAATTAGGAAATTTATTTCTAATACCCCAAATTGAAATTAAAAGTAATACATTGTTTTAGCATTCTAAAGATATTTTACACTTAATTCAATTATTGTTATTTCAGATAAAAAATTAAAGTCTTTCAGACCTACAATAGAAGTTGATAATTTTAATAATCTGACAAATGAAAAAATAAATAAAAACACTGCTAATTTAAAAAATGATTTGTTAGAAAAAAAAGTAGAAGAACTTGAACAAGAAATTTTACATTTAAAACAATATATTAAGGATATAAAAAATCAAGTAAATATATTAGTTACATAAACAGAAAGTGAATAATATAACCATTTTTTAAAATCGGATAATAAGGTCACAGTGGTCGTTTTAGAAATTTGATTGAGTAAATGCAACTTTTTAAATGTCCTTTTAGGGCAAAAAATTTAAATAATTATAATGAATTCATAGAAAAATTAATATTGTTATATAAACTATGTAACTCTATTGGTGCTTGTGATTGATATTTTTTTTAAGAATTTATTTTAGTCATGAAAGTTTTACTGTAGATCTTTTGGTTGCAAAAGTACCAGCTAATTACAATTTTTATTTCTTGATGAATTGCATGCAAAATCAGTGTTTATAAATACTAAGTGAAAATATTATGTAACACCAATAAATATTGTGTGATAAAACCATTGTATTCCTGAATTTTCACATAGCTAAATAATATGTTCATTGTATAATTTATATATATTCAAATTTTAGTCCAGTAAAAGTATACCTAAATTAAAAAGTCAAATAATCAAAGATGACATGGATAATATTATTGACATGAGGGCTGATAATGAAGTACTTAAAAGGCAGTTGGATGGTAATTTACAATAAATACTTAATAGTTTAGTTAAGATTAATTTAATTAGTTACAAAATGTATATTATATAAACATATAGTAATGGTTTTGACTATTATTGACTATGTTGTATTTTATTTTGTTTACATAGAAGCATTAGCTAATCATAATGAAGCATTGTTTCATTTGACCAGAGTCACTGAAGAAAAAAAATCCCTTCAACGCTCTTTAAATGAATATATTAATAATCATTGCAATTGTGACAAGGTACAATTTATTAATAAAGCTTTTCGTAATACATGATTTTAAAATATTTATTAAATTACCATAATTTTTAATTTAAGGATACAAGTGTTATATTGGAAAATAATATGCAATTAGTGGAACTAAAATCAAAAAATCAGGCTCTGGAATCTAAAATACACACGTATGAAGATAAATTGAAAAAAGCTCTTGATGAACAAAATCAACTTTTAGACAAAATTAACCATTCTAAAAATACAGGTGTGCATGATTTTAAATTAAAAATATATTATAATATTTATTAAAAAATTAAATTCTTGTATTTACAGAAAATGATTTGATGCTGGAAATAGAGAAATTGTCTGATGAAAAAAATTTACAATCACAGCATATATCACATCTTGAAAAAAATATACAAAAATCAAGTAAATTATTGAACAAATATATATATTAAAAATTATTTATAAAAAATGTTTTTCTTAGAAACTGAACAAAATTGCAAAACCAAATCATGGCAAGGAAATAAATGTTGTTTGTGTTCTAATGTGACAACTGATGTACTTAAACAAACTTTAGATGCAGATCGAAATGAGTATGAAAGAAAATTAGAAAAGTTAATTAAATCTCAACTTGACCCATTAACATGTCGCAAAAAGTCAGGTGATTTAGAAATTGCTGTGAGTAAATTACGAGCTGAACGGGATGAATACTTATATGAAATCAACTGTTTAAAAAAACAACATAATGCAGAAGTAATATACACAGTAATTAATTACACATTTAATAAAGATCAATTTTATTAGTATATTTCTTCATAGATTTTAGATTTGAAAAGGAAAAATGAAGAAATGAAAAGAGAAGAGTATGAAAGATCAGACAGACAATGTATTTTAAAGCTCAGAAGAGAAAAAGATGAGTTTGCTGAAGAAATCATTGGTTTAAAAAAAGAAATTGATTTCTTAAATTCTCAACTTAAGGTAAGTAATATTTTATAATTTAGTTTAAGGATATGATACCAAATTAAATTGTATATAGAAAACGAAAGAGTCTATAGAGAATAACGAATACAATGAACGAGAATATGTGCAACAATTAGAAAATGAAAAACATCAGTTGATTGAAAAACATCGTTCACTCACATGGGAAAATAGAAATAAACAACGTGATACAGAAAAATACCTCAGAGAAATTTCTTATTTGAAAGCTGAATTAAAACGCCAAATATCTATGATGGATGATCAAAAGTAAGAATTTTGGTAAATATTTATATAATTAATAATTGATATACTGAACTAATTAAAAACTAGACGTTGTCAAGATCGTCTTGAACGTGCCCTACAATCTACACAGTTTGCTCAAAGTGCTTCTGAAGAACAATTGGAGCGACTGCATGTTCGAATAGAAGAATTAAAACTTATGAATAATAAACTTAATGATCAATTAATTGATGAGCAACAAGAACGGCATAAATTTAAAAACACCACAATCGCTATTGATCATCAACGAGATTCTCTAACAGTAAATATTAAAATAATTTTTATATGATTTATACTTATTTAAATTTATAGCAATTATTATTTAGTAGGTATTTTTCTGTGAATAAAATTGTTTAATCAATTAAAAATTCTTAAGCATTTAACAGGAGGTTCATTTTAAACTTATAAGCTATTTTTGACCAAGAAAAAGTCTATGTAATGGATTTTTTTATAAGACTTCTGATATCAAATTTTTAAAAAATTGTAAATATTGTAGCCTTTTCAAAATATGTTCAATCAAACTTTGCTCTGAATCAGTTATGTTTGCAATGATTTATTGTTACTCAAGGATAAAAATTAAATAACTTATAACCTTTCCAACTTCTGTCCTACAATAATGGCACACCCATTATCATCAGATTGTTTATTTAAGAAAATTTGTAATACAAATAATAATAATAATAATAAATAATAAATAATAAAGAATAAGCCTTTAAGCAATGAGTATAGAAACAAGGTTGTTGTAAGCAACACGGTTATAAACAAAGACCGGATCTGTATGCATTTTAAATTGTAAAATATGTAAGCAAACATTCACTAAAAAAAAGGCAAGATATGCAAGAAAAAAAAAGCAAAGCATGCATTATAAAATTTAAATTTTATAGTGATAATTAATTATCAATTTTATTAAAATTCCATAAACAAAAAAAAGTAAATAAGTAAATAGTATATATTGGTATATAATAGGGAAAAAGTATAACAAATTTAATGTAGTAGGCATGTTAATTGGAAAAACAATAAGTTATCCAAGTGTGTTCCATGTTTATTTCTGTAAAATTATGACTGTGTATATGTTAGGATGTACTTGTAAAATGAAAAACTGCGTTCAGCGTCAACACTGGTTAATAGTGCATATTTAAAATTGGCTAATACATCTGGTGAATTATTTGGAACAGACAAATTGTTGAAGTTAACAATGTCACCTTAAAGTATTTTTGAAATTTTTTTAAAACTATTTGTCCTTTACTTTTATCAAAATAGAACATGGAACATTTATCAAAAACATTTTAAAATTTTGTTTTAATTATTGTACTATTTGCGCTCGTAGGAATATTCTTTGTAACGTAAAATATTTGATATATATAACGTACCTATAATCGTTTTCTTTTTGTTTGACACCTTATTAGACCGTGAGGTGTATTTTTATCAAAATATGCAAAAGTATGCAGTATAAAATTTTGATATTCAATCAGTTAGATTTTGATTCATGGACACTCATTGACTGCATATATATGATGTTGAAAATAGCAACACGCATTTTATGCAAAATCTGGTCTTTAGTTATAAACAAAGTATAATATTTACTTTGTCTGTTAAAAAAAAAATTATTGAAAATATTTTTACTTAGATTACATATCATTATATTTTTAGAATGAAATAGAAAAAAAAACAAAACGTATTTCTCATCTAGATTCATTGGTTATGGATAAAGAAAAACAAATTCAATCATTGAATTCAAAACTAGCCGATGCTGCTAACAAAATTGCGTAAGAATAAACAAACCTATATTTTAAAAAATATGTGATGCTAATTTATTTAATTTGAATACTATTCAACAGAAATGCACTAAGTTCTCAATCAAATACTGAACAATTGTGTGACCGTTTAAAGATAGAGCTTTCCAATATTAAATCAGAGTATAAATTAATCGAAAGTAGCACTGGTGGTCAACAAAAAGAAAAGAAGTAAATTAAGTATTATTAGAAAAATAACATAAAATTAATATACCTAAGTACTGTAATATATAGTGTTCCAGAGTGATCTCTATAAATTTAAAATTATTAATGAAGAAAAAAAAATAGTATGGTCTATAAAGTATTGTTACCTCAATTTTTAATATTTTTTTTTTTTTTTTTTTATAAGAATAACTAATTAAAACACAATAAACTTAATATTCACAGAAATAATTTTTAGTTCACAAGTAACAAATTACTCAATATGTATTGATTACACTTCTTCTTTTTAGGAGACTTCAAAATGATTTAGATATGGTTGTTCAAGATAATAAAGTGTTGCGTTCAGAACTAGAAGTATCTAGAAAACAAGCTGAAGATTTAAAGATGCAGTTACAGGTTTATGTTTTAGAGGTAAGACGAGTAGAAGAGATGCTTGAAGCTAAAGAATCTGAAAGAGAAGAAATATTAGAACAGTTTAAAACATTAAATTGTGAAGCCACTCAGTTAGAAAACAATAATCACAGTCTCGAAAGTGAAGCAAAGTCTACTAAAACACTACTTAGAGAAAAGGAGCATAGGTTGTCTGATTTGCAACGTAATCTTGTTGATAAAGAAGGTCTTATATCCAGTTATGAATCCCAAGTAAAACTAGGAAAAATTAATAAATTTATCACCTATTTATAATTATGTTTTTTTTTCTTATATTTAAAATTAGATTTCTGATCTAACCCATCAAGTAGTATCATTAGAATCCCAATTGACTTCAAAAAACAATAATATTGCTAAACTAGAACACGACTTAGACGCTTGCAGAGAAATATGTTCAACTGTAGATTCAGCCAAATTTAATTTGAATGAACGTCTAAATCATGTTGAAAATTTAAAACAAAAAGCTGAAGAGGAACGTTTACAACTATTAGATGAATTATCCATTTTAAATGTGCAACTAGAAAGGGAACGCTCAAAAGTATCCACTTTAGAATCAGTATTGAATGACTCTAGGCAAGAGTGTATGAAATTAACTATTAATAATAATAATTTAGTAGAACGCCTAGAAGACGGGGAACAAAAATCAAAACATATTATAGAAAAACTGTAAGTACAAATAAAAATTAACTTCAAATTTTAATGAATTTGTTAGTACTTATTATAAATTGAAAATATTATAGTGAAAAAACAAAAAGTGAATTAAACTTGTGTCGTTCTACAATAACATCATTAGAAAAAGAAATTAATGTATTAAAAAGACAACTTAATGATGTCAAATTTGAAAAAGCAAAATTAGAACAAACTAGAAGGTAATACATATATTAATTATTTTTAACATTTTTTAGAAATTTGTTTAATTATTTTATTTTATTTATGTTTGACTATAGGGAGTTTCACAGTACAACATTATAATAAATTAAATAATGATTTAAGCACATATATATTAATTACCTATTGTTATGTTATAGACCCAATCATTTTTAATAATTGATTAAACTAAATTTAAAATTATTATATATGACTGTCAATCAACTTACTTTTGTATTTTATGTAAATATATAAACTTAATACCTATTTTAAAACTGATGTTTTATACTATATTAATCTGTATTTAAAAACCATAATATTTCAATGCAATAATGAAATTAGAGTTTGTATAAAACTGTATTAAATGAAAATTATATTATGGTTTTTATTTCAGATTTAATAATTTTATTATAATAAAAATATATAATTTCTGTATTCCAGAAGATAAATCTACTGTCTATATTTTTGTCCTTGTGGAATTATTGTTATAGTATTATAGTAAAAGTACCACAAAATCAAAAAAGATCAATAATATTGTTGCTGCAAAAGGTATCAATTTTGCAAATTTTAAATTTTTTAGCTTTTTATGTATGTTTAAATAAAATTATTAAAGACATAAGTTACTAAGAAAAGGGATACTAGAATGCGTGAAAACTAGAAGAAGCTTTGGTGTATGAAAAACTGAAGTGACTATGTGTTAGCGCTGATTTTAATTATAGCAGAACTGAGTACCACTGTGATAAGGTAGACCACTGATTTGCAAAGCTCAAAAAAATATAATACTGCATTTATTATAAGCAGGATTAGGAACTTATATCACTTAAAATTAACAAAAATAGCACATAAAAACACCAAAAAAAGCACTCCAAGAAAATATTATTAGACCAAATGTTAGGTTTAAATGTCCCCTGTCTAATGACTAAATTATTAAATATAATTTTCTAACACGACAAAAATTATTATCAAAAATGTATTTGGTTTTAATAAAATTGTACGGATTATAAAAAAAAATAACTGGGTTAATAATTTGTATAGCTGTTAGAAAATCATATTTAATAAGTTAAAGCTGTTAGTGAAGGAAATTTAAACCCTTCTATCATTAGGTCTAATAATATTTGATTAAGTGCTTCTTTTTTAAAGTCTTTTTGGTGTTTTTATGTGCTTTTTTGTGAAATTTAAGTGCTATCAGTCTCGAACTCTGATTATAATTAAGAAATTGAGTAGATAAATGATTGATTTATTATATTTATTTATTTATCAATATAGATTGATTACTATTTTACTATATTTACTATACACTTATTTGGCAACTTGCTTGAATTTCTTAGTGCGATTTTTCAGTTTTGTTATTGGTATTTAGGACTTTTTATTAAGAAACTTTACCTCTGTAAAGTATTATCCATCTTTATTTAAAAAGTTGTTAAATGAAATTTGTTTGAACATTTTAAGTGCTTAGAATTTAATTAAAATGATTAAAGTTATATTATAGGAATTATATTTATATTTTACTTTTTAATGACACAAACTACTTAGACTCTATATTATACATCAGTATCATAAATTATAAATCAATTAAGTTATTAAACAATATTTATGACGAGTTACGCATGTAGTAATCAATTGCTGTCGAAAATGTGGCAAAACCTAATGCACCGAGTAAACCTGCTTTGGCTCCAGCTAAAAAATATATTTATATTATTTTTATAATGTATATCTATAAGAATATTTTTTAAAAATCTTAAAATATATTTAATTAGTTTTTACCTCTGAATCCTATTAAACCTCCAGTTATTCCACCTGCATAAGTACCATTCTTCCAGTCAGACTGGCCTCTATACTATAAAATTAGTTTAAAAATTAATACATACGCTTTAGATTTTATAACAATATAATTTTCAATTTTTAATACATACAGTTTCTACCATACATTCAATGCCTGAAAATACAGCTCCAAGTAATCCAAAATTTTTCGCATAGCCAAGAGATGAAGTTTTCATTTCCCGAATAATTTCTTTAACTGTTTCCGTCTGTCCAGGTGGTTTTATTTGTGGATTTACACTAGAAGTAAAAAGGCCAATAGCTCCACCAAGGGCAAAACCTAAAAATAATTAGGTGAGTTATTTAATTTGTATAAAATTAATTAATTTTTTCATAGATAAAAATGAAAATAATACAAATTAAATAATCTACCACAACAGTATTGTTAATAAAAATTACTTTTGTGGTTCTTAAGTTATTATTTTCATAATTTTCCCAGCTAAAATATTTGTATCTTGAGTAGACAAATGTATTATTTTTAATTATGTATAAATTATTAAAATAGGTTACTTGAAAGTCAATTCCGTATTACCCATCACTCCACTGAGAATAGATTTAAATGCACAACTTTCAGTGATTCTATCTAAGGTTTTTTCTTCCATTGTTTTTGACACAGGTCGTCCCATTACGGTAGGTATCATTATTTTTTCACGAAATTGATCATTGTTAAATATTCTATTAACAAATTGATGTAATATTTCCTCTTGTGACACGTTTGATTTCTCCTGGTTATTAGACATTATTAACAAAAATATAATTGTAAAAATACTTAAAATAAAAATATAATTAATTTATTGAGATAGTAATGTTAGATTATAATTATATGAAAACTAAATTTGTTTGCTGAAATATATACATTTTTAACTTGTAAAGGTACTACACTATTTAAATTTAAATATCTAATAGATTAGGTATTAAAAAGTATTTTAAAAAGTGATAACATTCGGTCATTTGAATCTTTATTGATAAGAAAGTAAATTATCTGTTTATATGAACAATGATATTTTATAAAATTCAAAATACATTTTTATATTTTTCAGAATTTATTAGGCAAACAAAATATTTAAAGAAATAATGAGAGGTATCCTAAATAACTTTTAGGAAATCATTTCAGGTTATTTTAATGTTTGATACCGTTAATTGTGTAGCATGAGCTTAGGAAAAAAAAAATTGTATTTTCATTTATTACTAAACACACAGAAAATATGATTTATTTATTAGGTAGATACGTGTCATTTTAATAATCTTAATTTTAAGAATTTCTTAAACAATAGTTATGCTGTTATCCTAAAAAGTAAACGAATTTGTGCAAATGAATTAATTCTATCATGAACAAATACAATATTTTACTAATTTTTAGACATTTTCAATATAGGTACCTTGCATAAATCTACTTATTTATCTACCTAGGAACTCAATACCTAGAAGTATCTAAATTCACCGTTGTTTTAATACTTACAAATTTGTATTACCTACACAGGACACACCTGTACAAATTTAAATTATTTATTGTAGGCAATATATTATTAGATACAATACAATAGTATAGGTATAGGTACAAACTACAAATGCACAATACAATAATACATGACAAAATTGATAGGTTGTCATGGTACTATTGTACATATAATATATAGGTAGGTACTACTGTACCTAGTCCAGTTTTTTACGTATGCCTATCATATATTATATTAGTGCATTAAACTAAACTAAGAACATCCGTTATACGTTAGATAGGTACCTAATAATATCGACATTGACATTCACGACAATTGTTCAGTATAATACAGGTCGTAAAATAGATATTTCTGTTGGACCGGTCAGTATTAAAACCATCATTGATTGATTGTACATGGGTTTACGCCACAATAAAAGACTAAATATCCAATAAATTATTTCACTATAACAATGGTAGGTATCTACCAATAAATTGGTCACAGAGTCTCTGAAAGTGTAGCTAATACAATATGTTCGCTTTGTAGAAATAAATTCTATGAATGTGTAATGAAAAATAACAGTACAATTTAATAAATCGTACGATTTTAATACCAATGTACTACAATATTTCATATTATAGACGATGATGCCCTAGAATTCATTCTTTGAGTACCTCTATACACCTACACAAAATAAAAAACAGGAAAAAATAGTGATGGTTCTAGTAGGCAGTTCTATAGATTTTATAGTGCCCGGTGCAAAACATAATAAATTGTAACATTATTATACAATGTAGTAGCCAGAAATAAATTTTTGGTTCATTTTCTTTTCCACATTATCAAAATTCATATTTATCATAATTTTTGAAAGTATAGTAGAGCTTACCTAAATTGGTACCTACTGTGTAATGCACACATTTTAGGAAATCCAATTTGTGCACATATAATGCCTGTAAAAAGTTCTCGTAGCTACTTCACTATACATTTTAGATTCTGAGTAGAGCGAAAATGTTTATAGTTAGAAATTGTTTTTCTGTGAACAACTTTTCTACCAGAGATCTTGCTCCGATAATTAAGTGTAACATCTTTTCTGAAAGAAAATCGGTGTGGGAAGATGCTATAAGGAGGTCATTTTTCGATTTTCTCAGGAGTTGATCATCAAATTTGAAAAACCTAATAAAAAACTGGAAAAACAAAAAAATATAAGGAATGTAGGTATTAGTTAAAATATATACGGCCTTCTTTTTCCTTTAAACACCTTTTCTACCAGTTATCTCTACTAATGGGAAAAACCTGGGAAAACGGAAAAAAAACATAGGAAAAATGGAAAAGTCGGTACAATATTGAACAAATATTTAAAATATATATTCCTTATATATTTCCTATATATATATATATATATATATATATATATATTCCTTATTGCTAAATGTATATTGACTAGCAACTACATAACTATTGTTATTAATAATCTTTTTTTCTGATTTTCTTGATAGTTATTTTCCTGATCTCACTGTAGTTTATACAAATGGTTCCGTCTTTCCCTTTTCTGCCGGTTATTCCTTTTCTATCCCGGTACCTACTTTTAGTACATACATTTACTAGTAATTTTCCCCTTCTTTCACAGCTAAGTATTATATCATTATTGAAGCTCTTATCTTATTTCTTCTATTCTACCTGATAATTACCTTGGGCTCAATGTCATATCTCCAATATCTGAATTCCAATCCTTTCAATCTGACTGGTCTTTAAGGAGGTAAATTTCCAATTTTCCCAGATGTTTCCATAATAAAAGGGGAAAACCTGGAAAAACGTATGCAAAATGGGAAAATAGGTATAATATTAAACAAATATTATTAAAGAAAATATATAATGCCTATTTAATTATTTTACCATAATATGATATAAATATATTGTTGACAAAGCATAACTATCAACTGAGCGCCGTTCAGAATCGTTTTTTCATTAGTAATGGTTTATTTTTGCTTACAGAAATTCATTAAATTTCAGTCTATATCCTACCTTCCCAACGTTTTCAACTTCCCACCTACAATAGTGGCTGCATCCGTCTCCATTACTCTAGGACAGTTTTTTTATATGTCTTTTAGTGGTGCCGGAGCAAGTACAATAATTGTCAAACAAGTTACAGGGTTAAAGTGGTGGATTTAGATTTTAAATTGGAAGGGGGCAACGAAAGAAAAAGCATATCTATTACCTACTATACTACGGTATTAGAAGGGGGACAAATGATCCTATTAACCTTTTCCCCCTCTGGATCTGCCACTGCAAATTTACAACCATTTAGTTTTTGTTTTTAGAAAATATCTATACCTATACATTTTTTATTTGGTAATATTTTGGAAAAGAAGAATCATAATGCTTTCGAAAACATTCTCCTACAGTTTAAAATTATTGTATTATTTGTGTTTAAACTCTAATTTCAACTTAATTTACACAATTTTAAGTTCCGTGTTAATTGGACCACGATATTAAAAGTAAAATATGGACATACTTAACACATGGAAAAATGGAAAATGGGAAAATCAAAAATGAGCTCCCTTAAGTACCACCCCAGTCAGATTTTGTTTCAGAAAAAGTGCTACACTCGAAAATTGGAGCAAAGTTTCTGGTAGAAAAATGGTCCAAAGTAAACAAATAAACATCGTTGTTAAAAAAATACATTCCTCGCTCCGCTCAAAATCAAACAAAAATTAATAAATAAATTACTCAATAAAGCCAATGATTTCAATAGAAATAAAAAAAATAACTAATATTTATTAATTCACTACAGATTTATTATCGTATTTTAAATACGCATTAATTTATAACGGGGCTATTTTCCTAATATTTTTTTACCGATGCTTTTTTTCATTAATTGATCTAAACAATTGTAAAAGGTAATTTTTAGGTATCTACCTACCTATGTTTACTGTGTCCAAAAATTTTTTCCAAAATGAAAATCCAATTAATCAACTGATTAAGTGTGAATGAATTGTCGATCTCTTTTACCATTTTTTTTAATCTTTCAAACTTCTTCTTATTTTTACAAGGAGCGTTTCAATGTTCCATTTGATTCAACCATAGTATATGTAACATATCCTGTGTTAAACTTAAAAATTAAAATCAATTACGCACTGTTCGGAATTTAACTATGTAATCCTCATATTAATTTACTATAATTTAAGTGCTATTGAAATACCTACCTATATTCACGTAGGTATATAAATATTGAAAATTATATTGGGAATGTTCAAAATGATGTACTTTACTACCTATATCCTATAGTGTCTTTAAATATGTTTAATATGTTTCAATGACAATAATAACAAAAGTTTGATGATCCAAATATAAATAGGTGTACAAATATAATATGTTGGGCAAAAAGACCAAACAATTCCAATTATATTTTGTAAAGTGTATTATTTTGGTAAATGACTTTAATATTTTGTCAAGGAAAATTATTGTCCTAGATAAGTACAAAAAATTTAGGCCGGTAGCTAGATGAATCATTTTTGGAATAACTTGTGTCACTATACTTACGAGTGACAAATTCAACTAGTGGGAGATTATTATAGGCACATGCCCATTGTAAATGGTTGAACAGCGCTATGAAGATGGTTATTATATTACTGAACCGGTAGCTAGACAATCGATTGGTCACTTTAAGTTTCCGCAGTTCTCTCTAGATCAGTGTTCTGGATGGACTCACAATATCTGCAGTACTTCTGAGTTAACCAATGTGTATTGATGTATTAATTTATAACTATTAAACTCTACAATTTATTATTAAAAACGGTAAACAGCAAATTGAAATGTTTTAAATATAAAAATTGGTTTATTTTATGTTGTATCCATAAATAAATTTATGTTTTGTTTAGAATTCTGTTTGAACAATCAATAATGAATATTTCTACGTTAATGACTGATCAAATTAATGAATTTTATCAATGGTCTTTATCAGTTTCGGGTAAGTGTAATACTTAAACAAAATCAAACACAAAATAAATCATTTAGAAAATGTTTTCTTTGGTTACAGATGACAGAACAAAGGGTTGGCTGATGGTTGACTCTCCAATGCCGACCATTGTTTACACAATCATTTACTTCTTAATTGTTGGTTTGGGTCCAAGATATATGAAAAATAGAAAACCCTTAAAATTAACATCTGTATTGATACCATATAACGTTCTTATGACTTTATTGAATTTATATATAGCGATTGAAGTATGTCAAGTACCTTACCTATCATGATTAAACAATACTAAAATATTAATATTATATTTTCAGTTGCTTGTGGCATCTAGTCGTTTGCGTTATAGTTATGTTTGCCAACCGTTAACATTCATCAACAACAAAGATGAACTAAGGGTAATTAAATAATTATTTTTAACATTTTTTTTTTAGTTAGTTATCGAATTTTGTATTTCATGTTAAAAACACAATTAAAATTAATTAGTTTATTAACCTATTTACCTATTAATTGAGTGTAGTTTTATTTATGTCTAAATTTCATATAAAGATTACATTTTTAAAATTATTTAATAGATGTCAAATATTGATTAATTAGTAATACTATTTATAAATAATATTCTATACATATATATTTTTTTTACCATTCTTTGATTTATTACTTTTTATTTTTATATGTACATTTTTATTTATTTATTTACGAGTATTAACCATTTTAACAATTTTGTTTTTATTTTATTATTTTGTTATATTTTAGTTATTGAAAGCGGTTTGGTGGTATTACTTCTCAAAACTTCTTGAATTTTGTGATACAATTTTTTTTATCCTTCGAAAAAAAGATAAACAGCTTACTTTTTTACACGTCTATCATCATTCTACTATGTTCTCATTATGGTGGATTGGAGTAAAATGGGTACCTAGTGGTTCTACGTTTCTACCAGCCATGGTCAATAGTTTTATCCACGTACTGATGTATTCATATTATGCTTTGAGCGCCTTGGGTCCAAAAATTGAAAAGTATTTATGGTGGAAAAAATACTTGACTATACTTCAACTGGTATGTAAACTTTACTGAATTCTCGTTTATATAATTTAATATTGGTTTTTTAGCTTAAATATTTATTATATGATATTTAGATCCAATTTACCACTGCTCTATTCTTGGGAATCCACGGTATTAAGTCTGGATGCAAGTTTCCTATATGGATGCAATATTTGTTGGTGATTTATATGATTTCATTTATTGTGCTATTTGGGAATTTCTACTCAAAATCTTATGTACAAAAGGTAGAATTGTTAAATTATTAATTTTTTTTTTTTAAATATTTGTTTAAAACTATGTAAAACTTGTAAAATATTCCTTATATGTTTTGTGATGATAATAATCTATGAATATAATTCAAATGTATATACTCATTTACTTGGATAAATAGTAAACTAATTTTAAATACATATACCCATTTGATATAGGATAAAAGAAATTCTAATGGTATCAACAATTACAAGTATATGGAAAATATGAACAGAATGAAGAAAATACATTAATATTTAAATAATAATTGTTGTGCTCTAGGTACTACACATTGATGTTAATAGTTAATGTAATAGTTATATATGTTTTTTATCAACCAGAAATATACACATGAACTGAAAACAACCAGTACATTTAATTAAAGAACATTTATTATATATAATTTTAACCTTAAATTTATCTTAATTTTAAATTAAATTTAACTACAATAATTTTTTTTTTGGCAAACCTATGTATTAATAATTTATTGTGATATTAATAGAATATTAAATATAAATTTATAAGATACACCATTTTTTGAATGTATCATTTTTTTTTAATAACCTATTGATATTAAATTATTAGGTAATTATGTAAAACATATAATTAGGTATATGATATGATACTTAACTGTCACGAGGAGGGAAATTATAAGAATAATAATAAAAACCATAAAAAATTATATTTAAAAAAAAAAGTTTACTACATTTTTAGATTATTTTATTTTTAGGAATAAATCATAAATAATTGTATATTTATTTGTTTGTTTTTTTAATAAAGTCTATACCTACATTTAATTATTTGTTGTTATTTAAGATGATGGTTTTAATATTCTCAAATAAGTATACTGAATACCTATTCAATTAAACAAATTGTACAAGGTTTTAAATACTTATCACTACAAATCAGTTAATTTCATTACTTACTAGATTATTTTGAATATTATTTGTCGAGAAGAAAAAAAATCATTGAAAACCAAATTATAAACAATTACTTTTATAAAAAAATTAGATTAATTATTTTTTTACTTTTTAGACCTATCGGCTATTATAGATTACCTATTTTGTATGTACTTTACCCAGTACAGCTATACTGCATATTTATATGTATTTTATAATAGTAAATAGGTGTCTGTGGTATTTCGACGTCAATGGTACAATTCCTGAATCAGAATCACTCACGGTAGATACTTTTCAGTTTTCAGTTTGCGGTTTAAATTTTCAAAAAAAATCCAATTTCAGTTTTGAATTCTATGCATATACCTTATAACTGTTCAAGTTTTAACTAAAATGTAGGTAGGTATTTAAATTTCTATTCAAATCACTCACGATGCTCATCATATTAAATGCGGAAAGGAAGATTAAAAGCATAAAACATACACAAATTAAGATACACTTTAATATCTTAATCCGTGAAACCATGGCAAAATGTAGTTCTTATGTCATTTTCTAGTATAAAACATAATACTTAATAGTTTTTATTAAAAATTAAAATATCGTTTTTTTATTTAGGTAGGTACTCACATAAATAATTTGTACTACGGCAGTATAGTTACCACCTTATAAATTATATTTCGAAACCATTCGGTAAAAATAAACATTGTGATTTATCATGATCATAATGCATATGATTTTTAGGACTTCCGGAAAATGTTGGAAATCCGTTAGAGGATCACACCATGTTTGGCCGATCGTTAATGTGTATTTTCGTTAGCTACTTTCAAAAAATATTTCTTCCTGAAATTGAGACGGGAATAAAAACACCTATAGCTCTGTGCAGGATCCCACTATTTTAATTCTTAAAAAAAAACTGTCATCGAAATAAACACTTAAAACATATCTAATAAAATATACTTAATAGGTACCTAAGTATCTGTGTATCAGGTATTTTTGTTAATCCTAAATCCCAAAATCATATGTTCCGTATGTACTATATTATATAATCACATTAATAAAATTACTTATGATTTATGAAAAATTGAAGAATATTTATTCAATATCTAGGTAGGTAGTTTGCATAATACATATAGGTACCTCCTAGTCATCATATAGATTGTTTTGTCACTCACCTATATTAAGTTTATTATTATAAATAATAATTATTAAGTATTATGCACATCCACGGTTGTAGAATCATAGACAAGTACAATAATAGTAACTAGAACAACCGTGCAGATACCTAAATTTATACATTTAATAATAGTAGAACAGATGATTATAATATTAGGTAGGTACCTAGGTAAATCTGTACGCTATATATTAGCTTGATAGGTCGGTAACTAGGCACCTAATTAAAGTATCTGTTACCCACGATCCATCGTAGCGGATAGGTATTCAATTCCCAAAAACAATTTCACGGTATATAGGGGTAAAGTGTTTAATCATTTTTCTATGGTTTAATCCGTTTAAAGACAAAAATATTATACACGTGTGAGTAACTTTTCCTCCGATTTGTTAGGAGCATGCGCAATACTTTTTTGAACATTGATCTTCCCTCGTTCGCCGGTATACAGGGTTGGGGTCGGTAGCGAATTGTCTATGGTGTCTATAAAGTTTCTACATTATATTATGCAGTATTGCAGTAGTATAGTCGTCTTGTACACACTCTACTATATTGATTTCATTTTACCACACGTTCTATTCTGTTCGCGTGTTTGATAATTTTTTTTTGTTTTTCCGTATGATATTATACCAATATATTCACTATATAAAAGACTTTTCGAAACTTATCGTATATTTTACAAATCGTGAATTTTTTAAGTTATTAATTAATAATAATTGACGGACATAAATTAGGTGACTAGGTACCTAGTTTAAATTAATAAAACAAATAAAATGTATGCTGCACAAAATGAGTATGTATTATTTTACATAGACATAATTTAATTATTGAATTTCTATAGTTTAAAATAAGTTTATACAATTTAATAAATACTTATATAATCATTGACGCAACTAGATCACCAAATTTGGGAGTGTTAAAATTATGATAACATTAAAGACCCATGGGGATTGTGGTGGCATAATCACTTTTACACAAATCTTACAATAGGCATCTATACATTTAATTTACAATTTTGTAAATACACATTTATCATAGGTAACTATTTTAAAATTCTTTTTTACATTTAGATGTGTTTTGTTTATATAGTAAATCTGTATTTTGTTCTTCTCATTAATTACATAATACATGGATAAAGTATTTAGTTGTTACTACGAGAAAGATGATTAGGTCTTTTTAGTGGGTGCTGCCCCTCCCCCAGTTGCACCTTTGTAATTACCAAGATATAGGTAGATACCTACAGAAAATACAATTTTAATAATTATTTATTTAAGTATGTAGCTAAGTAAAATTTCAAATTATATTTTAGAATATAAAATATAAAAATTTAGTTTTAAAATTAAATATTTTAATTTTCTTCAATGATTGTAAATTTTAAATGTAACATGGTTATTAGTAGGGTGTGGTTATAATGCAAATTACATTTTTTTTCTGAATTTCCTAAAGCAATTTTGTGCTTTTCAAGCACAACATTTGTTTCATATATCAAATAACTTATATATGCAACTTTTATTTTGCATTATTTTGCATAAGTGTGTACAATTTTTTTTTATTTTTAGAATACTTTCAGGTTTTTAAGGCATTTTTTCTTCTTTTTAAAAATGTATGGTGTTATCAGAAAATTTGAATTTAAATTTATTTTGAAAGAAAAAAAAATTTAATATTTTTATTTTTAAAATGTATTACCTATGGATTGATTGATTGGACCAGATAAATATGATGCCGGCTGCAATAAAGAAAATAATAAGCTATATATTGAAGACATAATATAGTTGTATTGCATTATTTGTGTTGTGTTTAGTAAATTTTTATATCTAATAAAAGATGTTTTTTTCAATGTTTAAAATAAATTTGAGGGCATTCTCAAATATTTTTTTTTTTTATAAGTGCATTAAATTGTATTTTTAAAGGCATTTTCCTTTGTTTCTTAGAGCATTTAAATCCTTACCCTAGTTATTAGGTATAATTGTTATATTAAATTATTTAATTATAAATTACCTACGTTTTTTAGAGAAAGTAAAATATTCAATTTGGATTTTAACATAACTAAATTACTTGAACACGCCGAGTATTTTGATCAATGGACCGAATCACTTAGTGGTAAGTTAAATATTTAAAATTTACTATTTATATCTAATTATGTAAAATAAATATTAAATAATATTATTTAATATAGTATTATATTTTATTTTGTTATTATTAGATAGCAGAACTAAAGGATGGTGGATGGTTAATTCAATTTCCACTACATTTACAATAACACTGTGTTATTTTTTAGCAGTATGGTTGACCCCTTGGTATATGAAAAACCGTTCACCGTACAATTTAAAAACTGTATTAATTACATACAATATTATGATGATTACAGTAAATGTATTTATTATAAAAGAGGTAAAAAGTTTAAACTACTACTAATTATTGTGTCATTAGTAAATATAAATGACTGATATGAGAAAATTTTTTAAATTTTTTTCAGTTGTTAATAATGGCTACGAAATTAAATTATAGCTGGATGTGCCAACCAATAACTTATGTAAATTATGAAGCAGAACTTAGGGTAACTTTCAATAATTTTGTAATAGGTATTAATACAATATAAATATGTTTTGTATCACAATGTAGGAAGAAATTGAGTATGTTTAAACATTTTTGCACAGTGATCAGGTGTATTTGGACCTCTTTTTAGCTTTTACAAATTATTTTAAACAAAATTCAGACTTAAAAGATTTTAAATCAGTTTATGAATATTCATATGTTTATATGATTGAATTGATGAATAGATATTTAAGTTGGGTTTAATTTTTTGCTAACTTTTTAGTTATAACTTAGGTATAATTAGTTTTGCACTCAAAAGACTTTAACCTGTATAAATATTTTGATTTGTCAAATTTTACTGGTCTTGTTCAAATCACATTTAACATACATTTTCACCATTTTCGATTTTTGTTTGTACAATATTAATACTATGTAGAATCAAATCTTGGTTGGAGAAAACTGTCTTTATACATTAAGTACCACAGTTAAATACATTTTGGTTAATATGTTTTTAACAATATTTGTGACTTGATATATTTATAAAATATAACATATATACTTGTTATAGATAGCTGCATCTGTATGGTTGTATTATATGATGAAATTTTTTGAACTTATGGATACCATATTTTTAATGCTCCGAAAAAAAAATAATCAACTATCCTTTCTTCATGTTTATCATCATTCAACAATGTTTATGTTTTCGTGGATATGTATAAAATATGTACCAGGCGGATCAGCATTTGTACCTATTATAGTCAACAGTGTTGTACATGTATTTATGTATATATACTATACATTAGCTGCATTACAGTTTAAAAAAGTTTTCAAGTACAAAAAATGTGTAACAATTATTCAATTGGTAAAACTATCTAATTTCTCATTATAATTAAGATTAATAGTAATAATAATTATTATAAAAGCTGTATTACTTTTTTTTATCAAATTATTTTTAAGTAAGTAGTTAATTTTAATATTTAATGGATTTTAGGTAGTTGCAATTTAGACTTTAGTACGGCATTAATAAATTATGACTTATGGGAAGTCAAATAAGACAAAATACTATATAATCATGCTATGGGAAATTGAGTTTTACTCATAATCAATTTTTGAATGTAATGATTTATGATTGATTTCAAATTTTATTATAATATTAAGTAATAATATATCTTATACTAAATAATTACTTTGATAATTTTTATATTAAATTGTTTTTGTTAACAAGTAAAGTAAACTAAATTATGTCATTTATTATGGTATTAATGTTATTAAAATATGAACAATTCATTTAGAGTATAGGTTACTTACTATTCTATTTAATTCTTGAACAGATATAGTTTTATTAAGCGCATTAGTTTATGGTATTTTTTAAATAATTATAATTCAGTAATTTATACATAATAAGAATTAATTAATCTTGATCTTTATAGGCTCAATTTTCATTTGCTTTACCAATGGGAATAAATGCTATACAAACTGGCTGTAATTGGCCTTCGTGGATGAAGTATTTGTTTGTGTTTTACATGATAACAATGTTAGTTTTATTTGGAGATTTTTATAGAAAAAATTATATCAAAAAGGTTTGTAAAATTTATAAACATATATAAATACAATTATTTTTTTATTTTTTTTATAGTAAAATAATTTAATTATTGTTATAGGCTAAAATACATGAAAATGAAGTTGGAAAATATTTAAAGAAATCTCAATAAATATAGTTAGGTAAAATTATTTTAATAATTTTAAGAAATGTTTTTATTATGTTTGTAAGTAAATAATATATAAATTAGGTAGGGTTAGACTGACTAAAAATGCAATTATGTGCAATTTTAGTTAAAATGCGAATTCAGTAAATACTATTTGGTTTATTATAAAATTGTACAACTAAATCTTAGGCCAGTCTGATCATGCAACTAAACAATGCATTCGATTGGCAGTTGACATTATAATAACTTAATCATGTTATATTTTTGTAGTAAACATTTAAATTTAGTATAAAGATCTAGTATACTATGAAATGTTGACTAAAAATAATTAATAAAACAAATTTAAAGGTTCTTCCATTTTAAAACAAAATGTCTTGTGAATTATATATTACTAGTTTTTTTTAAATTGATTAGATTATTTAAAATGTTTTATATTGTGTATAATTAACTCAATTAATATGATTTTAGAATTTAAATCTATTTTACACTAATATTATTAGTTTTATAACTATTTTTATTTTACCTAAATATGTAAATTCAATAATGTTTAAAAAAAGTATCGGTTTTAAGAAACTATTATAAATTATTATGCTTATTATGGGAAACATGGTTAATTACAAAATATATTGTATTAAATACCAATAAAATTTGCAATAAATTTATTACATTATACTCAAAATAATAATAAATTTATATTCTTTGTATAAGTACATATTTAAAATAATTTGAATAAAACATTTTTGTTAAAGCATACCTAAATATTTATTTTGTCTGCAGATAACATTCAAATCAGTAATTTTACTCTGATTTACAATGATAGCACTTTTTCTGAAAAGAAATCTGACTGGGGTGGTACTTTAGGAAAAGCATTTTTTGATTTTCTCATTAAATGGGAAAATAAGTATAAAATTAAACAAATATTGTATAAGAAAGTATATAATGCATGTGTAATTATTTTACCATAATAGGACAGATATATTGTACAGCAACACTATCAACCGAACTCCGCTTAGAATCTTTTTTTGTTAGTAATGGTTTATTGATGTTTACATACATTAAATTTTCCCTTTACTACCTTCTCAACTTCTTACCTAAAGACTGCACCCATCCCCATTATCCTAGAACAGATTTTTTTACATTACTATTAAGTATTAACAGCAGTTAAGAACTATAAACCTCTTTTTCTTATTCAACTCTATGGTATTAGTGTATTACCAAGTAAAACAAATAGACATATCCATACCTATATACCTATATTATTAACTAATATAATAAATATATAAGAATAGTCTATAATTAATGTTATTATTTTGTGTTTATTCTTAAATAAGTGCAAAAAATATTCATAATTTATTTTGAGCTTATAAAACCGATCAATATGTATTTTTTAATATGCATGTACAATCATCAACTATTAAAAAATATTTCAAAAACATTTTATATTTATATTAATAGTTTTTATTGTAAAAAAAGGGCATAATATGACCTATTGACTACTTTTGTCTTTCTACTGAACTTATTATGATAATTATGCAACTTAAGCATAAAATAGTATAATAATAAATATAAATGTATGAAGCGAAGAAACAATTAAAATTTATGTACAAAAAGAAATGTATAGGTACCTATTACACAATTAAAAAAAGTTATTATATTTTTTTTTAAATTTAACTATACATGATATTTAAACCTATAAGTATATTTTTTAAATGTGTTTAGTTAAACTAATAGCTCTAATTAAAATTCAATTTAATAGCTTATAGTAATAGGTACATTATTTATATAGGTAGTTTGCTAATTTAGATAAATAATAAACACATTTATTTAGGTATATACAAAAATAATAATTATTAAAATTAAATGTATTATACGTTACAATATTGTTCTAATATTTAACTGCATTGAATTTCATTCCTTTACCAGATTTTTTGTTTGGAAGAGGACCAGCACTTGTTTCTACTAACATTTCTTCCTCTAATATTTGGGTTCGAATCTTCTTTTTAATATTAACTACCTCAGATTCAACTATAGCTCGGTGTCTTAGTACATCCTGTTTTGTTTGGTTGGCATCAACAATACGAGCTTGAACTGTAGAGAGAACACTTTCGCAGGAATCACACCACTGTTGTAATGTGTCTATCATAGTATCAACATCATTCGGGGCGACATCCCGACCAACAGTCCAATCAACTTCTAGATAGCCACTTTGTTGGTCAAGTTCACCAGTAAATACATCAGAATAAAGTGCTTCTATTATTAAGTCTTCAAGATCTCTGACATTATTCACATTTAATTCTTTTAAAAGAATATCATAAGGAATACGTTTCATCTTATTCGCTAATGTAACAATTGTTAAATATTGTAGTTTCTTCTTTTGATGTATACTTAATTCTGGCAATTGTTCTTTTTTATTCAAATAATCCAAATATGTACCTTGTGAAAATATACGCAATACATGTAAATACGGCGCATAAGGAGTAGTTTCTAATGCAACGACATTAGGACAGTCTAATAGTTCGGCAAAAACAAATGTATCAACATAATCTAAAGCTTGTTTGATGACTTCGACTAATTCCTGATTTTCAGCTTTTTGAGCCTGAACCACAAATTGTTGCAATGGTTTTTCTAAAACTTTTTCTATAGAGAGAGACATTGCAATATTATTAATTTATACTTCACAGTAATCACGGAATTGTTTAAAGAAAAAATATAAAATCAATTAATAATTACTTTTATAATACAGTACATTTAATATAATTTTGTCTATGTAATATTATTTTCATTACAATACAATCGTGATTACAATGAATACAAATTTTTACTTTTATATAACCTCAAAATAAATTTAATCATTTTCACTTCCATGATATATTTTATATTGACGAAATACAAAGTGATAACACACAACTGATTATGTACTTACTAAATGGTAAAATTAGTAATGGTGAATTACTGAAGTGGTGAAGTCTGAATAATTCATTTGCATTGCAATATATTTGCTACCCTAGTGGCGAACAATCATTTAGTTTTATAATACCGTTCATCAAATTAAACGTTTTAAGTTTTTTTTTTTAAATTTTATTGGAATTCAACAATTTTTGAACATGGAGGACGATCTGCCATCCAAGTATGAAGTGATCGTCATTGGCACTGGTAATATACACACACCTATTCCATATGCATAATTAAATTGCACAAATGGTTTGAAATGTTGAATAAAGCTTTTAATTGGTTTGCATCATTGTTTATTAAATACCTATATGTTATGTTTTAGTATAAAGGAATAAATTATATTAGGTATGTAACATTTCACCTATTAAATTGGGAGTTTTCTATGCAATTATATCCACTTCTGATTAATGCAGTTAAAATTTTTTCACATTTTTTAGTGAATACATAACGTTTTACAATCCTTAATTTTTTTTGTATTTTAATTATATTATTGTACTTTGAACCATAATATCCTAGATATTTAATATGTCAATATAATTCATTTAATTTCCAAGAAACAATAACACAAATTAATAATTGTTGTACTTAATATAGTTTATTAGGCTTTCTTTATTTTGATAAAGAACATTTAATTATGTATGTATGTTCTATATCTAAATTGTATTAGTTTTTGATTCTATTAACATTTAGTTCAAATAGAAATGTGAATTTTAATTTTAAACTGTACTTATTTTTCCTAAGATTCAATATTATTTTCAATATCTATTTTTAAAATTTCTCATTCATATTAAGTATAATTTTTAAAATGTAAAATTTGGAAAACTGATTTACCATATGGACTATACAAATTAATTTATAGGTAGGTATTTATTCATTATAATATACTCTTCAAAACTAATAGAAGGTATATATTTTTCTAAATTATATTTACATTAATTATTATAATTGTAATAATTGCCTATATTAATAATTTTTAGATCATTTTCAAAGAAAATTCAGGCTTTTTAATATTTTTTTAAGAACATTACTTTTAATTATTATGTACTAGTTTTCCACATGAAATTATTGTACTTAAAATAAAAATGTATTTCCCCTTGGCTCATAGTTTCCACACACGTCATTGTTAATCATTTAATTAATTTTTAAAAAATGAACTTTCTTGCCCCTGACAATTAAATCAACTAGGTAATAAATATATTTTTTTTGGTATCCTCAAGTTAACTCATAATTAACAAAAATAGTTCAACGGATAAAAGGGGTTAAATTTTGAAACTAGCATTTTTAATAACTGAATGTATTTTGAAAAATTGTGAAAAACATTTCAGTAAAGCTAATAACTCTTTTCATAATTAAATAATTATATTTTTTTTAAGTTTTTAAATGTTGTTTTATTTTATTCCTAATTATTTAATTTTTGAATTGCATAATCTGTCATTTGTTTGATATCATATTTTGATAGTTTTTAAAATATATTAAAGTATATAAGTAAGTGTATAGACACAAAGTAGGTGCTCCACCTAGTTTCTTATAAAGAGTTCATTGAACGGTTGTGTAATCAGAGATTCTATGGTCTATTGGTCATGGTAATGGGAAAGTGAGTTTCCATTACTGAGTTTTATTTCATCAAAATGAAATAAAAGTATTGTATAAAAAGACTTGTTCTCTCTTTTATGGATTAATAAAAACTAAAAAAAAAAAGAAAAGGAAAATTCATTTTTAGTCTACTAAATGTGTATTTTTTTTTATAGAATAAAATAATATAATTTAGTCATTATATACATTTTAGTTTTAACAATTTTTTCAATTACTCCATTATAGTTTATATGAAAAATGTGAAAGTTATATAAATACCCAATTAGTCAATAATATAATGTATGGAAATATTAATTTTTATAAAATAATGATAAAATTAAAGTTTTATACAAATATTTACTGACTTTTTAAAATAATAGCTTATTTATATCAAAATTTATCATAAGTGTACTCATGGTTAGTACGTTTAATATATTTTAGAATGTTTATTAAACATTAATAATTTTAGAAACATTAAACAGAAGAAAAAAATTACTTAGTTATTAATAAAGTTAATGTACACTAATAAATATACACTAATTGATTTAAAAATTATTTTAGGAATGACTGAATCGATTGTTGCTGCTGCTGCTAGTCGAATTGGAAAACGAGTTCTTCATTTAGATAGGTAAAATTTTTTTTTATTGAGTAGTACATTTGAACCCAACTAATATATAGAGAACTTTTGTTGGTTATCACAGAAATGATTATTATGGTGGTATGTGGGCATCATTTACATTCGAAGCTCTTCAAAAATGGTTAGATGAATGTCGAAATGGCAAAACAAGTGATTCTTTAAAATCATCTTCTCCATTAGTACAAGATGGTGAAAAGTCTGTAAACATAGGCAATCAATTTTCTACTGTATTCAATATTGAAGAAAAGTGGTTTATACCGGAGTATGATGAGTATTACTTTTTTTGGTAATTAACAGAATAAACATTAAACCTATTTTTTTAATACAGAAAACTTCCTTCAATTGGTAATCTACAAAGTGCTAAAAATACTCAAACCGAAGATAGTCCAAAAGAAATTAAAGATGGACAGACAGAATCTGAGGAAATATTGAAACAAAATGATAAACTTTGGTGTCAGGCTAAAATTAAAACCTTGGGGCGTAAATTCAACTTGGATTTAGCTCCTAAAGTTAGTATGATTATATTTAAAGTATTATTTTTTAAACATGTATTATCAAATGAAATTATATAATTACCCAAATTTTTGCAGTTACTATTCTCTCGCGGTACATTGGTAGAACTTCTTATTTCATCAAATATTTCTCGTTATGCTGAATTTCGTTGTGTCAATCGTATTCTTACATGGCAATCTGATAAATTGGAAACGGTTCCTTGTTCTCGAGCAGATGTATTTGCTACCAAGAATGTTGGACTTATTGAAAAACGACAATTAATGCAACTTTTGACCTTATGTGTTGAATATAAACCCGAAGGTGATGAATTTAAAGGATTCGAAGATAAAACATTAAAAGAATACTTAGAAAGCAAAAACTTAACTGAAAATTTAATGCATTATGTTTTATATGCTATTGCAATGTCCAATGACACAACACCATGTATGGTTGGTGTTGAGAGAACTCAACGGTTCTTAAGTAGTCTTGGTCGTTATGGTAATACTCCATTTTTATGGCCTATGTATGGTACTGGAGAACTTCCTCAATGTTTTTGTCGGTAGGTTGAAACGTCCTATCTTGAAAATTGATCCAATTAAAATACTTACATACAATGAAATATCTTATTATTTTTGATCTTTAGACTGTGTGCTGTTTTTGGAGGAGTATATCATCTTAAAAGAGCAGCTGATAGTGTTATTGTAGCAGATACCGAATGTAAAGCAATTTTATCTGATGGATCAAGGCTTGATTGCGATCATCTTGTGTTGGGCGTTGCTGATGCTCCACCTGAATTTTTAGGGTCTGTACCAAAAGCAGGCCTTTCAAGAGGAATTTTCATTTTAGATAGATCTATATCTATCTCTGATAAGGAATCATTAACATTACTTCAATTCCCAATTAAAGGAAAAGAGCCTATAACAATTATCGAGGCTGGACCATCTACTCATGTATGCCCACCAGGATTATGTAGGTTCTAGATACTTTTTATTTTTCTAGTAAGTTATATTTAAAGTATTTACTCAATGTTTTTAGATTTATTACATATGACAACTAAACAAATAGAAAATGCAGTTCAGGATTTGAAGCCAGCTGTTGAAGCATTATTACACACTGAATATGCTGATGGTATTACTTCTAGAATTGATACTGATACTCAATCAACCCAAACAACAAAGGAGGTATTTCAACTTTGATACTTAACATTTCTTAGTAAATTTTAAGTATTAATATGATTTATTGTAGGGAGATTCTGTTGCTTCAAAGGGAGACTCTAACACACAATATGGATTGTTAAAACCTCAAATTTTATATGCACTATACTTCAATTGCCCTGAAACTTCAGGGTATGATCTATCACAGAATGTTCCAAGTAATGTTCACCTATGTTCAGGACCTGACCTTGAAGTTGATTATGAATTTGCTGTTAAACAGGTAATATTTATTTATTTAGTTTTTGAACAGTTAACAGTATATTAATTAATGTTCTTTTCTTTTTTCAATGATTTTAGGCTAAATCTATTTTCTCCAAAATGTACCCAGATTCTGAATTTTTGCCCCGTGCTCCTGATCCAGAAGAATTATCTCTTGAAGTTGATGAAGCTGCTGGACCTCCTTTCCAAAGTTCTGAAGAACCTAAAGAAGAATGAATTAAATAAAACATTTCTCTGCATTTGCTTTAATTGTAATATTTTAGGCTATTATTATTTTTATCAATTACTATAATTATTAGCTTTTTATACTTATACCTTATACCTATTACCGGGGTTCACTATTTAACATTCCTATAAATTAATATATAAAAAAATATATACTTTATAAAGGAGTTCATATTTGGGAAATACAACTTTAAAATTTGCTTAATATCTTATATGTTTTATATACATACATTGCTTTCTTTTATTTTGCATTAAAAATGTTTTCTTTATTAAATTGACATATATAACATTATTAGTAATATTGGGGGTTATATCATCATCATATCATATATTTTTTTCTTGGTTATTTATATTTGATTGTAAAATACAAAATAGGACATGTTTAATTACCAAGTTACATAATTTTGTTTAATGATATAATCTCACACATGCACAATATATAAATACTCTAAGCTAATGATAAATTTAAAAGTTTAAAAATTATCTTGTGTGCATAATTACTTTTCTTCATTAATTGGATTTATATTAAGACCATTTATATTAATCTTTTAGAATATGCATTTTAAATACAAAATATGAACTCCTTTTAGATGAAAGAACATTCCTTAATGTAATTTTAACACTATATTGTAAACAAGTTTTTTAACACTAAATAAGTAAAGATTTTACAATTTTACTGTTGAATAAATAGATATACTTCATATGCTTATGTAATGGTAATTTTGATAATGGTCAATATTTTTTTAAATTTATCTTATTGATTCAAAAATTATCTAGCATTAAAGTAATTAATTTTAAATTAATATTATTAAAATTGCACAGCTATAGCTTGAATTATTAAAACAATATTTTAAAACTTTTTAAAATGCGTATAGAAATACAATTATACATATGCATCAATCTTAAATATTTGATATTATTTGAATTATGTTCAAAATAACTTGTTTTGGTTCCTTAATGTTTCTAAATTTTCTAGTCATCTAATTTGATTTGATTTTTCACCACATGGTAAATTATCTTTGAGATATTATTTTGTTCCTTTTATGTTCTAAAAGCTGACGTTGTTTAATATATACTTTAAGTTTTAATTTTTATGTTAAAAACTAAAAACATTAACCAATTTCATTGTTTTATTATTTATTTTTTATCTAATTAATATAGAATATAATTTAATTTTAATTTTAAAATAAAATAACAATTTTAGTTTTGTTGCTTTTTGCAACGCCTTTTCTGGTGATTTGGTTTTTAATTTGTATGCATAGATTAATATAGTTTATTTACATTTTATTAAGCGTTATTTTAATTTATATATAATTAATAATTTTCAAATTCCTTCCTTATTTCCTGTTTTTTAAATTAAATCAAATTAAAATAATTATGTAGTTTGAATACATAAATATCAAATAATTAGTTTTTATTAATGATGTGTGCTTTTATTTTAGTTTATGAACTTGTGTCCATGTTTTTTTATTAAAGGCATTGTTACTAGTTTCATATAGATAATTTGTACATTTTAGAATAAAAATTAAACAACAGTAAATTTGAAAAAATTTAAGTAATCAAAGATGTTTGTTCCTGGAAATTATTAACCATAGGTCAATATTTTGTTATTTTACCTCAGTATTTGTGATAAAAAGCAAGTATGGAGTAGGTAGTTTTAAAAAAATTATAAATTGTCTAGTAAACATTGTTTAAGTTTGTAACTAATTGTTATGTTAGTGATTTTAAAAAACTGATGATGAGTTGTGGTCACTCTTATGTAATGAACTTCCATCATTGCTGATAGTCTAATTTTGGTAAAATCGAAAACTGAAATAATTACTTACGAACCTAACCAATAGTAACTTAATATTGAATAGAATATAATTATAGATTTTGTATTTTATTATTCAAATTTGATAGATGGTTTTAATTAATTAAGAGCCCAGGAATAAATTTCCTATGGTTAATATTGAGGGGATGTTTTTGAATCAAAGTACTACTGTAATTTATAAGGCTGTTGAAACTTTAGTTGGAAATACAATTCATTGAAATAAGTTCCCTAGATTCATATTAGGCTAAATTTTATAGTACAATTTATTTGAAGGAGAGTACACATTTTAGTTAATTATTGTAAGACGCAGGTATAAGTAGATAACTGAATTTGTATCTTTATAATATATATTTTTTTTAACATCAATTATGATTTTATGGTACATTTTTTATAATTGTTTACTGTGATAAATTATTAATGCCATAAACTTATAATAGTTATTATAATTTTTTCCAACAAGCTGAGTTTATAATGCAATTTAAATATATATAATTGTATATATAGGTAATCTACATCTAGATAAGCCTATAACCATCAACCATGACAAAATAAAATATCGATTTATTCTGCTGTAGTAACAACCATGATATTAACAACTACTTTATGCGCTTATCACTTATCTGTATCAGTTAGAAGCAGTTTTCATATTATCAACGGTTTGCTGCGAAATCACTTTTTACTATTATTCAGTGAATATCCGATCTGTATTTATACGGTGTACCTACCATTAATTATCTTAATCCGTACTGTTTTTTAGTTAAATTAGTATGTATTTCGAGATATAATGCAAAATAATTCGACGATCGAGAGACACGTGTCCAATTTTCGTGAAAAGCAGAAAACAGGTGATGATTTTATCAAATTGTCCTACTTAATACTATTTTTAAAAAAATTAACTGGAAATGTAAAGAACTGTAAATGTAATCGTGTCGATTTCTCTTTTGAATGTATATAATTAGCCACTTACTTACAGTTCAATGTTCAGTGTTTGAATTATGATCATTCAACATGGACGTTTCATTTTTGAAAGTCATTTTTGCTTTAATGGCATTTTCAATTGTTATTTTAAGTGTTTTAATTAATACAATTGAATCTAAATTACCAGTAGCTATAGTGCAAACATTTAGGTATGGTAAATTTTCAAGTGAAAAAAAATATTTTTTAGTTAACTATGTGGAAGTACCAAAAAATTGGTTCAAACATTTTTATTCATTTGCTGCTATTTGGTCTACACTAGGATTTGTATTAGTATTATTTACTTTTGTATTCAAAGTGTCTGTTCCTGAGTATGTAACACATTTCCTGGATATAGTAGCTCTGAAGAATCGACGGACTTCATACAATGCAACCGCTACTACAGTTGCCATGTTTTGTATGTTAATCCAATGCTGGAGGCGCTTCTATGAAACTCATTATTTAAGTATTTTTTCTGATTCAAAAATTAACATCACTCATTATGTTATTGGTTATGTACACTACTTTGGTTGTATAACAGCTATTTTAGCCGAGGCACCATCGCCTTTCACTGGACTTTCTGTTGACCATCCATCCTATTTTTTAGTCAACAATATTAACATAAGACTGATTATTGGTATTATTATTTTTTTGTGGGCTTTTCAACAACAATATTTGGCAAATGTAACTTTGGTAAATTTGAGAACAAATAAAGAAGGAAAAGTAATAACATATGAACACAAAATTCCAATTGGTGGTTTATTTGACAAAATATCTTGCCCTCATTTATTCTGCGAAGCAGTTATGTACATGGCTTTGTACATTATGCTTTGGGGAAGTCAAATATGGCCTTACGTTTTTTTTTGGGTGTTAAGTAATCAGTGTGAATCTGCAATGTTAAATCATTGGTGGTACCAGTCAAAATTCAAAATGTATCCAAAAGAGAGATGTGCTTTTATTCCTTTCATCTTATAACTGGAATAGTTATCAATTTTTAATGGGATTTTATTTTTTATTACCAATAAATTTGAATGGAATAAATTGTTATTTATAAAGATTTTTTTTTGTATTTTTGTTATTCACTTTTTAATTGGTAACATTTAATACATTATTTTTTTTGCAAAATTGTTTAATGTATTTACATTTTTTTTATATCTACTATTTAAAGCCAATATTTTTACTTTAGGTTTATGGTGCTAACAATTGTTTTACTTGATTCTGTTAACTTATTTCTTTATCATTAGTATTATAAGTTGTTACATTATTATTTTGCCTTAAATTGTTTTTTTTTTTTTTTCATTTTTAGAATATATTGGATTTTTATTATATTTTGTTTTGTATTTATTTATTTAAGAATAAAATTATTTTGGAATACAATTTTTAAATATTATATTAAGTTTTAAAAAATTTAATAGAAATTGTAAGTTTTAAAAAAATTACAATTTCTAGATAGATTTTGTGAACTAACAAGGTACCAATACATGTTTGACAAATTGTAAATTTTTAAAATCCCAGTTACTGAAATAATACATAATACACAATATAAGTACAATCTTTAATTTTCCTATTCGCGATGTCAAAGTTGCCAGGCTTTCTTTTTCTTCTCTTGGTGTTTTATGGACCAATTAGGTCCATTGCTGCAACAACCGAATGCCTCCTAGGGATTTATGATATTTATTTTATCGAGTACTAGCTGTATAGCTTATACAGTGGCATAAGTAATTAAAGCCAGCCCAAATACGTACAATTTAAATAACATATTTACTATTAGGTAAAAATGTAAAATGATAAAACTATGTAAGGACATACTCAGAATTCTATAGCATAAGGCGTTTTTTAATTTTTTAAGAAGTTTTCAAATTTTAAGTGATCTTTTTAGTTAAATTTTTTATCTATATGGTGAATAAGAAAGTGGTTTTTTGATTTTTCATGTAATTTTTTTAAATAACTGAATAAAATTTTAAAAATAAAATAATGTAATAAATAAAAATAATAATATAATAAAATAATGAATTTATTATTTTAAATTTTCTTTTGTAATGCAGTTTAACATATTTGTTGAGACTTAATTTTTTGACAGAAAACTTATATTAGCCTTTTCTAGACATGTTCAAATTTTACATTTATTTAAGTAATTTGTATGCTATTTATAGGCATTTTAAATTAGCAAGTTTTTTCTGTAGGTTTTGTTATTCTTTGTGTTCCATGTAAAACTTTTGTTTTACTGTTAAGTCTTTCCATTTATTTTATATGTTTTAGTTATTTTTTTAGGAGAGATTTCAGAGGTATTACATTTTTATCAGAACAAAACAATTTATAAAATAAACTATTTTAATGCTTAATGATGTTGAGCACAACAGTATTTGTATATAATAATAATTCTTAGTCTATGCCTCTATGGTGTCCACAAATGAAATTAAATTGTTATGGTGTTCAATTTCAAAACGATATTTCAATACTTCTATAACATCCTTTGGTTCGTGCTGCAATTATAAAGTATAAATAGTTCAATATTAAATTATATAATAGGTACATACTTAATAAAATGTAATAAATATGTTTCTATCTTACAACCAATAATAACAACTAGAATTTTAGAAGATTAGTTTAATTTTCATTAAAAGCTGATAAGCAATAAGTGATGATATAATATGTGAGGTCAGTGCCTAGTGAAATCCAGTGCCCAGTGCCAGAAAGATATGCTTAACAGCTAAACCTGTCTGTCGGCATTCGTTCATATGCTTATTGTAAAAATATTCAATTACAAACTTTTACAATTTTTATTGATTTCTGTTTGGATAGTCAAAATGTACAAATACTTTACAGTTTGCATTAGACAAATTGACATGAAGGTGGCAAGTAAGGAAAACTAGAGGTTTTCTGTGATTGTATAGCCAACCAAAAGCGTTTAGTTTTATAAAATTATAATAAACAGTTCGCGTAGCATGGCCAAACCACACATCATAATTAGTTTGGGCTATAATTAATATTATATGATTTATGAAAAATTAAATCTAATCATTGAAGTATATACTTAGTAATGGAAAAAAGAAATAGTTTTGACCAATCATCATTATGTAACATAATTAGGTACATAAGTAGGTTACTTACTTTTAAAATATGTATTCCTCTTTCAGTCATTACTACTGCATCTTTCACTCCTTGATTAGTTATGTCTAAATAACTAATTGTAAACACTGGGTATCTCAGGTCATATTGTTGCTGTTCAATCCATATATTATCTTTGTATACATAATTTAAAATGTACTAAAACAAAATAGATTCTTTATTTATTTTTGGACTGTTTTAAAATATATTTATAGAAATCACATTATCAGTAGTCCCGAGTAGTATTTCATTTTTAGAATCAAAATTTATATCGGCAATTAAAGAAGTTGCAATTATTTGGTGTTCATCAGTATTAGGCAACTTAATCCTTTTTCGTAAATGATTTTTTAACACATCCCTAAAATTAAATTTTTTTAAAACAAAATTTTAAATTAATAATGTTTATTTTGTTTAAAAAATATGTTAATTTTAATAAAATAAATAAATAAATGTAAAAATAAGATAGTAGTACTTGCATATATACAACAGCAGACTCGAGTATACTGCCAACAAGCAAACAAACTGGTTCTTTTTCATTTATAGTTTCATAATCTGGTATATCTGGTATATCTTTGACTGCTATATATTTTTATAACAAAGTATATATTATAATGGATATTTAATAAAACATATTTATTTTTTTTTAAACCTGAGATTATATTTTCAAGTGTATATGTCCTATTATGAATGTTAAACAATTGCACGGCTGTTATTGTTGACTGATAATTTGTTTCAACACGTTGGAGTATTTGATTTTTTTCCGAGTCTACAATTGTAAACACTGAATATCCTTTATCACATCCATAAAATGATATTCTTCTAAAAATATACATCAAAGAAAAATAAATCTACATTTAAAAATTTGAATTTAAAAATAAACATTACTTTTTATAATCACTGAATGATTTAATACTGAAACTAATTATACAGTATTTTATGTCTTGGTATTCAACAAAATATTCGTGTACTTTTTGTTCACAAATTTGTTGTTTGTCACTCTTGTAAGCGTGGATTTTTCTATCATTTCCAGATAACAGCCACATTCCCTAAATAATATTAATTGTGTTAAATATCTATCCTAAAAACTGTTATGTTTTAGCAACAAAATTTTTTGGTGAATTCAAAAGTTTACCCGAGTAAAAATGTATAATAAAAAGTAAGGGCGTGTGTTTTTACACTCAATTATAACTCTGGTGTTAGGAATTTGTGTGTGTGTGTATTATGTATTACTAAGCAAGATAGTAAAAATAATATTATAAATAGAGAACGAATTTGCTCTTAAAATCCATAATATAACGTCAAATACTGTAAATGACAATACCAAAAGGTCTATACCCCGAATCGACAATTTTTATAACTTAAGATCAGTGTACCCATACTTAATAAATTATTTATTGTAGTTTTATTTTTAATTCTAGTGTATTATAATACAATATCAATAACTGTAATAGTTAATTTATTAATTATAAATTCTTATCAAATGAAATAAATGGTAAAACATTGTGAAAAACAATAACTTAGTAAAACAATTCAAAACTCACAAATGCCCATTAGTAAGTATTTAATAATAATCCTATGAATATTTCATATTATTATGAGTGTGATTATTAAATTCCAAAAAGGAATATAAATATTTTCCATTGTTCGATACTGATTCTGGGGCAAAATGTTTGACCGTTTAATGTCATTGACTTTCCGGTTGTGTTATTTACAGTATTTGATAGCGTTTAAAAATATTAAAACATGTAAAAACACATTAAAAGTCAAAAATAGTAGAGGGTTTTATAGGTCCCCTCCTTTCTAATAGCTTTAGTTTATAAAATAAAATGTTTAAACACTACAAAATGATTAAAACACAAATCAATTTTCTTATAATATGTAGGCACTATTTTATTTAAAACAAATTACTTTGTGCTAATTATTTTTGTAGAATTAGAAAATTGTATTTAATAAATTAAAGTCATTAAAGAGGGACTTTCAAACCCCTTTAACAATTTTGTGGATTTTAAGAGTAAATAAATCTGTTTCTTAATTATAGTTTTCTGGCCTGTCTTAATTTCTAATAGGTTCCTGCTAGACTTATAACTTTATTTAAATATAAGTTTATTTTACTTTTTTTTGGTTTTCACATAAGTAAATAGAATGATTTAGTTGAAGTGGAAAGAAATTCAATTTTAATGTTTCACAATTTGAAATTATAGCTTCTAATGATGATCCAGGGAATCCCATGTAATTATTGAAATACACTTCTGATTGGTTTTCTTCCTCATCCTAAAATATTTTTTTTCATGTAAATTAAAATTCACTTATAATTTTTTTCTATAATCTGAATAGTTGAGAAGGAGAAGAAGTCATCAGTTTTCATATTTTTAATATATAAATTTCAAATTATCATTTTATTTTATTAGGTATATAGGATTTAATATACAATTTATCAAGGTAAAATTAGGTTTCCAACTATCTAATTAATAGTGGTTTTATTACTTATTCTAGTTAGTTATTATTTTAACCTAAAATAAATTTTATTATACAATAATATATCAGACTGAAAAATATAAAACTTAATAATTTTATCTTTGACTGAAAGAAAATGATTTTGAATTTTTTTTTTAAACTGTATTAGATATATAGTGTTAGTAAGAGTCTAGATTGTCAAAAAAAAAAAAAATATTAATAACATCCCTAAATAAAAATTATGTAATAAAAATAATGTTGTACAGTATTTGAAGAATAACCCACTAAGGTGTTCAATATTGTATAACATGAAAACTAAACTTATTTTGTAAAAGTGCATACTGATAATATTTCATAAGTTATTCCAATGATAAAATCGTCAAATTCTTTAGATTTGTTTATACAGTGAATCGCAATAATTGCTGCATTATCTGTAAAAGTGTAAAATTATAAAATATTGAATAGGTATCATAAAATTCTATTAATCTAACTCACTTGGGATATTCGAAAACTCAATTGGTACAATGGAAGTTATAGGTTCGTCATTTACGGTCTTTGTTTCTAGGGTGATAATGTCTGTTTTTGAAGAAACCATTATAATTTTTTCATTACCGTCAACCATACGCATAACTGTAGTAGAATAAATGTTTGGAGGAGATTTCGTATCATATATTATTGTCTGTGTTAGCCCATCCATTTTATCATTTAGTTTAAATAAAATCAATACTTTTTATGTTTATATATTTGTTATTTTGTTGACACTTGAAAACAAGAAAAATGTTTGAAGTTTGAATATATTATGTTAATAAATAAATTATCAGTTTTGTTTCGACATAGACCTGATAAAATATCTAAGATAATAATCTAAAACCGTGGGCTTATGTTTTGATATCATTTAATCGAGCCGACGCTACGCTATCTAGTAACTACACATTGCGGAATAAAATAAACATTATTATAGTATTCATATTTCCGTGTAGAGGGCGAAAGTATTATGAAAATATAATATATATTTCTTCATAATTCAAACCATACACCTATAATGTTTATAGGACTATGATTCAAACCTTTAAACTGGTTTATTTCATATATTCGTCCAATATCTATCGGTTCTTAGTAATTTGTTATTTATTCGATTATTAGGTTTTTTTATAGATTACGAGCATGGCAAGGAATGTATTGGTTTTTCTAAGATTTGTTTGTTAATGAACAACTTTCCTACCAGAAATCTTGACTGATCATAAATAGTTTTCGGTATTTCTGGAAAAAATTTTTCTTGTTGCCTGTTGGTGCATTGAGATCATCTTCCGGTTATCCTCGTAGATTACGTAATAATTAGAAAAATCTTCGGAAAACGAGAATTTTTACGCAATGACGTTTCTAATTATTCTTAAATTAGTTTTAGATTTCGACCGGAGGAAGAAATGTATATTTGTTTCACTATTATTATTATTATTATATTTTAATTCAGTTAAAATATTCACCGAGACTTGACATTTTCGTCGAATAGGTATTTACCTTATAATTTATGAGTTATTGAGTTCATTCTAGACGATTTATTTATTTATTAGCTTATACTCGTAACTCGCACTACTCATAGCTATACATTTGAAATTTTCAAGTTTTTTTCTTCGTTTTATGTGGATAAGAATTTTGTAATTTATTTTATTAGTTTTGAAAATATACAAGGGCGCACCCAAGAAGAGGGCTGACGGGCTTAAGTCCCCCCCCCAAAATGTTGGCCCCTAACATTTTGATAATTTCATTAGGTATCGACTTTAAATTATGATAAAAAATGATCAGCTATCGATATTGAAACATTAGGTATAACATAATATTGTGTATTTATACCCGTTATTCCGGGAACCGGGAAAGACCTCTGCTCTCTATTATTGGCGGCAAAAAACGGACGTGTGTATTGAGCCTTATCGTCGCTTATCAAACGATGAAATGTACCCCCGGAAAATGAAGAAGAATATTATAGACGTGCCATTTTCATTCCATGGCTAGATTCATTTATAAACAATATATTCGAACGATTTTTAAAGCACAAAAGTGTTATTAAAAGTGTTATTTAAAACTTTTAGAATTTTATAAAAATGATATACCACAAAATGGTGTTAATGCTGCAGTAGCCGAGTTTGATTTATGGTAACAAAAATTCCAACGTCCAAAATATTTCACTACCACATAATGCAATCGATGCATTAAACTTGTTTAACGAAACTCTGTTTCAAACTATATTTAATATTAAAAATATTCTCAACATTACCTGTTTAGATTTTTGGATTTATGTACATATTTTTAAATGAATACTATTAATATTTGAAAATAATTTAAATTATCCCCTCCCCTCAAAAAAAAAAAAAAAAAAAATCCTGGGCGCGCCCCTGAAAATACACTATATTAAAATTTGTCGAAAACACGAACAATTGTAATTGTATGTAGATGCATTTCATTGCGTCATTGCACCTGAGGAAAACGTAGGTGTATGTAATACAATTTTACGTGTATCCATACGTACCTACTTGTGCATGTGTGATTTAATTTTCAAAACGCGCACACAAATATCCAACTCGATAAAACGAGAATAATAATACTAACGCGGAATAATTCAAATCGACTTGCATTCTATAATGGGTACAATATGACGTTATAATGTTGCCTTTATGGTCCGTAATAAGGTTCTGTTGCAAGCATATTATACTCTCGTATATATTATTATATACGACGATAATAATAATATATATTTTATAATGTACCTGGTGCATTTTTTTTTCTCCTTAATAGCAGTCGCATAAAAGAAGAGAAACGACGATATTGTGCCTTCAAATTAGGCGGACTACAGACATTAAAACGAACGAGTTTGTTTTTTTTTTTTGTTTGTTTTGTTTTGTGTTTGAAATAATTGTATATACCGCGGTGCACCGGACCGTATTCGTTAAATCTTCTAAATCTGATTAACGGACTTTTTTTTTTTCTGGTTTTTTCCTTTGTCATCGTAACATTTGTCGAAATTCATGGTCGTGTCGTTTAATACGTACGGAAGTTTACAATAATATAATACGTATATATATTATTATTATAACGTTGTTTCCCCTTCGGCTAAATCAATAGCGGATATATTATTGTTATTCGGTCAGAAACGAATTTTGTAAATATTATAATGCGCGTTCTGTAAAATAGTTAATCCGCCGCCAGTGTCCTCCTCTAATAATATATAATAATACGTATATGTAAATATATATATGTACATGCATAATAAGCCTCGGGCGTGTTTTGATTAGCGACTATAAGCCGATCATTTTTTTTTTTTTTTTTTTTTTTTTTTTTATTATTATTAACTCCCCCCCCCCCCGTCCCGTCCCTCCTCCGGTATTAAACGGGCTTAACTGCCGTACAAGGTCCCCTTTCGCAAAACGACGTCCCGTATAATATTATCGTCGTTGTATGCATGTATATAGCGACGTGTTAGCTTTGAAAACCAGCACACAACCATAATAATATGATAGGTAATACCGCGGCGACAAAAACTTACTGAATACCTATGTATAATATAGTGTGTGTATGTGTGTGTGTGTGTGTGTGTGTGTGCGCGCGCGCCTCTAAATATTTATTCGACTATGCGGCTGTCCAAAAACATAACGCAGTATATGACTTTGAAATTTCAATTACCCATAAGCGATATCCGTGTTGGACAAATAATTACTAAAATGGCTTTACTGTAAAATTTGTGAATTGTGACTTACTGCAGCGTTATGTTTTTGGATAGTCGCATGGGCCTCGACCAAATATAAAATCGCCATCATCGTGACGGGGAAAACATTTCTTATAAAAAGGCCAGTTTCGTGTGTGTGTAACGGTTTTTCTGTCTCTTGTATACTTAAAACGTATACTGCAGACCGTCCTTTACGTATAGAAATCGATGTTTGAACACAAATAACGTAATTTAAAGAGGATAATCGTATTTCATATAATAATCTGTTAGTGTTTTTTTTCCTTATAAACGCCATGGCGCGCCATACGAAAATGTTATAGAGCCGCGTTAGTTTTTACATTTTTTTTAAATAGCCTCAATCCTTCGTCATATTGTTATTTGTGATTAAGTTCCGATTGCAATTTAAACGCCGCGGTTTATGTTCTAAGTAACTCAATTTTGCTATATCGTGTTTTACGGAGACGACACATCCGGGTATCACATCCTCTTAACCAAACAATTTCAGACGTACCCACATATTTAACATATTTATAATTTATTTTTTGTAATAATTACGACCGCCGCATGCAACTTTGAATCATATTGAATCCAGTTTCCTAAATCGTAAATGCACATTAAGAGTGTATATTGGTCGTTGTAGTCATAATTGTCTTTTATCAAAAGAGTGCCATCATTGTCAGTTGTTCAATAATTTAATACTATCATTTATACTTGTGTCCATCTGAATTAGTGTCCAGTTTTTGTACGTAATAACGTTTGGTTCAATGTTAACCATGTCTAATAAAACTTTGGTTAAAACGTTTGGTTTTAATATTTAAATATAGTTTTCGCTATAAAGATTTTGCAATATTTGGATTTAACGTTAGTCATTTTCAATATTTCAATGACCGTTAAAATCTTTCATGTATTATGATGGGCATGCAACTAGTATCTATTATAATATGCATGATATACATGCCTGTATAGGTATAATTTCCGAGTTACAGTTTGTGTTTAGGTTCGCTTTGATATTATATTATGTATAGAAAAAAAACCATGTACTTATACTTAGGTATATTTGAAATTCAAGTATATATAGCGTTTTTTGGAAAATTTATATTTAAACTAAATTCACAGTCTATGTACCGTTGAATATATTGCAATAGATACTGTAGTATAGTAGTAAACTGCGGGCGTCATAATAATATATAGTCGAGTGTTGTTAAAAAAAAAATCCCATATACTTTATACGAGAGATAGAGAGAGTTCGGTACTGAGATATGTATTGTGCGGATTTCGTTATATTATATTCTGGAAATAAAACGTTAAAATATTTAGAAAAAAAAAAAAACCTTTCTTCACCGAATAAAAATGTCTGTATAATATAAATTATTGTTCGTGTCTGATCGTTTAACGCAGCGAAAAATATGATAAGTATCAATATTTTTTGTATATATATAGAGGTTTAAGTTCTATTCTGCAGACAAATGGGGTTGTATATGTTACAGGCACTGTGGAACACCGGTCAATGTGTACATTTTTAAGTTTGCGTACGGGAATAGTATAGTGCGGAAGTACTATTAAAACGCCGCGCGCTGTACCTCACACATATGATGTTACGATAAAAGAATCACCCTGTATACGAAATGCTTATTAAAAAGAAAAGTAACTGTCTACTGGGCATGTATCTTTCTGTAAATGTACGGTTGTCGTATCATATGAACGCTTATTTTATTCGCGACGGATTTTTTCCATCTACTTGGTAAAAAAAAAAAAAAAAAATCGAAATATGGCGGGACGACGATGTGCCCAGTAAATTATTATCCTGTTAAATGTAAAAATAATAACGTGATATTATATGTATGAATATAATAATATTTTTTAAAATGAAAAAAATCAACCTTTTGGAGCCATTTTTGGTAGCGAAATTAGCGCGTTGCGGAGATATTTTTTGATTTTCATTGTATTTGCCTTAATAATTATCGGAAAAATGCAATAACGGTTTTTGTTATATTCAATTTGGTTTTTTTTTTTTGTTGTATTAGAATTAACCATGGGACCTGATATTTTAACAGAATACTAATAATAATCTTTTCTAGGGGTGGTAAAATTTTCCAAATATTCTGGCGATTCTTTAGTTATTTATCAAATGCATTTAATATTTTTCGAGGTTTATTGTTTTTATTTGATTTTATGTGGATAATAAAATTGTTTTAGCTGAACAGAAATGTATGATAATTTCACTCAAGGTTCATCATAAGTTCTATTTGATGGTTAAAAAAAATGTCGTGTGTGATTTAGTCCCTTATTTTAATAAAATTTTTTAATTTTGACAACAATCGTAAAAATGACGACATTGCAAAACATGTTTAACCGAACTTCGCTCACAATCATGTTTCGGTAGCAATGATTTATCATCGCTTACAGATATAAATAACTTTATGTATCCTAACTTACCTAATTTTTTTTTCTTCTCTATACGTGAAGTTGCCTATAGTGGACATGCTTGCCCACCTGCCCACCGGGCCAGTCCGCCTTTTATAATAGTGTAAACAATTTTCTTTAGACATTTTTCGGACGTCGTGCGGAACAGATTATAGAACGCGAGTGTGTGACCGATAATGTATACTGTTTTGTACACAAAATCATAACAATAAAGCAATTATAGTTGTGATTAGTATTATATTGTTAATGCACACGATATTTCCAAATGTACCAGCCGGTGAATGAATGTATCAATGTATCACGCGAATTATTTTCAAAATATTTTCAATTATAAAACGATGTAGGTAGTTCATTTCGTATTATAGTCGTGTGTTGTCGGAATATTAACGGAATAATAATAACGATTTTCACCGCGGACAAATAGTAAAAATGGCCGACGGTTTGGAATTCTAGATGATTATGCGTTAGCGCGTGCGAAACTATAATAATTTGAATAAATATACATGGGGATAATGTATATCGGTTTCGTTATAACGAATTATCATCCTACTTTACCCCTAGCCTTATAATTTCCAAATAAATGTCAGTATAATGACATAAAGTGTTCTAAGCGTGTATATGTGTGTGTGTGTATGTGTATGATCCCTAAAAAAATTCGACGATAGTATAACGTCCGCTGTAGTGGCAGTGTCATAAATTATCAGTTATATTATTATTATGTCCCGTGTCCAGGAAGCAACCAATGGCCATTGTTACTTGATGGTTTTGTATTATAATATTTTATTATTTAGGAATAATATTAGTGAACCACTAATAATATTAGTGAGTACTATACGCAACAATCGCCGGAACATCGACTGCGTATAATAGTCAATCGTATCCATAAAGCGGAAAGAACATTAATTAAATATATTATGTACTTCGAATCAAATTTATTTTCAACAGGAGTAAAATTACGTCTATATGATTCTTTTAGTCTCGGGAAACAGCGGTTTAGTTAATTTTTGGCATTTTTTTTTTTTTTTTACGCAATTTATTTCGCTTTATTTTTCAATCTAAATAGCTGAAGTGCACGTTTTTAAAAAAAATAGCGTATGCAGTGTATATATTTTCATAAATGATTGGGTCAGTTTTCGACTTTGGGCTAAACATTGTTGACGTATATATTAGATATGGCTACCTGTAATTTTTTTTTCAGTTTTAGTAACAGTTGCTACTGCTACTAAATGACTAACAGTTAAAATAATAGTGATCGTTACCATGGCAAAATGATTAAATCATGACTGTTACTCGGTATTATGACTACTAGTAGCAGTAAAAGAGTAAGTATCGTATGTAGTGACTGTTGTTTTCATACTGGTGTAACAGTCTATGATTGCTATTTTGAAATTAACTATGAAAAATCACTGCCACTTCTATTTCACATCATCTCTATTATATAAAAGGAAACTACAGAAATAAGGGAAATTACGAAGGTACCCTTTACAACCAGTTTTTTTTCCCCATATATTATGTATTTCTATAACAGTAACATATTTCTATAGACTTTCAGATATTTAAAATAACACATTTATAACATCTCCGGTGGTACTACCTGTACACAATAGTAAAACTTTTATTATTTAATTTTTCCTCCGAAAATGCGATCAACACATCCGGCGGATGAGTTATGTGTAGTGTAGATTAGTTAAATCGCTCGTTTGTGATATTATACCCATTATTCGTTTTAGCAGTATTCCGTAATTTTTTTTGCTATTTTTTCCCCTATTCGTATAATAAATTATACACCGGTTATTATTATTCGTCCCGTAGAGATTAATAAAGCTTAATTATTATTTATACAAAAAAGAAAGAAAGATGTTTTATAATCAACAATTAAGATAAAATAATACAAATTCTGCGAAATCTTAATCGGGTTAATAAACTAAACCGTGTACTTATTATTTTATTAATAACATTACATTAATATATACATTGCAATCACTATAATAACTATGCACAGACACTATTATTAATAATTCGTATTATTATTCATCGTTCAAAATCCAAAAATTTAATTTCAAAGACGCGTTCCGATTATTTCCGTTAATTTAATCAACTCGTATACTTTGAAGATAAAATTGAATATTATTGTAAATTATGGTATCTATTTTATACGGTCCTTTTAAGAGATTATTCTAGCAATTTACTGGCTCCGTCTAACTAATGGCGATTTACCACATAATTACTTGGAATATGAATCTTGGTGTTTAGGTTAAAATTGATTATGAGTTACATGCAAATAACAAAAGGTTGATACTGCTGACGGGTGTGCCACTTTTTATGAAAGGAAGTTGAAAGGAAGGATATATGGAATACTGTAGTTTTATCTATTTGTAACATATACGATTTATAACGAATAATGATTCTGCGTAGAGAATTATTAGTCATATTTTTTCCCTTGTTACCAAAGTAACTCAGAAATCAAAACAATTATTCAACGAATTGCCAGTTTTACTCATTGAAATTTACCAATGCTACAAGAAAGTTATCTGGGGTTTTTGATTGGCGAAAAATTTCTGATAGAAAAATATGTTGTTTACATACAAACACAAAAAAAAAAAAAACACATCAAAGTACATTTCTTACTTCGTTCAGTTCTTACAAATTTAAAGAGGATATTATTTTTGAAGGCATTAAAAATGTTTTAGTAATGTTAGTTTTTGTTTTAGATTCTGAGCTTAGCGAGCGAGGAATGCATTTGTTTGTTACTATGATGTGGCTCTGTTTTTTTTGTTGAGTGTCTAAACAACTTTTCTACAGGAAGTCTTGTTTATTTTAAAACATTCTTTAGGAATTTTTTTTGTAGCATTTTTGATCAGTTTTATTAATAAATAAAAAAACTGGCAATTTTTTACATAATTTTTGTTGTTTTCTGGACTACACTTGACTCTCAAGTTAAATAACAGTTTTTCGTTCCCAATGGTTTATTGTTTAATAAAGGATTTAAATTAAATTATTCTATTATATATACCTCTTCTAACTTCGCTCACAACAGTGATACACCTATCAGCAGTATCAGCCTTTTTTGTTTAAATAAATAGCAGCTATATTTGTCTGCGAATACTATGATTTTTCGAAAAACCACTGTATACAGTAGGACCTCGTTAATTGGACACCCGTTAGTCAGACAACTTCAGTAATCCGACACTTTCTTTTCCCTTCCTCTTTCTCATACACAAAAAGTGTCGTTAAACAAAAAGTGTAAATTTTACTTTATTAATATAACACGCCCGATATGGTTTGGAAACCCACAATATATTACACCCGCTAAGATAACACTAAACGCACTTAAATACTCTCGTCACTCGTCAGTTCTTAATTTGTCGTCACATTAATAATATGTTTATATTATTATATAATATTATGAGAAAATATTAAAATCAGTCTCTTTAAAAATAAAATAACTACGAGTATCGAAATATACATCATAATGTTTTTCTTTTATTATACATACCTACTGCAGTGAAATTATTTTTTACAGTTTTCTCACTCTCGCATTTCAAAAAAAATAATATATATATATAAATAACGAATCAAATGCATGTATTATTGCAGTGACGTATACATAATATTCAAATGTAGGTAGGTAGGTAGATATACCTAGTTCAGTTTTTATAATAAGTATACAGCAAAAAAAGGGTACTGCAGGATATTGTAATATATTAGATCTGAATACACGTCTTATTAATATTTCTTCAATTTGTATACATATTATTGTTATTATATAATCGCATCAGACAATATTCAAAACGTTTATTTTCTATTCAAATTTATACGTCAGAAACTTCGGCTTATATACTTGTATATATACAATAATGTGTATATGTATTTTTATCCTATCATTTTAGACCATTAGTCTGCGTATATCGTTTCATAATATAAAAGCCATTTAAATTGACTCGGGCGTTTCAAAAAAAAAAAAAAAAAAAACGTTGCAATGCAGCGCCGAACTCTATATGTATATTATTAATATTTATTGGCCTGTTTTTCATTTATTTATTATATTTCTCTCATGTGTGCGCCCGTATTCATACACAGTTTTTAGACCGATAAAGGGGATCTATATAATATAATATATATAAAAAATAATAATACAGCTACATTGAATCATCATAATGGTGCGTACATATAATATAGGTTCATGCACGGGCGTCCACGGAAGGGGAAATGGTAAATTGACCTGGCTTTTACGTACTCATATACGTATAACATGTTACAATAGTTCAATAAAAAAAAAGTCAATATCATTGAAAAATACAGTTAAAAATAAAACGCATTGTCCCTTGTCTGCAGAATTTTGAAAAGATGGACGCCCTCCGGACAAGAGTTGACTGGGGAGTATTCGGACTACTGTTCTATAGAAAATAATCGGCCTTAAAGATGTTTAAAGTACAGTGAAAGTTGGAAATCTAAACACTGAACATCACAACAGCAGAACGTTTTTGGCGATGTAAAAATATAATAACACCTACTATTTATACCTACTCTACATTTTTCCTATATATTGACCGGGCGTGATATACGAAAATGCCCGAGTAAAGTGAACTCTGTCACGGAGGGATTAGTGCGGGCAAAGGTAATCGAATCAAATTATTCATAAATTCATATTTCTGACCAAGATAACCTCAACAGTAACAACGATTCAAATTTCAAGTTGTTATTTTACATACATATTTAGTAAGTAGGTAATTAGTTATACACCTAATGCAATTTTACATATATTTGTATTTGTATGCTGCATAATGTAAGAATACTTAAACTATTTATTTTATGTTTGTTAAAATATGATAATATTTTATTATTATTTTTTTTTTATGGTTATAATATAGTCTTAGAAAATTCGGCGTATAATTAGGAGAGTGTATAATATAGGTAGCCGGTTATAATATCTATACAATATCGAGGGCATTGAAATCGTGGTTAAATTATTGGGTTTTCAAAAATGTTCAGGGGAGGTCTGGTATACACCTTTTGTATTTTAAAAAATTACGTCTTGTGCACACACCTATATATTATTATTGTATTATAATTTATAAGTTCTCGTGTTACGTACTATTGTATTACAAAAAACGCATTTAACTACATATGTACTACTACATATATACTACTAAGTAGTATACTACCGACGTACATGAAACTTGCGGGTTAAGCTATAGATTATTATAGGTACGAATTCAGTTGTTATATACTTAGTGTTCATGGCGATGTCAATAATAATAATAACGATTGCATTAAGATATATATCTATATATAATATTATTATCGTGTGAACGCGTACACGCTGTCGTGGGCTATAATAACCGATGTGTATTGGAAGTAATTCGTTTATAATTGAACCACTGAAATTTTGAACTAGTTTTTCGAATAAAATGCACCTGCACGATAAAGTAGCCCCCGCCCCCTGGGCAGGCTATATAGGTGGTGACTTTCTACTCGCCGAATCCAGTGGGTTTTTGGTGCTTATATATATAATAACTGAACACCAACAAGTTATCGGTAATCAGTGGCGTAGTTAAGATTTTGAATTGGGGGTGGAGATAATTACGTTTTCGTTTGAATCACGGGTGTTGGTAAAGGGGTTTTGGAGCTCTACCAAAAAAAAAAAAAATGTTGGAAAGTTATTTCGTCTACATGATACATTTCAATATTATAATACTTAAAACACAAATTGAAAAAAAAACACTTACTAATAAAATGGGAATATAATATTATGTATAATGTCTTGGCATATTTATGATATTATATTATGAATCTCCCGAGACGGAAATTTTGAGCAAAGGTGGTAATTATATTACCTATATATTAATTAGTTTAACTAAATGTCTACAATAATTATAGAATACTAGGCCTTGACACGCCGTGGAGGATTGAATGTCCAGGAGTCTTAAACTAAATAAAACATAATAACAACCTAATCTATAGCATAGTTTTGCCTTATACTATGCTGTAACAATAATAATAAATAGGGTACTTAATAAAAACTGATAGTTTAATCTAAAGCTGTTGTAGTCCTATATGTGAAGTTAACATTCATCCAAAGTGAGATACACGTATCGTAATTCTGAAATACTATATTCTTTCTATAAACATATAATTTTCATCGATGTCTTACTTTTTATTTATGTATATTGGCCACGGCTAATTCATTGGTTTTATTCACTGATATAGATGTAATAACACTCCTCCTTAAATATTATGTTTTCATGTACGGTTCAGTGTAGAAAATATTCTTTCAGTTGTGGAATAATTATAACAGGAAACGTATACGGTTAACATTCAATAACCGTAAAATAGTATGCATGAATTGCGTTCATTCATGTCTATGGGATAAGGGCTATTAGTCTCCTCCCCATGAAAATGTGTGCACTCTAAAACTACATTCAAAGCCATTGTCGCCTTTGTTTTACTCGTGGACAAATGTTTATGCTGTACGCATATATATTGGCATTGCTCGTTAGATCAAAAAAAAATGAGACGGCAAATGCTGTGGTGGCGGGGGTCTTTCTCGTGGGGCTTTACGACCGCGCGCGTCGAAATTTAAACCGCAGAAATAATATACGAGTATACGCCGGCGTCTCCAAAAATAACATTTTACTTTCATCTCTTTTAATGCGGCAAAAAACGAGCACTTTATACTTACACCTACTTGTCGTCGACAACTAATTATTATCGTAGTACTAGATTATGTACGTCGCGGTGTGACCTCTGTCGCCTGTTTATTATAATAAATATCTTTTCGCATATTTATATTTTAACGAGCCAATTTCGAACGCATAATCAGTTGATAATATCATAACGCGCACACGTGTGTATTAAATGGAAATATAATACAGTTTACGAGATTTGTAGCCCCGAATTTTTGTTTATTATAGCACATATAGGTATATTATCAGCGATTGAAGCGAGAAAAACTTCGAAGAGGTACTACAATATTTACAGAAAATTGAGAGACGTTCCTGAAAACTAACTAAACCTAACCGAGCTTTCAGTAAATTCATCTTGGATAAGAGATTTTAATAACGATTTTTTCTCGCGCTCATTCATTCATAAAAACGTTATATTAAAACGTTATACTTAAAAACAAACTTCACCCCCTCTCTTAAAATATTATCTTACGTATATTCCGCCCAGTAAAATAAAGTAAACCAGAGTCCGATTACGTATATATAATCTAATGGGTAATTACGCAGAATTTATAAAATTAATTAATTTGTTTAAACATGTCTTAGTGACAATAACTAAAGCGTCCCCCTGGACTTCGAAAACATTGAACTAAATCGAAGTAAAAATTGTACCTTAAATAAAAAAGGGACTCCCCCCCCGCTTTAACCGCTGTAATATTATACAATATTGATTTGATAAGTTTTTATTTTCTACCGTATAATATAATACGACGCGAAATATTATGATTATTATCCTATAGTTATTTTTCTTTGCGGTGAGGTGTACACGTACCAACAAATTATAATTATTTCGAGACTTTATTTTATTATTTATAAACTATTATAATCAAGCTTTGGTCTATATTGAGAAATAATAATAATATTATAATATAAGTGTTTTAACGATAGATAGAAAAAGCGAGATAAATTAATTTTTATTATTACGAAATAACTAATAATAACGATTATATATAATATATAACTATTATCTATAATCTATATGATGTATCATTGTTATACTGATAGTTAGTTGTTATTATATTTTAAGTATTCGTAAAGAAAATAGTCAGGTACGCAAGTAATACGTTCTAGCAGCTATATAGTATATGACCAGTATAATTTATAATGAAAAGCTATATAATATAAAAAATAATTGTTATTAGTTTGTTGTTGTAGGGTTTATATATATACATTGTATATTATGCAATTAAAAACGTGTAAAATATATTTACTAATTTACATTTTTATACAGGTATAATTATACATTATATTAATGGTATAACTATCAAAAAAAAAAAAAATTAATGGTACAATAATGTTTTATAATGAGCATATGATATTTAAATGCAATAATAATTATTATTTCCATTTAATAATAAAACCGTAAACTTGAATTTAATTTTTGAGTGTAAAGGTCCTGATGGGTACCTATACCTACTGTGGCTATATTATGGATAATATGGAACACGGTTTGTATTTTATTTTTAATGTTTTATTTATACAACGACGATGTATAATTTTACAAAGCAATTTCGAATTTCAGTGTTCTTATTTAAAACGAAACATAAAAAGAAAAAAAAAACAACGTAATATTATGTTGCTTTTATATACCGACGCTCGTATATAATATAATGGATACACAAATATATATTTAATGTATTACGAACATAATCAAAGCTAGGCAACACGTTTATAATTTTTTTTTTTTTATAAAATATCCAGTTTAAATTTAAAAAAAAAAATAAATAATCAAACCAAGTTAAAGATAATTTTAAAATATAAAATAATTGGAATATAAATTTAAGTTAGGTTGCACATTTTCAGGAAAACGATTACTCAGTTTAATTAAAAGTTACTTTTTTTAAAATTACTCTGTACTATATACGCTCATAAACGTATTTTGTACTCTAATATATATACTTTTATATCGACTAACTATAATACATGATTCGTGTAAGTATATCCCTGCACAGGTTGTATGTCCGCCTTGTAATGTGATACTTAATGTTATTCACGTAGAAATACGTAATTTTTGTCGACATCAGGTACTTACACAGGTTTTCTTTTTACACAAAATTTGTAGATTATAAAGCAATTTAGTTAAATTAAATTAATTTATTAAAATAAATAACTAAATTATTGACCAAGTCATTTGCTAACATTCTTTTTTATTTATTTAGTTAAGTAATATATAATATATAAAAAAACAATTTATAATTTAAATTTTATTTGGCTATATAATTCACATTCTACTTGTATATTAACAGCCTGTTATTTGTTAAATTACACTTTAATGTAATACAGTAAACTAATCGCATTTTTTTTATCATTATTGCTATAGGTACTACTCGAAAGGATATTCAACGTAGAACGCGGATTTTGCAGATTTGGCGTCGATCCGGTGATATTTGAAATATTATTATACACTGCAAGGTAAGCAAAAAGCGTAACGATATAAAAAATTGTCATAATAGTATTATTGTTACAATCTTGAATAGTCATTAAGGTATTTTTATGTTAAAGTTTTATCTATAGTTATGGGTAAATCTAAAAATCTAACCTATCCTATCTATTAGTTCTAAGTTGCCACACACCAAATAAATAACAATCGATGGTAATTTTTAATTCTTTTCAAAAAGTTCATGGATTGTTTTCCACTAGCTGCAGTACTTATACAGGTATAATGAGAAAAAGTCGCATTTATTTTTTAATCCGTAATTTACAATTGGTTTTTTGAGAATGCTTTATCAGGGAGGGAGGCCCGGTCTTATTACATGTTCTACTTGCCCGACTTTTACATCCTCCACTGGAAATCGTTATAACAATTTTCCGAATGTGTATATAGTGGTCATTATAGACAAATAATGGTACCTACATTATAAAGAATGAGAGTTTTAAATCTACGTGTACTATATAATATTATGTACTTACGTGTATATTATGTATCATGAATTTATGAGTAGATATAAAATATACGTCCCTATGGCAATTGTTTGTCGTACAGTATAGCCGACTGATGACAAAACTAGTTCCTTTGTTTCGTATATATATATTATATACTGCCAGTTCTCGTATAACGTCGTCATATGTATAGGTATATTATGTTATCGTGTTCTCCCGGCCAATTATAATGACTTCTAGCGGATTATGATGCATCACGTGAAAAATATTATTATTATGCATTAGACCATAATAATATATAAGTCTCGAGCGGTAATACTTTCTCATGTTTCACCGATTTCCCCTTCGGGTATTTGTACTGTAGGCGAGTATAAAGGTGGTGTTCACACGAGAAACAAAGCGCAAACCCCTATTGATTTTTTTCCCTCGATGTAAAGAAAATATAACATTGTTATCCAGATCCCATTAAAACGTTGACTTTCACACACGCCCTCTCAAAATTGACCGCACGTATACGCGCGTTTAATATTATAATATAACCGTTTTTAGAGTTCCGCAGGTCCGACGCGACGAGGGAGGCCAATTTTCACAGTAATCGTACAAGTGCATGCCAGCTCATATTATATGTATTTAGCGAGCAAACAAACACCACAACCTCAAAATTAGGCAATAACGACATACAGGGTGTATTTGTAGGATTTGATAATTTCCTATGTTGATGCATAATAAATTGTCAAGATATACTCTGGCTCGTATTTGGGGAGGGGGTTGGGCAAGTATACCTTGGTGCCCTTATTAGAAATTTGTCTCGTTCATCAAGGTGATGGTAAATTTATGTCTACACCATATAAACAAAATTATATGATGTGTATGTATACTACAATATGTATAGTAGGTACTTAATTATTATAATTAGGTTTTTTTTTTAATGTAGATGAAAATGTTGGCATGTCTTTTTAGCACTGTTCTGAGTTCAAATGTATACATTAAAATTTATTAAAAACACGAGCCATAAAGTTGTAATTTATTATATAGCTCTAAATTAATATAATTTTCTGTAGAATATCGTGTATTATGTATTAGATAATAATTATAAAATCTTATATTTTGAAAAAAAAAAATTATCTTGGACGGTGGCTAAAATATATGCAATTTTCTAATACGGGCCTGGATACACCTTATATTTATTGTTTAGTTTCTCTAAAACAGAAGGGAAATTTCGATAGGTATACGAAATTATAATGTAATAATTCCCAATGAATAAATGCATAGTGTTACAAAATTCAATACAAATACGAAAAGAACTTACTACCTATTTATTATATTACATTTCTATAATATTTTATTTATATTATTTGCATTTCTAAACTGATGAGCTGTGTAGGTACACCCGAAATCTATTCAAATGACTTATATTTTTCTCACGTAAAAAAATTTCAAAATAAATCTCGTCAGGAACGTTACGCCACCGTAATGTTTTCGGAGAATTTGTGCTGACATGTTTGTTTTTATTTACATATCTATATATTTCGTGCAAATGTACGCGGAATTTCATATACACAATAGGTATATATAGTCAACTTTTTTATTCGACGAACATTACTTATATATTGTAATAAAGTTTCGCGGAAATCGAAACATACATACATGTATAGTGGATAATATTCACTGTATTTTATATTATAATATATTCAGCAGCAGGTCTTATGCTGCACTGCATTACACAAGTGGCGTACACTAGAGGGTTCTACTGCAGCTGCTCTAGCTCAGAAATTTAGGCGGTCGGTGGTATAGTAGCCAAAAATACCTACCTATACATTATGTTAGAAATTCTAAAGGAAATGATTTTGTAAATTATAGCCGAATTACCGGGTTCCAATCCTTTCAAAAACAGAAATCAATAAAAGAAATTAAATTTAACGTATCTCCCCTTGTTTTCAATTCATCACAGTTAGTCGTCGTTGTTCGGTAATTTATCTTTTACAAAAGGTGTACTTCTATGTCCGTGACAAATTTATTAATTTAACCAAATTAATATACTATAATAAGAATTTTTTTCATCTGTGTCAGTGTGTCATTGAGGTAACTTGGAAATCAACAAACAAAAAAATTCAATTTTTCCATATTAAAATATCGAAAACCAAGTGCGAGCCAGGATAGCTCTAAAGAGGGTCTTTAAAGGTTAAACTGTCGAATGTGTAAATTATCGTTAACATCGGAATTCAACTGTAGGTTTTATAGTGGACAAACTTTTGGACAGACAGACATATGTAAACAGAATTTCAATTTTATCCATAAGATATTAGTTGAAGACTATATGTAGCTATGTACAAGTTAATGCTAATTCGGTGTCATTTGGAGCGATTTTGGGGACGAGCATGGACGGTAATATACTATAGCCATTTGACTCACTGTCCCGATTTAATTCCGCGTGTATACGAATGACAACTAATCGTCACGGAGAACAATTTTGCGGGCTTCCTGTAATTTTTTCTATAGTACCGTGCGCTTTTTCGTATATACACGTATCGTCAAAAACACGCTTCGAGCGATACAGTTACTTGTACGATTTCTTTTTGGCCGTCCTCTATACACTATATCTTATTTTGTCCCTCACCTACCCCGGTTCAATGGTGAGTCGCGGCCGAATTGCTTCTCGCTCGCCGCGTGGGGCTTCCGATGCCCGCAGTACTGTGCAACAACAACACGAGACAAAATACAACACGAGGGGGGCAAATGACCCTATACATAGGCTTTCTCCCTCATTATTATTATACGTTATTGGGTTAACTATACATAAGCACGTCGAGCCCCCATCTATATATATGTATATAAATTGAATCAAAGCCCCGGGAACCCATATGGCGCGCAGGAAATTAATATTGTTCGTCGGGGAAAAAAAAAAATCTAAAATGAATACCTATACACCGGGGCCTCGTATATTGTGTATTGTATAATATATAATATAATAATAGTAATTGTAAGAACGAGCATTTTTTTCCCCTGACTCTTCCATCGTGTGCGGAGCGTGTAGATTGTAATATTATATATATTATTTGGACGTGATTTATCTCTATTAGAGTAGTTTGACGGTGCAGGGAGTCTCGAGACGACCGACTACGAGACCTCTAAAATATTATTATGATTGACGAGACGATTTTCATCACCGCCGCCTCCGCCGCCGTTATTCTTATACTCGTATTGTAAAACCCGTCCCGTCGTATGTACTTACCACCTTGACTATCCATTGTTTCATTAAAAATAATAATAATAACAATAATAATAATAGTAATAGTATAACGACACGGAGAGCTATTATTATATTTATACATTTTAAAAATGGAATAAGTACCTCTATATATCTATAAACCTTATGGGCTCTTATTATATTATGTACATTATATAGTTACTTCCGTTTTTTGCAGCGCCTCTGCCTCGCGAAGAAAACAATAGGCGCCTTATTATAATCTCCAGGTCGCGTCTCGAATACGCACTGTAAACACGTCAACGCGCTGCCATATGTACTGTTACCTTATTTCTTAAATGGACGAGTGTATATATATATATTTGTATAGGATGGGGACCGATCCAATATGTGATCTACCGATTAACTTACGAGTATACATGCTAGGTACTTAAAGTAGCTACGTACTTACTTATTAATAGTTTATCCTATAACAGTTTTTTTAAATCCGATAAAAAAAAAAACATAAAATATTTTGAATTTTTAACGCCATAATCGCCATTATATTTGGTCTTGATTCATTTTCACAATGATTCTATTGTTTGGATTTACGTAATTTTCACTATGTTTCATAGTTTTATGTTTGGCGAATAAATTCATGGTCTTTCAGAGTATTATAAGTTCGCCACTGATCGCTGTGAATCGTTGGAACAGTGTTTATCGATCTCTTTTTACTCCAATCATAAATCGACGTTCAGTTGTGTTGTCATGCTTACAAGAAAAACCAAATACCATGGGCCTTTCATTCGATTACCAAAATTTCGTCGATTATTTTTTTACTGGGGCTTTATTTTAATAATTTGAAGTATCTTTTCTATTTTTATATAATTGATGGTTGTGGTTTGTAATATTATCAGTAATGTATAATCGACCATAATTTATTTTTGTTTTCCTTGAAGGATGGGTTTATCTATCTGTACGATACATCTGAGACCTCGCATTTCCTTCGATTTATCGTAAATCACTGTTTGTCAAATGATCAATATTACGTAGAACATCCGTTATCCAGAAAAGTATTGCATTTTTAGTGTAATTAGTAATTTAAGAAACAAATGTTACATTATCCTTATTTTCGGGGCTGAAACCTCTACGTACTTTTGATTTTCTAATCTATTTATGAAAAGTCCTATAAACAGACAAAATTTAAATCAATTTTGGTGTTGACATTCTTAATTTGATAAGATATTTCGCTTTTAAGGTTGCTGTTTGTGAGTAGATGGAGGGTAGTGTATCACTTTGCAAACGTTGTGTGTCGCCTTGCTATCTACATGATCTTTCACTTCTTTCTTCGTCTTACTCAAACTCTAAAGTAAAATATTTCGTTAACGAGTCAACGAAAATTAAAAATGAACACCAAAGAAATCGATTTAAACAGAATTTCGTTTTTTATTTTCATCGAATTTTCGAAAAAAGTTAGTGCTATCCGAAATAATGAGTGTCTTTACGTTTCGTCGATCATCCTGCATCCTGTATATCTTTATGTATTGTACGGACGTGTGTACGTTTTTATTTTGTTCACCGTCGGAGAAAACCACCCGGCCATTTCAAGCGTTTCCGCTACAGAATTGTTTACATTTTATTTTTTATGTACCTACGCGCTCGCGAGAAAGACAAATATTTACCATATATAACCACCCGAACATCACCGTTTTCATTTTTTTATTTTTTACAAATCCATTAGCCTTTTCTTTTTCATCGTATAAAAATTAAAATATTCAAGGCACATCGCACGCGTCACGCATGCAAAATTGCAAAGGTTTGTCGCTGTATACCTATATACTCGTACGTACCTACCTACGATCGTATCGTTAAATTATTATTTTAAAAGTTTTTCGTACGGGCCTAAACGGATCGATTTCGGACTTTAAAAGGATAATACCTATAAAACCTATTATAATAATACCAATTTGTCTTTGTACAATAGTTTTGACTTAAAATACACGTATATTATATTATTGTGTGGGTCAAAAGTGATGGACGACGGTTTTTACGTCCGAAATATCTTTCCCACGTGTATAGAAACCTATTGGCAGTAAAAATGTTAAATCGTGAGTTTGCTTAGGATATACGGTGTACATATAAATGTATAATCTTCATGTAATACCTACAGACTCTGATAATAAATGATAATAATATGCAATTTTTATCTCGGTCATGAATCTATAAAATCTTGCGTTTAAAAATATTATAATATAATATAGTTTCGTTGTTACTATTCTCCTCTTCACAAAGTCTCTCGTATTTTAATTTTAAAACTCCCCGTTCATATAAAGTTCAAAAGCTTATCGCGATGCTTTCGTTTAACCCAATAACCATTGAATTTAACCTAATGTACTTAAAGGTAAATAATTTTATCACGAACAACATTATATAATAGTACTATATCATGTATGCTTTACCGTGGCTAATCGATATCATAGTCAATTTTTAATCATGCATTATAAAATATAACCGGAATAGTAAAATATTACTAATAGAGAATAATATTATATTGTAATGTTATTTTGGCCGTGTTTCTGGTGTGCATTTTCTATAGTACTTTTTTATAATAATATAATATCAATAGCCACGATATTTAAACTCAACCCACGCGTGAATGGGCAATTAAAATAAAAAAGTTGCCTCTCGTTTAATTAATTTTAAAGTGCAAACACGACAATTAATATTATAAATCATTGTTATAATTTATAGTACCTATATATTTAATTAAAATAGCAGAAGTTATTATATTTGTTTATAGAAATAATAATCGGACTAATATATAATTATTTTTGAATTCTCTCATTAATAATTCATTTTAATCGTTACCGTCAAAAATGCATTTTATAGAACTATATTGAAGCAAAATTAACGAACGTTAGTTGTGTATTATGTTATTATTATCTCGGTAAATTATGTTTATTCACAATAATGTTAAAAACTGGTTAGAATAACGATTCAATCTGATGAAAAATTGTTTTGTTCGTTTTTAGTTAAGTTAAATAAATTGTGTTTTGTTAGAATATTTCTTTAAATCGGTTGTTCTATGTAAATTCTAGTACAATATTTTGAAATCAATAATAAAATAATATAGCACCGATAACTATTCAATTATTGAGTAAAATTATAGATTTTTGGAGTGTATGCAAATTAATGATGGATCATTTTCATAATTATACAATTAACGAAACCATTATAAATGAAATAATTCTGAAATATATTAATATTTATTCATTATAATATCCCATTAAACAATAAGTAATGATAATATTTAAAATATTCATTACGCGAGTCCACAATATCCAATATAAAAACATAAGATTAAATATTAATTTCGATTAATTCGGATGTCACTATAGTTCTTCTATATTCTTCTGTGTACCGGTTACCTCATTAATACAGAAAAAACAAGAAATACCAAAATATATTTTTTACATTATTTCTTGTTATTCGTATTAAAATAACCAATAATATATCTATTATAATATAATACTGTCAAATTTCAGTTTAAAAAAAAATTTCATTGTGTGTTATTTTTTTTTAAATACAAATCATAATATTATATTGTTTAATTATTTTAGTCATAAAGATGTTTTTCAATTTGTATGATTCGGATGTAATATTGATAAGTTATATAAATGTATAGGTAAGGGAACCAGCGCTATTTCGAGTATTTCGTTTCATACATTTGTGTTTTGTAATATCTATACAAATTCGGTTACCATGATATAGATGTTATTATTTTTGTAAAGAAATTACATTTTTACTCGATATCGTTAATAACTTTTCATTAAAGTTATAATATCTTATTGTTAACATAATAATAATATATTGATTACAGTGTGTTATGACGTCAGTTATAACGATTACACTGAATTATTAGGTATTTAACTAAAATTTGTATTATTATTATTATTTTTTTATTAGATTAATTATCGTATTAAATAGTTGCTATAGGTTCTGTTGTAATACGAAAATAATGTAATATCGATTACAAATTTAAAAATGTATACTCATACATATTATGTCTATACGAATTAACTTAAAGAATTAAGTATAATTTATTTTGACTGTGTAATAATTGAGAATAATACAAATAAATCAAGAGTATTAATAAGAACATTTACTCTAGCTTTAACATGAATGGCATAAATAAAAAAATGATACATTTTTTTTCAATTTCCCATCATAATACATTTAGGATTCTACTTATTTTTAGTTATTCATTACCCAGATATTTTGTTACGCGTGTTAAAAAAAAATATTTTCTCTAAAATTTCTTGCCAAAATATTCGTCCGTCTGTCAGCTTTGATTTATGCGCTTGAAGTTTCTCCATGAAAACGTTCGTCCGATTGTAAACGTGCGGAGTTAATGAGCTCTTCCGAGAGAAAAAAACATCGTCTCTAGGACAAGTGTCGTTTGTTGATCCCTAAACAGCTAGCGACTGTAGAGCTACTCTAATATGTACATGTTTAAGTAGTATCAGTTATAACTTTGTGTGTCTGATATGTATGGTTTGAAACATTAATATTGTAAATATCCTTGAATTTTATGAGATATTCGTGGTATTTTGGGTTTTAGCTTTATGGGTATTAGTATAATTATATTTTGGAATCATAATACTGCAGTTTACTAATGATGTGATGGGCAATTAAAAATTATTCATTTTTTTTTAAATAACATTGCTAAATACAAGTTGTTTGGCAGTATATTATATGTGTACCTATAAGTATCTATGCGTTTTTTGGACCAAAGGTTGTTCAACGAGCGAAGCAATTAGTTATACCTACCCATAATTATTATTGCAGTTAATCAGTTGATATATTCGTCTATATTAGTAGTACTCGTACATAATATGGAATGTAAAAAATAATAACCATTATTATATATTATAAACCTATAGAAAAATGAATTGATAACAGAGAGAGAGAGACACTGCAGAAATAGAAGTCAAACGATAGAGATAACAACATTGTTAGAAAAGAAAGCTTACTGTTTAAGTCCTATCAGGTGCGTATTTATGTCGCTGCAGCACTGTCTGAAATATCTAGGATATAGTAGTTAGACTTGGAACAGTGTTAATGAAAAAAATCCTTTGGATACGGACCTGGGTACTATTATATGCTCAGGTATTGGCCAATGGACATGAATCTCTTTCTAACAATGTTAATATACTATATAGTCAACCTATACGGCAGGGTATGGTGGGATTTCGCGGGGACCAGTCCATCATAATATTAATATAAAAATAAAATAGTAACTAAAATAGGTATCGTATTATAGCACTGTAAATTATTGTGAATTTGTGATAACAGTCAGCGTCGTGATCTATGTAATGCATGATATTACAGTGATATCACCTTACGCTGATTTTTTTTACCTTTCTGTTTTATATCCGATATGAATACACAGGAGAGAACGAAATTTATAGTAACCTGTAACCAATAACCAATAGCCTGTAGTATTTTGATTATGCAATGAATGGCTATTATACCACGTGATGTTCCTAACTCTTTTAATTATTTGTTCATCTTTTCTTCAGCTCTTTATAATTTCTTTATGGTAATCTCTAAAGCATTCCATACAAATTAAAAGCTCTTTATTGAAAGGGCAAATTAACATTTATATTAATATAAACATGAAACAAAATCATTGTCGAAACTGAACCGTAATGCGAAAACTATAATATATTTATACTATTATATTATTGTAGTTTGTAAATCGTAAACTGTAATCAATATTTGAAATATTGATAACATATTTAAGGAACGCTTTGATAATTAAGCCACGGTTTAGTTTAAGCTAAGTTGCAAATAGTGTTTGTGTAACAAAACATATATTTAAGGAAGCCTTAATTTTTACTTAAATTTGAAGTGTAACTGGTGCAAATGGGTACGAGGCACGGTGTGTTATTGTATTATTATTACTACGGTACCGATTAATAGTTAATTCGATTTATTTAGGTTTATAATTGAAAAGTAGAAATGTAGGAAACTGTCCTCCACTCTTGTCACTCTGGACTGTGAATAACTATTACGTACGCGTTATTCTTCTAGAGGAAAATATTGAAAAAATATTTATATGTATAGATATATTGTTGTATATGAGTTTGCTGTCCTAAAATAAAACCATTATTTTTGGACAGGAGCGACAATTTAATTATAGCATAAGAGCGGCAAATTGTTGAATTTGAGACCCTGTGGAAAACGTATAATAATATATTTATTACGTGTGCAGGTAATACTTATAATATAAAGTTAATGCGTGTTTGTTATATTAACGTTTTAAGCTAACAGCTTTCAAATATTTTTTTAATAAAATTGAGGTGCTCCTGTCGTCTTATGTATATTATAATATATTATGTACCCGTGTATAGGAGTCCTCGATATTCTATTAGTGCACGTATATAAATGTTTTATAAACGTAATTGCGGTGGGGTCGACGGTACTTTTAATTAATACCGTGAACCTTGTATACCTATACGAATAGGTACGTGGCGTTAATTCGTTAAAATATTTATAAGCCTCCCGGGTTTAGGTATTGGTATATAATACGGTTTGAATTTCATTCGAATATTTTTCAATACGCACAACGTGGTTTTTTTAGTCGGACAACATTACAATATTTTTATTATTCGCTCAGGGTTATCATATTTTATCGACAAAAAATTACTTTGCTATTCAAATATTATAACATCGCGTCTAAAATCTAAAATAGCAGAGAACAATAATATATTATGTTTTCAATAGCTGTCGCTATTGTTTCAAATATTAGGTATTTAGGTATAGGCGCGATATTATTGTCGTTAAATTTATTCCGTATATAATTTTCTTTTGACATTTTCTACAGGAAACACGTTTGTGAGTGGGATTTATCGCAAAGTTTTTCCAATGTGACCTAACCTACCAAACCTTCATACCTATTATATTATTATAGTGTCGGGTGGTAATATTTTTTTTAGTTATATGCGGCCCCATCATAGTGGTTTAATTTAAAGCCGAATCGAATGTTTTATACGAGTAATTTCCACGGACCCAAACTGTACATGGACACTTATTGTTAAGAATAAGAATTAAAATTAACCTATGAAAACAATAATAATTACTGTATAATGCGCAATAGTAGAATTAAAAATTACACATTCTCGCGTTTGTAATCGAGTGATAAGTGGAACGTATTGTATCATATTTTGTATACTATTACACAACTTAAAAATTAAATAATATTATGTATTATTAAAATAAATATTTTATAATATAATATAATTGACTTTATAAATGGAACGTAAATTCAAAATGATTGTTAAACTATAAAGTTTTTGTACGATAAAATACTAGGTCGGTTTATTATTATTATTTTTTGTTAAAATAGAATAATGAAATTCTATAATGGTTTCCCAAATTGAATGGAGTATTTATTTATAATTTACTTCCATAAAATTAAACAGCAATTATTATATTGTCCCGTGTATCAATGGAACCATAACTTTTAAATAAAAATGAATGGTTTATTGTGTTTAATTATATTGTGTTAACACATTACTGAACGCAAAAAGCCGTTGTATAAATACAAAGTTCTTTTAAATTAAAGAATCCATTTAACCGTAAACTTAAATTAAAGTACTATTCAAATTTTGATATATAATAGAGTAATTATGTTGACCTTATAAACATGAATGATATGACTGGTAATATTACAGGGTGATTTTTTAGATTCTGAGTGCTGCGATGAATTTTTAAGGGTAACTATGTTTTGCTTTTCTTTTCTATCTATGTACGGCTTTTCTACCAGAATTCTTATTTGAATCAAAAAATTAAAAGAGGGTTTTTTGTAGCATTTTGGATATAGTTGTGCTTTTGGGAGGTAATTTTTCAATTTTCCAAGTGGTTTTCACAATGATTGGTATAGGCTGGGGGGAAAAAAAACGTATAAGACAAACAGATACATTTACGGAAATAAAAGTTTCATTGTACGATGTTCATTATAAATTTATCTTAATATTTTTAGTAGTCAAAATATGATGAGTTATTACAGTTTAAAATTTAGAGCAGAGAAGCAGGGAAGGGTAATAAATTAATAAATATCCAATTTCCATTTTAAAATGATACTTCTAAATAAATCCGATAATATAGTGTTATATCAACGTGTTTGAAAAGTATTAATTTTCGATTCTGTGTTGAAAAGTTGTTAAGGGAGAATTTGCTTTTGAAAAATCAAAAGTTAATAATCATACCTTATTATTATAGGAACAAGGAGTAGGGGTAAACATTTTAATTTAAAATCCTCTTGGAAAATCATTATATACGTATAATAAAAAAATATGTGTCAAGTTGTCAATTTTGGTACATAGTTATAAAAACATTATAAAACATTTTACCGATTAGGTTTGTTTGTAGGTACAGTGGTTAAAATTGGGACAGTGTCTCCCTTTTTAAGTAAAACTATCCGTCCCCATTAGTTTAATTTTTTGAAGTCCGAGGGAATGTTTTATATTTGGCACTGAGGTATTTTTAATGAAATACCAAAAGCTTTTATAAAAAAAATGTCTTTTATATTGGCTTAACGTTATGTAATTAATTTATTTTACATTATATTTACCGAGAAGGATAACTTTTTCGGAGAGGGAGGTAGCATATCATTTTTATGAATAAATTTGTATGGGAGAAAAAAATGTTGGAAGTCTTGACTTTATGGGTTTTTCGAAAGTTTGGTTTATATTAGTTAGTTATTCGAAATGCTTCTCAGTTTTTGGCAAATATTGTCCCCTCACGAAGTTATTTTTAATTTAACCACTATACTGGGCGATCAATCTATCATAAGACACTCATTATCTCGGAAAGTATTAACTTTTCTTCGACATTTGTTTTATAGAAAATTTTAGAAACAGGCAACATTGAAATGTTACAATTATCTTATTTTTTGTCATCCTAATTTTTTTTTTTTATTGGGGGGGGAAACGACTACCTACTTTTCATTTTCAAATGGCAGCCTATATTAAAAATTCTATAAATAGATGAAGTAAAACCTAGTTAAAATAAATTTTTAATTTCTTTCAATCTGTTGACGTGATATTTTACTTTTAATTTTGGATCGGGAGAGTAGTGGAGCATCATTTGCTTGGCGGCACAGCATGTGGCGTTTTAAGAATGTACCGTTACTTTCCCCCGACCCAAAATTAAAAGTGGAATATCTCGTCGACGGATTGATGAAAATTAAAAACTTAAACATCAAAATTTATATTAACTACTACTCCATCTATTTATGAATTTTTTAATATAGGTTACTATTTGAAAATAAAAAGAAGGTATTCATTTCATCCTCAAAAATTAATGTAAATGTTAAATTTTAGGACAGCTCGTTTCTTAAATGTTCTTTCAAAGAAATTTCGAAAAAAGTTAACACTTTCTCAGATAATGAGTGTCTACGGTAAATTGATCACTCCGTATTTGTACAGTATATAGGCTATATGTTTATTGAAAACTGATTTAATTATTAGATTATTAACGAAATTTGGGCCAATGTGGCAAGGTTTGAAGTTGATATGTTTGTTCGAAATTTTATATTAGGTTAAAAATTAGGTTTACTTATATTATTTATTTATATTTCATTATTATTATTGAAAAAAAAATATATATATATATATATGACATAGAATTTGACCAGAATTGTTATGTTTGATTAAGAAACATAATTATTTGATTAGGGCATAATGTTAGCTTGTTTATTAGTATATATATATTTAAAAGAATATAATGTTTCAATAGTGTATATAAAGAACGAAATGTGCCTACGCAATAAATAAACAAATTTATATGATAAAAAAAATAGATAAAATTGCAGGATTATATAATAAAAATATGATAATTTATGCTCGTGTCGCGCACGTTACATTTTTTTCTCAAGTATTTCAATTAATTTTTTGTTATTTTTTTTTTAACACTAAAATTCAGCTGTAACGAAAAAAAATTTTGAGTATATTGTTTAATGACGGAGGACCTATACCGATATTTTATTTATACAATGTACTTATAAACTAAGGTCGTTATTTATTTATTTTATTTTTTTAGAACCGTTCAAAATCCTTTATAAAATATTCAAAGTATCAGTGTAATAAAAATAAAAAAAACCGGACATACTTCGTACCATAGGAGAAGCTTCTGTCGTAGGTGAGAAAATGGGAAAGTATTGGATATAAGAAAATTTAGTTTGTATACTGAAAGCAGCGATTCATCATTCTCACAAATAAAAATAAAAAAAACCGATTCTGACCGGAGATCGTGTAAACGATCAAGGGTATAGTATTAATTGTTTAATGGTGTTTATTTCCCTTGTGGTAAGTAACTCAGAAATCAACAAAAATAAAACCGACGAATTGTCATTTTTGGTCAAGTTTTTAATTTTCTTTTAAAAATTGTTGGTAATATAGACAGATTTTTTAAATAAAGTATTACCGGGCGGAGATTTCGCGTTTTTTAAGGTATGATATGAAAAAATCTGAGTATTTTTACAAATTCAAAAAATTAAACACACTATAGTAAAACCAATATATTCCTTTCTGCATTCAGAATGTATCGATATATTTAAAAAAAAATGTCTTTCCAACCTTTTTTTAGCTTAAAAAACGGTTTAAGCCCATTGTAGCACCATACACTTTCCTCTATCTTTCTCTGTCCATTGCTACATGCGTATAATTTTCTATTACTAGTATTATTAAATCCTTGGTCAGGCAATCACTACTCGGGTAAGACTTCAAAGTAGATCCGAGCACCCTTGGGTCTCTTCTCCTGTGGTTTCTAATAATTACGGACTGTTTTGTAATCGAGCTAAACTTTAGTTCGTTGTCAAATTACCTCATGTTATGTTTGATTCTTTAAAGGCGTAAATAAATATTTTCTACAAAATTGAAAATATTACCATAAAAATATAGGTTTAGTAATATCTACGTCTATAACTAGGCTTCCGGTGAAAATCTTAACAATAAAAGTCGTCGGGATCTTATAGAATAGGTTTTTTTTATTCTTTCTAGTTTCATTCTCACCGACGTCGCTTAGAAGCGTTTCTGTTAAGAGGTTAAGAACCTTTATAGACATTTCGCATTTTATCTGATTTCGATTCGGCGTGTGGGATTCGCGATTTACTATCTGCATGCAGTGTGCGTATATAGGTACGCGTCCATACATATTGATGCATATTATATTATATAGTCGCTGTATCTTTTGGACGAAGGCCGTAGAGAGCAAAAAAAAAAATCTTATGTACGACAGCCACGACCGCGTTTTTCTCGGCGCTGTCGTCACACACACGTATTATATTATAGTCGTTTTCATTACCATCACCAAGATACGGTCATTTTTTATTCATATTATCGTATAAAATGTGACCGGAACACCGAAATCCGTGAGTGCGACGAAAACTAAGAGAAAAAAATGTAAAATGTATTCGATTTTGTGAAAGATAAAGCGATTTATAAATTTATGCGCGACGCGATTATATTGTACCCTATACGTTTAGATACCGACTCTGGGAGATTATGTGCAAGTGTAATATATGCGATATGTCGATTTTTTTTTAGATTCCTAATAGATCGAGGAAGTTATCTGTTTTACGCAATGATTTATTTGTTTTAGATTCTGAGCTCAGCGAGGATTATTCTGGTTTATAACTTATAGCTATGATGTATGTGAATTTTTTAATATTTTTTTTTAACTTTTCTACCAGAAATTTTGCTCTAATCAAACAATTATAAGAGAGCGTTTTTCGTAGAAGTTTGTATCTATTTAGTGTATTTACTGGGCCATTTTTTATATTCTTTGTAGTTTTTATTATAATTTGGAAAAAAAACGTAATGGAAAACCGGACAAATTTAAAGTTTCGTTGTTATCGAATTCGGTTTAAAAGAATTGTAATAAAATTTTTACAGAAGACATATATTATTAAAATAATATATTTATCATGACGTTTAAAAATCATTTCTAAATGTGACTATTATTACCATCTCTCGGTAAATAGACGCAAATAGCCTAATAAATTTGGGGGGACTCTTAAATTCCCGTTAAATCGATCGTGTGTACTTTGTATTTATTTTATAAGGACTTGATTGGGAGAGTATTTTGATGGATAAAACCCTAAGCCCCATATTTGTGCAAATGTCTCGGCAACGTCTGCAGTATTACTTCAGTTGGGCAAACTAAAGATTATTAAGTCGTAATACGCTCGCTTTTTCACTCGATACTGGTTTACTTTTTAAATTCGTATATATTCCTTTCAATTATTACGTCACGTATATTTGGCCAATTTCAGTTTCCAATCCGGCACAAAGTAAACAGAATACGCGCGTATTTGTAACGAGAATTTTTATTCGATACGCTTTCGGCGATAATAACTCTGTTGACGATCGAATGTCAAACTTTTAAATTATATTTATATACATATACGTATACAATAATATACAAACATATAGAATCTGTAAAATAAAATATCGATTTGACGTTAACGCATAGTAGTATATAATGAAAAGAGCGTATCTGCAGGATTTGACAGTTGCACATGTATAATAGGATATTATCAAATTCCGCAGACCGTAGCGCCGAGTCAGTTTTGAAATGGTCTAGTCATAGTAATCATAAGTGCGCTACTCCTCACCGCCCTAGACGATTATTTATGTTTATTAAAAATGTCTTGTTATTTGACATCGCGTATTGTACATTTTTTTGTACATATTTATTGATTTTCGAGTTAGAGTTCAAACAAATAATTATTACGGAATTCATCAACTACCTTAGCCACTGCAAAAACGGTACGATCTCGAACAATCTTCTTCGGCGCCACCTCCTGCAGGTATACCCTGTATACAAGTATTTACCTACGCAGTACGTCATCGTGGGTTCTATTCTATAGGTTAATTATGTCAGAAACTTTGAAAATAAACATAAATGTTTATTTATTTTTATGAATACGATCTAATAACCACGACGGCGACAGTTTACGTGCAGAGCTGATTGATGAGAAAAAGTTTGAGCGCGCCCAGGACCGCTGTATAGTGTAGATGAATACGACTCGTGTAAAGTTATTTTTTTCGTAACTCAAAAAACTCGTTTCTACCGTTTTTTTTTTTTTTTCAATGGCTCTAATAATTCATAATATTTCATACTGCTGCACGCGAGTGTACACTGTACGTTATTTAAGAGACATACCTAGTTATATTATAGTCACATAAGCGACGTTACGTCTGTTTTTCATTCGTGCTGCAGTAATGGATAACACAGAGAAATAAAATCCAGCACGTATGGCAGATAATCGTCGTCGGGGGCAATGCGAAATCGAAAAAAATTAACATACTTACTACGGGGATTGGCATTGGTGTATATTTTAGATGATTTAAACCTGAAAACCAGACGAAACCGTCTGGATTGTACGGATTGTATGTTTGACGGATTTAATTTCGAAAACGAATTATAATTATTTTAATAGTAAGTTTGACATTTTTTTAAAAATGTGCTTAAAGTATAATTTACTTATGTAAAAAAAAATAAAATAAATAGTAACGTATTCGCACAATGTTTTGAAAATGTGTTAGAGTTTGTTCTACATAATACATTTTCGTTTAATTAATTGATATATATATATATATATATGTTATGGTATAGGTTTATAAGAATTGTACTTGTAAGCTAATAGTCTTACTGTAGTGCTATTTTTTACCAACTCATAAATGTTTATTATCATTTTTATTACGTTCCAATGTATACTTGGTCATGAGAAAACTACTCTGAACATAGATCCACTTCTTTATAATCAAATATTTGCCTTTCTAATTTCTTAATTGTAAAGCAAATTAAATTATTTAAGGAAATCGGTGGCGTTTAAATTGAAATTGTAAGTTTGTTAAGATTGTTGGGATTGAAGGTGTATTAAAATTATTTATAAACAATCAATTTTCAGGCGGTAATCAAAGATCTATTTCATTTGTCAAACGGCGTGATTGATTATTAAAGTGGCACGTTTATACGATTCACTTCAAGTCTCTGTGAACAGTCTGACGTTGTGGCTCTCATCCTTCCTTTCAGGGTTTAAAACAGTTGAAACTTCGTATTGCACTTTTATAAATGCATGCATGCCCCTTTCAAAATACTTATAGTTATAAGGAAAAAAAAAATAAAAGGTCATAATTTGTTTATGTTCACCTGGGTGTTTGCCCGCGCCTTCACAATAACTAGAAAAAACAATTTATTTACTGTTCCCAAAATAAGTTGTCATGGGTAATTGTTCTCCTGCCAAAAAACTCCGTCTAGAAATAAAATATACCTTCAAAAATAAAAAAAAACAAAAAATATTTTTACCTAAAAAATTAACATAATTTGATAAAATATTAACTCTTAATCATCACATAAAATAATATTCAGAAATGTATTTTCCAAGTTCAATTATGTGTATGGATAAATTATATTTTTCTTCGGCTTTAACAAAAACTTTTTGATATCATTCTTGTTTTTTGGTATCTGTATGCATTTTAGAATGTTTTGTTTTTGTTGAACTACTTATAGATGGCTGGTTGAGGAACCAATTCATCCAATGTCGAAATTATATATTATATATTATTAAATAGAAGGCAAAAATAAACGTATTCATTTTACGCCACTTAAATCACGTGTCATCGTTATCATTAACAAAATTGATTAATAATTCGCGGCGGCGACGATCAACACCAGCAACGGTGGAACGGCTTGTCCCCCGACGGAGGCTGCGTTACAATAGTCACGGTTGCACAGGCATACCTTTGACGTGACGTTCTGGTCGTTGTCGACGACGTGGAAACAACCGGCCTTGTTGACGCCGGTCGGACCGGAACATCCGCGGACCGACAGCTCACCGGTCGCCACGCTCACGCACCACGCCGACAGGCTGGACGGACAGTGGTACACGTGCGGCCTGCGTTGTCGTTCGTCCGCGTACGACCAGAACGCCCCGCCGTCGGTCCGCCGGTCCTTGTAGCATACCAGCACGCCGCTCTTGTGTTTGGGGAACAAAACGATTCGGTTGTTGTCGGGAATCGCGAAGACGACGACGACGGCTGACAACAAAAGCACCGTAGCTTTTAACGTCATTGTGTTTAAATATAGTTGAATATAATTACGGAAAGATAAATGAAAATTATTTAAACCGCCGTTGTCGTCGTCGTCAAGGTTTCGCTATATGATGTCCTAAACGAATAATATGTAATATTTTGTATACAACATTTGAGTTTGTTATATTTAATTCATTAAAAGTACATATATTATATTATTATTTAGGCTTAGTGGTGCGAGACATGGGAGGAATTGCCCGAACGAAGTAGTTGGCGTGTGGAGTGGATGAAGAAATGGGGCTGGAAATAATTGGCGGAGACGCTCACGGAGAAATTTGTAATGGAAAAGGACGTAGTATAAATAACAATGGTGAATAAATCGTAAAACTTTTTTCTGTATCGAACTCAACAATGGAAATTTAAGAGCTGGGTCCAAAAAAGCCAATTTATATTATAATAAATCAAGCCCTTTCCTTGTAACTCAGTTGAAATATATGATTTTAAAACTTAATTAGCTACTAAATATGTATTCATATTATTTTAAAGTCAATGGATGGTGGGAGGGGATATAACTTCTTATCCTCCTTTCTTTCCTGTCGCGTACGCCAAAAGAGATGTGTATAGCGGAGAATAAAAGTAGCCGACCCAGTTTTCGTGCAGTAGTATAGAAGAGGAAGGAAATAGTTGATTCGTTAAAAAGTATGAGCTTGAAATAAATAAAACCTACAAATGTCCATATATTTACCGCGTATGTAGGTATATTATTTTATAATATTTAGTGAAGAACACTTCTCGAGCGAAGAGAAAATATGTTTTTCATAGCAGATAAAAACGAAAAAAGAAAGATAAGATAATGAGGACGGGCACAGCCACTGGTGTAGGTGGAAAGTTGAGAAGGTAGGATATAGACAGGAATTGAATGTATGATAAACCATTGCTTAAGAAAAAGCGATTTTAAGGGGAGTTCAGTTGATAGTAATGCTCTGTCAACAATATATTATGTATCATTTTGTAGTAAAATAATTAAACAGGCCTTATGTATTTTCTTTAATAAAATTTGTTAAATGTCCAAGTTTTTCTCCGATTTTCCCAGTTTTCCCATGTTTTATCCCAATTTTTAACATTTTCTGGGAAAACTCTTGGGAAAATTGAAAAATAACCTCTCTAAAGTACCTCCCTAGTGAAATTTTCTTTTAGAAACTTTGCTATCTTTAAAGTCGGAACAAAATTGCTGGTATAAAAGTTGTCCACAGGAAAAAAAATCGTAATATTATATAAATATATTTTGTATATCCTCGTTTTTCCTCAGTTCTTTTTCAGTTTTTAAAATTCTATAAAAAAATCTCCTGAGAAAATCAAAAAATGACTTCCCTAAAGTACCTTCCCACGTCGATTTTTTTTCAAAAAAGGTGCTACATGTAGAAATCCGAAGAAGTCTTCTGGTGAAAAAGTCGTGCACAGATAAAAAAAAAAAAATAAACATCTTTGTAAAACTATAAGCATCTTCGCTCCACTGAATATCTAAAATAAAAAATCCGATAGACTTCTCTGAGTAACTGTTCGTGGGAAGTTGGTAAATCAGGATGTAATATAATTGAGTAATTTATTAGTTTGTATTTGTACGCGATCATTGCAAACGAAAAACGATTTTGAGTAGAGTCCGGTTAAACGTGTTTTGTTACATTTTAAATCGTTGATCGATCGGAGCGAGATTTCTGATTAAAAAGTTATTTACATCAAATACGCATCGTGGTTTACATGAAATTCGTATTGGATTTTAAGCAATATTAGTACATTCATTGATATACGCTCTGAATCATAAAATGTCCGCCCGGAAACCTTCCGGGAGCTCGACCGAGTAATACAATAATATTCTGATAAACCAGCTGACGATTTTCATACATCAGCAAAACGTTTTGTCGTTTTGATTACACCTATCGTATTATTGATACCATAATATTAATTTATATTGTGTCAGTATTTTAATATTGAAAATTGGATAACGTCAAATGTCCGTTCAATAGAAACAATTATATTTTCAAACGGTATACTATACCGTACGTGGAATATTAAAATATACTAGATATATTATTTAATTGTACCTATTTTGTTTGAAAATTAAAATGTCGAGAATAAAACCAACGTACAAACACAGATATTTCTGTACCTTACATTTAGGTTTAGTAACAGGTCAATTTACTCAAATATTAAAACTAACAGCGGAAAATTAATTCTATATTGATCGAATGTTTGACATGATTCAATGTTTAACATACGCCGTGACGTATATTTATCATATGTATTAAAATATGTTTAGTTGAATTTAATGACGGTTGTGTATGTAAAGTTTTAAAAACAAAAATAGTTGCACTATGTAGATGCAACATACCATAAAGCGGTTTACCCACCCGCCAGTCGTTATAAGTTATGACTTTTTTGTTATATAATATCGCATATTCTGCACAGGCTTCGTGGTACGCCGTAGTTTTTATATTTTTTATACGGGGATAGTAAGAATAATACGATTATTTTTTATGATACTCTACAAAAGTTCATATTCTTTTCGGAGTAATCTCGTATTTATTATTAAATTAAATTTTTTTACGGTAATTTTTAGAAAAGGAATTTAACATGTTATGTTATATAGTTTTATACTTAAAGAGCAAAAAATAGCAAATGTAATTTAGTTGCTTATTTTCTATCAACAAAACCACAATAAAATGACTATTAACTAAAAAAAAAAAGCAAGCGAATTAACAGCTTTAAAAACTCTTCTAAAATCTCGAATTCTATTTGTTCAAGAATGGCCTTTTTGAGAGTTGCTGTTCGTATTCTAGGGGTATGATTTAAGTATTACATAAGATCTGCAACACTGGCATATGCGTCTATCGCATAAGCACTATCGACAATAGGTGATTAAGAAATAATAAGTCTGGGAAATGGAAAATTAGAACTAATGCTCAATTATACAAGAAGTATAATAGATAAAATGTGGTCTAGTTCGTTAAGAAAAAAGATTATAATGCGTTTATGAAAATCGTAATCACAGACGTAATGTGAGGAAATAGACCAAGAGAAAGACAGCAAAGAAGATGGAAGGATAATATTAAGGAGTTGTAGAAGAACTTGGAGTGGAGTGGGACATAGCATATAACAGGAACCGATGAAAGGATGTTTAGTTTTCTCGTATAGAAAAAAATAAATATTTTTATAGATGACACTAATAATGTCCCACCCGGAATTTTCCCGGTAAAAGTTATTTTCCTGTAAATGTTTTTCAAACCCACTTTTCTCACTTTTCCATCTTTCCCCAAAATTTAATAATTATGTAGCATATCAAATTCTATCATTTTAGAAGACGATATTAAACATTATTCGTCGAATAGCCTTATTCCAACATTGAAAGATCTTAAATATTATTCTGTTTTTCCTTCGGAGATGTTTGTTATGGAGGTATTATATCTATTCAAGTGTCTTATTTGATTTTTCTCTTCAGTATCTGTTTCATAGTTAGGTATTAACTTTATCTCCTTTTTCTTAAAATCGTTTCCCGAACTTGATGATTTATCATTGCTAGGATTCGGGACTTGTAACATTTGTTTATGTTTTTGGCGTGTCAATACATCATTTATATTGCTATGGTGCTTGTATATGGAATTTTTTCTTATTTAGGTGATTTTTTATTACATGTCTTATACTATATGATTACGTAAGCCATTAAATAAATCTAGTTTCATTTCAAATATTCCAATGATTCATTACACATTGTACTTTTACACCTTTAAATTATAACTGTCATATCATCGTTGTACATTGCAGGTTTACCTTAGTCTTCGCTATGGGCTCATCCAAAGTTATAGGTGGCCTACTTAATATGTATAGGTGCTGCAATAGCGTGTTCGGCTTTTTATTCTTAATATTCAACTACCTGTACATTATTTATATTTGATTTGTGTTATACATTATGACATTGCACGATATCACCTTTGTAATTATTATTTTATCAACGCCAACATATTTGACGACCTGTTGCCCATCAGCTAGGTTTCACGTGCAGCAAGTTTTTGTAGGAAAACGATATCCGCTAAAATTATTATTAACATATAAAGTACGCCGTATGGTTCTATACGTATATCGTTTGCCGCACTGGTGGTTTTGTGGTGGGATCTCAACCCTCCCTCCTGTTCCGTAAATATGTGGATTATGTATGTATATATATGCGAAATATTTTCATTTTCTTTTTTATTGGGGCTTGCCAAGGACCTCCCCGGGTTTACAGACCATTATAAAATTTTATTCATATTAATAATCGTCAAATTTACTACTATCATAGATTCCAAATTTATAGCGATTATTAGTTTTACTAATATGTAACTTTTTTTTTCGAAAAACACTTTCGGTTAGTAAAAATACTATGTATTTCAAAAGCCATGGATTTGTTTGGTTTTATATATTTGAACACTTTTTTTAGATTCACGACAATTTTCCTTAAAAATATGACAACAAATGACGGTGTACATTAGTTTTATTTTTTATTGATTTTTCCAGGGTTACCTAAAAGCCTTGTAGCTTATGGCGACAAAACACAAAGGGGTTGGGAAGATTCGTATTAAAATTTTTTGTGAATTTACTGCGCTCATTCAGATTATTTTTTAATTACAATGATTTACTGTTGCTTTCTCAGTATACATAATACATATGTATGGATATATGACTACGTTATATCCTTTTCCGGTTTATCACCTATTGGCCTACTCACGGTGCAATATTTAGTGTGAGCATGTCCGGCTTTTATTATTATTATTATAATATTATGTACCTACGTATCATGATATATTTGTGTTTTGTGTTCGTTAAAAACTACCTATTATAATTTATAATAGGCAAGACTTAAACGAGATAAAAAAAATAAAAAGCTCTTACACAATCTTTTAAACGATTGAATAAAACGAACAGTTTTACATTATAATATACGCATATTATAACATTATACTCCGGCATACCTATGTTACATGTCCACATTATAAAATATGTGTTGTACATTTTACAGTCGATTTAATGAAGCAATAATTTTATTAACTATATAGGTGTATCAGTGTAATGTATCATATTTTAAATATATATAATATACCTATAGTAGTTGTAACACCAGAGGCTTATATTATTATTATTTTTAAATTAGTAATTTTAAAACGCGTATATCGGTTCTTGAGTGCACACGGGTACACTCAACAATATTTATAGCATTTTATTACATTTGCATAATCTATATCGTATAAATGCACATAATATGTGTAAGTGTATAAGCGTAAAATATGTAAATTTGGAAGAAAACGTGTCTTTACGGAAATTCTTATAGAGCTACCGCTGCAATTGAAATGTTTATGAGTTAATGGAGGTGTGCAATAGGTGATATAATATTATTGTAAGATGGAGAAAAAATATAATAATGTAGACAAATCTATTGGACTTTAGTGTAATGTGCTTTATTTATAATTTAATTTTGTTTTTTTATTTTTGAACGATTTGAGGCCAGAAATCCTGGTCCGATCATCAACATTAGGCGTGCTTTATAGTAGCGTCTAGTCGATGCTATTCGAGGAAGTTATTTTTTTGATTTGCCTAGTAGTTTTTTTTTTTGATAATTTGGAAAATAATCGCAGGATGAACGAGAATATTTACGCTATAACAGTTTCTGTTAATTTTGATTTCGTTTTTTTAAATTTTTTTTTTGTTATTGTGATTCGTATAAAATACTCTTTGAGATCTGCAATTTTTATAAAAGTCTTATAATTAGCACATGCTGAACGTGGTCTAATTTTAAAAATATTATTTCGATTTTCTAAACTTTTTATAACCATTTGAAATGTTCAAGTCTTTTTAGTTTTTATGTGAAGATTTAGTGTAAATACAATTTTTTTGGTCTGTCGAAAAAATAGTTCGAAAATTTAAGACGGAATTAGGTTAGATTCATTATAAACTGTTCTAATTGGGTAAAAAAAAGAAAAAGTTGGGTGTTATGTAGTAGGTAATTTGGTTTTTTTTTTATATAATCGTTTAACGTTCACATTTTGATGACAATCGTAAAAATTTAAAGTTAAATTTCAAATAGTGCAGTGTATTATTATGTTTATCCGAACTCTGCTCAGGATTATTTTTTGTTTGCGATAATTTATCATTTGCATACACATATAAACCAAATTACTCTATACATATATTCATATACTTTCTCAACTTCTCACCTATAACAGCGACACTGCACCCATTAGTAGTATATTATTTTTTTCATTTAATTCAATCTACATCAATTAAAAGCGGTCGACTTATGTATATAATTACATTCGGTTCGTACGGTTCATTGCATTATATTATTGTAATTATATTTAATAAAAACGTTAAAACCTAATAAAAATATTAATAAATAATACACCTAGGTACTCATAATAACAATATTGTTTCGTAATATTGTCGGTTAAAAAAAAATTGTTTTCTATCGTTGACACGTTAACGAACGTTGAAATATGCGTGCGCTAATAAAATATAATATGTATAGAATTATATTCGAAGAAATGCTTTTCTATAATAATGAATGATTAATTATAGTTGGTGTTGTTTTTTTTTTTTTTTGTTTTTTAATTAAAAAATACGGCCACACCAAACGCTTCCAATCGAATTCAACGGGCATTCCATTATAATATTATTATTAATTGTTGGACGACAAAATCGCTATTGTGTAATAGAATAAAAATTATTATTAATATTCGCGCACGCATTCAATGGCACATTATTTATTTATTATTATTATTTTTTTTAATCACTTCTCGCACAATAATGTATTCTTTTAAATCGTGATTGTATAAATGTAATAATATATGCAAATTGCGAAAATTTAATAATAAAAATGTCATTTGAATAATATAAAATTTGGATTTATCGCGAAACGTGTCTGCGTAGTGCTGGTTTGTGGTTATGGTGGTGGTGGTGGCAGTGGCAGTAGAATATTGTATTCGTCCTAAATAAATATAATATAGTAGACGTCCCCCCAGAAAGCGGAAATGAAAAAAAAAAATGTTCAAAAGTCCATACCTATTTGACATTTTGCGTAACGTATCGAATTTCTTTTTTGTTTCATTTTGTTTTTGTTTTTCTACAATATTTACGTAAGTGTCACTATCCCAGTAGGTACCTATAACAATTACATCGTGATTAGGTTTGGATATTTTTTTTATATAAAATATTTTAATATTATAATATGCTAAGTTACCCGACACGTATACTTACAATATAAAATGTGTGGACATTATTATTACCTATTTATTATTATCATCGCAACATGTATATGACAACAATATGTATACTATATTATAACATTTTTAGATAATATTACAGGGTCATAATATTATTGGATATACACCTTCGATGATAATATTATATTCGGTACAATACCTGTCTTATCATCATAATGTAATATATATAATATAAATTGTCGTTTTGTCACAGCTGTGTACCCGTTTTGGCTTTTCATTTGCATTGTGCCTGTGTGTTATTTTTGTTCGTAACAGCCTTCGGGATACACTCACTTCTCCCTCGGGCAATATAACAGCCCAAAAATTGAGAATGCAGTTATATAAACTTTAAAGCATAAAAATCTCGTCCAAACTCCAGATACTGTTCCAAGGAAGTTAATACTATAAGTGTAAACATAAAACTTATAGCGGTTGAAAAATTACGCTGAGTGTAAATAAAGGTAGGGGTAAAAAGAAAAAGCTACATAGGGTAGGTCACATTTTAAAATATAAAAGTTGATAATCTTATTTATATATGGTTGTTAATTTGAACTAGGGTCGTTAAATCGCTGGAATTAAATTCGTACCGATATTAAATTCTAATTTTAATAGTTTGTATTTTTTTTTTTTTTTATTTTTTTTTTGAGGTTATATTTCTCATCACCAGACGAAATGTGTTATTTGTCTGCAGTCTTCATATCTACAGAATATCCGCCCTGCGTTGAATACGCATAGTTGAAACCTACCCGATTATCATATAATTATTAAAAGCATCGATTAAACCAAATTACATATCGGTGTATTAATAGTTCGAGTTGAATATTATTATAATTTTTTTAATCCTGAGCGGAAAGCTATGGCGTATAGTATCAGTTAAGTAATAATGAATGTAATACCATGATTTATTATCTACTGCTTAGATAGACATAAGTGAGATGGCAGTACAAGAACAGAGTATATGAAACAAATTGTTGTATCCAAGAATTCAAAGGGATTAGTTACGAAATATAGACATTATAGAGATCTACTGCAAACCAATTTGATGGTTGAAGGTTAGAAGAAGATGACCTGATTATATAGGTTTTATAGTATGATGTATGCTTTTTTTTCTGTCTATTAATAAGTTTTTGACCAGCATATGACTGGCTACCTCAATTAAAAATTGTATGTAGAAATTAGAAATTTATTGCAAAATATTTTGAATCTATGTATAGTTGGTTATTTTTTAGAAAATAATTTCTCGTGCTTTCTCCAGTGATAATGCGGGAAGTGATTTTGAAGTTGAAATTTTGTAGAAACTTGTATAAATTAAGGGAAAACCGTGAATAGTTTATTGACCAAATTCTGCAGGTTCGTATTTCGCGTGGTTTAGCTATAATATGATTTATCCGTTATCATTGCGTTCTACAGTATGTAAACTAAGTTATTGATTTGCATATATATGTGTATATCCGACCTTCATATACTTTAGAACCTTACCCATCAGTAGTGTCAACTTTTTTTTTATCTATGTGTTGCTAAAACATTAAATTAACTACATATACTATATTATATACCTAGGTACCTATAATATTCGATAAAAAATTAATCCAACGAAGGTTACCTACAATACGAGTAGAAAATTATATTATTTTGAATAATCGATCTTACAATATTAATATATACCTCTATTTATAGAGGTAGTCAAGTATATTATACAGGTACTTACTATACGGATAAAAAATAAATACTAATTAAATGTTTGGATTTTACGAGTATGTATAGGTAGGTAATAGATGCGTGCAGAAAGGTGTCCTTCGAAGATAAAGATTTACAGTTCCGTTGGAATAATATGTTTAGATTCCATTATACAGATACCTACCAGTTGCTTTATTATAATCTAATTGATCGTTATTTTTTTTTTTTTAACTTACCTATTCGTTGAACGTAAGTACCTACCTAATTCAATTCAATGTTATTCATTTTTTAAATATATTATTCGTGACTATAAAGATTTATTTTTCTTTTAAATTACATATCACCATTATTTTGATAAAATATTTTTCGTAAAAAAAATTGGACTTAATTAATAGATAATTATATAAAAAAAATATTACAATATCATACTACAATTTAACACAGTTTATAAAATATGTATTCGTAAATAACGTAAGTATACGTTTGTATATATACACTGCATTAATGGATAAAGACGACAATTTAAGTCGTTATTGTGAGTATACAGTTTATTTGTATAATTCAAAAAAACGCTTTTCGAGAGGTGTGGTCATTGCAGCAGCAGCAGACTGCAGTGTATTTCGTTATTCTCGTATTCGAATTATTATTTTTCGCGCCCATGAAATATTTATTATTATTTTTCTCGTCTTCAATTAAAACGCAAATTTTCTCTCGTGTTTGTATTTGTGTGTTGTGTGTATATGTGTGTGTGCAGACTGCAACGCGGGATATTCATTTTGATATTCGTTATACCTTACGCGGGGTTTCATTTGGGTTCCATATAGCTGTTTAAAGCAAATGACGGGTTTTCTTCTCTGTTTAACGTTTTGCAAAATTATAATGTGTGACGGAAAAAATAACTTTTAACAAATGACAAAAAAAATGTAATATTATCCGCCGCCAAGATGTCCGTAACGTTTTCACGGCAATATGTTTTCTTTGTTAACGAAACCAGATGCATCTCAAGATATTCACCAAAGATTGATTAAGTCCATAAATACACGTGAGAGCTTAATCATTTTTTTTCTTTTCAAAGTAATTTGAGAATAGATTTTATTTAATATTAAAAATAATATATTACGTTTTTTCTTTTCTTTTAAACGTGTTTATAAAGAGATCAAAGCGTAAAAAATTTGAATACACACTATAATATTCATTTTTTATACTTTTAGATATTATTTAGAATATTATGTAGAGAGTATGCAGATATCTCATCTGTAGGTTAGTTGCTGTCATCATCAGTATAATGATGACTATTAAGTATAGGTATTATTAATGAGTATTTTATAACAATTATTATTATTATTATTATTATATCAGTATTATAAAAAGCTGATACTTCTGATGGGTGTATCAATGTTTTAGAAGGGAAGTTGGAAGAGTAATTTAATTTATATCAACGATAAACATTCTGAGCAAAGTATTATTATTTATAAGTTGTATTTTTTCCTTTATTGCCAAATCAATAAATATTATACAAAAAAATGCTAATTTTCCCAATTTGTATTAAAAACTACAAGGTAAATCAAAAAATAAGCTCTTCAATGCACCAATTAGGTAAAAAATGCTATAACGAAAATACAATTTCTATTAGAGCAAGATTTCTCGTAGAAAAGTTATTTATTGACACAAAACATCATAGTAAAACCAATATATTCCTCGCTTCGCTCAGAATCTAATAATATAATTATTTACGGTATTAATATTTTGTTAATTTTGATCAAATTATAATTTTAAAAGTTGGTGTACCTACTCTGTGTACCAGCTATACCTACGATTATATTTTAAATTAAATCGATTTTTTTTTTATGTAGACTACAAGTTTAAACAAATATTCTAGCTATATTATTATTATTATAGTTACTTTTTTTTTTATTAATATCGTATTTTATTACCTATATTTTTGCATATTATCATCATTTATTTATAAAAAAAAAATACTATTTTTAAGTCAAAAACTTTATTAGATATCTACAACAATATTCTTTGAATTAAATATTACGTAAAAAAGAAAAAAAAGTTCCAAATATTAATTATTTAACTTTGGTAGTGTTATTAATATATAAACCTATATACATACAAAAAAAAAAAATACGCATCGCCGGTTTAAATTTATTTTTAAACTAAAATAAATAAAAAATAGCAAATATTAACTATATAAGGTACGACTGATGAGTAATGGCAAATATTTATGATGTTCATCATTGCTTAACAACATGCCATAACAGTATATACCTACTGTCAATAAAATCAAATTTCATAAAATACAATACAAACGGAATGTATTCTGTCAATATTATAGTTACTTTATCGTTTTTATTTTTTTGGCGATTTTCCGTTATTCATAATCAAAAAATACTAAATTTATATTTGTTTTCCGATACGAATTTTTAGACAATACGATTTTTATAATAAAAAAAATAACTTTATAGATACCTATGCAGATAGTAACTATACTATAATATTATGATGTCTATCTATAATATATTCAAATTTGCTTCAATTATTAATATAACTGCACGTGAAAAAATATAATATTATATACAACGTTAATTTTGTAATATATTATTCAAGTTACGTTTACGGATTACGAAACGTTCGGATTTCGAGTGCAGCGAACAAGTTATTAGTTTTAGTATGATGTATTTATGTTTTCTCTCGGAAAATACTACAGACGATAAGTGAAAATGTTAGTGAAAATACCCGGAATTTCCGCCCGGAGGTATTTTAGTTGGATCATTGTTTCCGTAATTTTACATTTGCTATAAAGTAAACTATAAAACGTGACTACCACTATAATGCCTTACTTATTTATCGAGCTCCGCTTAGAATAGGTTCTTGATGATTGCAATGATCAGTCCCTAAAGGGTGGTTAACACTTAATATTTGGTTTTAAAACTCAGAACATGTTATAAGCCTGTAGGTGTCTCCTGCACCGCGTTATCTGATTACCAGGAAGAAATATTTCGAACGAATTTGATTAATCTTAGCAACACTGGCGCTAGAAAACCTAAACTTTTAAACTCAAACCTGGAAGAAGGTTTGAAAATTGAATTATTTTGTGTTGTTATTGGAAGTGTATTTTTATTTGTTTGCCTGTCTGTACACAATTCAAAGCCAAATGTAGATTTGATGAACCTGTAGATGACACGTAGATTTAAAAATGTACGTGCACAAGCGGATTAATGGGTCCGTGTATGCACCTCTAAGCCGTATTTCCGAAGTTCGATAAATGAGTCATTTGTTAGACAAATGCCTTAGTTTTGATAATTTTTTGCCAATAATTCACTGGAAGCTTACGCTATTTCGGATTTTATCGGTTTATTTGTACGTTCAAATATAATATTAGGTATATTTTGATGTCTAAATGTGATTTGGACTGAATTCGGTATTATATTTTATTATTATTAATTGTTATTGTTATTATGGGTACAGAGCGACCCATATCGTTGTGAATAGACGAGCACATGTCTAAAACGCGATAATACATATTATATTAATATTATATAGTCAAGCCGTACATTTTATTTGTATACATCGACAGTTCCTAAAACGTGCTCGTGCATACATTTGGCGGAAACGATTAATATTAATTTAGCGGAAACGGGGTACGCCCATCAAATCGAATATGTATACTGACGATAGAATACCGCAGTAAAATCGTTACACAGCACATTTGGCCGCGACTGCTGCAACAGTGATTGACCAAACTTTATTTTAATTTTTTTCCCACAAAGAATTATCGGTTTTAATTCAATTATTGAATTATAGCGTCGATTTAAAAGCTTTGCTTGCGATACGCAGCAATTATATCGTGTAGGTATTATCACGATAATCGTATAATATAAAACATAATATCCATCATATTGATCCGTGTGCACATTATTAAATATTTGGCCGTTTAAAATGATCAAATTAAATTTAAAAATTACAATGTCTTTACTGTATTTTTTATTACAACTATTTGTTAAACATTTTCTGAAAAAAAGTTGAACATTTCGTAATCAAGTATTTTGTACCGTTTACGTAATAACGCACATCACTTTGATAGTAATTAGTCAGTTTTGATTTTCATATTTAATTCACTAAAATCGCATGGAAAAAAAAAATACAATATAAACATCACGGTCATTATATGACACGCAGTATTTATTTCAAAAACAACTCATTATTAGATTCAAATGGTATATTGTTGTAGTTTATGATAACTACAATTCAGTCGATTAGTTATCCAGGACAACAAACTTAATTTATAAATCGACAAGCTCGTATTAACGGAAGGGCCAGGGGAACCATGCTTTCTGGATTTACGAATATAAAGGGTTCGCTGTGATAATTTATGTGTAGATAATGTTCGTTAAGCAATTTTGTAATACGAACATATTTTATATAATTTATAATGAAAAGAGTTTATTTTCAGGTTCTCCAGGTTCAGCCCTGAGGCACCCCGGCCTTAATCCGGCCTTGTCAATCGCACAGTCTGTCTGTACATGTACCCTGTGCTATTATACCCTGCTCCCTGTTGATAAGTGATCGGTCTCACCACACACTTTTTTTTAAAATAAATCCCAAGACATCTTGGGGCAAGATACGAAATAGTAAACGTATTTACACAAATACCGTGTTTTTTGTAGTGTCTCGCAAATTTTTAGATTCAAAAGGAATTCTTTATTCGTAATTTATTATATTAATTATCTAATTATATATTATTGTATATATTTATTTGCTAAATATCGACTTGGCGTTATTTATTATTTTTATGTAAGTAAGTCTTTCTTTTAGAATTCAATAGTAAAATGAAATATTTTATTTATTTTTTATATGCCGATAATTATTGTTTGTACTGATTTTTAGATCTGTTTTGTTTTATGTTTATATATTATTACTATTTTTTTTTTTTTTTATTATAACTACGTGATTTGATAATTTAATGTATGTGCAATTTTATAGTAAAAATATCAAAAATAAGTTATACCAAAACTCACGGTTTAATGTTTCCATACATTTTGAAACTAGTTCTTAAAATCATAAAAAAAAAAAAAAAAAAATGCCGCAGTCCTATTTTTATACCCAGTTAGTAATGATATTCAAGGTCATAGAGGTATATAATTATTCATCGTTTCGTAAATATTTAAACTTATATTGACATGGTTCTATAATACATGCATTTTTGACTATATACGGTTAAATTGATACGATGGATTTATATTTGTTTATGTTTTATGCTATCAATGCTTAACACATTATATTATGTTATAATTGTACACATAAAATATTAAAAAATTATTGACGGGCGTAACCGAAGAGTTATTAACGAAATATTCAATAGATAAATATTTGAATAGTTTAACTATTCGCTATAGGAAAAATTATTCAATAGTTTTCCCGAATAAAACTATTCGGTTATGGAAAAAAATATTTGAATGAAATATATTCAATCGTTGGTATAAACATAAATTATTTAGAAGTGCTTATCACTAATAAAAATCTAAAAAACGATAGAGACGTACATTTTTGATGCCCGGGGCACTTGTGCTTTAGTGCCCGTCCACAACACTAATTTTGGTAATGATAAAAAAAAAAATGTAATTGCCTGTTATTAAATTTATATTTTAATTTTAATACACAAAATTCGTACCTATATATAAATACAATGAAAATCCCTGGAACTGCAGAACGGTAAAAATCGCTCGAAATTGCTATAACTATTATTGTTAATACTCGCATAGTGTTATAAATTAAATATTATATTTTTTCCCCCGTCCTCTTTGTTTTTGTCGTCGCATTGCAACAGCATACTTATATAAAACATTAGTGTCGTTAAAACTCTGTCGACGCCTCCGTTCATGGCCGCCCCTCGCCGTGAAAAACGACAAGCCGTCGTCGTTAGAAACGCTCCAGATGTACGTATACGTACGACACGAATTGTTTGTTCAAAAAAAATAAAAATACACACACACACACACGTACATACTAATAATCGAAATATATACGAAAAAATGCTCTGAAGGAAAACATACATATTAAAATAATAATTTTATAATATATTTTTAATGTAACGAAATTCTCGCTTCGCGTGTGTCTTCGCCTGCATCGTGTTTTATATACGTGAGAGTACGATGACTTTTTATTAGGAATGGTCGACTCTTATGATAATAATAATAATAATATTATAGGTTTTCGTCCGCGTGAACAATGTTTTAAGTGTGCGTTTAACGTGCCCCCGTGTACCGTAGTACATATATATATATATATATATATTATATTATAATTATTATATTTAAGCTGGGGTCACACGATGGTAGTTAAACGTGATAGTCGTTATCGCGAAAGCAAGATCGTTATGACAATAATTTACTGATACTATCATTATGTGTTTACGCCATAGATGTTCTACCGAAACAGCCATGTATCCAAGGCGCAGACTAAATATTGATCATGTGTATGGCCTTTAATGTTCCTACCCGGTTATCTGGGCGTTTTATTCATGGCTAGAATACGAGGTGTGACACAAAAATAACGAGACTTTTTTAATAAAACCCATACTATTAGCGGTATCGTGATTATTCAAATATCATTAGGCTGCACATTCCCAAATATATACTATTTGTTTAATTAAATTTGGTTATCATTTCGTTCATTTACTTGCCGTATAAAAATTGTGTTTTCGAATCCAGTATTACCGGAAAAATGTAATTTAATATAAAAATTGAACTACTTTAACATTAAATTTATTGCCAAAATAAAACAAACAAAAAACCACGGTGGAATTATTTAAAATATTGATTGAAAGTTATGGTGAAGGTTATGTTACGAGCTTTTGTTTTTGAATGGCATAAGCGGTTTTGAAGTAGAAGAGAAGACGTGGCGTTCAAGACTACAGTCGCCCAGAGCGTCCTATCACGTCTTTAACAAATAAAAACGTTGAACAAGATCGTTGATTAAGTATTAGAGCTATAGGCGTAGGAAGACCTTTTTTTTCAGGGTATGCAAGAAGCTTGTGTATCACAGTAAGCATTGGGGGAAGAGCTTTGCTCCCTATATCTCTTCAGTAGGTAATATAAAATAATAATAAAAATAAAAACAAATTGATTTTCTTAGTTTAAAGATATTTACATTATTTAAATAATTACCAGATAATTGAATTAATTTACCCAAATTAATCGTTACCTACCAAATCAAACTCCACTTTTTTTATATTTTAACTCGCTATAGATACCTACTCAGGCCTGATGTATAATACTAAATAAACAATACAGTCATACAATTGAAATGATTAGAATTTCTGTTGAGATTCACACTCATAATGAAACACTTATATACTTACAGCTAATTTTGTGTAAAAAATTAACTATGTATAAGTAAATAAGTTTATTAAAAAACAAGCTACTTAGGTACAATATAATTAACATAACAATCTGATACATTTTATACAAGTTTGTGAGAGTCGATGATAATATAATAAATTATATTAAAATCATTAATTTTATTTTTTTATAGGATTATTCGCCTTGTAAAATTTACCTTGTTTTTTAAATCATCAATAACACTATATCAGGTATTCTTCTGCGGTCGACAGATAGCTATCTATCATTATCAGCTTAATAATGGTTTTATAGTATTATTACTAATTATCATACTAAAATTACCAGCGGTGAACGGAAAAAAACAATTTCAAAAATGTATAATTTACATAATAAAACCATACATTTTATATAATTATACTAACTTGTACGATAAGGCTATCGGCACCTAAATAAAATTTTTAAATTTAATGACAGTGTCCAAAATAAACCCTTTCACCTCCCTAAACGACATTTATGCTATTTCTCTTGTTACGCTTATGATTAGAGGTATGTGTGCATCCCCAATTAAAAGTTTTGTTAACAGAAAAAAAAAAATTTCTACCCTATCTCATCTTTTTTATTCACCAAAACTCGTTCCTCGTAATGTTTACCTATTCCCAAAAATAAAAAAATTATTGAAATGAATCCATTTTCACTTGGTTGACGATGTAAAAATGAAAATGAGAGAATTTCTAAGAAGACTGACTGAAAGTGACTTGCATTACATTTTCCAACAACAGTAACGACGTATGCAGGAGTATGTAGATGCTGAGAAAAACTACTTTGAAGGTGATAAACATTAAATTGTAACTTGTAGTTTTAGCTGTTTAAACTTTAGGCAACTCACCTCATGATTCTAGACGTGATAGACGTGATGCGTAAGTAGTGTAGCATTAATATTTTGTTGTTTTTATTATTTTATTATTATTGAAAATATTATCCAAACAAGTTGAACATAGTTTAAATTGATTAAAAATTTGATAATCTAGAGATTTGCCATTTATTTTCTGCTATTTCGGAACGAAAATGCAAACAATATGCTATCCACACGGTGTTAGTACTCGTAATAGTTACTACCGCGATAGAACTATACTATTAACATGTAGGTATTATCAGGTATCTTTCGCGGTAGTGTGGTAATAATTTTTTTTGTATTGTTCATACGGCGGCAGTATATAACTATTGCGATAACGGATATCGCGACAGCGACTATCACATTTAACTGTCGTCGCGTGACCGTGGCTTTACTCGCGTCGGTGGCTACTACCTATAAAATATTATTTATAATAATAATTGGGCAACTTCTCCCAAGCACAATGGATTGTCGTTGTAGCACTGCGTCTCACCCGCGGACCGAAGCTGCTGCAGGCTGTTGGGTATAATATTTTACTCAGATACACGCATAGCACATACACACACGCGCACACACGCACATATATTATGTGATTTATGGTCCGAGCGAAAAAAAAACATGTGCACACGACTATATAATATATGTATATGATATATATATATAGGGTATAGGTAATTTATGTGTAAAATAGATACGAATGCGCTGCCGCTGGTACTGTTGTTGCAGGAAGGACACATACCTATATATTATAATATATCGTTATACATACGTATAAAATATTATAATACTTACATATTATTATTATTATTAAACGAAAAGCTCAATATATTTGATTAACGCGCGTTTCGATTGTCGCACAGTCACGGTTAACCGTCATCGACGATTGTAATATTGTGCACTGCGGCTGAACGCTTTTCGAATATTAACCGGTCATTAGGCGTATACTGTGTTATCGCGGTGGATGGAAATCAAATGGAAATGTGTCCGCCGCGACATACATGGAGAAAATCGTGTGTAATAAATATTATAGTGTAGGTATAGTGCTTATCGAACACACTATATCCAGGGTTGGGCAGTATCGTATAGATACAATTGCATAATCTTTTTAATTTACGCAATGTATCTTGGATCTGGAATCCAGATACTTTTAATTGCAGTATCGATTATCTTTATGTGCTTAAAAAAATAGTGCGAGATACTTAAATATGTTTTAGTATAATTAAAAAAAAAAAATTTAAAACAATGTAAAACATAAAAAGGTCGTTCGTATATAAAATATTTGAACGGTTATTAGTTTTTTTTGTTTTGCTTAAAGGGCAAGCAATATAATTCATCAGTATAATTAACATTTAATAAACGTTTAAACATTAATTACATTGATTATTATATAAATCGTTTATACCTTATTTATTAATCAATTATCATTACATTTTATTTTGTACTTTTGAATCTAAAAAAATCGTAAGTTGCTGAAGTAAAATATCCACCACATCGATTTTGAATTTAAACAAAATTTAAAAGTATCACGTATCAAGATACTTTTTTTTAGTATAATGTTGCCTAACCCTGCATCTATACTATATAAGAATCTCGTTGCTAATACGAGATCGGACCTTTCTTTTCAACTAGAAATATATTTGTTATTAATCGCGTAAGTCACCTTGATGACATGGACGAAAAATATATATTATTTCTTTTTTAATGTACGCGAATTGAATTTGTCACGGGTAACGTCGCCGTGAAAATCTGTTTGTTCCGTACACATCAATATACTATGTTAAATAGAAATAAATGTTATATAGCTGGTTTTTATGTAACATTATACCTACTAACAAATGTCTTTTTGCCAATATTTGTGATAATATTACTAAAAGTTTTTTTTCGAAAACATGTTTGTAGTTATAGTACCTATATATATATATATATATATATATAATAATAATACGTGTACGATATCATTTGAAAAAATTCAAAATATACATACATATTAAAAATATACTATACATATTTCGGTGAGTGCGTCTTGGAAAGAATTTTGAATATACACACGCGAAAAATATGTTTAAAAACTCGCATAGAAATAGCGGACAAAATTACATTATCGTCATTTTTTTCAGATTCCGCAGAGTGTATATAGTCAGAAAATTGGTTTTTACAAAGATTAATTGTCGTCATTTTTGACAAATTTTTCCCAGAAAATATAGAATATTGCATTGTATTTTGTCTGCTATATTTATCTATTTTCTGTTACTTTTGGTTTTGGATAATTTTAGTGTCATCTTTTAAATTAAATCAACTCAAACTCGGGATTCAGAGCTGTTTTGTAATAAATTAAAGTGATACAAATTTAGTTGAATTTTCATATAAGTTTAACCATATTGTAGATGCGGGTGATTGAGGGTGTATTTATTTATTTCTTATTTTTTAGAAGTAGGAAAATTGTAGTATTATGCAGTGTTCGATTATTTACTGTTTTACAAAGATATGTTTCTACTATCCAAAATAGGAGGAAGGAAACCCTGTTCACGGATTTTTTTTTTCCTCTGCAACGTAGCTTATGTAAAATGTAATAACGGTCAAATTAATTTACGGTTTGTAAAAATACTACGGACTTTACTCTCTGATTCCTACGCTCGCTAAACCCCCGTAACTTTGAACCGTGGTAACGCAAATCAAATATAATATATAATATGGAAGATTTAAATATCAAAACATGTTTGTATAATAAAAACATATTGATGATATTTTTTAAGTGAGTAGATACATACAATTTTATATGATACCGAATTTAGAAAACTGCAAAAACATTATGATAAATTTTACTGCCTAAAAATATTTTTCCTGCCTAAACCTGTTGGTGCGTTTAATACTTTCGATTTCTTTTTAAATAGAAAAGTCCAAATGTTAATGTATTAAAAAAAAACCACACATTTACACGTCACATAGAAAATATGTAAGTATATGTCTTTTTTTTTGCGAGTGACATTTTATTTATTTATTTTTTTTTTTAACCAGTTTTTGTTAACTTAATTGCTACAATAATTATGTATCGAAATTCCATCATTTATTCTATAGAGAATTATTGTGTTTCCTTATTTTCTGCAGTTAAGGGAAACAAAAAAAAAATAATTAGAATATTTGAACACACTAAACCGATGTTTGGCGTGAAAAAAGTAGGTTTATAAGTAGGTACCTACGTATTATTATTTGGAACTGTTACAATATATTATTGAAAATGCCGCGCGTTTCCCATATGTCACCAGCATTTATCCGCCATTATATTATATAGATTCCATGTTTTGCTCCTCTCCTTAATGTGAAGGGAAAGCCCTATTAATTCGGTAAGGGTGTTTCGTAGGTCTTCTTTATATTATACGTATATAATAGATATATAAAAATCGTTTTCTGCACGCGATAATTTACGTGTCAAACCCATTTCAAAAATAATAATAATAATAATAATATATTAATAATAGACCGAACGGTGTTTCGGCCCCGAGCTGTGCAGGTACATATTTTATTTTTATTTTTTTTTTTGTTCCTTTAGCCCCAAAACTGTTTTGTTCCCACCCACGTCGACGACATATAAATTTAATAGACGATTTTCGATATGCCATCGGACCAATATAATAGTATTATTGTCTTGTGTAGGTGTATTGGTGGTCAAAGTGGGAGGTGGCATTCTTCCACTTTTTTATGTAGTTTACATTTTCCGTTACCTCCATACTTATTTTGCTCAAAATAATATATCCTTTTTATAATATTATATTACATATATATAAACATTATCGATTTTATATAGGTGGTTTTCATAAAAAATTTTTAGATATTTTTTGGTTTTTTTTCTTTTTCATTAGTTTCACAATAATGACGTTTGTTTGTATAAATAAATATTTTTTATCGTTTTAATTAGGCCACATGACGCATAGAACTTTTATGTTTTATTATATTGTTTTAATTTAAATTGAGTACCTAATTACTGAACTAAAAGTGCAACTAAATCTCATAATTTAGTTTGTTATCAATAAATAATAGCTTGTTATTGCTAAAAATACTTGTTATATATGACTATATATAACAATGACTATGTTTTCTGTTAAATTTGTTAAATGTATATGTCGCAACATAATAATTTTGTCATTATTAAAATGTGTGTATAAAAAAATTTTAATTTTTCCATTTTAAACTTACTTTAGTATATTGTTAGTATTTTAAATGCTATATACACAAATGCTCAAAGCATATACATGCAAATATTATATTTACATTTAGATCAGAAAAGCGATTAAAAATAAGATATCAAATTAAAAGAATAAAACGTATACCTTATAAAAAATTGTTATTATAAATTGTTAGAGAGTCGTAAAAGCCAGAAGAAGAAATATGTTATGAAAAAATAAGTATATGGGTTCAACTTATTTCCACCCTCTCTTCTATACTTTTGTATAAGCAATAGTAGGTATATGAGAAGCATTCGTCCACTCATTTTAAGCAACTTTAATGAGTTTCTAAGTTTATTAGTAGGTTATAGGCACAATCTAATTTTATACTCTCAAATAGTTTGAGTTAAATGTATCGATTTTTATAATTATAGTAAATTCTCCTCGGTCTGCTTTAGTATTACTTATTAGTATAGTATTTATATCTAAAGTGTATATGACAATACTACTGAGTTTTTTTTAATTGTTTGCTACGCTATGCTGTGAAGTTACATATTTGTACGTTTGTATTTTATAAATATTACATTTAATAATTAAATTTTTTGTGACTTGAATATTATTATAATCATTTTTTGTTTTTGTTAGTATTTCGACTATTATAGCTTGACAATTATAATATTATGCAAACAAAATTATTACAGCTAAATAAAAGTATTTCTGTTATATTATTTTTATCATTTATTATAATTTAAAATGTTGTAATTAAAATCATATTACAATTTTATAATTGTATTGTATGTGGGCGAGACTGTAAAATGTATGTTTTTGAGACTCAGAAGAATTTACTATGGGAAGAGTTTATTTTTCATTGAAATCGGAAAAGTCTACAATAGTCCAAAATGTTTTTGTCTTAACATAACACAAACAATAACTTTTTTTTTTTTTTTTAAAAAAAAAAACGATTTTATAAAACCAAATAAAAACTAAAAATAGTGCGAACATTTCAAATGAATAGCTCAGAAAATAGCTTGTTTTTTTTTCAAAATTGTACCAAAAAAGTCCTAATATAAGTATTCTGTGAAAATTTCAGATTTTTACGATTACGAATTTCGAATAGATTACAACAAAAAGACAAAATATATAAATTACTAAATTTTTTTTTTCTAATTAATACCGCGTACACTAGTAGAATCTTTTATAATTTATCAGGATAATAAAAAATATGAAAAAAAAGCTAAAGAAATGTTTACATTTTTTCGACTAATGATTTCACTAATCAAAACGACACACCATTGAACATTATTAACACGTGAATACGAAAAACGTTGACACGGGCAGCTGTCCGTCCTGACCGTACTCTAAAACAGCCACTGCCCTGCAATAAATAGGGTACGCGCAGGGGCCCGTTTCCGAACGCTTTTTTCTTTTTTTTTTCTCGACTACCGACGCCGCGCCGCCGGTGTACACAATGTATGATTATATTCGTATATTTGATCTAATACAACGCGTTCATACTATTATTGTTGTCCGGAGTGCAGCGTACAGGAACACACTCGGCGAGGCTATACATTATATTATAATATTATGTTGTTATTATTTTATTGGAAAACGGATAAGGGGACGACGACGCGATACGATCGCGGTAGAGAAGCGTTTTCGGGAGGGGGTGTAGATGGACGGAGGGGAAGGGTCCGGGAGTCCGTCGCGATATTATCGTCGTCATTATCTCACGCCTCTTTAGCACGTTTTCGAAACGTGCCTATCCCCCGACCACTCGAAACCTTCCGCGCGTATAAATCGTTACAATATTTTTCGACGACCGGTGGGTTACCGGGTGCGGGGGAGCACGTAATCACACGCGCTGCTAAAATGGGCGAGCCATTTACACACATGTACATTATTATTATTATTATTATTATCATTGTGGTCAAGACCGATTGTGGACGACGCCGAGGAGAATTTCGAGTTTTGACGGCGGGACACGTATATTTCGGCCGTTGTGTACACTTGATATTGTACATAATATAATGTAACGGAAAACGATTCTACAATGTATAATATACAGTCGCATTTTTATACATTTTCCAAATAATCGGACATAACTTTTCGGTGTAACGGCTTTAATGGCGTGTGTTTTCACCGAGTTAAACCAAGAAAATGACAATAACGTATAAAAGTCGGTGTTTGGCCACTGTTATTGGGTTCTCGGCGCTGGATAACCGAATTTTCTCCCCGATTTTGTAAAATAAGAACATTTCATTTTTTAACCTAAAAAAATTCTTTATAAATAAGACTTTTCCACTAATCTTTACCGCCCATTTAGGGGAAAAAGTATGGTTGTTAAACGGACGAATTTGACATTGTGGATCAACATTATATTTGCCTATAATTTTGTTTTCAATTGATTAACAACGATACTTTACAGACCGCAGTGTACTCCGATTTTCCATTAAATTTCAAATAATTATATATATATAAAAAAAAAATATGATGTAAAATTACTTTTTTTCATTTATTTTTTTTATTTGTTATTTTATAGTTTGAGACGATAATATTGAACAAATTGGGTTTAACGTGATCTGTAGGAAGTTAACGGATTTTTCACCAAAAAATAACCATCGAAGTCTATATGAGACATGATGGTTTTTCCGTAACCAAAAAAATTGCTGATTCCTTAATCTAGGAGTTGAGTTGAGATCTTGAGTTATAATAATTTTAATAAAGAAAAAAAAAAAATACACATCTTAGTGAAACTAGAAGCTTCTTTTCTTCTCTACAGCCAGAGCCTAAAATCATCGAAAACTAATCTAATTTATTTATAAATGTTAATAAATATATTAGGCAAATTTCTTTTATATCTATATATAAATAATATTATGTTCGATACTGACTACAGTAACACTATAATCCGTATTATCTGCTGCAGAGTCGTTCGCTCGTTCTTGATAATAATATATTATTGTTGGTGGGTATATGTACTCATCTAATTATTTTTACAACCTATTAAACCGAAATAATGAAAATTATATGTTGTAGGATTACACATACACACACACACACGTGGTGCGGTTTAACAGCAGACCCTAAATCACTGGGGGAACGACCGTGAATTCGGCCCATCTAGTCTTGCTCGCGGTCTACTATTTATCTTTGCCGCGGGTTAATTTATGTTATGTGAATGATAACGACTTGTACGGACGAAATGGTATATGAAATGTATATTATATATTAATAACCTTTGGCCAATGACCACGATGTTGAGTCCTTTAATTTATATTAATGCGCATACACACACACATACAAAAGATAATATTCGAATGTACCTACCTATATATTGTAAAAAAAAAAGTTACTATTATTATCAAATAAAAGTTTAAATCTATGCACCAAACTCTCATCTCAACCCCCGAAAAAGGGATTCAAGGGGAGAGTAGTAGAGTATTATTTTTTGGGGGGCACGGCTCGCGGCGTTTTATTAGTGTTCCATTACTTAACCACCTACCTAAATTTAAAAATGAAATATCTCGTTAACGGGTTGACGAAAATAATAAATCTATTTATGGAGTTTTTAATATAGGTTCTTATTTGAAAATCCAAAGTTTATAATGCCACAGAATACTCCTTAAATGTTGAAAATAACTAAGTATTTTAAAATATCGTCTTTAACTACACCTAAAAATTCTAAAAATCAGTATTTGAATATATGCGAAATTTAACTGAAAAAATGGGGTGAGTACGCTTAGTGAATCACTTTATATATGATAGGATGCAACATTACTTATTATTGTTTATACTTATACACTTACGAGGTGATTTGGATCTATTGGCATCTGTTACGTATTTAAACGCGACATCATAATATTAATTTTTTTCCCCGTGAAGGTTTGAACTTTTGGATTGTGGCGATTTTCCATCTGTATAAAAGTATCGCTAAAATATTATAAAATTATAACACGTGAGCACTCTAATAATTCGATGTAAAAAAAAGATAATAATATTCTGTAGTACTCACCAAAATATATTCGTATACGAATGGCATTAAGAATATTTAATCAAAAAATTAAATTTTATTTACATATAAGATATTTTAAAATTAAAAGGAAAAAAACAATAACGCAACGATAATATTTATAGTATAATAATATTATAATGGGCACACTTAAAAAAAAAAAAAAAAAAATATCAACTGCATCATATTTACATAATTTTTCGGTGTATATAATACAATTTAACGCGCGTGAGATTTTAAGATATTTATTTATGGAAAATATTTCTCGTCATTTAATGTATATGTATGAAAAATAAAATGATTAAAATTTTTTATTACTATTTAGTTTTTACAGACTTAACTGCCAGCCAGCCAGTCAGCCTGCCCAGTCGCTGGCATATCTGCGCAGTTCACGTATCTGTATAATGGTTTTTAGTGGCTTTTTGTTTTCGAGACTTTTTTTTTTTTTATAAATATTTTTATGTTTAAATTAGTATAATATATAAAGCGGCCTTGTTTATTCTAATAGCAAACAACACCTCGGGACATAAAATCCGGTAATCCGGTACTACATATTATTGTAAGACATATATATGTATATATATATAATATGTTCGTACAACGGAAATATTATGTATGTACATACGAGTTGATCACACCTAAAAAAAAAGAAAAGTTATTGAACATAATATTTTAAACTGGTATCCGCCAAGTTATAGTCATGCGATATTAGCCGTCTTGTAAATAATTACCAGCGTATAATATAACATTTTGTATTTTATTAAGGACGCGTTATTTTCGCCGAAATATAATTGCTGTATACTCTGCACGTACTTATGCAGACGCGGGTCGAATAGAATCGTTTAAAAAAACTCCCGTTGCGTTTTATGACTATATTATTAATATTATACTTATTTTATAAATCGAGTATTATAATAACATATCGACCGAACCGTATGCTTATTAACTATATAGTTAGTGCATACACGTCGTATCGTATTACTTGAAAATCAGACGGACTTACTAAAAGCAAAAAAGGTCATCCTTGGAAGAAGAAAAAACAAAATTTTCATGTTTCTACTGTAATTTATAACCGCGAATTCGTGATTATCACATGCGCGTCGTGAATTATTATAATATAATATACCTACTATAGAGAGCTTATAATAAAAGAGTGGCCACCGGATATTTTATCAATGCGTATACAGACTACGAATTACATTATTACTAATAATGAAATCGGACAGGACAGGAAATCATTCTAAAATTACATGCTATTGAGATAGATGACTTGAGTAATTTAGAGACTGAACAATTGACTAATCGATTAAGCGATAATTTATAAACGTTGTAAATTTATTATCGGTTCGCAAATATTTAATTCATACTCAGTGTTTTTATAATCGATTTGTTATAATTAAATGTCGAACAGGTATATCACAAAATACAATTCGATCAACAAAAAAGGTCATGCAGCTGTGTTTATAAATATTTCAAGGATTACCAATCTACTCAGTCTGCGTAAGCGTGGCTTTACTATGTTACCCGTTATTTGGACTGAGACAATAAATTCGGGTATCACATCATCTTAATTTATAAATATATACGTAGTTAATTCAACTTTCAGAAGTTCTGTAAAACATATTTAAATAATAAATTACACTACTCAGGGCTCATGAGTCATGATAATTTGAAGAAAACGAACGCAATTATGCAAATATCATAACGTATATAGTAATTATATGAAAACTTTTAGAATAACATTAAATATTAATTGATAATACTGTTGACTAAAATTGAATCATTGATAACCGGAACTAATCAGAAATAAATAAACTACGCTTTTTTCTCCTGGTTACCACTTTTTGCTTATCAGATATCGTCTGATTAATATACATTCGAACTTCACTAGTTAATAAGTCAATGGGCCGATCGAAATTATCAATGTATGATAAGTTATGGAGCAGTGGTTACCAACTGGTGGTTAAAACATTTTTTTCCGGTAAAAAAGTTCCGTGATGAATCTGAGTAATTTTTTTTTCGTTTTATACGAGGTCTTCATAATGTTGACAGAAACACGGTTTTTCGTTGTTATGTCCGCCAACTGATTTTTCTATGTACAAAAAAAAAAAAAACCTCGTGACCTATCGAAAGTTATTTAAGTGGTTGCTAGTGACAAAAAAGGTTAGAAAACACCGTTGCGAAACTATGAAAATATCTAAAATATGTTTACTCTGGTTTTATTTTATACGATTTTAATAATCGGGTTTTCGAAAATGTAAATATAATTTATCGATTCGTCGTCGCCGTCGTGGCTGCCTGACTATAAACCAATTCAATGTACTTATATATTTATACCATCACTCATTTATTGTATATCATTTTGAAAAAAAATCGTTCAGAAATATCGTTACTATTTGTATATAGTGCGCAGTACCACGAAATAAATATTGTATGAAAAAAATATAGAATTATTGTTCAAATCTGATATTTGAAATAGTTGTTGACGTTTAAGAAAATGCATGTTGTATTATGCACGGGGTTGACATTTAGAAAATAGGCGCCAAATGTGTAGCTTAGTACCTCCGATCTTGTTATAAAAAAAAAAATCCCTCACCCGCTGGTGAAGTATTTCGTATTATCATTCGAGTGTAACACGCTGTATAGATACCTAATCGTATTTGTCGATGATAGGTTTATTAAAATAAACACGTAGCGTTATGAAAGAAATTAAATTATAATATGCATAATATTAACGAAATGTAAAGGCCACGAGTCCTTTTGACGTTTGAACTATGTTGAGACGGAATACACGCGCGTGATGGAAATATATCGATGTATTATAGTAATTTATTACATCTCTTTGAACTTTATACATAGGTATTTTTTATTTATTTATCGGTATAATGCCGAAATCCTATCGATTCTATTTCTATGAATAATAATGTAAATAATTAATTAAAGAAAAACAAAGACGTTGTTTTCTTGTATTGGAAATATCATTATTAACGAATATAAACTCTGTAGATAAAACACTATTCTAAAAAAATAGAACATTCACAAAACATGAATGTACGACATTTTCATTCAGTCAAAAAACAATAATTCTTCTAGAGTATTCTTAAGAGATTTTCACTTATAAGTTGTTATTTTACAATATCTACTGTAATAAACGGTACGAAGTTCCAAGTATTTTTAAGCTAAGTGTTCTTCGTGTCGGTCAGCAAGTTATATTATTTTTCGAAGGCAGTAGTTAATCAGTCTGTTAACTTCGTTATGGTTCGTTCCCTGAAGTTAAGTCAGGTAAATGTTTTACATAATATGGAAAATGTTAAGTTTTGCTCAAGATAGTTTTTAAAGTTTTTTTTTTTATTTTACATTTCAGAAGAAAAAAATGTTTACGTTTATTTTATTATTATTATGAGATTTGAAAAAACAAAAGCTATTCAAATATACTGTACAACTTCAACTATTAATTTGTATTTTACATGTATACGTTCTATGCGCACAAAACTATTTGGCTTGTGAAAACGGTGAATGTTTCAGTTGAAGTATGATAGTATTATTATGTAACCAAAAAGCATATAATCAGGGTGGGATGTTTGATATTCGTGTTGTTAACGAATATTGTTATAGTTAAATATAGTTGAAGTAAAAATGTTTTACTAAATTTGGTGAATTATTTTTTAAAACTGAAAATTATTATGTTGCGTAGGTGATACAGTCATCTATAGGTATACATGTCATTTCAATTTGACCGTTTTTAATATTGAAATAAAAGTCTATTTGGCCGACTCTGGTAAGTTGAGAGAAGAAATGTGTACCGTTAGCTTGCCTATATTAGTATAAAGTTATGCCTCTCCTCCTATAAAAGTGACTGGTTTATTATCATTTATCTGTTGTATGAAGTATATTTGGACATTTTTTTTTTTTATTGATTTCCAATTTATTTTATCGTATGACCAAAAAAAAAAAAAAACCTAATGTAGTATAATTACCAATAATTAATGTAACCATGTGTATAATTATCGCTGTATAATTAAAATCAGTGATTCTCCATTCACAAGTTTGGTAGTGCCACATCAATAGGATTTTATTTTTTAAACGATTGTATTTTTATTTTAATTTTTCGTTTTTTAAGCAAAAAAAAAAATAAAAAAAATACGTATATAAATATAAACGCGGTTGTTTTATATAGCGTTTCATTTTTGCATAGGTACGTATATTTTATATTCAATATATACACCCACTATAAATTAACAATGACTATTCATTATGGTTTTTATTTCATTGCTTTTTACGTCCAATATATTATTATTATTATTTTTTTTTTTGGAATAACAAACAATATGAATGTATAATTTTCGTATAGAAAAATCACGTTTATAATTTTATATAATAATATTTCATTCAGGTACATCCGAAATACGCATAGGTATAGAGTTATTTGGAACTTGCATCGATAATGCAGCAGTCTTTGAAAAACACCATTTATGTTTAATTTATAATTATAAACGCGCGGTGAAATTAATTTCGAAAATAACGAATTGTAAGCTGTAAAAATCGATTTTTTACGTTTAGAATGTACTAGATAAGAATTTGTTTAATATTGAATAATGCTAGTAAGATTTTACCGTTGGTATTCGAGAAATGTTCAATTTTGTGTATAGGTGCACCGTACATGTCGCTGTGCATATTGCAGTGCAGATGCAATGGGTCGAAAAATAATATCAGATGACAATATTTTCCTGCGACATCGACGGTGTGCCTAACGAAAATATTTGTCTGAAAAATGACAACGATGCGCAAAAGAAATAAAAACCATATACAAATGAGTCGAAAATTATACACATCGGTGTATTACATGTTTGGTCCTGGAGGAGACGAAGGCTAAAGTCAACTTTTATAGCATTTTTTTTTTTTTTTTTTTTTTTTTTTTACAATTATTGTGTCTCGGATAATTTTTTCCTTTATTTTTTGGTTTAAATCGTAGTATATACGCACTGCGTTTGAATAGTGCGCTCCCCTACACTATCCCTACCGACAATACGGCAAACTTAAAAGTGTAATATATCTCGTCGACGCGTTAACGGAAATCATCGGTTTTTAACACAGAAATTTATTTCAACTTAAACTTCGTATTATATTTATGCAATCGTTAATGTAGTTCGTTATATTTGAAAGTCAAAATCGGATAGCGATTTCATCTCCTAAAATAAGGGTGACGCATAAAATAACGATAATGTAACGCTTTAGATAGCCATTATACATTTCGAGAAAAAAAAAATAAGTCAATACTATTTCCGAGGTGATGCGTGTCTTTTACGTTACGTCGATCGCCCAGCTATGTATACGGGATTCGTTCGTACTTTGAAAATATTTTTACCCTTGATATTTTTTTTTTCTTCATTGCTGCGCGCAAACAATTTTACAAGTATTTATAATGCATAGTAATAATAATAGTATACGCTATATAGGTACTCGAAATAATATAATAGGCGGGTATGTTTACGAGTTTTACGCGTTAGAACACAATAACATAATACCTATTTGGTATATACCTACTGGTCGTGTAGATTTTTGTTTAATATATCGGCGCGGAAAAATGCGTTTACGACGGCGAAACGTGCGCGATGCGTATCGCGGTTTCGAAAATAATGTAGGAGTAATAAAAAAAAAAAAAAAATCAACGCTCTACAGGATAGGTACTATAATACTAATCGATCACGATTCCGCCGACTGTATAATAATGTATGTATACACATAATATAAGGTATCCGACATCGTTTATCAAACCTTCCGCGGTGCGGGAACATTGTCGGGGGAAGGCCGGATAATGGCGTATACGGCGGTATTAATTAAAGAAATCCAGATGGTGTTTATTATTATTATTATTATTATCGTGTACGTGTATTACAGCAATGGCGCGTATCCTGTGCCGCGCGGAGTCCGTTTCCACGAAATGCCCGTGTACTCACTCGCCGACCGCTCTTCTCGACCGTACGAATTCGGCATCATCACGAGGCGCCGAACGCGTTTTCCGGTTTCTTTCTTCTTCTCCTCCCCCCCCCCCCCCTCAACCACTACTCGGTTAGGTTATAGTCGTTATTATGCGTAATATCGTCGTTATTTCCGCGAGCCGTATTTAGCCCTAGGTCGGGGTATACGGTACGCGGACTTTTACGATAATAATAATAATAATAATAATAATAATAGTAATAACAATAATAGTATAACGGGTACGCGTCTTGTGAATATTTCGAAACGAAATAATCGCCGCCGCTAGCGTGTGCCGCCGCGACAATGTACCTAACCCCGATAGGTGCAGAGAGAGCAACAAAAAAAAAAAAAAAAAAAAAAAAAAACACACACCGTCCGTCGCGTTCGGAAACGTCCATGTGAAAAACCGCCGCGCCGCGTCTCTCCGTGCGGGGCCCGTCACGTACATTATAACGTACCCGGGCTGAGTACGCGTATATGCACACACGCCAGAAATACGAGGATATTATTGCGGTACACCGCGCCGCCGATGGAATAAAATACACGTTTTTTTTTTTTTCTCTCTCTCTCGGTATACCATGTCTGGTGTTTCAATCAAAAACGGCTCTTGTGCAGTGTACGTACGCTCGCGTCGGTTGTAAATCATCGGGGAAAGGATTACAAGAAAACGCCGAGCCGCCGCCGCAGTGTACGGCGACCGCGACCTTTTACGACGGCGATCGAATATTATTGTCCAAAGAAAGTGCTGCGGCGCTGTCGTCGTCGCGACGAAGAATTAAAAAAAAAAAAAAATTCTCCGTCCGTTTCCGTTGTTTTTGTTGTTGTTGGCCTGTAGGTATGTACACAACAACAACAACAACAATTTTTATCGAATATTTATTACTATTATATAAGTAGGCACCGCGTGTGTGTGAGAATATCGAATTGTCATTACTTTTCGAATTATGTACCTATTATACGTATATAACATTATTATACTTCCGAACCGACGATTGTCGTAAATTTTATCGTAATAATATAATACTATTGTCATCATATTATGCGCCGAGGCGGTTTTCTATATAATATTTTAACGTACCTACCTATATACTCATTTTCTCGTGCTATTCGTGACGTCTCCTGAATCGTTAATGGATAACGCGCACAGACGTATATATAAATATTGGCGATTGTCGTCGTTGCATTGCTGTTATTATTATTGCCCGCCTTGCTCAGGAGCGTATTATTTATAATAATATTATTTTAATTTACGTACGCGGCTAATGAACGACAAAAACGTGTGTGTATACATAGGTATATATAGCCCCTGCACGGGCATTATAATATTATTATGTACACGGGCGAGTCAAAGGTCTAGGTTTGTTCTTGACGGTGCCTATAATAACGAAATGCGCGTGTAGGCGCAGGTATACTTATAGAGTCGCAGCTATTATCGGCACATAATATTCGTTTTGCATATTTCGTTTGTAAAAAAAAAAAAAATAAATATATTATTATAATATTATGTACACGAGTGATCAATCGTCGATAAGACATTACTTATTATCTAGGACTTTTATCGGAATTTGTTTTGTTTTGTTTTTTTTTTTTTTGGCGGGGGGGGGGGGTAAATGTATACGAAACAAATCGTTTTAAAATGTTACGTTACTGTTATTTTTTGACACCCTTATTTTCCTACCCGTTATTGATTTTGATTTTCCAAAACACTGAGCGTGTTACCGAGTATTAATCACCCTGTACAATATATTACTACTCGCTTATACATATTGTACCAAGGATGACGTGTGTATGTATCAATACTATTATTAATATAATATCTTTTGGAATTACATAACATCATAACTGCAGTGTGGTTGATATACGTATAGATAAATAGAAGAGACTTTATTTTATTACAGTACGCGTTTGAATCAGATATTATATTGCTTCGCGATGGCAATGAGTGGACGGATATATTTTGTAATGGTTAGTGAGATATTGCGAAAAATCGAACTTGAACATAGTGCATTTTTATATTATATATATATGTTATTACATCCTATAAAAATTGTCAAAAAAAAAAATGATCGGTAAGCATGCTCTATTAAATTTCAAAAAAAAAAAATGTGTAACGATGATGATGTTATAAACTACATTTTTCGGACGCAAAAACAAGCGGATCCGTGAAAAAAATAAGACAACTGTTTCTAAAACCCTTCAGCATATAAAAAACGAAACGTTTTAAAAATATTGTGTTTACGATTAAATTGATTTTACAATTAAGTTATCAGGATAAAAAAAATATTAGAGTTTTACCGTTTTTCTTATAAATGAGAGTCATTTTTATTATCTACTTCAAATGTTATGTGTTATATTGTTTTTCGATGAGAATTTTATTGGGACGTGTTAAATCTTCCACATACAGATAATCGGATACGTCTCATTTTTTTTTTTACAAAACAAAAACTACAAAAATCATTACATTCCCCACATCGGAAATGATCAAAACGTAAATTTCACCAAAAACTATACTGAAAACGGTTTCTCGGCGGGTTCACGCTACACCGAAGGTTGTCCGTGACCAAAAACGGAAAGCAGTGAGATAGGCTGCGGCCGAACCAACGGCGGGGGAGCGCGCGGCCAGAACCCATTGGTACGTGAGGCTCGGTTATTTCGGGGCTCTGCGGTCTTGTGGTCCTTAGTACGACACGGGGAAACGCCGGACCGGCTTGCCGCTCCGGTTCCTCCTGAACCTCCGTGCCTCCTTACTAGCTATAGGCTAAAACAGGGTGAGCGGTTGTAGGGTGGCACACACACCCACTAAAACTCGGAATTTAGTCTGCACTGAAAACAGTAGGTATAAGTAATGTAGGTATTAACCTTACATTGTAAAATAAAATATAATTATAGTGTGTTCGGTTGTAAGTTGTAACTGTAATCTTTCAAAAAATATTTTAGTTATTCGTGTTCGACCTTAGGTGTTTTCTTTTTTTAACTAATATAATATATATATATATATGTATATACATTATGTATACCTACTAGCTAATATGTATGACAGTAAATGATGGAGGTTGTTGCAGACTGCTGCAGGTTTATGCGCTCATAATAAACAACGTGATGATGACTAACAAGCATATAATATATTATAGTATACCTACTACCTATTATAATTATTAATCATTTTTAATCATACGAGCCGCGCCGCAGTTATATAATTGACAAATATTCGTAATATAGGTGCAATATTAACCAAACTTGAATTATTAACTATGCGTATTCATTAAAATATCAATATAATATATCAGATAGAGTAGATTGACGTTCGTGATTTTAAATTAATGAAAAACTAAATTATTATAATTAAACAGTAATAACTAATAACAATTATATAGTTTAATAGTTCTAACATATTGTTTTAGGCTATGAAATTATAAAATAAAAATCGTTATTCTATAATATTTGATATATATATAATTTATATATAATAGGTATAAACGTAATAATATTATAATATACGTTAGACAATTCAAAAATAGTGATTCATACATTTTAACAGTCGCATTTAGTATAATAAAAAAGCCCAACGTCTGTTAATGTTGAAAAAAAAAAAAGCTTGATGTTTAAAAACTATTTATTATAGTTTTATGTTCGAATCATTAATCAACACGTATAATTGAAAAGTGAAGCTATATATAAAAAAAAAAAAAAAACTATATAATTACTAAAGTGTACATGTAGTTAGGCTCTAAAATAAATTAAATATATCCGGACATATTGCGCACCTAGATATACATATATTATAGACTACCGTTGTAGGTGGGAAGTTTGATGGTAGGTACATAATGAAGGATGATTTAGTTTTTATCACACTGGAATTAACGATAAATAATTGCAATCAAAAACGATTCTGAGTAGAACTCAGTAAACTGGTAAGATGTTTTTCTTTCCTCTGAAGTCACGGTAACTCTGAAATCAATAAAAATTATACCGACATTTCGATTTTTTTATTTTTATTTTTATGAAATACTGGCGGGAATGTAGACAAATTCGTCAAATAAAGTATCACCGAGCGAAAAATCCACGTCTTTTGAGGTATGATGTAAACAATTTTGAGCAATTTCACTAAACAGAAAAATGTTTTCAGAGAAAGAAAACATATCATAGAAAACTAATAGCTTTGACACACTCATCATCTAAAAATCTAGAACTAATATTATAATACGTATTATAATGTCAAATTATCCTTAGTTAGTTCATTATTATTTATTCTTTGTTTCATGTAACTAATATTATATTCGATATCTATGTATAAAATAATCGCATTATATTGATTTATTAATAGCTATATAAGATATGATACCAAACCAAAAATATTAAATTTCTTTTTTTACATTCTACTTATCGTATAATATAAATTATAAATGTTCCGGTGCGAGCGAAAAAGTCATACTCCTGCACATGGTTATCCGTATGTGTTATATTTAGTGTAATATAACGTTTGACATGATTTAACTTAGGCAATATATTTTCCTCAAAAACCTTCTGTATGCAACTTTGGCCTACTTTTTATTACGTCAGTATACATTATGTAGTTAAATGATTTAAAAAAAAAAATAAAAAAAAAATAAAAAATATAAAAGAGAATCAAGAACGATTTATAAACATTATACAAACTATATAGTGTATTATGCGTATTATTACTGTCCAAACTGCAGCTATTAATCTAATTTATCATATTATTGAACATTTGTCCATTTAAAGAGAGATATGAGTACGTGAAATATCACAATTTAATAATTTGTACATATTATCACGATTGAAAATTAAAGTATTGAATAAATAGCATGAACGTTGCGCAGACAATACGTTTATCGTTAAGGTTTGATAGTGGGTCAAGTCACTCTAATATTGAAACTAACAGCAACGTCGTCCCTGCTATAGAACTCAAATTTGCTATGTCGTTGCGTTATATACGTTTATGAAATGGAGACAGCATATCGAGGGTATCACGTCCTCTTAATCATCGTATTATACAGTCCGGCTGTCTCGTTGTTTTGTATTATATATATGTACGTTTTTAAATGTATTGTTTTTAACGACGGTGAAGGAGAAAATATATTATACAATGCGAAATATCAGACATTTTCTAAATGGATTTAAAGTTTTTACCCCGGGCAAAAGCTAGCAGGGGGCTCTCCTCTCGACATTTTTTGTTTATTATTATCTTGTTTAAATATACACAATAGATGCTGTCGTGTGTTTCGTGACACAATTTCTGTGAAACGAATCGGTTTATTGGGGGGGGACCCATCATGTATTTGAACTATAATTATGACATCACATCTATATACGTTCGTCGCCACACACTCGGAAGTATAATAATTATCACGTCTAATATTATGCATGCGCGTATATTTTTATAATTTAATCTTATTACTATCAGAAACTTGTTTACTATAGTAAACAGTTAGTATAGTGTTACACTGTATAGTCAACGATAATATTAATAAATTATGTAACAACTTTGTTATTTTGTTTTTTATTAGGCTATATTATTATAGTCTATATCTAGCATGTAATATAGAGGTACCTCTATATATTTTCTAAAATAATATGGGTTTTTTTTTTCATTATTTTTATTATTATATAGTATACATACTTGTTTATTTAATATTCTTAAGAACAACTATTCACATTTTTTTTTTTTTTGTCAAACCGCTCTTCTTGATAAAGGGTGCATCTTATTATTATACACGCGATTTACTGCAGTGTTTTGGCATACTTATACTTTATATTAGTATATACTCCTCATAGTTCGTTGTTCTCATTAAAAACCATTATGGCGCCAATGAATGTCGCCGCCACCTGAATGTAAAACGTCGCGTTTTTGTATAGGTATATACATTTTTAAAAGTATATAAACAATGTCTACTAGCTATTGTCTACGGGCGATTTGTTATGTTTTTTTATTATTATTATTTTTTTTTATAGCAAAGACATAACTTTTAGACGGACGAAAAAAAAATCAACACAAACAAACAAATACCATCATAGAAACTAGAAACATATTAAGTATACAAATTACTTAAAAAAAAAAAAAAAACAAATAAATAAATAAATAAATAAATAAATAAATAAATAAATAATAGACAGTGATTCAGTATTTTGGGTCTTTGCAATCGTTTTTTTCCCGGCGTAGATGAAAAGTAGAGTGTATAGTATAGTTTTTTTTTTGTTAGTAGCGAAGAATATGTATCGGTTTTACTACATGTTTTTTTATATTCGTCCGTGATGGACTTTGATACCAGAAATCTTGCTCCGATCATCAATTTTAGGGGTGATTTCTGGTAGGATATTTCGTCTAATTGGTATATTTGACACAGTTATTTTTTAAATAATTTGAAAGTATCAGGAAGAGGGGGAACTTATATTAGCATTCTTTAGATATAGCGCAATTTTCAAATCATTCTGGAGATTTTAGAGATATTTTTATACAATTCGTTAAGATAGTATTTTACGTACTATTTTATTGATTATTCTATGTTATAAATCCATAAAAATCCTTAAACAATTGATACTATAAAACTCTGATACGTTGTTATTTAGTTTGTAGTTACAAATTAATAGTGTTTTTAATTTAAGTTTAAAAGAAGTTAAATCAAACTTCACTCCTCTGAATCGTAGAGTATAAATTAAATAACTTATATTTTTTACCTTCTCATTCCAAAAATGATAACTGTACAGAAATATTTTGTAAACTCGTTTAGATTTTCGAAAGTGACTGTTGTTCTGGAAAAGTAATATGATCACGCAAGTTTCATCTTATTCGTTCAAACAAATTGATTTTGATACTATTGGTTTTATAAATCGTATCATTTTCATCTAATCCATTTGTGAAATCTCAACAACCCAATTCAAATCTTGAAAGATAAAATATTGACAAATATCTACCCTTTGATGATAGATATTCGCAGAAATTTTCACTTAATTTTATGGATTTCATTGATTTTACTTGTTCTTTATTTTATTAATTTATATTACTTTTCGAGAACATTAGAACATTTAGATTTTCCATCAAATTCAATTCACACACTTCACTTATCAAATCATTACAACATGTTTATTTAATCTCATCGCATTCGGTTTACTATTCTTACTTATCTAGACCACCCCATATGGGTCTAATATTATCATTAAAATTATTATACTTATCTATTATACATTTTCTATACGCCACAAATTTTTGAACATTATCACAAATATATGCTTTCAACGACAAAAAGATGAGAAATTAAATTACACCCATCTTGTTTGAATTCAAAACCCATAAAATAAGGTAGTGATCAAAACGTAAAATATATATTATTAATTATTATAATTTATAATTCGTATACATGTAGTTTTTTTTTTTTTATTTATAGCAACCTTTTTATCGATAATTTATAATAGCTACATTATAATATATTATATTATGCACGAAGCGCATTTTATCTTATAAATTAATCGTGTGTAAATTTCAGTTTGCAAAATAATATTGCACCTAGTTTGACCTCGTAATTTGTCTATACCTAGTAACAATCATAATATTAGGTAATCCTACGCACACTGATGATTGATTTTTATAATGTAGGTATTGCAATTATAATAGTTTTAGGTTCAGCTACTTATTGTAGATTTATTCATATTCTATTCATAACTTATGTTTATGGGTTCGGTTTACATCGCTTATTTTTGATTTTGCCACATGGGGAAATAATAAATTTAGAAATCATGTCATATTGTAGCTAGACTACAAAAAAATATAAATTTGTATTCATATTTTTTTGGTAGTAAAATTGGTAGTCATCATAGTAGTCATAATACATACTAATTTAAGGTCAAGGGCAGGATATAAGGTTAGGATATATCATTCGTATCTCCTTAAATTCCCCGTTTAAATAAGCCATTGTATCGCGGTATAATTATAAATGCTGATATATCAATTTATTTTGAACATATTATAATTTAAGTATGGATATATAAGTATAATAGAGGTACTCTTCTTATGATATTATATTATATTAGTGTATAATAACCTATATAATACCTATTTTTAGTACACGAATGTATTTTTATTTTTTTTTGCGTTTGAAATTACAATTTTTCATAGAATAATAAATTCCCTTGTATTATATAATACAAGTATTCGACTCTCAAGATATCATGTTTATTTCTATTAATTTTCTATAATTTGTAATATTTATATTCATTGAATTCAAATATTTTATTGCATAATATTATGTATTTGTTTAAATATTTTTACTCACAAATATTGTACATGTAGTTTTACTCACGGCGATTTACGGAAATCTGACAATAACTGATAACTTGTTCTCTGTTCGATATGTATAGGTTTTTTTTATAATTACTATAGACCCTTGGGTTATGATTATTATATTTTATATTTTTGGTAAAACTATAAAAAAAAAATCATTTTGACATTTCAACAAAATAATTTTTTTTTTTACAAAATTCAAGATTGCCATTTTATAATTATTATTTATTTTTTTTAAATGAAATGTCGATGTTACAAATGTTTATCGGCGTTTAACTGATGTTGAATGATGTTGACTCATCAATTTTTTTTAAAAATTTTTTTATTGTCTTTACTAAATAAATTAAAATATAATTAAAAAATAATAACTATTAATTAATACATAATATTACCATAATATTAAAAATAATTGTTCATAGAAAAATAAATTGATATGGCAATGAAAACAATTTAAATTAGGTAGTGCATAAAAAAAAAAAAAAACGTGGAAAATTAACGACTCGTTAGTTATCATTAGTGTAACATTTATTTTGAAATTTTTTTATAAAATGATTTTCATAGATTTTTTTAAAAAAAATTAAAATTATATTGAATTTTTCATCTTTAGTATTAAATATTCGACAAAATTCAAAAGTTATTGCACATTATACATTTGTCAGATCTCCGGGATTTACTCTGTAGATTTTACGAGGGGTTCCTTGTATACACGTGATTTTTATAGACCAAGATTACACAAATTATTAATGTATCTAAAAATTTAAGATTGAAATATTGAATAAACGTCGTACAGGATTATTACGAAAACAATATTTGAATATTATTATACATGCTTAATATCGATATAACAGAATCTCTAGGATTAATATTTTAAAAACAGTCTACAGAATTTTATTGTGAAAAACAAAACGACTTGATGACGATAAACATAAAATAAGACCCGTGAAGTAATAATGACGTGTTCAACAAGTGGTTTGCATAAATCTTAATATTTTAGTAAATATTTAATTTAAATTTTTTTTTTTTTAGTGTTTATTTCTGTATGCAGTTACCTACTTGGGTTCGTATACCGAACGAATCTATTAAACAACATAAAATAGATTAAAGTAATAATCATGAACACGTTCTTTTATACAGTATAAGTAGGCACCGTAAGTATTTAAAAACTGTACACACTACTCATAGTTAGAAATATAAAGTTTATATAGCATGATGAGTTTTTATTGGATTCGTGGCGTTTTTTTTTTTTTATAAATTGACAGATATACGCGTGTATAATATATTATCCAAGGTCATTCAAATTGTATGATCAAATTTAAAAATTAAGACTGTATATACCAACGAATCGACGGTGGGCGGGGAAATGTATATCCCCCCGGGGTAATTTAAAATTTCCAATACATTAAATGCCTATATGAGTATACACATAATATGGATATTTATGTATATGTTTATAAATTATATAGTCGAAAACGATTAAAAAAATTACTTTTGAAATTTATTTATCGCGTTGTCTCTTTTTGTTTATTTATTTATTCAATTCATACGCACGATTAAATTCGAAAGTCCGTTGTACGAATAAATACCAAAATTGGTGCGCAAAACCGTAACTATATTTTGTCGCGGGTTAAAAAAAAAAACCATACAAACTAACTAACTTTTTGTCCAAAACCCGTGTCCAATTTAACGATATAATATAATTAACGGACGCGAGGTCCGGAAACTTTTTAAAGGCGCGTCTACGTTCAACGGGACGCAAAAGTGAATTTTTTTTTTTTTCTAAAACTAATACTACCGTTCAGCGTAGTTTACAGCAGACGCTGCGCGATACTTTTACGGGGAAAAGGCCCGAACCCTCCACCTCTTCCTTTCCGTCCCTCGGCCAGCAGTATAATCATATAACTATAAGAGTATATTATAATAACCAAAGCGCGAAATTCCGCTCGACTGGTCTGGGTCCGCCGCGTCTCCTCGTTTAATATATCAGATGCGCGTATTTAACGGTTCGTTTCGCTATATATAATATTAGTTTCCCCCTATATATGCATAATATATTGTAGTAAACTTTTTGTTTTCGTGTCTGTAACACACTAGCTGTATTATGTACAATAAAATAATTATTAAAGGTACCTACAGTAGAACGCTCGGCCGCGCAGGTCGTATTGACGTGGACCAACATCGTAGTCAAGATTTTGAACGGGGAAGGGGGTTGGCTATAATTACGTTTCTATTCGAATCGTGGGCACCTAGGTATTGGGAGTTTGGAGTTTGACCTACTCTCCTTCTCCCAAACAAACTGTTGAAAAGGTTTTCATTAACAAGAAAAATCAATAATATAAAAAAAAAAAACCAGCTCAATAATTAATTCAAAATTATAATTTTATGCTTAATGACTATTGGCATACCTTATAACTATATTTATATAACCCCCCCTCCCCATGAAAACTGTTTTGTCCTAAGATAATTTTGAGCAAATTAGTAATTATACAATTTTCATTAATGTATTTTTAAAACAATTTATATTAGCCATAGCTTACGCCCATCGATTTTCTCACTTAATGCTCTTCCTTTCTTTAATATACGCTTGAATACGCCAATACGGTATTGGTGTAAATCCGCTTTTTCAGGCGTGGAAGAAATAATTGAAAACGTAGTTAACACTAAAATAGTAATAATTTTTTTATTGATAATTTCTATGTAAAATGTAACGAGTAACGGGTATTGTGCATTTAATAAGTACATTTTGTTGATACTTGTAATTGACAGAAAGCATTTATCCCCCTCCCCCGGAGTACCTATACTTGAATTCAATACTGTGTGTGAGCCATATAGTTTTTTTATAACAGTATACAGTAAGTTTGAATATTATGTAACGATAAATTCAGTATTTGAAATTTTTGTGTTGATTTGTTTTGGACATTTCCTTCTACTCTCTCTGCTGCTACTAATTTGAAGGTACGTACAATGCAGTGGAAAATTATGAATTATTACGTATGTACCCGGTGTAAAATTTAATGTACAATTTAACCGAGCTCCATATTCAACATATTATTGTATTTCGTTACTTTTATAAAAAAAAAAAAAAAAAAAAAAAAAAAATGTCTTATTAATTCCCACATTGCACCGAAACATGATAAACGGGTTTTTACCTTTTTACTGTACGAATACGTATCTTATACACACATACGCACACACAAATATACACGCCTATATACATACCTATAAAAGTTTTGTTTTCCAAAACACCGAGTGTGTCGAGTGCGTACTCAAATATTTAATAAAAAAGTCGAGTATTTTGTTTTTTCCACAAAAACGTTTGCACGCCCGTCTATATATGTATATACAGACGCGTTTTCGTTATACGAGTACGTATATAATATAGTTTATGACAGTGTTTGTTAGGTTTTATGTTTTTTTTTTCCTAAGCGTAAATAATACTCGTAATTATATCGTATACCTATCTAATACTTTGTAGCTGTCAGGGAAAAAAAAATATAGCACGTTCATAATAAATAAACTGCAGCTCGCAGCTGTTGGTCCAATTATTGTAATATATATCGCGGGCGAGGCGTGTTGCAATAATAATCATCGGCGTGGTGGACCCCGTCGTTGTCATCGTTTCCGATTCGGAATAAGGATATATTATTTTCATGCGACGGAATAAAAGTAAATAAAGAGTTCATCACCGGGTCTCTCAGGAGGTGTCAGTCAACAAAATTGCCGACTTTTCTTATTCGAAGAGGTCCGTGTTAATATTTTGTTTAATGAAAAGAGCTGAATTCATATTTTGAATATTTCATATATTGAACAAACTTATTCCTAAACGTAGTCCCAATATTGTTGAAATGTAGTAAAACATAGTTAATTAATCAAACTTTATTGTAATAAAATTATTAGCCAATAATATCGACTCTGTACCTGAATAGTTTACTACACTAAAAGTTTACTATACGTTAGTAGTAAACTAACTAAAAGTAGTATTGATTTATTTTCTTATTTTTTTTTAACTAAACATAATCTTTCTGGTATAATTAAATGTTGCTTTTAATTACTTATAATTACTTTTAATCGATAAAACTAGGTAGTATTTATAACCAGTTTAACAAATGGAGTATGTTTAAGCTTTTAAAACTTAAGCTAAACATGTATGGCAAAAAGATTGAAAACATGGTATAAATCAATAATTATACTGTACTCGTATTATAACATGCATAAGTATATAATAGTATATTTATCTGGATATTGCAAACATGACACATTCAATTCTAACGAGCATTATTTATTTTTAATAAGGTTTTCCAGTTTCCTACTGATGAACAACCCATAATTTTTCTCTGCAATGATATCTGATCCCTCGTCGCTTTTTTATTGTAAATGAAAGTATTGCAGACGGGAGGTGTAGAGCGCACAGTCCACGAGTTAAGAGGACGTCATTTCCGCATGTTCAGTCTCCGTTACATACTCGCGCAACACAGTAAATTTTTGTTCATCAACGAAAATTCTGCGCTTTAAGTTTAAATATATTAAAGTGAATTGACCTATTATTAAACTTAAAGATAAGGAAATTATTATGTATGTGGTCTAGTCGTTTTTTTTAAGCGAATAATGATTATGAAATATCACGATTTAAAAATGTTTATATCTCGACAGCGTATGCGGTTATGGCGTTCTTTTAATAGGTTTACGGTAATAAAATTATCATTTTACTATTCAAATTTGAATTTGATGTAATCGGTCAATCGCGATCCATAACAATGTATAAACAAAATATAAACGTGGACCTTTTTAATGAGAAAATGAGGCCGGTTTGTTTGCGTTATAACCAAGTCGGCTATCTAGTTGTTTATATTGCATTTGTGAGTATAGTTTTTGCTACACGAATAGTGGAAATCACGTCCGGATAATCGTGGCGATAATCGTAGTGCATAAACCTATATTATAAACATAATAATATTTTGTATAAGTATAAAAATAATGTGCGAAGTCGCCCAGATCGCGGAGAAAACGAGCCGAACACGTCGTACGAATACGAATTTAGTATGTAGTTAAATGCAAGGCTTCATAAGTACGAAAATCGTTACGGATACTATTTTTTTTTTTTTTTATTCGAGCGCGAGTGTTTTTCCAGAACAAATAGAATTGTATACGCGCGTTTTTCAAAAAAAAAAAAAAAAAAAACCAAACCAAAACTCCATTGTTTCAAAACAATTTTTTTTAAAAATATATATACATACATATAGTTTTTTATTAACAATTGAACTGTTTGTGAAGGCACGTGGGAGAGTAGGTGAACATATTATAGGTTGATATAATAATATATTTACTATTATAATTGTTACAGTCGATGTTGAAAATTAGCACACGGGCTATGCACGAGAAAAAATAAATTGTTTTCTTTGTGTTTTATATATGTGTGTATGTATATGACGTGTATGTATACGACGAGAACGCTGTTTTTTTTAACGTTGCTATCTCTCTCGTTCTCGTACATAATATGTTAAAATAATTGAATTTTCAAAAGTTTTCAAGCATATCTCGAGAGTTTATATAGTAGCTATCTGGATAATGAATTTTGTAACTCGACGTAGGTGTCGTTTTGTATGTACGTAAATATATACGTACTAATATATAAGGACAATTTAATCTCTCGTGCAGTTTTTCATACTAAATATTATACTGATACATTCCTGGCTGCGCACAGAACCCAATACATAGGGTAATTTATAAGATATTACAATATTTAATTTTATCTTTCAATAAACTAGATATTTAAAAACAATTACAAATTCTCAATTGTACATATATGATGTATATAAAATACAATACAAAAAGTATAACAAACTTATTGTTGTTAGGTAGGTAAATTTGATTAAAATTACTGTTTTCTTCTTCAAAGATTGTGGAATTGCCTAAGATATTTATTTCAACAATATTTTCAAATGTTTACCCCTACTCCTTATAGTATTTTAAATATATATATTATATTAACTTTTGATTTTATATAGTGCAAGGAATAACGATACAATTTTGAAAATATTGTAAATGAGATCATTAATTTTAATAAATAAAACGATTTTATTATAACTGAAACAAAAAATACAAAATCAATTTTAATCAAACATCTTCATAAGATAATCGATAAGTTATACTATGGTTACTAAATCATCCAGTATACTTATGTTAATAGACGAAATCTTTAAGTATTCTCTATTGCTGGAGTTAAAATATTACATAATTATTTATGTACTATCCTATATTTTTTCAATTAATACCGACAATTTAATATTTCAATAACAAGGAAAAAAATAGCTAACAAAATTTTAAAATTATTACGATAATATTTATCAAGCAATGTGAATTACTATTGCAATCGCATTGTTATACTTCCATATTGTTAATGTTGTTGAAATTAATATCAAATAAAAGGCTGATAATGCTGATGGGTGTGCCACTGTTTTAAGTGGGACGTTGGAACGAAGGATACTATATTGAATAATTTAATTTATATCTGTATGCAGCGATAAACCATTGCTAACGACAAAGGATTTTGAGCATAATATTATTAGTCAAATTATTTCCCTTGTTGCCAAGGTAATCAGAAATCAAAAAATAGGGACACTAAAATTTTTTCCGTTTATTAATAAAACTCAATGGGAAATCGATAAAATGGTCTCGTTTACGCGTTAACTAGTTGAAAAATTCTATATATGAAATTACCTTAATAAGTTTTTAATTGGAGCACGATTTCTGATATAAAAGTTATTAACAGACACAAACACAAAAGATATCATATAGTACAATTAATACATTATTTACTTCTCTCTGAAACGAAAATATTAGTGTCTATGATTATTCTATAGTCTATGGTTTTTTATTTCTTGTGAAAATAGTATATAACGTTGAGAACTTACAACAAAAAAAAACAAATTTTACTATAATTTATATTCATACTCGTATATTATTTTGAATTCCCATTAGGTTTCGATACAAAGACGGCTGAGAGACCTTAACAATTATTATTACAATTATTAATTTAATTAATTATATTCATGATTTATGACTTATTAAGTCCTGCAGTATACGACTTAAGCTATATACTGCAGTATTATATAGTTTATTGTTACAGAGACTTTTGAAGATACAAGTTTTTATGTAAATAAAAAAAACTAAATAAATAGATAAATTATTAGGTACGTCACGTTATCATTTTAGTCGATTTCCATAAATCATTATTATAAGTAGGTATTAGTGTAGGTATAGTTTTATGGTAAGTACAGATAATTTATCAACAATAATGCAATCAATATATCATATAATAAACACAATTTAAACCGTATTCGCATAAGTGTTTTCTTATTAAATTAATCGTGTTATATATTATAATTTATAATATATAATAGTATATATGCTGTAACACGGAGATTTAACTCCTAAATTAAACTTTAGTTCTGTTCAATATTTTTTAGTTTATTTTTCTTGTAGTAATTGACCTATAATTCTTCTATTTTTTATTTTTTATTAAAAATTTAAAAAATTAAATGTAAACCATTTTTTTTTAACAAAATCTAAGATACTTAGTTATTACATAAATATATTTAGAAAAAAAATATTTTAATGTAACAAATATTTACTAATTATGAATCGTTGTACAATTTTGTGAAGTTTCCACATGTCATTAAAAAAATTATTTTTGATGGACTAATTGGTGAATCGTGATATTATTTAATAATGGCAATGAAAACAATTTAAATAATCGTTAACTTCAACAAATTGTCGAAGATAAGCAATTCATTGCTATTACATATTTGTAACGCCAACATTCTTTTTTCAAAATATATTAATAAAATGGCTATCTTGGATTTTGTAAAAAATTAAAATACAGAAATCATAATGCGAGGCATTAGTCATTATTACAAGAAGAAAAAAAACTTTTTGAACAGAACAAAAGTTATTGCAGATGTCAGATCTTCGTGTTACACCCTGTATGCATACAGATGACATAACACATATAAAATGTGATTAATGCAATATGGAACAACTAAATGACTAAATTTTAGTTGCAGCTTATTATTTATATCTGTTGTTCTTAATTGATAAAAATATGAATGTATGATGTTCTTCCTTTGGACTAATATTGATTTTAAAAACGGTAGTTTGAATTATTATATTATTGCTTTTTACATATAGCTATTAATCTAACGAGAATTTCAAGTGCACCCATATACGTTCTCGAGAGAGGTAAATATTTGAGTTAATTGAAAATAGGTACTATATATTTAACCTGGGCTTAATTACTATATATTGCTGCAATGAGATAAAAATATTTACCTACTACTTTTTGTAGGTATTAAATAACCGTAATTATGTCATCATTAATATATAATAAATATATAATTATAATTGTATTACATGTTTCTCGTTCTCGAAATCAAGTTTTACGTTTTGTTCTTTTTCTACTGTTCTTTGAGAGTTTTTGCCATCATAACTACTGCGCTTTGTCACGTGTCTTCATCGTAAACTATTTAATTCCACCTCAGAACTTTTTAAATATTCTTCCACCGCGACAGCCCATCGTTTCCTGGGTTCCTATGGTTATTTTGATTTTTCCTCTCCTTGTTATGTGACATCGTAAAAATTATAATTATTGTAGAACATATTATAATATTTTATTAAACATGTTATAAGACCAACTGCGGTTGTAAAAGTCGTACACTCTTCAATCTATAAAAATAATATTATCATGATGTCTAAATATATCCTTTGTCTCATGAAAGCAGGGCTTAGTCAATTTTATATTTAAAAAATGTTTAAGATTATAAAATACAAATTACGGGGATTATGTACTCTTGGAAATCTTGGTAAAATGATAGAAAATTATGGAAAAAAATTACGGAAGACAATAATTGTATACATATATAAAAAAAAACAATTTACTTAAAACCCTTTTCCTTGGAACATTAGATGTATGAATCACTAAATGCAGACTGCAGAAGGTCAATTGTTTAAACTGTTTACATGTTCATGAAAGATAAAAATATTTAATATTTCTGAAAAATTGTATGTCATTTTAATAAATGATAATTTATGTTATAATCATTTTATGAAATAATACTAAATTCTTGGTGCTTAAGGTGTTTTTTTTTTAAAACTTTCAAATTTGAACAAATGTGCCTTATTTGTATTTAGCGAACCATTGTAAGTTGAAACTGCTGTATTATGCTTAAAATTAAAATTACCTTCTCGTAGTAGGTTTACAGAGTATCATTATGTTACCTTGAATAAGACGAAACATACAGAAATCTTCGAAAAAAAAGCGAGCAAAATGAACAAATTACATTATAAATTAAGTACACAATTTCTTTTTTTCGGTTTTTTTTTTTTTATTGTAAATCTTGCCGTTTTATCGTTGCGTATTTTATTATAAATTACAGCGTTTCTAACGAATCGAATGAATTATTTTTATTTGTTACAAACAACAGTACAGTAGTTTTCTTTACGAGATATACGTATTATACGTTGATAAAAACTTCTAACGAAATTCAATAATATATTATCATTGTCTCTCTTGACGAGCAAATCACGTGCACTGTAACGAGTTTCGAAAATGTTTTTGTTTAAATCGCACACAAAACAATCACTTTAGTTTTTTTCATATTCGTAAAATTGTTTTATTCTTTTTCTTTAAACAGTTTAGAGACCATATCTTGAGCTACTTCATTGTAATTTTTCATCCCTACAGTTGTCTTAATAATTGAACGGTGGTTTGCTTTTATCAATCCATCATTGTTTTGGTCAATAAGAAAACGGGAAAGTTTTCTGGCAATAACAGTTGTAATTCGTTAAAGAATATTAATAATATTTTTACTGAATATTTATAAAAAGTTTTTCTAGATGTAATTTTTTTTTGTGTGTGTTTTGTGTGTCTGTATATATCTTAAATTTAAATTATCGATGTATATTAATGCTCGTGTGTATATATACAAACACACACACACACACACACACACACACACGCACACATGAGCGCGCGTGCGTGCGCATATTTTTATAAGGCGTGTAATATGGAATCAAAGAAATGGTATGTATTGTGAACATTTTTCTTTTTCTCCATTTTATTACTTATATATATATTTTGCTTTTATCGTCGAGATACGGGCCGCCGCGCGTCGAGACCGTATACCCGATAATTGGACACGTTTTTCTCTCTGGCATTTTACGTAATCTCTTCTTCTTTTTTTGTTTTTCATTTCACCGATATTTTTGCGGTGGACTTGTCACATGACAGCACGCGTGGAGGGTAAAAACGTTCTTCTGCCGAACTAACCTCATTAAGCGTATAGTGCAGTATTGCCGCAACTGCAGAAATCATGTCCAGGCCTACAGGGCGAGGGGCGGCGTTGTGGTGTCTACAGAGAGTTGGTAAAACTTTATAATGCTGCCCGCGGGGACGACTTCCCGGTTGCGGCCTATATATATAATTCAATCTGTACGCATTCGTTGTATCACATCCAATCCGGTACGACTGTAAAGTACCTGTATTTGGATAAATATTTATACGTCCAAAAACCATTAAATGCAGATATTCACTAAAAATACCAATGCATGCCCTTAAAATATGATCTAAAAAAAAAAAAAAATGGTAAAAAGCATATTAAAAATGTCTTAAATGTACCAAATTCTTATAAAAAAATTGCTCTAAAAATGTACACATGTTATGTTATATTATAAGTAATAACGTTGGGTTACCGGACACATTTTGGTATAAACTATACTATAATTTTTGCGACCAACCGTTAAAACCTTATATATAAAATAATAAAAATATCTACCCTATAATATCTACCGAATGGGTAATATCATAAACTAAAAAAGGACGCAAACTTTGGCAGAAGAACTATATATTCTTCCTGCCCCTTATACGTACAAAAGAAGAACATTTCTAGTTACCCCTGTTTTGGACAGAAACGAACATTTTCGGTACCCAGTGCTTTAATATGTACATCAACTTCAGTTTTTATAAATTTGAAATCATTTTAACCGTATAGAAAATAGAAATGAACTCATATATGTTAGAAAGACGTTTTAAACATAAGTGATGACGATTTTCACTGCAAAAACAAACATTTATTTTATTACAAGACAAATACTAATATCCACGTTTTTGAGAATTCGCTATATGTTATAAAATAAATAGTAGTTTTCCCGTCACAACTTTTTTATGTATAAAACTATTTCGAGTACAAATAAATTGTTATTTATTTTACTTTTGATGTACCTAATATTATTTAAAGAGAGAATGAGAAATATTGTCACTTTAAAAGGTGAACTTGTGTATATTTTAGTCGATTAAGACCTGAAATCTAGGAAAAACTGTAGGAATTATGATTGATGAAGCAGGATTTTAATTTTTAAAACAGATTATGAGTTATATAGGTTCTAATAGGATATTTTATAAATAGATATTAATTCTCTTTAGATGAAAATCGCAGTATAATTAATTGTGATTTTGAAATATGTTCAACAATTTATTTTAAGTCTTTTGTTTTTTATTTATTATAAAAACAATTAAAATTTGAAAAAAATGATTCTATAACGTATCTTATATAGTTAAAACCTAACATAATACGTTTTCAAAATTGAAATCCGTCAAACGCAGTTCTACAGTTTTTGTTGGGCTTTTCGGTATGAAACGTCGTATTCATCCGTAAAAACGGTTATACCCCTTCCCATTATACGGATATCGATAGATTAGTAAAAAAATCTTATTAATATGGTAGCTATCGATATGTAATAACAATTTTAATTTTAAAAAACTGGAACACATTTTTAAAACCCTAAGCCTTAACCATAATCGCTTTAAGAAAACTGAAAACAGATATATGTATATATATACATAAAACAACGGACATACTTCGTACGATGGATGTGCCACTATTGTAGTTGAGAAGTTGAAAAAATAGAAGGAAAATTGCAGTATGTATATGTATATCTACACGCAAAGATTAATTATTGTTAACGAAAAACGATTCTGTGCGGAATTCGGCTATAAAAGTTTTGAAAAGCCATAATATTTAAGATTTTAAAATAATACATTTCGTAAATTTTCGTGTTTTCCTTATTCATTAGGAGAACCCTTGGGAAAATTAAAAAAATTACCTACTTAGAGTACCACCCCAGATTCACTTAACAGAAAAAGTGCTACACTTGAAATTTTTGGTAGAAAAGTTATTCACAGAAAAAAAAAACATGTACATAAACATTGTTGAAAAACCAATACATTTCTCGCTCCACTCAGAATCTAAAATAATATTATTAAAAACAGCTGTTTGAGGGAGGGGGTTGCAAAATTATGTGCACGTTTTATTCCGAGGACAAAAACATAATTTGTTAATTGGATAATAAATAAATTACACAGTTGTACTAACGACGAACGTAAAACATGTACCTACTCAGAAATGCAATTATGTCGGTTGTATTATTTTTAAGTGAATTAAAAACAAGGACTACACTAATGAGTGTATAATTTTTTAGCTACCGCCATAATATTATTAACTTTTTCGGGGAAAAATTCCCATATAGATATTTTAAATTTACCACTGTCCATTATGTCCGCAATTTGAAGCACTATAGTCTGTAATCCACAAGCCTAGAAATAATATGATTCCCACCATGGGTGGGCTCGTCACTGTTGTAAATGGAAAGTTCGGCAAGTATATATGTACGGGTATGGAGAGTATTTTGGTTGGTATACTGAAAGCAACGATAGATCATAATAATAGGTAACCTAGAAATCAACAAAAACAAAACCGATGTATCATCAGTTGACGAATTTTTTTTTCTAACTTGTTAAATACACTATCGGGAATTTAGAAAAATCTTTCAAATAAAGTACGCCCTCCGCCGGTCGGAAATCGTGTATTTTTTAAAGAACAGCTTGAAAAATCGAAATTTATTTACTAAACGAAAAAGTGTTTTTCTTGTATACAATATTTTAGCATAACACTAAATTGTGGATAAATATTTTCACACACGTATTATTTTATTACAATATTTTATATTATACGTATATATATACGAATATTGATAACAGTACCACTGATATCTTAGAATCTAAGGAAATAGTTAAATCCCACAACCCGTGTATAATGCCGGTTGATAATATTATATTATATACTCTTGACTTTCAAGTAAACTTGTCAGCTATACGCGTACGTATCTATACTAAAAAATTGTCAAGTGATATATGTGTATTCAATAGAAAAATAATAGTAGTATTTTAAAACAAAAAAAAGCAAACATAATTTATAATCGAAAGACCTGCTCTATCGTATAGGTTAATTAGCTTTAACATGTTCTCTGTCAATTCGTTAAAAATAACGATATCGCTTAGTGTGTGTGTGTGTGTGTGTGTTAATTAATTCATAAGAATTAATCATTATTTATATATAATCAATTTGTTTTATAATGTCATATTTTTTTTTTTAGATTAAAAGCGTATTAAAGAAGCAGTTATTCTTATTAAGATGTGTGTGCTTTTTTTATATTTTTTTTAAAAAAAATGTACTTTGGTACATTTTTTGAACAATTTCTGAAAATGCAAAATAGTACTTTTTCAAAAATTGTTTTTTTTTTTTTTTTTAAAAAAAGGTTAGCCTGATTTTTTTCGTGCAGAAACGAGATGCGAAATTTCCTGGGTATGCTATATTATTTGAAACATTTATTGACATTTTCAGTAATTCGCCCCCCGCAGGGTTCTTTATTTTTATTTTGTCGATTTATGGTTTTCCAAACACAACTAATACTACTGCGTTCGGAATCGTTTTTTCGTTTGCAATGATTTATTTATTTTTTCTCTCCTTATATTCAACTTTCAAAGGCGTTAATGCTTATTTTTTTACATACACATAGTATTTAATATTTTCAAATATGTATAATATATACATTTTTTTTTTTTTTTTTTAAATGCAAATGTCAACAAAAATTGAATACATGTACTGTACATCATCAGGTTATACAATATGTATCTACCTGCTTTTTATTTTATATTATGATTTATAACAAATACATGGTATAGTTAATATTGCTGGTAATTAAAATTCGAACGATAATTTTTTTTATTTCGAACGAGTTTCTCCAAAATAATTATTCAGAAAAAAAAAATATATATATAAAACGAGTCATAAATAATTTCGTATTTAGAGCCATTTCACCGTATATTAACAATTAATAATGACCCGGTATATTGTAACAACTGCAGCCGATCACGATATATTATTGTTCAGGGGATTTAAACTACAAAAAAAAAAAAAAAAATTATAAAACTTTGTTCTTTTTTTTTATTATTATTCTTTTACCCGTAAATAATGATATATCTATTCGAAATATAAAATGACATTGTCGGTGTGTATCTTATGTATGTACGTATACTAAAATTTAAAAAAAATTACTCGAGAAATCGAAAAATTAATTTCTAACCACCCTATGTACATCTAAACGTACATAATAATATTATTTCGTACAGTAAAAATTGGAAAATTTTTTTCTCTTTTTTTTTTCCACGATCGTTATAAGATTATTATTATTATTCTCATCGTTTTCAACTTCGTTTTAATATATTATATTATTTTAAGTATTTTTATATATCTATATCGCGGTAGCACACTCGCTTTATATATAGTTTTTTGTTAACTTTCTTGAAAAGACCGCGCACAATATCGTCGTTCGTATAGGTTTACAAAATGTTTATAATTATTTTTCCACTTATTTTCCTTTTTTCGCCGCGCGGGTATTCCAACGTGGTAAAATATTTAAACAGTTTAATATTGGCGCGCGCGCTCGTGTATACGTATAGTTTTTAAACTCCGGAGGCCGCTTTTCTTTTGTACGTTACATAAAAAAAATATATAAATATACATACATAATAACGTTTAATTATGCGGGTACTGCGCGATACGAGGTTTTTTTTTCGTATAAATAATTTCAATATTTGCAGCGTCATAATAGAAATATTTTAATAATATTCAATACTCACATGTAGCGTTTCACTTAAAACTATTAAATCGTATTTATTATTATTATTATTTTTTTTTTTCATCGGTCGTGAACAATTATTTATTGTTTTTTGTACAACAGCTGTACAGACCGAACCCCGACGTCATCACGAAAATAGTTTATATGTACACGGTTAAAGGGATTGGGAACACGGTTTTCCAAAAAAAATTAACCACCATATTGATAAGACTTTTCCACTATTAATCTATACTGCCCGATACTCGCTCAAAGGAAAGAGATATGTACGTTTTTACGAAAAATGACGTTATGACGTTTTATACCGAAAAGCCATCAGATATTTTCTGTGTAGGAAACGCGCTTCGACCTATATCAATTTCAAAATCTTTTTATAATTGTTTCGATTTTTTATGATATAAGATACTTAAGTAGAGTATTTGTTTCATTTTAATTCTCTTTATTGTAAGTAAAATACAAAGTAATTTAACTAGATTTTTCAAAACATTTTAATGCTCCCGTCTGCAATGTTTTTTAAACATTTTTTATTTATATTATTATTTGTTTTTCGGGCGATAAATATTTGAATGATATAATTACATATTATAAGTCAAGTTTAATTTTAATTTTCAGTGTTGTTGTTTTTTAATGTATTATCTAATATTGAATGAGTAAATATTTTATAGAATCAAGTTTATTAATTGTAGTATTATTTTTGTCTTCGTAATTTGGTCTCTTTTTTTTAAAATTTTTTTCCGATTTTTTACTCGTTTATTTATATCATAGTTGATTGTTTCGTTTTTGCCTGTGATAACTGGCATTTACATTAATTATTATTAATACGAGTTTATGGGACTCAATTTACCAATTTAATTTTCAATCATGGAACTCAGATTACCGCTTTAGAAAACATTTAGGACTCATTATAACGGATTCATCCTCACCCGTTTAAGTAAAATATTAGTATTTAGAATATTTTGATAGTCGAAATTTGGAATGGAAAGTATTATTTTATCCAACGAAGAAGGACTCTAAAATTATGTGACAGAAAAGCCGTGTAGAGGTAAATGATCTCGTTATCAAAGAACTTTGATAAAAAATTCAAACCCGTGACTTGTCCGATGTGGTCTGACGTGAAAGACGAATTTAGTACTCGTCGTTGTCGGACGGGAGTGTCAGAGGGCAATCAATTCTAAGGATATGTAAGAGGGTAAAACGTAAAAATGTATGCTGCGCTCTTTCCGACAATCGAGGGTTACTCTATATTATACGTAGCAGATGGATTCCTCGTGACAGAGTCATTCAATCAGTGGGGACGAACTGTGAAACATAAAATGAACAACACGAATATTATACTATTATATTATCATATGTGAATGAGAAAAATTGTTAAATTTCGAGGAGTGGCACCCGGAAATAATAATATGTTTCCGGTGCATCATAAAATAGAGTCCGTAAAAATCGAGCTCAACCAGATTTAATTAACAGGGCGTGCTTTATATTAAACTCGAAATTTTATGAAAAAGTTAAAATCGTTTTCGTATCTTTTTTTTTTTTTTGAGCATATTTTTTTAGATTTTAATGTAAAAAAAAAATCGCGTCAAATATTTATTTGTAAAATCGATTATTTCCTAAACAAATCTCTTGTTCATACTTCTTCCTAAAATCAATCGTTTCATATCAAATCAAAAAAACTGTATCGTTTCTCGTCGTTAATGAAATTTGCTAGATGACAGTTTTTATAGTCCTTTGTGATTATGCGCTGATATTTTACAGATACAAAATACAGTACACTAGCTGTTGGTTATCAAATGTTGGTTGTACACTGGTGTAAAAGGCATTATTATTTTTAATCGTACAGCGATAAATAATAAATTGTATAATCACGTGTCCATGTTAAATATTAATAATGTTTTAATCTTACTTGAGACTCGATAGTATATATTATATAGAATTAAGTAAACACACGTGTTTATGTATTAAAATGAATTATTACGCGACACCATATTTTAGAATTAGGGCAGATATTTATAAATATTATGCGTTTTTGTATTAGTATTTTATTGTAAAAAATAAAAATAGCTACCTATATGAATTACTAAATGACGAGAGGTCGCATGTTCATTGTTTAAATTCTAACATTAATCAAAAATGACAAAAATTCTTAATGACGTTGAGGAAATGTTTTTGTCTTTCTGAAACAATTTTAAAATTTTGAACGTGTTGCCTTTCTACATGACAAATCGCCGAAATACAAACAAAAATTGATAAATTCGAGCAACCGAACCGGCATTCCGATGAGTTTAGTAAGTATAGATACTCGCGTCACAAGCATTTCTTTCTCTCTTTCTTTTTGAGGTTTTCAGATAAAGCAATGCCTTCGTTTGTTATTAAAAAAAAATTTGAATTTTTCCCCTGAGTATTTTTAGGAATTTTTTTTGTGTGGTATAACTGCATTATATACGTATATTTAATAGGTTTTTAGAGCATATTTATATAAGTCTTCGGCGTCCTACTTAATATGTATGTGTATAGCGAATAACTTGCGGTTTACACGCGCGAGGGTATTTCATAACGTATACGCGTATTATACGTATAGTATACCACAACGTTATAATTTATAATAATTACTGAATTCTGTCCGTTTTTAATAGTAATTATTCCAACAACATTATCATATCGTAATTATTCGTGTTATGCCGCGGTGCATGCAGTTTGTAACTCGAGGTATTAAAAATACAACAAATATTTCTACAAAATCCTTTTTTTATTTTCCTTCTAATATTATTCTTTTTTTTTTTTTTTTTGTCGCCTTATCTCTGTGCAAACAGGACCGAGTCGGGTTCGAATAATAATAATATAATCTAATCTTCGCGTTTTCCAACCCGTTGTCGACACAACCCTCTATTTATACTTCACACGCCTCCATATCTCTCACTCAATAACTTTCTTCGCCCGTCGTCTGCACTATATACCGCTCGCTTCTACCACCTGCTACCCACTAACCCTCCAAACGTAGCACTGCCCCGCCATTATGTACGTTTGCTGTTTCATTATATGCCTTCCCTTCTCTCATCAACACGCCCGAAACGTGCCGGCCTGTGTATTATTGTTCCCTCTTGTTCCAATGTTACTTCAATAATAATACACTTAATGAAAATCATTTAGTAAATATTGTCGTATGAAACGTGCGGTATCAAAAATTCAAAATTTGATACTCGATTCTTTGTTAAAAAATAACAAAAGCAAAATACAAAAATATTAATGTATTAATATTACGCATTATTGTTAAACTGCGCACTATTAAGAATAATTTTAGATGCAATAACACATTATAAAATTTATGAAGTCGTGTATTATTTATTTCGTATAAATGTACGATTGAATAATATTGTATATTGTGTTGATAGAATTGCAGTAATTCGTATATTGGCTCAGAATTTATGTATAATTCTTATTATCAGTAACAGACGTAATGCGTAATTCGCTTAATAAATTAGTGAGTAGGTCATTGAAGTTACATAACGATTTTCGAATCTCTTTTATGTATCGTAAAAAAACACAAAATTATAGGTATACTTACGAATAATCGTATAATTTATCTAATATATATATAATTGAAGATTAACCGAACAGTTTTTAATTTTTTTATACGTATTTTATGTTTTTCTTTATTTTTATAGTTTACTCTGACCATCCCAAGTACTTATAAATGCAAATTTAATTACATTTTCGGCGCATGCGGTTTTATCGTTTAATTGCATATTATATTTATGCATTAATCAAGAATGTACATAGTACATTAATTAGGTACTATCGTTTGTCTTGTGTTTAGATATATACCTAATTAATACACGATTAATTAATGTAAGTTCGTATATTCGTTAAAAAAAAAATATAATAATATTTGTTTTAATCGAATTTAACGTTTGAATGTAATAGCTCAGCGAAGCCAGCCCAAACTTAGCGGAGCCACCTTAAACTAAGTCCTTACCAAGTAAATACTTAGTATAATCGATTTTAACCAATAATTTGGGGTATGAAGCTCCGCCAAAATATTTTAGTTGGGTATTTATGTCTATACGTGTACGATGTTTTATTAGGTTAGGTATATTTGAATTGTTTTATATTTTTGCGGTTATCGAATATATGTATACATATACAGAGTGATTAATCCTGGATAAGACATTTATCGAGTTATATATATTAACATTTTTCGGAAATCAAACAAATCTAAAATGCATTACATACCGTTATTTTTCGTCATTCTTATTTTTAGGAATGAAATACTTAAACATTTTTATATAAAACATTTGATTTTCAAATAGCATCCTATACTTACTAAAAATCTCATAATAATAACAATAGATTAAGTTTTAGTGTAAATGAATTTCGATATTGACATTTTAATTTCCGTCAATTCGTTGATGTGTTGTAACATTTTAGAGCCTCTATTGTTTTTAAATTTTCTAGAAAACAAATTACAAAAATAGTCAATACTTTCCGAGATAATGAGTGTCTTACCGAGGATTGATCACTCTGTATATATTTATGTAGAGTATCATGCCTACTCGTCGAATTTAAATTTGTATCAATATTTGTTTGCATAATAAATAAATATAGATAACAAACAAAAAACCGTATAAGAAGCATTCAAGAAGCATTGTAAACGCGGTTTATATATATATATATATATATGTTTTTTTTTTTTTGAAATTGTATACTTTGATCGAAGAAAAAAATGTTAAGTAAAAAAAAAAAAAAAAAACACTATACAGTGTTAAATGTCGACTCGACACCATCGCATCAAAGTGCGATACGCCAACCGGAAACGTATTCTGGTATTGTTCGTCCGCACGTAATTTTTTCCCATAAACAAATCGCGCGTATAAACTTCCTGTGGTTGTATATATTTTTTGTTTGTGGTTTTTTTTTTTTTTTTCCCAAAAATTGTTTGACGTCTATTCGTATATATTATAATAATAAACTCGAATTCAAACCTGCGAGGCGTAGGTCGTATATGAAACTTTATAAACATAGATATAAGTGGAACGAACAATAATGTTTCGTTTGTTGGTAGCGTACTTACAGACTATCCGAGTTCGGCGTTAGTGGTATTTGTAAATACGTGACCCGTCGTGATTTTTCGCCCGTTAGAACCAACATAAGTTTTAGGATTAGGCAAACGCGTAACTCTTTCGGAGCAATATCGGGGGTTTCATTGACCAACGCGTAGGTTAAACGTTTCGCTCCGCTCCGCCATTAGTGGTTTTTCATTATTATTGACTGTAGCTAGGTTTTAGGTTTACACTTAGATTAACTTGTTTTGTAACAGACTCCTCCCGGTGTACCCGCTGAAACTCTTAAGAACGCGGCAACTCGCGGTTACGTTTCGGCTCGGGCTGTAGCAGGACTACGGATATAGGGGTCTGTATGTACGTGGCGGCGGAGGCGGGAACGGTCTGTGTAACGTTTAATAGTAAAACAATATTATTTTATTCGTCCCCGCGATTAATCGAACGGCACGCACAATCGCGTTAACGAATCAAAACACGATTTTCTCTCCGTGCGCGTGCGTGTGTGTATTACTGTACCTACATATTATAGACACGTGTATAATATTATGTGTATTGTAATGTATTGTCGCCGCTGTCGTATTAATTTATACCGGGTGACCCGCGTGCCGATGTGCGTTCGGTTATTATAATATTATGTGTACACGTAACACGAAATGCAAACTCGGCTCGCAAATCCCGCACGCGTCGCGTACCGCACGATTCTCCGTAAGCTCGCCGCCGCGGCGAAACGGAGGATTTTAATTTTCGAAATGCCTACGCGCATTTATGTACCTCGTGTTCGTAGCCACGTGTCGCTGAAACCCAACGCCCTCGCGGACTCTGCCGTATAAACACGCGATCTCGACAGATCGTCCCGGCGACGGCGGCGGCGTTATATCGGTACATTTGCGGCCACCGCAGGACGACGAAAGCGGTTTTTGGCACGTAGTCTCTATTCGCGTATAGCAGTGGTTCTCAACCTTTTTAGGACTGCGGTCCAAATTTTCCCTCGAAAATTTATCGCGGCCCATATGGTTTCACTTTTCGTTTTTCGCTTATGAAAACAGCTGACGAAATCTTAAAATTACCTCTTAGTAAAGTACCACCCCAGTCAGATTTCCTTTCAGAAAAAGTGCTAAACTTGATAATCCGAGTAAAATTGCCTGTATAAAATTTGTTCATATATATATAAAAAAATGTTTCACATTATTATAAAACTTATGCATTAGATCAGCTCAACTTAACATATTTTTTTTCCTCTTTTATTTATAAATGTTTTTTTTGATAATTTAATTTTCTTAATTTAAATAATTATTTATATGCATGAAATACACCCCAATAGCTTCAGCGGACATAGAAATATTATTTTCTATGTACAAAAATATTTTGAGCCCAAATCGTTAACGTTTTACTGTAAACGGTTTATCTAAGTACACGGTAATGAATTTTTTTCATACAAACTAGTTGAATCAACTGAAGTCTATTTAATCTTTTATTCAATTTTGTAATCGCTTTTTATATAAATTAAATATATTTTTTTTTCCTTTTTCACATTTTAAATGCTTTTTTATTGAATATATTACCTTCAAATCTGAACCCTTGATATTATGTATATACGTGAATTATGAATTGCGTTATAACTCGTTAATGTATACGCGTGATACGTGTATCGACGTTTTTAGAAAATTTGTATTTTTTTTTTCTAGCTATTAAAGTTAATTATTAATTATATAAGTATTCGTTTTGAGATTGTAAGATAGCACAGGGATAAACGTTTGATTAAAAGTGCGCAAATATAAAATTTAAAGAATACGTAATGATTGCATGAAAAAAAAAAATTAAATCGTCAATTTAATCTTCCGAAAAATGCACTGGATCATGGAATCACAGAATCGCGCTGTACATAATATGTATATACACACGTATGCAGAACACGGAATATATACGGGACGGGCGGGGGGAAAAAACATCGAAAACGCATTACGCACACCGACTCGCTTCTCGTCATGCGTGTATTTGCCTAAATTATTATATTTTTTTTAATTGTATATGCGTTTTTCGAAAAATCCTTAGCGATTATGTCGATTAGACTTTGCGGCCGGTTAATCGCTTACGAGATTTCCGAACGCAAATAATGGATTTGGATAAGAAAAAAAAATCGTGACTATATAATATATAGTCACGATTTTTTTATATTATAGATGATCGACCACCGTACTGACCACACAGACCATGAAGTGGTTGGTGGTCTGGCTCCCGGGTCTGGGGCTGACCATCCTCCTAGCGGCGTGGCGAACTAGAAATCGTTGAGAGGTGAATATTTTTGCAAACTACCCACCCACTCGCCCTGCTCGACTCAACAACTAAACAAAAATCTCGCTTCTTGAATTTTTTTTTTTTTTCAAAGACCGTAGGTACCAATAAGATGCATGGTCTTGAAGCGCATCTCCTTTTCAAATACGTCCACGAATAGTTTGTTAAAAATTTGTATAAATGTTTACGGCTCAGCCAAATATGGTCTCTTATATAGTCTCACAATGATTAGCGTGACATCATCTTATACGATATCAGTCCTACTTATCTGCAAGTATAATTGGATACAAACAAATAACCTTAAAAATCTAATCTGTCTACATTTAAATGTGATTTAAAAAACTTTTCAAAAACTTACAGTTTAAGTACTTATAAGTATCTATATATATCTAGATATTTATTTTATTTTTAAAAGTCTCATTTAATTAACTCTTGTTTAATAATCTTAGTTTGTTATAGGACACGTATTTTAGGAAATATATTATGTTTGCTTTTAATGGGACTATCAATAGATAAAATATAATTTTATACTGGAAACTCGGTGTATACCGGTGTTTTTCGACTAGGTCAATTCATTTTGTTTTATTACTATTTGCAATAATATTGCGTTATGATATAATCAAACCTCTCACTTGTGTGTTTCAGGTGTGTATACGCAAACGGTAATTTTTTGTGGTCGTTATACATCCGTGTCAGTATACCGTAATATAGAATATCGAATGTCTTCGTCCGGGGAACAGCAATCGGCGGAGCAGAGGGTGGCCAAGTTCGAGACGTTCATCAATGACGTGCTCAAGAACAGCCTGAAGGAGATATTCAAGGCCCTGGAAGGCGTCAACGAAGAGATAATGGAATTGGAACGGTTGCGGGACAACATCGAGAAGATGCACCGGCTGGCGGAGGATCTGCCGCCCGGCAAACCGTTCAAAACCCGCGTTAACGTGGGCTGTGACTTTTACATGCAGGCCAACGTAGACGTGCACAAGTACTTGATGTGTGTGGGCCTGGGCTACTACGTGGAGTTCAACAAGGACGAAGCGTTGACTTATATCCGGTACCGGACCGACAAGTTCAAGCAGCACGCGGAAGACCTCAGGGATAAAGGCGCCAGGGTCCGGGCCCAAATCACCCTGGCCCTGCACTGCATAGAGCAGGTACAAGGATTGTAGTCGTCGCTCCGCGGCTTTATCCTTACGAATAAAAAGTATACTCGCGTTATTAATTTCCCTCGTTCCCGTCCCCATCATCAGTATATGAATATACAGTACATTTGCAAGATTCATTTAAGGTTCATTTTAATTTTTGTATTTTAAATTATATTATAATAAACTATCGTATACATAAATATATATACATTTTCTTTTTCAAAAATAATCTCGGCTTTTTTCATTCGTCTTTGAACGGATATCCGTTTTCGTTTTTTTTAATTTTTTTTTTTTTTTAATTGAAATGCACAGCTGCTGCTGCTGCTATGGGTCCCAGAATAACCGAAGTTTTCACGTTTATACGTATATACAGAGTGTTTCTTAATAATGTGTTGCGCCATACTCGGCGGGGTGACCCGTCAATAATTTTTTTTTTTATACATCTTCTCTAAGTATATTTTCGCGAATTTCAAAATAAATGTTCCCGAATTTCTTTTTGTATACGAATCGATATATCGGATTGTTTTTACACATTTTCTCCCGATTTTGACGTCTAAACTTTTATAATACCGTCAGAATACAAAGACAAGCGTTAGACTAAGTGACATAACTATTCATAAGAGAATTTCGCGGGAAATATCGTGGAATATTTAACTCTCAAAAATTCTGTATGATTAAGTGGGAACGGGTGCAGCCACTGTTGTAGGTGGGAAGTTGGGAAGGTAGGATACCTACAGAAGGGAATTTAATATATATCAGTAAGCAAAAATATATATTTGCTAACGAAAAAACGATTCTAAATGGATTTCAATTGATAGTGATGTTTTGTCGATTATATATATGTCATATTATGATAATATAATTCAAAAAATCGAAAAATGACCATCCTTAAGTATCTCCCCAGTCAGATTTCCTTTTATAAAAAGTGTTATCATTGTAAATCGGGATAAAATCGTTGGTAGAAAAGTTTTCTATAGAAAATAAAAATCGTAATATTTTATTAATATATTTCGTACATTTTCTCGGTTTTTTGTTTTTGGTTTTTCACATTTGATTTGAAAACTTCTGAGAAAATTGAAAAATACCCTTTTTAAAGTAGCACCCCAAGAAAATTTCCTTTCAGGAAAGCGTCTACATCGTATACATTGGATCAGGATATCTGGTGTAATTTTTGTACACAGTTTACAAAAATAAACATTTTTTAAAACCAATACATTCTTCGCTATACACACAGAATCTAATAAACTATCAAGGTTTTGGAGGTAGGAAAACAATTTCGTTCATCCCGGATTTCCCCAATGTGTATACAAGTACATACGCTTGTGGTGGCACATAATTACGAAACACCCTGTACATCAAACAGCTCTCTAGATTACCGTAAATATGCATTTTATGTACTCATATAGACGTATAATAGGTAAGTACATATAGTATTTTATAACATGGGCAATATGTATGTGTTCTGCTTCTGTGACCGGATTTCGGTTTCCCCTACGAGGGCTGGTGATGACAAATTTTTTTTTTGCTTATCGACACAGCGGTTCTTTACGGGGTACCATAATATTATGTTATGCATCGCTTGAGTTTTATTAAGGGCGTTTTCATAAAAAAAAAAATCCCCCGAAAAAACCAATTGAAAGTATTTCATATATATATATTATATAAACGTAAAAAACATCACGCACGCATACCGTAATTTCGTTGTAAATTGGGTACGGCCCACGAATTTCGGTCGCGTTCAGAATCTCTCTAATTACCAGCTGTTATTATTATTTTCAACGGTTCGCTGACGAGCTATGGTAAAATAATAATTATTTTCCATCGTGGCTGTTTCGAAATTGTGTATAAGTGTACATATATATATATATATACGTACGCGAGTTAATATTATAAAAACGTTTATAGAAAACAAAAAAATACCATTATTTTATATTTTTAACGAAGTCTGGGGAGCCTTGGAGTCATAGGCGGATATTTGATCACATCTGTAGGCGGGCGGTAGGGCTCGGTATTTTTACCAATTTTTTTTCCTTTTATTTTGCTTCTGTAAAAACCGTGTAATTTTCGCAAAATAAAAAAATCTAAAGGCCTCATAAAAATCGAGGTACTTCCTGTGGTTTGATTTTAAAAATGTAAACATACAAGAGCTTATAAAATAGATCGAAGCGTATTTTTCAAACTAAGCGTTTTATTATGTATATAGGAAGATTTACCATTGAACATTGACAAATATATAAACGTTTCAAATGTTTTGTTCTCTCAGGTAATTTGATAAATTTGAAAAAATTCTCCGACCGATGAACAGTAAATTTGTTCGCGAATTCAAATAAAATATTTTCATTTTTAAAATCTAACTACTGAATAAGTACTAAGATTTTTGTCAAACGACAAGACATTCATTAAATAACAATCGTATCACTTTCCCTTAAATGGATATCATCTGGCAGTAGATTAATGGAAAAGTCTCATCAATAAGCGTGGTTATTCAAATCTATAAACATTTTTCGAATTTCATACATTTGGATTCCAACTCCAACAATCCCCTTAAAAAAATTGTGTAGGTAGTAATATGTATGGTTTATTTTTAAAACCAACAAAAACGCCATCATTATTTGTTATCAAAATGACCGACTCGAATAAAACCGTAAATTATGCGAACGAATATTGATAAAAATAAAATGTTTACGAAAAAATGTTTGGCAAAATTATTGAAGAACAACACTTAAGCCACCTTCTGTGGCCAAATCATTCTGAGTGGGTATATCCCCCGATATCCGCCTATGCTTGGAGGCCCGAAATCCAGAGAACCCTTATAAAGTTAGTCTCATTGAGAAAGATTTTTTTTTGAAAAAGTTTATGAAGAATTCCGTTTATAATATTCAATTACAATTATTAAAATTTCTATACCTGTGCTTCAGAAAAATGTTCGCTCGTTGCACATTTGAAAAAAATGAAAAATATACGTATAAAAAAATTTTTTTTTCTTTAGTTACAATTAGAATTAATATGAGTTTTGTTTTGCGGAAGATATTTCGGTTGTATAATAAACTTTTTTTTTAATCATTAAACACATAATTTTTCGAAAATTATATGTGTCGCTACATAAACGGTAACGGATCATTACACGGAAATAAAATACCGAGCTTGTGTAATGCGCAGTTACGAAAGATATAATTTATCTAAAAGCTATTGTTATCGTTGCTACTATAACTTCGTTAAATTTATTACCACCTATCGTATAAAATAATACTTCTGATTTGAAATCGAAATAAATTATCAAAAGAAAAAAAAAACCGCACCATTTGATATTAACAAAAGAGAGAAAAAGCATTTAAACTTTGATAAAAAGCAAAAATATGAAACTTAGGTATACACAAAAAAGAAAACAAATTGATTTCGACTATACAAATAAATAAATGTTTACGACTGCAATACATAAATCTATATCAAATATTTATATATGGTCTTACATCAAACAACAAACCCATAATACCTATTAAAAAAACAATGCAAAAAAAAATATGTCCTATGATATAGGGGACGGGTGCAGTCACTGTTATAGCTGGTATTTTAATGTATATCTGTTATCAACGATTAACCATTGCTAACGAAAAGACGATTCTGAGTGGAGTTCATATTGATAGTAATACTTTATCAACAATAACATATACCATATTATGATAAAATAATTAAATAGTCATTACATATTATTTTTAACAATATTTGTTTAATGTACCGATTTTCCCGATTTTATGTGAACATTTCTACCAGAAAGCTTACTCCGATGTATACGATATAGACCCTTTTCTGAGAGAAAATTTTCTTGGGAAGGTAATTTAGGGAGTTTAATTCTCAGGAGTTTTCCCAGCAAATACGAAAAACCGGGGGAAAACACGGGAAAATCGGATCAATGTGTATACTAATATTATTAAAGATATGTAATAATATGTATAATCGATGTGTAATGCCTATTTAATTATAAATCGTACATATAGGTAATGCATTTTAATATAATATTAGCAACGGATAGCAGTGAGCATGCAAAATCGTATTCGTAATTACACGAATCCCTGACGCACGAAACGAATGTTTGGCACACACGCTGTTGTTATCTGTACCCTATAATAATATAATAACAATAATTATTTTCAATGCAATACAGAATCCTCGAGTTCGGTTTATCATTGTGAATTAATATTAGTACGATAACGTTGGAAATCGCAGTAAATTAAATATTAGTAATAATAATATAATAATACGACGACGATGCGACCGGTCGAAATCGATTGCGAGAAAAAACGAACCGATTATCCGTATGTTTCCGAGTACGATAAATTATAACGAATTACTGTTAAAACACGAAGCCGATGCGTTTTAAAAGACATTATTTCGCACTCCTATAACTGTTCGTATGGCGCGACGGTACGAGACAAATACGATTTTGATGGAACGGCGCGATAACGGCGCGGTATCGGCGGCGCTTGTATATTCGACACGGTCGTAAAAATAAACAGACGAAATAATAATAGGAAAAAAAAAAATACTTAAAAACCGTTTGGACGTGTTAAATTGAAATTTTTTCCGGGAACGTATAATACGTATTATATTGGTAAACGAAAAGAGGGAAAAAAAAGAATCGACAATGGGTACACGGGCGATTCGTCTCTTGACCGCGGCGAAAATCCCGCGGGGTGTAAAGAAAAACCGCCGGCCGAATACGATAATATAACGAAGACGTTGACAAACACCGCGGGCGTTTTTCAAAAGTGTCCGGGAAGTTTGTTTAACCTTTTGCCGAGCCTTCGGCGGCGGCGACCAAGTATAGTATTACTCGTGTACGGGCGGCGATGACGGCCCGTCGTATACGCATATCGGGAGGAGAAAAAAAAAAAATAACAAAACGGATAAATAAACGAGAGAATGGTACGAGCGCGTAATGGGTTTGGCCGTTCGCAGCGGCGGCGATTTCCGATAGGAAAACCGGTAACCGCGCGCGAAGACGACACCTATAACCTTTTACGCCGCTCCTCGTTATAACATAGAGGGACCCGGTGATACTCGTGCCGCGCTGTTGTGTATAGACCGCGCACTTATCCGCAATTTACATTTTTCGTGGAGATAGTGAGGGGGGGAGAGAGAGGGAGAGAGAGAGAGAGAGAGAGAGAGAGAGAGAGAGAGAGAGAGAGAAAACACACCCGGTATTATTATACGCCGGGCGTGAAAAGGACGCGCGCGAAAATACCGGTCTTCGGACTTTGTCGTGTCGCGCGCTCATCGGTCTTCCGTCGGGCACGTATTACCGTTCCCGACTTTGAAACGAGGAGTCACGCACATCAATGGGAATCCTCTGATTGGCTTTTTGATTGTTTATCACAAGTGCATAACATCGACAACACGATTTCAATGATGATACTCGCAACAAAAACATATACTACACTGTAAAGTGTTTTTCACTATTAATCACTGCTGCAAGTGAGTCAATGTCCTATGTGTAAACCTAAATTCCAGTCAATGAAAAATCACGACGGGTTCAGATAAAGCGAGGGGAAACCAAAAAAAAATAAAATAAAAAACGGCAACAAATGTTTCGGTCTATGGTCGTAGGATTCGAGCCCGAGAACATTGATTATGATATTCCATTAAGTCACCGCCAGAACGTATATTTAGCCAAACAGAGGATTCGGTTTGCGCGAATGAGGCTCGTTTCAAGTAGAAAACGTTCATGCGCCTCCGGGGCGACGGCGCGTCCAAACCGCACCTCCGTCGCCGCCTCGCGAAGGATTCCGACAGTCCGAATTTCGATTCGACACTTGAATAGGGTCGCGGCCGCCGCTTCAAAGACGCCACCGCGTTTGGGGGCCTATGTTGTATTATTATAATTCACTATACGCATTACAATAATCGGGTTTCGCCGGAATCGAATTATAATAATATTGTATCGAATAGGGTACACCTACGGTGAAACCGTATCGTCGTCCGGGGATCGAAAGGGAACCGTCCGTCTCGCATAGGTATGATAATATTATTATGCACATTATGGCGTTTACGGTTATAGACAGGCCGCATTGTGTACACACAGGAAGGTTAGGTTTTGTACCTACGTATTATAATATAATATTATATAGGATGTCGTGCGGATGAAAAAAAAAAAAAAAAAAATTCTCTGGGTACGCTGTGCAGGATACAGTATATATTATATAGGTAGGTAAGTACGTGAATAGACTTTATTCGGAGGTATTAATAAAATATTATATAATGACGGCAGCGAAAAAAAAAATAATAATAATACTAATAAATAAAGAAAAGATTTATAGGTATCTACCTACCTATAGAGATACTATCCGCCTTCGAAAATAATTGCAAGTGCGTGCGTTTAGGTTTCCTCCGATTCACCGGCGACGACGCTACACACGACCGGCTGTATACGGTTGAAAATATGTCCCCGAGGGGATCAAATATATAATACATTTATACATACATACATATATATATATATAATGTATTATACAGGTACATTTTATTATAATATAATATAATAATATTGTTGTGTATTATTTATATACAGTAATACTATATTATTTATTCGAGATAAAACGTGTATGGAAAAAAATAGAAGAAAAAAAAAAACTGTATACAGTATAAGCTACAAAAAGAAAACAATGACTTGTCCGGACGGAAGAGAATCGATAAATAAAACGCACCTACGAAAAGGGACACACGAGGGAAACGACAATTGCTATAGGCGGCGCGCGTGTGTCGTACAATAACATACCTAGCGTATGTGTACACAATAAATTTAACGTGGCTTTGAACGGCGGAAATCGAAAGTCTTTGCTCGGACGATATAATAATAACGTAATGCACATATGTTTACCTATATATATATTAACGAGAGTGCAGTTCTCGTGCTGTGAGTATCCCGCCGAGACGTAAAAACTCGATCGAATTATCTCCGTGTAATATACGACGCCAGCCTATACCTACCTGTATATAATCGTCATGCTCTAAAATTATATAATTTTGATGAAAAAAACCGACAAAAAAAAAAAAAAAGAAGACCTGTAAGGAGTGCACTAAATATAGGAAAGAACCTATATGGATTGTTACCGTTTTGATAGTGAATGGCACGTTACTGGCGCGTTACTGAGGGGAGCGAGGAGGACGATCGTCCCCCTCCCCATGAGCCGTATGATGTTCTTTTTTGTCATAAAAAAATATCCATAATTCTTAAGTACAAATAAGTAAAAATGCAACTGGTTCCAAACGCTTTAAAGATGACTCCCTGGATCTTGGAAATACTTTGATTGAAACAAGAATCAAACGCTTCTCATTTATAAATTTCAATAAATATTATTTCCAGGGTGAGATAGAATTATGAAAAACTATGTGAGAACAATAAAGCAAAAATATAATAAAATAATATATGTATTTTTAGAATCAAAATTAGAAATGATTAATTTAATTTAAATTTTAGATTTTTAGATTCTGAGTGTAGCAAAGAATGTACCTATTTGATTTACATGTTTTTTTTTTTTTTTCTATAGTGTGACAAAAATTACTGCCAGAAATTTTGCTTCAATATGGATGTGTAGCACTTTTTTTGAAAGAAAATATTGCAAGCAGTTTTTATAATATCAGAAAAATCCAGGATAAAACGTGAGAAAAATAGGAAAATTTACGAAAATAATGCTTTTATTTTTTTCAATTTTGGTTTTTGTTGCAATTCAGTTAAAAATATTCGTAGAGACTTGAAATTTGGACAGAAAACTTATATTTATTTTCCTGACGTTGTAAAATTGTTGAGCAATTTATAGGCCTTTTTAATTTTTAATCCATCCATCGTGCGATGTATGTTCGTCTTTTTTTCTTATCAATCATTAATATTAAATTTAATAATTTTGCCCTCTTTCTCTTCTCATAATCAAGGTCTAGAGACGCCCCTGAAATGGCAATTATCGATTCGCCCGAAAGTGATAGAAAGCATCGACAAATTATGCTAAAAATAGATTCTATTATTTTTTATAATTATTTATAATTATTATTCATTATAATCGAACTGCCAGTGTTGTACACGGAATGCCGCGTTGTAGAAGAGTGCGAAAAAAAAAATTAAACTAATTAATGAAAATTCTATGTTTTTGAATCATATACGATAAAAACGAACAAAAATATTCATGAGCACTAAATACATTATGTAAAATATGCAAAATATGCAAACGAAAACGATTTCCACGTTAATTATTTGATGGGCATAAATTAAAAAACGTATAAAACGTATGAAATCACTGAAAAATTGAACCTTGTATGAACGCGCATTGTATTTTGAGTAATTACTCATCTAAATAAAAATCCATAAACGAAAACTTATTTGAAAAAGTTTCTAAAGTTTTAAATTATTAATAAAATAATAAAGTAAAAACAAAATTATTAAAATGATTAATATTCGTAAATAAATATATTATTAAAAAATAAATGAATGAATGAATGAATGCGTCGCCTGGAGTGTTATGTTAAGTGTATTGTGCGACCGGTTTCTAATTAAAAATTTATCGTCAGGTAAAATCACCAAGTCAAAAAGTAAAACGCGACTGAATATAAAAAAAATGAATAAAGGAATACATAAAAGAAAATTATAGAAATTGGTCGTTTTACATAGAAATAATTTATTTTAATAGGTGAGATTATTTAAAATAGGTTATTATTAGACATTAGATGTGTTAATATAAATTATGTGGTTATTATTTATTACCTAAAATGTATTGATATGAGATATTATTTTTAAAATCGGTTTTATACATAGGCAACTTGTAGCAAGGTTATAAGCTGGAACAGTTTTAAAGTTAATTGATGGACGAATCGGATTATCTTGTTTATGTAAAATTTTATGAATGGATATAAGTGCGGAGCCTCTATTTTGTAATTTATTTTCTAATAATATTTTTTTCGGACCTTAAGTATGATTTCTTTGTTATCAGTTTATTGATTTCTTTAGTGTAAATTATATTTAGGTCATATGTTAAGTTTTGAATATTATTATTATTCATAAAATCTAAAGTTTTTTTTTTATGAATTATAAAATATCAAAACTCATATTATTATTAATGCAGACTTACAGATATTAACTACCCAAAATAACATTTGCATTAATTCAGTTTTAGAAGAATTGTATATTATATACAATGAAATAAAGAAAAATAATTTTAATAATATTTTAAATGTACACAAACCGATCTTAAAAATAATATCTTATATCAATATATTTTAGACAATAAATAATAACCAAATAATTTATATTTCTTAACATATCTATGTCTAATAATAACCCATTTTAAATAATCTCTTCTATTAAATTTCTATATAAAACGACCAATTTGTATAATTTTCTTTTATGTATTCCTTTAATTTTTTATATTCAATCGCGTTTTACATTTTGACTGCGATATACCTATCTGATGAGGAATTTTTTATTCGAAACTGGTCGTATAATCATAATACTTATAATACTTCAGGCGACTTATCCATTTTTTTTTTTTTTTATTTGCAAACTTATTTACTATATTTAAATTATTTTCTACGTATTGTATATATTATTACTCGGAGAGATTTACAATCGATTACTGAAGACTGATAAATTTTCAAAATAAAAAACCCACGCCACGTGTCGGTTTTCTGCGAAAAATAATAATATTACATTATTCAATCGAGAACAATATTCCGTTCGACATGACGACGTCTGTCAAAAACATCGGAGCATTCTTATAGTATACTAATAAGTCACTGCTTGAAAGGTCTCTTGGTATATTGTTCGTTGTAGCCATTGCGTATAATTGTTTAGAGACAAGTGCATATTCAATTTTAAAAAAAGTAATCGATATATGAATAGTTTATAATCCTAAATTAGGTATTGAATGTGGGCGAAATTATCTGGAATGACAACACGCGTAATGGTAAAATATGGAGCAAGTTTAAATTTAAAAGTTGAACGGGCAAAATCTGGTACGGCAAAAGTTTTTGTCGTTTCAGATTTTGTTGCTTATGTTTCTGTTTCAAATACTGACGTTTCAGACGAAAATACTTTGAGTCCAGTTATCAGCCGATTAAACTTAATAAGTAGATATTAACTTAATGCTACACTTTTTTCCCAGTATATGCATTATATTTTTGAAAAAACTCAAAAAGGATTTAAAAATACGAAATCAAATTTTCATTCGTATAAAATTTATTATATAGGCTCAGATTTAAAAGTGCGATTCGCCAATAGATACTTTGTAAACAAATAAATAATTCAAATATTTATGAACGCTTACGAATATTGAACGTCCTACGTTAATCATCATCCGCAATAATTAGGACGTAACTATTCATCAAAAACCATCGCAATTATAGACCCGGTAACCGTTTTCTACATCGGTAGACAACATGTCCTCGACACGAGGACACAACGGTGATTTCACGATGTGACGGTTCGATATCCGGTCCTATCCGGTATCGTGCACATCTCATCAACGTGACCTTTTGTCCGGGTGGAAAATCGTTTATACGAAACGTCCGACACACGCCGTAGTGTGCACGTCGAGATTAAACGAAAACGGTCACGGGCAAGGTTTTCGATCCGAGACGGCCAAAGGCCGTGGGCCGTATCGGGTCTAATAGTCCGCCGCGTCTCGTCTATGTTCAGACGAATTTAGAAAAGACGCTAATCAGACACGCTTATTATAATTGCAGCGAGTATTGTTAATTTTTAAAAAAAAAAAATTATTTTTTTCAAGGAGAAATTTCTGACGTTTGTAAATTCTTTTTGTAAAAATGCGTCAACTAGGATTGGGAATATTCGGAAATGATATCGCTCGTTTTTTTTTTTTTTATTAAAATCAACGTCAATAATGCGAATTAATATTGCGGACATATAGAAACGTATTTTTTTTTTTTTTTTATGAATAAATTGTAAATAACGAATAAAATGACTTTATACATTTTAAAAACGTTTAACCGTGTGTGCCTTATATTTTAGAACGGACTAATCGAATAAAATATTATCAATAAATAATATTATGGTAATTTATAAATGTACAGAATAGTTTACGTGTAAATCCGACGAAATATCAAAAACATTCTCATCAAAAATATTTCATTTTTTTTTCCTTCACGACAAAATATACATTATCAATATTATGTGCGAAGTAAAATTTATAATTTGACGTACCGCGCGTCAGTTAGTTCGGTAACTGTGTCGGTGACGCGACGAGACCGCAACGCGCGCGACAGATGTTCGGGAGCCTCGTAATTTGATCTTTACCTCGCCCGAATCGATAATACGCATTATTGTGTTCGGCGACCGACCAACCGACGACGAAAACCATTTTAGCGACAATGTATATAATATTATTATTATTATTGTTGTGTAATTATTTTGTCAAAACCAGAACCGATCGCTTTTCCGCGTCGATCCGCCCCGTCGTCGGTAACTGTTCAATTTTCCCGTCCGGAACGGGAACAATATTGTGCAACCGGCACTATTTCTGTACGCGGGTCCGAAACTTGAACGCATATAGGAAAACGGACGAAAAAACAATTTCGGTATTAGTCGGGGAAAAAAAAAGGCCGCGGAAAGTCTTTGGACCAACTAAGGGGAAACTGCAATCGGAGAGCGGAGTCGGAAAGAAAACAGGGAGCCCAGCTATATCTTATAACGATAAGAAACGAATTTATGTGTGCTTAAAATCCGCAGGAAAAAAAAAAAACAAATGCTTAAATCGTCAAAAAAGAACTTAAAAATATTCAAAGAAGCAAAATAGTAATGGGTTTTTAAGCCTCCCACTCTAACGATTCTAACTCTATTAAATACAACTTTTTAACACCTAACAAATGATTAACTGAAAACATTTTTTCTTTTTATAACACTACGTACAAATATATTTGAAGAAAATTACTTTGTAATAATCGTTTTTTTAGTGTTAAAAAATTATTTTTAACAAGTTAAAAACAGTAGATGAGGAAACTTTTAAACCCCTCTATTTTTAAATATTTTTTAAGTGTTTTTTAAGGCTTATATGACCTTCTTAATTACATATAAATCCGTTCCCTACTTATAACGTTCGGTGAAAATAATAGTTTAGAGACCGTCAGAAAAGGATAACTGCAGTAATGCAAGTCACGGAAAATCGTACGTATATTACACAATTTGGCGATGAATAGAGGTAAGGTAGCTGGAGGATAGGTTGTGACACGGAATAGTCCTAGAGGACGAACAAATCTAAACCTGAACCATAATAATAGCAGTAACTTTATTAACTTGTATACGAGTACCTAAACAGTAAATTTAGCAATAAAATATACGGAAAATTCCATTTAAAATCGTGGAAAATCTGTACGCAAACGGTATACACTTTTTATTATTATTTTTTTTTTTTTGATCGGGGCGCCTTCTCATAATGTGGGAACCAGGGAATTATGTATTAGTGATGGGAAAAATCCGGTTTGTCGAAGTTTGGAAATCCGGATTCTTGAAATTCTGAATCCAAAATCTCTACATTGGATTTTGAAACATTGAATTAGTATTCTTTTATGTATTACTTGTATTAAAGTTTTCATAACTACACTTAGATTTTACTTTGGATTTTTTATGAAAAAAATTAATTTTTGAAATTAGAATACAGAAATCTCCAATGTTAAACCCAAAATTTGGATTTCTCAATCCGAAATCCGGACTTAGTAACTTAACATTCGAAATCCAGATTTTTCGGATTTGTTGATAATCCGGATTTATGTCACGTCACTTTTCTATAAACGGGTACTTTTACTAATATCATTGAGTATTCGAGTGTGGCGTTTTAATTCGACGCGAAATGCAATATAAATACCAATTATAATGTGCGACTATTATTGTCGGAAGAGAGAGTCTCTAAAACTATACAATAATAATCCGCCGGAAAAACTGTAGCGGAGCAAAGTTGCCGCTAATAAAAACGGATATATAAACGAGTTTTCGCACAAATTAACGGCAACTATATAAGTGTAAAGTTTTCGCAGGTGGGGCGGGGCAGAAGTTTTCGAAGATCGCATTCGGTGTAATCTAAAGTTTTTTGGTAAAATCTCAGAAATGTGTCTATCTATATAAGACCGCGCGGCATTAAGTGAATTTTCGGTAACGACTTTATAATATTATAATACGTATACATGTAATACACACTCGTACAGTCTTTGTGTTCTATAACTTCTCTATGCGCGTATACGGTACGTAACATGTGAAGTTTCTCGGAAAATAGTTGTAATCGGTTTATATGTAATTATTAACGATAATATCTCTAACTTATGTCCTCGTTTTATTGTCGTTCGCGGAACGGAACGCTATATATTATTATGCTCGGCTGCATCGGTGTAATTTATGCGTCTCGCACGCAGTATAATATGATAATAATTGTTATTGCCGAGAGAATTATCATAGTTAGTCGGAGACGAACCGCATACGCACCGTGTGAACACAACGAAGTGGAAGGACGTAGAGTTCTGTTTTGGTTCAAATATCTGTAGGGGCGATGGGGGAGGGTCGATGGTAAGGCGTGCCGATGGCGTGGAGCCAGAATCAAAGTCTGCAGAAGTATCGCGACGAGTTTTATAATCGGCAAAACAAATCATATTTGTAGGTTCTATTAGCGCTAATTTTCTCAACTCAAAAGCTATCATATTCTACGATGAGAACAATAAAATTAGAATGTTTTTTTTTTTTTTTTGAATAATCGTCCCCGTATAACGAGGCCTTTGAGAAAAACCGAAGAATAAATGATGGCGGTGGTGTTTGAGAGAATTGTACTCGGGATAATACACGGGCGGCCCCGTATTGGTGGCCGGAGGAAATAATTTACATAAAAACGAATTAAAAAATGTCGGCTAAATTTTAGTAAAGGAGATTAGAAAAACAAGACCACTGTGGACGGGATATACCAGGCGGAAACATGATTCGATGTTGAAAATGGCGATTGAAAAAGTTTTTGTTGGAAGAAAGCCTCCGGAAAGACTTGCTTGATTAAGATGGACGGATTGTGTTAAAAATCTTCAGATGACCACGTTTTGTGCAAAGTTTAAAAATTACGGGAATTGTTTCTAGCATGTGAAGCGAAATTTCGATACTGTTTTTCTGGACTGTAGAAGAGAGGCTACTGCGAAGAAAACCAGAAAGAGTGAGGGAGTGGAAGAAAAAGGGTCGAAAGGATGGAAAAACGAACGGATCCGGGGCGTGTAAGAGACATGACGTTTTCCTTCGCGGTCCAGTAGTTTTCGAATTCAATTTGACGGGCTAGCGTTCGTGTCTCGGACATCAAGTCGCACAATAAAGGTCCGTCAAAACACCCCGGCGATTATAAATTATTACGAGAGCCGTTAAGTTTTCGACCGTCGTCATTATTTGTGCACTCAAAAAGCTGAAAACACACATACATACACACACACACGCGCGCGCGCGCGCGCGCACGTTTCGGAATATAAAATGTTTTTGCGAGAGCCACTGATAAGGGCCCGAATCACGTTCGACCGCTCTTGTATGACTCGTGATTGATAAGCGTATTATTATAATATTATAACAACTTACTGTCTGTGTTGTAAAGCCCATAAAATATAATACCGTACACTATTATACTGCAGAGTCGGGATTTTCTATGGCATTTGCATATACCATTATTTATAAGATAAAGCTTAAACGAAAAAAAAACAACAACAACAACAGCGCATAAGCTTAAAATTTGTTTTACGATTTTACGGTACAGAGAATCAGAATTTAAAAAAATTGTGTTTCGCATTTGTTCGTATACTATTGAGTAGCGCGGTATAAGCTACTTTAAGAATTTTCCGGTGTCTGTCTGACCGTATTATCTGTCCGCTCTATCCCTCATACGGCTGCGCATTTGGGAGTGCGGTTTTCACTTAACGATTATGGTTTTAGGCTTCAAAGAAGGTCCCCGTTGATTTTCAGCCTACAATCGGTGGAGATCGAGAGCTCACCCCCGATTATTAAATTTTGTGTAAATTTATGCACTTATTTTAATATTTGTTTTATCTTAATTAAAGTGTGCAGCAGTGTTGGTATATTATATTATATGCAGTGTAAAATAAAAGCGGACAAATTAATTTATTTTTCATCCTCAACGGCGAAACGTACAAACAAACATATTATACACAATAAAAGCGTTTCAAACACGTTTATTGTTATAAAAATAACATGTATCAAAATAAAATTAAACAGAAACAAAAATATTATACAAAATAATATTTGAACATTTTTGCTATTTCTGCATTTTGTTTTTATTTTTTTTTAGCGCAATCAAATTCCGATCAGCCGTAGAGCCGTTACGCGTTATGCGTAATAATGTCGTCTGGTCGTTTTCGAAACCAGCAAATCGTTTATACAGGTACGTCACGCGATCGCGCCTATAAGTATATACGGCGGTAATCCGCGTCACCGAAAACAAAGGGAATAAAAAAAAAAATCGTGTTTTCCCCCTTGTTTTCGGGTTTATTTTTTTATTTTTTTATTTTGCACCTGGCGCCCGCGATTTAACGCGTAAACGAGCACACGCACGCGGTCCCGTTCGCAACGACGACGACGGGTTTGAGCATTTTTTTTTTATGTTTTTGTTTAGTTTTTTTTTTCTCTCTAGAACGGCGGAAAACTTTGTCGGTCCGATAATCCGATAACCGCAGATACCATTATATACCACGCGTAGGTATATATATTGCACCGGTGTACGTTATTCATATATTATGATTCACCCCTAGAACCTCTCCCTATACCACCCCACTCCCTGGGGTTCCAAAAACGGAATGAGCCGTCTCGTCGATCATTTGATCGATGTCGCGCTGGAATATTATTTTTCCGCCGTAGATACTTATACAAATGTTTTAACGTCCGAATCGACATTGTAATAATAATAAAAAAAAAAAAAACATGCTTTTTAGCAATCACGATTTAATGTAAGAAAAACATAAAAAAAATAGACAATTTCGATATAACATTATACTCGTGTGTACACAAAGTACACGCACGTTATGCATTTTTATAATATTGTAGTTTCCAAATGCATACAAGTATAGGTATGACAACAAAAAATGATATGAAACGACTTTTGAAGCGCGATTTTTGTTTTCCTTTCCGAATGTCGAGCGGATTTTATATTCTGAGTGAAGCGATTAATGTATTGGTTTTACAGTGATGTTTTTTTTTTATTTTCTGTAAACATTCTTCTACCAGAAATTTTTCTCCGATGTATTATCTGAGTGGTAACCAAACAGTTTTTATAATAATTGGGAAAAACCGAGAAAAATCATAGGGAAAACGGGGAAAATTTACGAAATGAGTTACTTTAAATTTTGTGTTTTTGTTGTGATTCAGTTAAAAATATTCGTAGAGAATTTAGTCAGAAAAATTATATTTGCCTTTTCTAGACGGGGTCTGATTTTCAAAATATTTTAGTCATTTTTGAGCTATTTATAGACATTTTAACTCTGCTATTTTTTACATGATTTTTATGCGGTAGGTACACTATGGATACAATTGTTAGACCAAACTTTGACAATTTAACAGAAGGTTCAGTATAAGTAGTATTTTGTGGATAAAAATAATTGAGTGTAATGTAGAATTTTTTTTTATAAGAATTTTAATGAAAATCGTGAGTACTATACGGCTTTTCAAAACGCGTATAACCGAATTCCATTCAGAATCGTTTTTCGTTAGCAACATTTAATCGTCACGTGTAGTTGTACAATAAATTTCCCTCTATAAATGCTACCTACTCTGCAACTTCTCGCCTACAACTACAGTAGCCCAGCCATGGTGCGAAGTACGTTCGGCTTTTTAGGTTATTGGTTTTAGACGGAGGTACGGGCAAAAAAGCAGTTGAAAACAACAATAATAAATAACGAATTCCGAACGCGATTAGCATATTATTATTATTGTGTATTTTTACTATACGCGTTCTTTCAAATACTATTTATATATTTTCAGCGTATCAATATAAACATTGTCGATATTGTACGAAAAATATTTTATTTTATTTTTTTTTACTTTTTGTAAAAAAACAACCTATTCATGCACTACATTCGAGCTGTATGCCTATCGCATATCATATGTATTACGCCTTCGAAACGTTCGTTGTGTTATATTATAAAATATGCGATAGGTATACACTATACATACATACGTGTGCGATTGAATTGACGAAAAATTCGGCAGTTTTCGAATAATATAGATACGGTGTTATTGAAAACGTCCAATTTTTTTTCCCCTCTCGAAATGCCCATTGCATACCTACTATAATATAATACCCGTATAACAGGGAACGTTATTCGCACGGACCTGTGTACGACACCCGACGGGTGACGGGTATTATAATATTACAGGAGACGCCTCCCGTGCGTATTATACGAGATTATACACGCCAATCGTATTCGAGCTACGGACAATAAAAATAGTATGTTCGGTTCGAAATACTGCAGACAAACATATAGAAAACGGGATCATCGCGATGCGCGCGAGCAAAATATAAGAAAAATACAGGCTGCTGCGTACAACACTTTTGTGTTATGCGCAGAAATTATTGTTGTTCCATTTATTTTCCGTCTAACTGCTGCGGTATCGTATGATAGTCGTGTGTCATTACAGTGCCATATTATACTACGGGAAAAAAACAGTCGACAAGTATAATTCAATGCGGTTCGAAACCTCGGACGTTAATTATATTATTCTGATAGCGTGAAATTATCGATCGATAATTATTATTCACAGCCTTTTGACTCTTATGGTATATTATAATATACGATAGCATAACAAAAAAAATTGCCGAAAAATAAAAATTGTTTTATTTCTTTATAAGAAAAAAAAAACTGCAATAATCTACAATATAATATATGTACAATGTACATATTTGTATAATATTGTGTCATCAGAACAACATAATATCATGATATAAAGAAAAACATAGTATAAAGGCAAAAACCAAATTTGTTTACCCATACGTTATTATAACTTTAGTACGGCGCTGCACATTTCAAATACGTAATAGTTACACATTGGCAATTCAAATATATATTTACGCCGCACACTGTGCAGAGGGTTCACTGAAAACTAGTAGTTGATTTGCAAAACCGTATTCTTTACTAGTAAAAACTAGTTTTTATTACTGGCATTTTTCGACGTTATATAAAATGACTCACTGTACACTGACAATAATCTATGAATATAATATAATATTATTAATATTATTAATATTATTATTATAATATTATATTATATTAAATATATATATATATATATATATATATATGGGGAGGACGGTGCTTAAAAATCAATTTTAAAGATATTATTGGAGCACCTTGTTATTTTTTTCCATATGCTATTGAAGAGCTATCCGAAAAATGTTTTAAAAGTAGCTATCAGCAGGTAAAGAATTTGACAATTATTGTCGAAAATACGCCTACGTAAAACGTAAAAACGTCTACGATTAATATTATTAATGGCCCATATTAATCCACATTATATATGGATAACTATTGTTCATAGTTTTTGGTCGTTACATGGTCTTATCTAAACGGTTAACGATTATTATCAGTTTAATACCTATATTACGATAATTCGGATATAATATAATATTACGGACGTTATGGTCGCAAATTCGTAATTAGTCGTCTTCGTCATCATTATTGTAATTGTGTTTAACGCTCGAAATTTCCATGGGTATTGATTTTTTTAAGTTAGTCAATTTCAATATTTAATAGTTAACTATGGCAACATGTATCAGTTTATAATACAGCTGTTTTGACGAGACAAATGATTCAAGTCTGGTTGTAGATCGATCACCTAGTTTAAGCGAAACTAAATTACCTTCAAAAAAAAGTTTATTTGTTTACCATAAAAATACTATTATGATAAATATTAGGGTTTCTGCGATAAATGTAATGGCAATTTGGGACAAGACTAGAATCCCCACAAGATTTCAAAAACATGACATAAATCAAATTAAAGGTGTTTTTATAGAAAGGCAAAAACTTAAAAAAAAAAAATAAAGAAAATAAAGCAAAATGATGGGCGAAGAGAAAAATCTCACTATGAACTTTTCGATGTAGCCCATGCTGATGCCTTAAATTTAATTCGTTATCCGGAAGATAAAGAATTTCTACTTTTGCAACAAAGAGAAGGGCGTCCTGGTAAAATTGTAAATATATTGATAAAAAAACTCATAAAAAGGGAAACTGAGATTAAAAAGAGAAATGGCAGTATCAAAAGAAGGCGGATGAAAGAAGACTGAATGTATTAAATCATTCAATGGGAAGTCCCAAATATTTCCTGTTCAAGCGAAGATGATATAGTGCCTTATCTGACGACAATACTTCTATTATAGAAGACCCGTCAATATCTAAATTACCACTAAAACAGAGAGGTAGAAAAAAACTTCTTGACAGTAGTTTGTAAAAATGTGGTTGTATTAAAATATTGATACTATATACTCATATATGGGAAAATTGATGGTTATACTTGATAATAAAAGATGTACATAAAATTATTTTTTTTTTTTTCGTAAACTAATAATTTTCAATTCTTGGTTGCGACCTTAAAAATAAAAAAAAATCTACGTTTTCGTAGAACGTAATAACGGACTGACACTAAAAGAATTAAAGAACGTTTTTCTGTCTTCCCAATGAGCATCATATAATACATATAACGACATCTAACATGGTTTTACATACATTATGTCGAAAAAATAAATTTTCTAACATCACCTGTCTGTACGCGTATAGAAATTCGCCGCCGATAAAACGTTTCTTTTTCTCTCTCTCTCGCTTGTAGAGGAATATAAATTTCGTCAGTAAAAATAACCCATAAGTACACATTATTTTAGAAAATAGAGTGTGTCGTTTTTCGTTCGCTCAAAAACAATGCGGTCTGTTTCGATGACTGACGAGTCCGTTACAATAAAATATACCCACATACACAATACAATATTATACTATTATAAGTGCTGCGCACAATTTTGTCCGGTTTGTTCGAAACGCTACAGTGTTTTTTTTATTTGAAATATATAATATATAATATATAGGTAGATATTGTGTATTCAAGTGTGAATCGTAAATCGTTTTGTATTTTTTTTTTTTTCGTTAAAATATAAAAAGTTTTAAAATGGCCAATAAAACGTACACGCGCACGCACATAATAATAAATTATTAGAAATTTCGGTTTTCACTTCCTCGTATATACGCTATACCTATACTACGCTATACAATTATATGCATATAGAAATGGACTCATCATCGCGATAGACGAATGAGTTTTTTAAAAATATACGCACTTTCATTCCGTGCATATAACCGTTTCCTAAGGGTATTTTTTTTTTTTTTTGCAATACGGTTATATAATTTCGAAGTATTTTCGTACACTTACGTCCGGGCGTCCTGAGTATATATTATGCAAATACTATATTAATGACAATTCGTGAGAAACTATGACTCGCGGATCAGTGTAGCCGATGTAGTATATATTATGAACATGGACGTGCTCACAGGGTATACACGGTGGCTCGTGAGCCGAAAACGAAATTTAATCATTCTGGGTTTTATTTTGATTGAATGCTAACCCACGAGGTATGAAAAATTGTCAATAAGTAATCAATAAATCAACCCGACCGGCAATCACTAACCGTAATATTACTTATCACCGTTGTGGATTTGAGGTTTATCGTAATATAGTGATAATATCAAGTTTTTTAAGTCTATAGTGACGAATAAAACCTATCGTAAAAAGATAGCTGGTCATTTTTATTTTTTTTTATGGTAATCTATAATCATGTTTTCGTGGGTAGGTAGTGAACAATATGATACAATATGATAGGTGTTTAATGAATTGATATTTTGCGTTCACTATGTGCTTTTTACAAAGGAAATTTAATGCCCACTTGAAGGATAACGGCCCATTTTCTTTATAGCACACCCTGCAGCAAGAAAATACTGTGCGTGACAATATATTTATAAATTATTTTTCTATAGTGATAATATATAAGTAATTTTATAATAAAATGATTGAATAAGCTTTATATATTTTTTTTTAATAAAATTTGTTTAATGTTATATCGATTTTTCCAATTTTCTTACAGTTTTCCCGGTTTTCTCATGTTTTTTTCCGGTTTTTCACATTTTCTGGAAAAACTCTTTGGAAAATCGAAAAATTATCGTTTTAAAAATATCTCGCTAAATTTCCTTTTAGAAACATTGCTGTTATTACAATTTGGAGAAAAATTGCTGGTACAAAATTTGTGCACCGAAGAAAAAAGTCCGTAATATATTTTAACTAATACCTACATTTCACATATTTTCCCGTTTTTTTTTTTGGTTATTCAAATTTGATGAGAAAATCGAAAAATGACCTTCTTAAACCTTCTCACTTCTATTCCCTTTCAGAAAAGGTGCTACACGTAGATATCCGAGCAAGTCTTCTGGTAGAAAAGTTGCGTACAGATAAAAAAATAAAAATTCGTAATAAGTAATAACATAATGTGTAATGTGTAATAATAAGTATAATTAGTCGATAATATGTAATAATAATTTTATATTCATTGTACAAATAATATTTATTTTTTAATTTCTATTATCCGAACTTTCGCTTATCCGAATTCGGTGTGGTCCCAATTAATTCTGATAATCGAGGTTCTACTGTACGTAAATTCGACGGGTTATAAATATTTTTTATCGGGTCAACACTGATATTTTAATATCGTTAAAATGTATATGATTCCCGTATATTGTCATGTCATTCATAGTATTTTTGTATGTATACATACATACGATTTCGAGAGTTTATAATAGTATTAATAACGGAGAACCAATTAACAAATAACGATAACTACGAAATAAAAAAATGAAATCCTATTCAATAATAATTATTACCGCAAAAAAAAAAACAAACTATAATACTCAAAGCACGGCACGATGATCGCCAAATAACCGTAATATATCAAACGAATAACCACGAAACGGCAGATAATAATTTACGAGAACTAGACGGAAATAATTCATCAATTTAATATTTTAATCGTTAATAATGCTGATAAGTATAGCTAATGTATTTAAGGTATTATTTCTGCTCGAGTATACGTTTACGATGTCGTTGTTAGATTTTAACATAGGTAAAAAAAAATTGACATCGCTCACGGGCAGGCTACTGTTGTGTGTGGATAATTGGAAAGTTAGAATATACAATTTATATAAATCATCGTAAATGAAAAAAAAAAACGATTTTGAGAGGATGAGTAGTATTAAGTATAATCGTATTTTTTTGCTTTTCGGCAATAGGAAACCCAGAGATCAACAATAATATCAAACGACAAAAAAAAAAAAAAAAAGGTTTTATAGGAGGTGAACTGTTGAAAATGTCGACACATGTTTCGAATAAAGTACCGCCGGCACAAATCCCGCACGTTTTAATAATGCCATTGCAACACTAACAGATCGGAGCATTTTTACTAACGGTTAAAACGTTTTCCGAGAGAATAAAAAAAACACATTTTTATAAAACTACAATGTGATAATGTGCTTCTTCGTTATGTTCAGAATCTAAAAAAGGTACAAGTTTAACAATGCGTGTAGTGAGTACAATTAAACATGAATATAATATATTTACAAGAAAGACAGATTTGTATTTATTAGATATAATAAAGGCAGATTTATTAGAAAATATACAGTTACTGAATGTCCTAACACTGAACGAGGGATTATTGTAAGGTCATCGTTTCAATGGATGCGTCAGACGAGATGTGGAATGTGAAAAGGAACCAAAGTAAAAATAAGAAAAATAAACGCATGTTCAAGTAATAAAAAAAAAAAAATAAATACCGATTTCACTCTGTATTATTATAGCTACACAGAAGATTAAAATATAGGACTTAGGTACAACGATTGTTATTATAACGGGCCGAAAACCATTTACGGTTAACTATTATTTCGATACCTACTATGCGCCGTATAGTGCAGCAGCAACAGCAGCAGCAGTAAAATCGAGGGGCGCCGATATTGTTCCTGCGGGTGTCGTATAGTAATTTATTCTCGATACGGGCTCGAAACGACTGCAGTGTCCTTTGCGATGTTCGAGAACGCAAACACAATACATTATGATGGCATTCGAACTGCCCGACGAGTGTCTGCCCGTACCGGGATGTATGTTTTATGTATAGAGAGGTATCCGGTCGAAATTGACAAATCCCCGACCCCCGAAGTAGGCGGATTTTTAATAGAAAACTGTACATAATGGGAATGTTCGGTGTGCAGGTATATAATAACGGCCACGCGTAGTATAGGTACCTATTTTTTATTGTATTTTATATTATAATACGCCTAGGCATGCTATGATCACGGTGTTATCGAGCGGTAATTCGATTAGTACGTATACGAGTCGTCCGTATTGTAACGTTTTACGTATACGTAGGTAATACCTATTTATAGGTAGATAATATACGCGACATTATTAATGTCTGTCCTAGGTATAAACCTCTAAGAAGCCATCTAATAACCCTATATGTATGCGCATCTATTACACCGCTACAATCCGAGTATGTATGTATATATATGTACAGGTGGTATACCTACGCTTAAACATTAATAATAATTGACTAAACCTGTACCTAAAATGTGTATACGTACATACATAAATACATAAATGCAGTAAGGCTAAGTACTATACGTAAGAATGCGCGCGTCAATACTTATATATATAGTTGCTGATTTCGTGAAAACTTTATTGGCATTACACTCGCATGTGCAATTTAATATAGAAATATAATTTATAGAAAAAAAAAAAAAAAAAAAATCGTCAACAGGATAATATTCGCACGAATAACAGGATTTCGATCGGTGCACCGCGCGAAATTGCGATATTATTTTGCCAGATACCATCCACATACCTGTATCGTATTTCTACGTGATTCGAAAAATGTTCGTAGAACTACAATTGTACAAACATATCAAAAATTAGACGAATTCCCGACGGTTTTTTACAGATGAAAACTGAAACATCGTACCGGGATCGTATCAAAGGCATCGCGGTCTGTAGTCCGGTAGCGTCCGGACGGCCACTACACCGACTTTTCCGAACCGCGGTTATCGATTGTGAATTTTAAAACGATATTCAATTCCTAAAATTCATCGTCATAAAAATTAGAATGCAAAATATGTACACAGCTCATACTGCTAATGGGCGCGTCGCTGTTGTAGGCGAGAAGGTTAAGAAGGTAGGATACATAGTATAAAATGATTTAATTTATGTTTGTGCGCAACGATAAATAACGAAATACAATTTTGAGTGAAATTCGGGTAAACACGTTTTGAAATGCAGTAAAATTTAAATTAGTATATGAAAAAAAAATCTACTATATTACGTTTAAATTTTATTTTTATAAAGCCTTGATTAACTTGGTTTGAAATATTCAAGCATTTCCGCTCGTCGTTCGGTCAAAACAATTGTATTCACACATAATATCAAATAAAACAACTAAAACTACTAGAAATCGTCAAATGTCTATAAGCAAATAAAAAAATCGCTGGAATGTTTTGAGCTTTGTCATCGTTTAAAAAATGTTTAATATTCTGTGAAAATGTCAGATCTCTACGATTGTTTTTAACCGATTAACAACGAAAAAAATGATATCCTATTAATGTACCGGCTTGATCCAACCGTGTCGTTTTTTGAATGGAGGAAGATTTCCGGTAAAAAGTGATTAATAGACAGACACGGGGAAAAAAAGGCACACACATTATATAGTAAAACCAATATGCATTCCTCGCTGCGCGCTCAGAATCTAAAAAAGGAATCGATACTCCCGTAATTGTATATGGGTGTTTAAAAAATAAAAACAAAAAACGCACTGAAATCGACAACACAAAACTGAATGGAATTCAATGTGTAATTACGATTCTGTGTAAATGCCGTAACAACGACTATTCGTTGTCTTTTTCCTCCCCCCCCCCTCCTGTACCTCACGATAAATTAAATAAATAATATGTCGACGTTGTTTTAGCCATATATATATATATATATACGTCGGTGTGCCCATACATTATAATATTTAATGTAAAAAACGCAAACAAATACGAATTATAATGGGATACGTTACACGGCATAGAAGTGTTTAATATTTATTTAGTTTTTTTGTTGTTTATCTAATGTCCATAATGTGTAAAATTCTCATTCGTCCATAATAATAATCAATAATATTACCTATATGGACTATGTAATATCGGCGGGCACGATATTGTAGTCACACGGGGCGGCATTGAAAATGTATTTTAATCAATTTTTTCCGCTCTCCCCCCCCACCCCCGCCCCGTCGAACGTATAATAATAATATTGAGATGTAGAGATACGGGGGAGGCGTTGGGGAAAATGAAAATAAACCCTCCGAGTTAAACCGTCGTAAAGATACCGCAGCGCGAGCAGATATTTAAAGTTTAAAATAAAGCCATATTATAAACCGAATCCAGCTTATTATATAATAATAATAATATGACGTATATATATCCCCATACCTGCTTGTATAATGTTATTATACTATTTTACGTTTTTTTTTTTCTTCGGCGGTTTCATTACCGAAAAGATAAAATAAATATATTATTTTTTTTCTTTTTGCCGAACGGAGCGTATAATATGATATTTCAAATCCCGCGGCCGCAATAATATTTCGATCGCTCTATTATAATAATATTATATTATACGAAAGCACGTATCTCGTTATATTATTTTATAAATTCGTATTCGTATAGCGTCATTATATACACAATATATAATGTGTATTATGTACAATACCTACTTTTATAAAAACGTATTCAATCAAATTGTCAGTCACACGACCGTGTTGTATAGTTTTGTAGTTTTGTTATGCGGTACCGCGCACACACACATACGTATGCGTACTGCGGTCATATCCGGCCGATTATTTTCGAATATGGTAAAAAAAAAAAAAAAACCGATTCTGGTTGAGTGAACGGGTGGAAACCCTATCAGAATACTATTATTATGGTCGTGCCGGCCGATTGTGTGCCGCGTAGTTATAATATTATATATTTTTGTATCGAAAAAAAAAGTCCTATACGAAACGCATTATACTGTAGAACAATTGCGTTGTACGGAGTATTATATAGGGAAACGACGATGATGGACTTTTATTTATTCCCATCGCCCCGTCGTCGAAACGTATCCTATCTCTAATGGAAACAAAAATTTAAAAAAAAAAAAATAAAATAAAAAAAAAAATACTTATTAAAAATATGAGTATTTCCATTTGCACGTGACTCGCAGTTGTCGCGACGCAAACGCGGTGAATTCATTTATTTTTTTTAACCGGGCATGTAGGTATATATATATATATATATATGTATATTTCGGTGGGTAGGTCATACCATTGTCGGTGGGAATAGTTTAGTAGGTATGGAATAAGGTAACTCGATTTATATACCAGAAAGCGACGAATAAAAAAAAACGATTCTAACCGTGTACGATATCCTCCTCCCCTATAGGTAACACGAAAATCAACAGAAATAAAATCGACGTATCGTCGTCGCCGTTTGTTATCGGTTAAAAAAAATAATATATATATATATATATACATATACAGGATTAGACAAACTGACGGGAATCTGGAAAATTTGTTCAAATAAAGTACTGCCGGGAGAAAAATCAGCTTCCGAGATGAAAAAAAAACATACACACACACACATCGTACAATAAAAACTAAAACCGATATATTTTCGTCAGACTATTGATACGTTTTTAACCACATTTTATGTTTCGATAAAATGTCGACAGTTCAAAATTCGTTATTTTTTCTCCGCCAAACTCGCGATTTTGAAATTATTTCAAAATATATATATGATAACGCTTATAAAAATGTTTGTCTACTAATAAGCTATCTTATCAGTCTCGTCGAATAAACGCGTAAAACGCGCAATACCCGAACGAGTTTCTGTTTGGCACCTATTCGACGACGTTATGTCGACAGAGTGGTAATCTCCGTACAACCGAGTCACGTAACTACGCGAGAGTATATTATATTATACCGTTTTTAGATCCTGAGCGAAACAAGGAATGTATTGGTTTTACTATGATTTATGTGTTTTTTATTTATTTTTGGTGTCAGAAAGTAACTTTTCTTTCAGAAATCTTGTTCCAATCGATAAGGTATCAACTGAAATGCTCAAAATCGATCGCACTGGTTTATCGTTGAGCACCGGCGGAGGACATGTGCGCCAAAATAGGATGAGAGAAAAAAAATCGTATCGTACAAAAGCGCACACGTTCTAGTGCCACGGGTTAATAGATATACGAGTGTACTACAGTAATAGATGCATTTATATTAACCGTGTCTGTGTGATATTAAATTTAGAACTATGTATTATCGTTCAAAAATTCCAAACGTTTAATCTTAATCGACAAATTTATCATCTGATATTTTTAAAGATCGAAAAAAATCAACCAATTTATTAAAATTATAATTATTTCGATTTATTTTTATGTATATTTTATCGGTTATTGGCAATTTAAAAATTTATTAAATACCTACTTATATAAAACATTAATTTTGGCGCAAATGATACGTCATTTTTGCACCTCTGGCGATTATGTCATATAGCCGTTGAGCACAGATATAAATTAAAATGCGCTATATATATCGTCCCTACCCACTTTCCCCTTGAACAGTGGCGTACCCATTAGCGATATCTGCATTATCGTTATTTTTTTTTTTGAAATTATTTCGTTCGCTCGTGGCTGTGTTGCAGGTACAATGAAATATGTTCTGTTGTACACGGTATACCGCATTAACAATACAATATATTATCGGTTTAGAAATGATACTTGAAAAGCGAATTACGCGATAGATATACGGAATTTCATTATTTCGCCTTTTTATCGGCGGTAAATCGTCTTAAGAGGACAACATAGCAAAATTACATAAATTGTGTGGCTGTCATTTCGTTTGTAGCATAATTTGTTTTGAAAAAAAAAACATCTACGCACAGTAATCGCAAGTACGCACCCACTATAAATGTACCAGGTTTATACTCATATTTCAACCTAAACGCCATAATTTACGTTCTGTAAGCAACGTGATTTTGCCCACAAGTCAGTATATAATTGTACGGAAAACGGCCGCCGCGGAATTTTATCCGCTCGATCGCGATTCGCGCGTTTAAATAGGAGTAGGTTTATTTTTTAAAAATAATATTACTATGCCGTCCGATTAGAGAGCAGAAATAATAAAAAAAAAATAATGATAATAATACCGATGACGCTGAGACGGCGATAATAACGAATTCGGTTTTTCGGCGATCGAATTACACGGTCGTTATAAACATTATGGCGGTTTTTTTTTTCGTCTAAAAAATATAACTATGCCGTCCGATTAGAGAGCAGAAAAAAAAAAATAATAATAAACGTAATATAACGAGAGAGAACACAACGAATCTCGGTAATTAAAAAAAAAAAAAAAAATAATAATAATAAATAGGCTTATACACACGCCGCGGAGGACATATGTGGTAGCAGCCGCGCGGCAACCGCGTGACGCCATTATTATTATTATTATTATTATTATTGTTATTATTATTATTTTCCTTTTTCCCCTCTCTCTCCCCGTCGATGCACCGCAGGTGAATTCCCAAATGCGCGCGGTACGTTCGCGTTTTGTGCCATGTGATACTATTGTGTGCGGTTTTTTTTCATTCTATTCCTGTTGCACAACACGTATTATTATTATAAGACCCGCAGTGCGGACGCTGCAGCGTGCTGACGACGCATCACGTGTCAAAAGGCCTAGACGTCGTCCGGGGTAGGGAGGGGGGATAAAAAGAAATAATAATAATAATGATAATATTAAAAAAAAAAAAAAATCAATAATTTTTCTTTTTTCACTTTATTTCACTTTACTTTTAACGCGACCCGTCAAAACTTTTCAGTCGATTCCCGTCGTCGGCGGCACGGCGGCGTTGACAACCACCGGGGTACGGCGGCGGAGGGGTCTTTCGTTATTTTTCGAAAATTTAACGCCCACCCGTATCTATGTATATATACTTTTATTTACACTACACAAGGGATAAAAAGAAATAATGAAAAAGTAAACGTTGCGGCGTTGACACGGGGTAAACAAAGTGAAAGACCCCGAGATTCGATCTTTTTAAAAACCTCTCGGCGGCAGTGGGATAGAGAGGGTGGCGCGTGACGGCGAAATGAAGAAGTTTTTTTTTTTTAAATATTATTACTTTATCGCCTTCGTTGTTATTATTATTATTATTTCGAAACAAATCGTTTTTACTACACTATACTCGAGGGGGTCGGACGGTTTTAACGTCACCGTCATCATCGGTAAACACTCATAATATATTATTTATGTATCGTATAATATAATGTAAAATTAAAAAAAATATATATACATATAATTAAACCTCTCCGACGCGCGACACTTCAGCAATAATACCGCAAAGCGCTGCAGATTCACAAAAAAGGATTTTAAAACCGTATTATAATAACGATTTATTTAAGAACTATTTGTATATATTATCATTAAATAAGCTTATCTCCCGAAAACAGTATAAAAATTCAATGTCGAGCAACCGTATAAAAATTGAAATTTAAAACTCCGACTTCGAACCGTTTCATCATTTCGAATCTCCGCCGTGCCGTTTTCTTATAGATTTCGGCCGCGTGGACTCGTAAAGCTGATAATAATTCCTCTCGCGGTAACGTGCAGTTCTATACACAAAACGTGCAGTTTGAAATGGAATTTTGTGTAGTTCTAAGAAAATACGTGCTATGAATTGTTTTCTTCGGAGTAATAGCAAAAGAAATAACACAAAAAGCATCATAAATATTTTTAGTGGAGATGAGTGTTTCACGAAGTGATTGTACAAAAAAAAAAAATTAATTTTGTCGTGCTCAAAATCGAAAATTAAAAACAGAACAATGCGAAAAAAGGTCCATCGATTGAAATATCGTCCAACAGAATTTCTTTTCCAATGATGCCTTTTTAAACGGGACGTGATAGAGTTCAAAAAGTTTTCTTAAAACAGCGAGGTTCTGCCGCTCAAAACCATAAAACGAGCGGTAATTGTTTTCGGGCACACAAAAACGACACGTAGATACCAGCTGTATTTGTAAATTATTGTCTGTGTATTCGATAGACTCGTCTTTCCCGGACGAGGACAGTATACCTGTATAATAAACGAATAAATATCAAGAAAAAAAAACGTTATCGTGGGTGTACACGCGTATATAGGTATTAGGTACACACAGATAATATTTTATACACAGTTCGTCTCATTGTCGTCCCAACAAAGGTGAGTCGGCGTAAAACTAAAACATATAATAAATATAGGTATGGGAAACCTGGGTAAGTTGGCCGCTCTCAAGTTAAACACACCGTAAAGGTATTAAATTCAATGATAAATATGCATATGTCTTATACATACGTGCATTGAGAAACTTCTCGAAATCGTTACAAAGTACAAATTGAATTCGAATTCGTTTTCGAACCGCGGTTAAGAAAACCGTTTAATTGAAAAAAAAAAAAATCCTTGATCTAACTCTCATTCCTGGATAAGTCGACAGTTGACTGGGACAGAATGGCACATGGAATTTACTACACACGTATTTTCGTTATTTATAACAAATTATAATATTATAGTAGGTACTATTCATAGGAGACCGTTAAAAACTACTCAGTCACAACGGTTTGTTTTATTGTATAACGCACGCATTATATTACACAAATATACATAATTGTATGCGTATTATTATCTATAATGTCTTATTACCCGCGTCAATTTGACCCGATAGATAATTTTCAACACAAGATAGTACTCGAGTCATTTCAACTGCACGTATAACGCAGATATAATAAGTGTACACTAATCCGTAAAATAGTCGTTCTTTTAACCATAAAGGCGTGTTTACGAGAGGGTGGGCGCAGGGCAGACAGTTGTGCCGCCGGCGAGATTATACGCTAAAGTGTTTTACGAAAATTCAATACATAATTCATAACGTCAATTATTTATTTACACTAATGTAATAAGTAATATTGGTCAAATAAGACATATATTGGGTGATAATTTATTTTTACGTTATCACCCGATAATTTTTATGTTCGTATACGATATTTGAGTGCCACGAGTTCTCACTTGTCCAGTGAACATCCCTGAAAAATACTGGCGCCTGCCCCTCGAGCCATGAAAGTCTAAACCCGCCTATACGTTCCTATAACGTTGTTCTATTCGTTTCTTGTAAAATATCAAAACTCGGCATAGGTATAGTCATTGTATATCAATTCGTCGTATCTGTACCTTGACTAGTCATCTTACCAATGTTTCCTCCCTACAGGCCCTACACAAAACGGAAATATTAGTAACTGTAAAGCTCGTAAAAGTCAGATGTCGTTGTTGGTAAAAAAACTGGTAAAACTCTAAAACAATAACAAATGCCCCTCCCTCCTCCCTGAAAATGGCACTTAACCATAGGAAATAGTACAGTGTGACTTACTGAAATATTCGCGAAATATAGACACGATCGCTCGAAATTCGCGGATTGACCGGAGATAACAAACTGATAACGTGTTAAAAATTATTGTAGGTATGTTTTTTTTTTTTTTTTTTTTTTTTTACCACGAATTTGTCGTCACGGGCGTTTTTATCGCCGCGGCTACGGTTTTTGTAAAATACACGAAGCAACAGCAGCTGTGCCGAACGTGACGCAACGGCAAAACGATATCATATTCGGAAATTCTATATAAAATAATAACGCGTTCGAAAACACAGCTCGGCACGGTTATAACCATTAACCACACTATTATAAATATATCTACGGAGTATGCGGCGATAATGTGCCCGGCTGCCCGAGCCGCAGATGGTCCGATCGTTGGTTTCGCGTGATTATCGTCGGCGTCGCCGTGGTCGTATCAAAATGTGGAACTCGTTTATGTGACTTATATAATAATAATCTACAAATACCTATACTTGGCCGCGTAATACGGTCACCGGGGCATATTTTATGTAATTTTTCGTGCTGCTAACTTTTTTTTTTATCGGCTCCGAAATACTGATAAACCGATTGCCGAAATCATTGAAAACCGCTGTTCGAAATACTTTTGCGGATCAACTATGTCAAAATCTTTATCGTGTTAGGTACATTATTTTTTTTTTTTAAAAATTTCGAACGCTGAAATATCTACTATTATAACCTTTAGTCATTGTCCATTTACACGCGTTGGATATCGCGTTCCATATAAAAATAAGCCTTCACGATCACTCTGTATATACGATTGTAATTACGCGAAAAAAAAAACAGACGCCCATCACGGGGCGGCATCGGTAGGCACGCGGAGAGAATAATAAAAAAAAAAAAAACCCCGCTACGAACCTATGCTGCAGGATAATTATTGTTAATCCGCTGGACGTCGATTTCCGAAATATAATTAATGCCATAGCGTTTTTTATATATATTTTTCCGCCTCCTCCCCCCCTCCCCCCCGATGTTTTGTGCCGCGGAATTATTATTTAAGATGAGTAATGTATGTGTTGGGGTTCTATTTTCTAGGTTTTTTTTTTTTTACGCGCACACGACGTTTATTATATTATTATCCGAAATCGCATGCATTATATCAATCAATATATCGCGACGAAACGATTTGTTTGGTTTTGGATTTTTTTTTGTTTTTTGTTAAATTGAGAACTGTCAATCATTCATACGGACGGACGGTTTTTTTTTTTTTGAAACAATTGTTTTACGCGACACGCGTTTAATAATAATAATAAAAAAAAAACACCCCATTTATTCGTATCATATATACGAAAACAAACTCTTTATTTTAATATACATATCCCACCAAATACATAAATATTGTACAAAAATATGACGTTTAAAAATGCTCGACGCGATCATGGCGCGCCGCCGATGACTGCTGCAGTCAATAACCGGATTTCGAATTTCTACACGAGTACTACAGTGATATATTTCGCATTTTGTATGGTTTTTAAACGAAAAAAAAAAAATTATTCCATAAAATATACTATATACCTGCAGCGCGATTCATTCAAACGACATATTTCAGACACACTGATGGCGGTGGTATCACTGGGGGGGGTTGTAGGGAAATCGAAGTTTCTGAAAAACTCGTTTTATTTTCTTCGAAAAATCGTGAATAAATCGTTTTTTTTTATAAAATTTAAATGGCTTTATCTGAATTAAATTTTTGAAATTACGAAAAATCGTCCAAATTAAAGCTGTTCGAAAAAAATATATCTGTAGAACCTGTAGATTGTTTTAGAAAATAGGCGCAACATACGCCCCTGTTATCCAGTGGCACACCCAGGCGGGGGTTTTGAAGTTAAAGCATCCCCCCCAAAAATTGTTTTATATTATATAATATTATTATTATTGTTACAATAATAAAAAATGTTTTTTTTTTTTATTTGATTATTATTGAAAATTAATTTAGATTCTAAGTGGAGTGAAGAAGCTTATTTTACAAAGATGTTTATTTTTATTTTTTTTCTGTGGACAACTTTTCTACCAGCAATTTTGTTCCAACTTTTAATGATATCAATGTTTCTGAAAGAAAATTTCACTGGGGAGGTAATTTAGATGTATTTTTCAATTTTCCTTGGAGTTTTCTCAACAAATGTGAAAAACTGGGAAAACCCGGGAAAATCGATACAACATTAAACAAATATTATTAAAGGAAATATATTGAGCCTATTTAATTATTTTACTATAAAATGGCATATATATTGTTGACAAAGTATCACCATCATCGATTCTGAACTACGCTTAGAATCGTTTTTTCGTAAGCAATGATTTATATCGTTGCTTACAGGTATACATTAAATTACCTATAACAGTGGACGGCTGCACCCGTCCCCGTTATCTTAAAACGTCTTTTTAGATTTATACTAGCGATTACATCGGATCGTCACCCGTCGTCTTAGATCGATAACTACGATAACAATAACAATTTTGACCGTTGTCTGCATAACATTAGGCTGGTTAGGTGCCTCGTTAGTCGTTGAAAAAATGTTTAAGCCCCTCTCAAACGAAAATCCTGTGTGGCCGCCCGATATCAATTCGACGGCCGTTTCTTATTATGATCCGATACGAAAATAATGTTTGTATTATCGAATTATTACTGCGAAACTGCTAGGTTTTTCAAAAATCGACATTTAATAAACTGTCAACTTAATTCGCAATGCTATAAAAAAAAAACCTCTTATGAAGTTTTCGATCGAATCGAGGCTCCAAGTGAAGGACATTTAGTTTATGGAATCGAAATGTATAGTACGCACTGCAAAACAATTCGGCAAATATTTCGTTTTATTGCTTAATACATGGTCGGATGTAATATTATAATAGTGCGCTCTCCGCGGACCAGTTAACTAATTTTTTACCCTCCCTCCAACCACCCCTTTGATTCCAATCCAAGGCCGACCGTTTGAAACACGCTGTGTATATCGGTGCATATCATATTATAATAATACGCGCTGTTATACAAACGATGAAAATAGCGGCTGTTTCGGTTTACTATACCGAAAATTCAATATTTGAGAAGTGCAATTTGTTTGCCGCCCTCGTATATACGACAATAATGATATGCCAGTGTTTGTGTGCGACGATGTCGAAACGTTATTGATGTTTTAAGTTATGTTGTGTACGGAAAAAAAAAATCAATACGGTGTATATATTTATGTCGGCGGAGTGTTTCTAACATTCAGTTTGAATGTCTAATATATTATAGTAAAAACAATAAACCTTTTAATGATTAAAAAAAAAAAAAAAAACCGACATAATATTATACTCTCGCCTGTAAAAAAAATATAATGCACACAATATTATAGTGCACCTACTGCGATACTAACCGATTAAATTTCGTTTCGAATGTGCACCATGTATAATATATAACGCACTAATAACGAATCGCGCATACATCATCGCGTGCAGTTAAATTTAACTGCGGCGTTGTAAATATTACGTCTGCGAGTGTATAAAATATATTATATTATTGTATTTGTACCGTCGTCGCCGTTTTCGGTGCGTAATTTTATTTGAACGTAATAATAATAATAATAAAAACTGCACGGACGTAAAAAAAGGAGGAAAAATAAAACCGATGTCCCAATGCACCGGCTATAGACGAAATAATATCCTTTCAGAAAAGTTGCTACAGTTGAAATAAGTCGGGACAGGAATTCTTGTAGAAAAACAAATAGTCGAGTAAAATCGAAAAATCACGAATCTTTTATTGTAGTGAATTTGTCCATTTTTTTTCCCCCGAGGATCCAAAATGCCACGGCCAAAAGGCTTTACCGTCATTTTTTTGTTCGGAGCGAGATTTCTGGATGAAAAGTCGTTTTCGTACAGAGAAAAAAAATCCATCTTAGTAAAATCAAATAATGTACACTCGTCGCCGCGTTCAAAATCTAAAAATTCCCCTAATCAAAAACAATAATAATTTCGGTAACAATAATTATCATTATTTAAAAAGGATTTGTAATCCTTGGCCCAGCCGCCGCCGCTGAACGTGAGACAGCATAATTTAATTTAATTTCCGAGACTCGCTCATTCGTTGCAGTTGTACACTGAATAATTATTTACATATTTGTAATTAGAATTTGTATACTGCATAGTCATAGTCAGTTTGAAACAATAATACAAAGTTTAAAAAAAAAAAAAAATAATAATTTTTTCCACGAGTTTTACAATAATTATGTATAAAACGAATTAATGTAGTACAGAAAATAATTATAATTCAGTAAATAATATTCGAATTCGTATATTATCGGTACATGTTTATGAATGCAAACGAATATAATTTTTAAATTATTCGACAAAGGCTATACATAAGGTCGCATTTTAACAGCGGGTAAAATGCGGTAGTAGTCATAATATTATAACACAAATAAATGATAAATAGTTCTTTATTTACGGACAAATAGCCTCTGCGGTTTCATACAATATCATAACGCAAGTATATAAGTATAATATGTAAACAGAATTCGTGTGGGTAAAGACCAGCCGATATAGAAATGCCCAGAACGAAGCGGGAAGAAATGTGATAAAAATCAAAAAAAAAAAAAGAATGTGAAATGACTTGTAGGCGAAAGAGATCCGAATAGTCGAATGAAGGTAACGGATAAGGACGGTGGTTCGGGTGTGGGATGTTATGGTCTATTGGGGCCTAGAGACCAGAAGAGGACGAAAAGGAGAAAACATACGACATAAGTATACAAACAAATAAAAATAAATATAAACTAATAAGTAAGTAATTTAAGTATTCAGCCGTAAGATTATTAGGACGAGATTTTAAGAATTGAACTCTGCATTTTTATGGCATCGTTATAAAGTGAACTGTTTTAATATAAGAAACGAATTTATTATTTTTGTTTTTCAGTAAAAGTTTTTACAACGACGGCGTAGAAAACATCCATAATCATCATCATCGTCATTTATTTCGGGAACTTTAAACTGTATTTCAGAGTAGTAATTACTAATGGACAATCGATATTGCCGTTAACAATAGTTACAACGATTCGCAGTATTTCTCAACCTATTATTTATTTATTTATTTTTTTTTTTTTCGGACACTACGCGGACATGCATTCGAAAAGCCATTCCCGAATAATCGCGATTATTTCCGGGCACCTGCGAATTAGTCAAGGTTAGATTAATTTGCAAATAAAATTAATGCGTTTTTTTTTTTTTTTTGTTAATTGTATACAATGCTATAGAACTGTTGGTATGCCGGACGTCGACAAACGCGCGTTAGTACCTAATGTTCACACACAGATGTCTCCACTGCTAACGGTTCAAACAAAAAAATAAAATTGTACCGTGTTATTTCCTACGAAATCTCCATACAAATATATTATTACGTCATAATTACGGTCATTTTTATTTTATCATTCCGATGAAGACGATCTTGCGAAAAGTGTAAACATGACGTGAAATCATCACCTGAGAATGAAAAAGTTCGCGGTTTCGAAATTGTTCAGGAGAAACGTTTTGTAGTAAATTTACATTTCGACTCTGTTTTGTTTTATCGGAAATCTGATAGGACGAAAAAGTCGTGTTGTTTAACTTAAACAGATTTTGATCTCCACGTAGTTCAAACCGAATAATAGTTTCGCATCGATAGATAAAATAAAAATGTCGAAAAAATATGTTCGTCCTTTGAAAGGTTCATGCGGGTAAACCGTTTCGAAATGAGCATACAGCGCTGAGGTATAGGAAATTTCCGAAATTATATTTGTTGCGATACAAACGAATTTAGTTCGATGTTACTCACGCGAAATATTCCAAGAGTGAGACCGGAAAAAAAACAAACACCGACCGGTTTTCGATAATAGCGAGAAAAACGCGTGTTATCGATCATCCCGAGTGATTCGACGACGGTTATGATAATGCGCACGTATTAATGCTAGAGACCCATTACGCAGAAACGCTCAAACACCCTGTACAATATAAAGCGTTTTAAAATATTACGACGTTTACCTCGTTTTATGCGTACCTGCGTAAAAAGCATACCTGATAATATTGTAAACAGTATTTTTTTAGTAAACAGAGTACTACATGTACGTGATAACTTATAATTGATGCGATTAATTATCACAGTGATGATGTAATTGTACATTACATTATATACGTTATAATATGTACATTATACGTACCCGAGGAAAAAAAAAAAACTAACTACGTTAATAATTTATATAACATAATATTATGTATTTGATAAACGCGTTACTCGCGGGACACGCGCGATTATCTTAATCAATTTTAAATGTATTGCGATTATGTATACATACATTTAACGAAAAAAAAAATAACGTAAAAAAATAAAAAAAAAAAAATATTTAGATACGACCATCGCGCAGTAAGTCACGTTTTGCAAATAAAACTGCCGCCGCCGTCGATGTGTAAAATACCTCTCTTGTAATATATTATTATATTTTTCGCACCGAAACCCACGTGCGCGCGTACAGAATTATGTATAAAAATAATACATTTAGCGTAAAAAAAAAAAAAATAATAATAATAATAATAACAATAAAAAGTACATACACTCTTGCGTATTGTTCGTCGAGAATTTGCGAAAATCGCACGCAGCCGCGGTAACGAGAAAAAAATCAAATATTTCGGCCGAAAACGACTGCGGATGATAATAATACGCGCAGATCGCCGCGTTCGGATGCACTGCAGCATTCGATTATATAGTTCGGTTTAACTTTGGTTTTTTTTTTTTAGAGGTGGGAGCCCGGGGACATTAAACGTAAATATCACACAATATTGATAGGACGTGCGCGTACCGGGCAGCGTTCCCGAACAGAATAGATCAATATAGGTAAGCGGTATCAAAAATCATAGTTTTTTTTACGCGTTACTCGGCGATAAATCGACTTTTCTGCCGTGAATTATTTCTCGTTCTGCACGTAAACTACTGCAGCGAGATCCGATTGCATCGACTTTGCCGCTGGGCGAGACGGAAGATCCGGGAACGTCCGATAACCAATATTGCCTGCTATCCGTTATCAGCTAAGCACTTAAAATTCGCGTTTCCAAACATCCCGGTATAGGACGTTTTCAGCCGATTTTCCCCGCAGCATGTCGATATCGGTCCACGGATCCACCGAATTTAAATATTATATTTTTTTTTGCACCGCGCTGTTTTAAACTGGGTTATATAATATTTTACGATGAGTATTTTTTTTTTGTTTTTTTTTTTTTTATAGAAAACGTACGCGGTTTAAAATAACGTCGTCTTATCTGAATACGTCAGTCCTCGGGAATAGTATATGAAATTATGCTGAAAAATATCGATTTTTTTTAAATATATTATTTTATTATACGGGAAACACGCTGCTTTATAGCTGCGGGGAGTCAAATTCGGAACTGTCCACAACCGCGGTGTAATCGCATAAAATACCGCCTATACAAATATCGATTGAGTAAAAAAAAAAAAAAAAAACTATATTTAAGGTTATAGCGTAAGGCGTGTTTTTTTTTTTATTATTATTTCTTTTGTAGCCTTTGCGCAATAATAAAAGGTAACCCGGAAATCGATAATAATAAAGAAAAAAAACCCCGTGTATCGTCATTTTTTAGACAAACCGTCGGGAATGTTGAAAATTATTCGCTTCAAAGAAAATACGGCTCTCCCTCCCTTCCCCACCAACGACGCGTTCGCACGGCGTGAAATATTACGAAACGTCGAGTTTTCGTTAAAAATTGCTTACACGCGACCCCTTAAACATACGCAACACAAGGTGTGTTATAAACTTATACAACAACTGCAATTAAACCGTAAAACACATTTTAAAGGGCCTCGTCGCTGTAACGTTTGTTCGTCTTTGTCGCGGCGTAATTATATGCGGCAACAAAGCCGTCATTCCGCATTTTTACGATTGCCGCGACTCTCCGGTTAGGACCTATTATACATTTTTTTTTTTTTTTTTATAAAAGAACGGTACTACTTTTTTTTAATATTTTCATTACTTGAACAACAATTTCAACCAAACGTTTGGTCCCGCGGAAGACGGGCGCAAGCGAATTTTGCGTTTCGTTTATTTCCCGTGCAATTTTTTCCCCGTGTTATTTCGGTCCAAACGGCACGAGCGTTTATTGCGTATACCATGTTCTACGTAGTACACGTTTTACTGAACATAAAAATACCTCGAGTCACTACGATGAACTTTTTGTTTCGTAAAAACACGCACAATAGCCACACAATTAGAACGGCAATTCAGACGACGGCTGTTTAGCGATTTAACGATTGTCAAAGTATAATTCGCATTTGTATCGAAAACCAAACGTACAAAATCGAGACTTACGCGTTTCTTTACCACGGGACCGAAGAAATTACTTTAAGTGTAGGTCCGTAAAAATAATAGTATTGTTCGGGTAATTTTACGCGCGTCCGTCGTCATTAAATTACTATTCCCGAATAATAAGCGGGAAATCGTACGAAGTCGCGGGATTTTGTAGTGTTTTATTATTATACGTGAGTTGACATAAAAAATTTAAAAAAAAAACCCGTAAAGAAGAACCGCGCGCGAGAAAGTCGAGGTGAAACAATACGCGTTTGCGTAATACCAATACAAATCTATAGGTATCAACGGATAAAAAACGCGCGTCGAAAACAATTATTATTAACTATTAAGTACCTGTATAGAAAAACATCGTACCCGCGGTGGTTAGTTCCCATCGCGTGTACCTGTTTCTATATAGAAAACGTGCAATCGTACGGAAAACCGATTTCTTCGTGGGATTCTCCGTATCTCGTCCCCTCCTCACCGAAGACGTTGTTGACGGCAAAAGATAATAGTAATAAAAAAAAAAAAAAAGAAAGAAAACAGAAAAAAGAAAAACGGGAACGTCATCGCCGCCGAATACCGAGTCTCTGTGTAGAGTCATTCGATTCGGTTTCGGCCGGGCGAATTCTTTACAAAACAAAAAAAAAAAAAACAAAATTAAAAAATAGTAACAACAATAATAATAATAAAAATAAAAAAAAATCATCGTGCGCGTCGTTAAAAAACGACGTCCCTCGTCGTAGCCGCCACCGCCGCGGATCGTTAGCCGACGGCGATAATAATAATAATAATAATAATAATAATAATAATAGTAATGGTAATAATAGTAGTAATAATAATGATAAGAATGTTGGCCGACGCCGCCACCGCGGTCTGCGGCGGAAAAACTCCGCCGGGTGGCGCCACCGTCGGCCCGTCCGCCAGACGGCCGCGCGCGCCCGAGGACCCGGCGCGGCCGCGCCACAGACGTCCGACACCAACCGCAGCGAGACCGTCAGTTTCAGTAGTCCGGTGTACGTCGTCGACAAACCTCAGCGTCTGCGATCGTTCATTCGTGTTCAGTTAACGTTCTGCCGTCGTACGGTCGTGTTCACCTGTGCCGCGTGCGTGTTTTCACTCGTGTGCCTTTTTGTCATTATTTATTCACGCGCTCGTCATACATAATATAATAGATAATAATAATAATTTAGTATATTTTATTGTTTACGAATTTTCCGCGTTTAAATTAGCGGAATAGAAAATATATTATTATTTATTTATTTATTTTTTTTTTTTGTTTTTTCATTTTCCGTGAGATTAAAAAATAATATTATAAATTAAATATTGGAAATTATTTTGTGATGTTCGTTCGATGCCTGCAGTGATCGTCATCAGTGATATTCTTCTTCGTGGTTGTCGCCGTTTCCTCGATAACGCGATATTCGTCGTCGCCGCCACACGGTGAACGGTGTGTGGTCGCCGTGCGATTTCGTCGCACGTAACGTCGTCGTCGCGCGTTCCCGTCCATCACCGACGATGGCTCTGAACGCCACTACGTGTTACAACAAGGCCGTGGCCGCGGGCGGTTACGGTTCGTACCCCAGCCCCCTGGCCGCCGCGGCCGGGGTGCCGTCCGCCGTGATGGTGGCCGCGGCCGTGGCCGCCGCTTCGGGCGCCGGCACCGGTGGCTCGTCGTCGTCCTGCCGGTCCGGGTCGTCCGGGTCCTCGGGTTCCGTGTCGTCGTCGGGGTACCGCGTCAAAGATTTCAACGTACCGTTGCACGTGGACTGTAGCGTCGAGTACGAGATGCCCAGCTCGGCCAAGCCGCCCGTGGGCGGCAAAGTCGAACCGCTACTCATGATCCACCCGTCGTACTACCGGAAAGCCGAGAGCCGGACCCGCAGCCTGTTCGTCAACAACATGCCGACCGCAACCGGCGTCGCGTCCACCCCGTCGTCGTCGTCGTCGTCGTCCGGCCGGATCAGGCCTTCGATCGCCGCCGCCGCTATCGCTAACCCGAACGTTGCCGCCGCCGACGGTCCTCCGCCCGCGAAAAAACTCTACGCCGGACCGGCGCCCGGCGTGACCGCGTCCACCGGCGGCGTGTACGGCATGGTCACCGGCGCCGTGGCCGCGGCCGCCGGCGCCTCCCAGTGGCCCCCGTTGGGTTCCAGCGCCGAGCACCAGCACCACGAGGGCAAACGCACGCTGGACATGGTCCACCGGCAGTACCAGCAACACATGCAGGCCAGTCTCCCGCCCCCGATGATGACGGCCGCGTTGCCCACCGACAAAACCCATCTGACAGGTTAGTTTGAAAAACAAAAATCGAAAGTTTAGTCCGAAAAATTTCGTTTACAATACGGTACCCGTCATGGGTACTCCGGTTGGTTTTCGTCGATTAAAAAACATAAAAAAAAATCGGTTTAAAACCGTAATAAAAAGTTAGTAAAAAAAAAAAAATAATAATAATAATAATCACGCTGACCTATACACGGCGTAGCTGGAAAATCGAAAACTCAAGCAAATATTTTAAATAGGTTTTCTATTTCCGTTGTCTTTGGCCGGTTATTAAAGTTTATTTGAAATTTCCTCTTTTCGACTCTTTTCCGACCGAGTTCGCGGTGAAAAAATCTTATTCGTTTTTCCTTGGTTACGATTCGATGGTTTTTCTTTTTTTTCGTTGTTGTTGTCCGAACGGTTTCGCAAAACTTTTTATAGGGTAAAACCTCGGGTGTAAAACGTACGACGTGGGACGGCTGCGTGCGGACGGGAACGAAGTCGTGTCATTTTAATATTTAAAAAGTTAAAGGGGGGGAAAATGTGGAGGGATTGTATTTTTTTATTATTTTTGCATATCGGCGCGGTGAATAAAAAATTAGTATTCCTTCGGCGCGACGCGAGGGGCGGCGATGGCCGTCGCTGCACAGCACAAAGGACGTCGTTTCGCGTTGGCGGAAAGGTCGTGCGCGAGGTATTCTTTTTTTTTTTATTATTATCACATTCGCGTCCGTAATTAACGTTGATTTATAGGTTGGCGGGGAAAAAAAAAAGGAATTAGGTAAAAGACGAGAAACCTTTGTTAATTATACGGGCCGGGCTTAAATAAAATAAAAAAAAAAAAATGCCTGCCCTTTGAAGCGGACCGGGCCGCGCGTATTTTTCGTTTACCTATACCTGTACGTGTACGAGAATAATTCCGCGGCGTTTCGCGAAATTCGAGAGGCTACTCGCGGCGAAACGGGGGAGGGAAAAAAAAGAAGTTTTCTTTAAAACCCCGTCCCGTCATCGCGGGGGCACGTTTTTAAATCACGGCGCTTTTGACTTTACGACGCTCGTTACGCTAATTACACGTACCTATATACCTATATACAGCTACGCGAATTTTTTTTTTTTTCCTTCCGGTCTGTATTTTTTCGCCTCGCGCGTATTCCGTTTTATTTAATTCCGACGGGTCTTTTCGTCCCGTTCGCCGGGCCGCCTTCCCCGACCCCCTCACACCCCCCCGAGTAACCCCTCGATAATAAATCACGATAATATCGCGGATCCGCCCGCGCGCGCCCCGACGGACGGTAAATTATTATTCCCGCTTTTTATAGGCTATCGATCCTCCTGCGAAATCACAATAATACTCGTATGTCCGCGTTGTACCTGCGGTGCTCGAGTCCCGCAAAACCGCGTTGTTTTTCTAAATTTTTTAATTGTCCCCCCACCCCCGACCACCCCCTCCGGAGGTTCGAATTTTCTCCGATTTTCGGCGATGCCGGACAATCGTTGTTTTCAACGCGTCAACAACGATAAACGATTTTTACGGACGATATTCCGTCGCCAGAACAACAATAACTATAGGTACACCGTTATTGTTGTCGATTTGATATATTTATTTATTTTTTTTTAACGATCAATTAGCAACACTATCGAATTCCACGGTCGATTCCGCGTTTCTATTCGGTTTCAAAACACGGTACTCATATGGAATATACTTTAAAAAGACAAGAAAAAAAAAAAAGGGCGTAACACTGTTCTATTGTAATAATAATATTTAAAATTCCATTGTTGTTGCGGAATCAATACGCGGGTACAGACCGCGTATTTGAAACGTAAAAAATTCGTTTGTTTCTTATCCGACAGATATTATCTTATCTCAGACTCTAAAGTTTCCGATTGAATAGGAGAACATAAAATGCGAAAAAAAAAAAAAAACGACCGGCGTTAATCGTGGCGTTTGTACCCGCGATAAAATTGCGCGTGGTGTTTAAACGACAACACTCTTAATAGGGAGCGAAACAATTTCGAGGGCGTGTGTGAAAAGAAAGAAAAAAATTAAAAATCGCCGTACGAAAAAAGTCATCGGTCGTATAACGATAGGTTAGGTGGTTCGCGGTTTCGGTGTGCTTTTTCGTACGACGGTTTGTTTTAAAATCGAAAAAAAAAAATATATATAAAAAACGTCCCGCGAAACTATTCTCTTCTCGAAATCGCGTTATTTATGCGTTTAAACTCGTATTTAATATTAATATGTATTTATTTATTTTTTTTATTTCCCATTAACAACGACTTTATCGCGAGAATACCCGGACACTCGTGTCGTTATTGCCGATTAAATAATTATTTTTATATATTTTTTTTTGTTTTAACGACCGATAAGCAAACGCCATAACGGCTAATTCCGCGTTTCTATTCGAAATAATATGCGGCGTACGGTCGATCGGTAAAAAAAAAAAAAAAAAAAAAAACGCCCCGGGAAATATCGCAATAACAAAATAATATTCTCGTTTTAAAATCGCGTTATTAATGCGTTTACCGCGAGTATTCGCGTTTTGTTTTTCAAGACGGCCGCTGCCCCTCCCCCCCCCCGCCGTCCCCCTCACGGTAACCGAACTTTCTTGCGCGGGCATACACGCGTGGTTTGTTTTTATTTTTATTTTTTTTTTTTTTTTGGCGTTAGTACCTATCAACTTTCAAACGACCTTGTCGCCGCCGACGTCGGAAATCCGTCGGCTCTTCTCCTCTCTCGAATATTTGTTATTATTATCATCGCGGGGCGTGTACGCGCGAGAAAACTGAACGATTTCGGTCGTTTTCGAAACACCGCGGTCGTTTATTATACGCGGGCGGGGGCGGGGGGACGGGGGAAACGGGGAAAACGGACGGACGCGCGCGCACGCGGCTATCCGCTATCGTACACACCGATATAGTACCTGCGACTGTTGTGATGTATTAATTTCGACCGATCGGACCGGTATTCGAAAATGTGCGGTTCGATGTGATCGGAGGCGCACTCGTCACGACGCGAGCGTTGTAGGTAGGCGCCCGCGTGCGTTTAAATATTAATTGATATTCGGCCGGCCAGAATACGGCGCGGTCTCAACAGGTGCGGCGTTCCGGGCCGCGGCGATATATTCGCGTTATTATTGGTTTTTTTTTTTTTTCTTAGGTTTTTTTTTTTTTTTTTTTTTTT